ATAGACGATAGGAGACGATAGACGATAGGAGACGATAGACGATAGGAGACGATAGACGATAGGAGACGATAGACGATAGGAGACGATAGACGATACGATAGGATAGGAGTAGATAGGATAGGATAGGAGAGGAGAGCAGAGGAGAGGAGAGCAGAGGAGAGGAGAGGAGAGGAGAGGAGAGCGGAGGATAGTACTCCGTACCTAAGGTATAATCTGTTATGGTATTATAAGGATTGTATGATAGGATAGGATAGGATTACGCTGTACTCCGTATAGCAGGTATATCTGTCATGGTATCGTAAGGACTGTACTGTACGAGTAAGAACAGCCATGCGCTCCGGCTACCTCAGACCAGTCATCTGGCCAGCTCGGCGCACCCAACTCGATTCCAGTCTATCCTTCCAGCTCACTCACCCGCACGAACATACCCTTCTGGACAAACAGGCCGTAATTCGTGTTCTTCTTGATCGGGACGATGGGGTCAACCAAGCTCCAATCAAACCGCCTGATCATCTCGAAAAAGATCTTGTTCAGCTCCAACCGCGCGATGTTTTCGCCCATGCATCGGAACCGCCCGTTCCCAAACACGAGATGGTGCGCATCCTCCATCGCGGCCAGCCGCTCCCCGGACGCCTCCAGCCAGCGCTCGGGGCGGAAAACCTCGGCATCCTCGCCAAACACGACCGTGTTGTGCCGGAGCATGTTCCACGCGCAGAACGCCACCTCGGTCCCTGGCGGCAGGTACACGCCCTTGTGCGTGTCGCCGTGGGGGCCGACCACGCGGGGCAACAGGCCTGCCGCGGCCGGGTGGTGGCGCAGAGCCTCCTTGATGCAGGCCTGGAGGTAGGGCAGGCGGAGGGCCTGGGCGTACGGGATGATGGTGTCCAGGGGGATGTCGGTCGCGAGGGCTTCGGCCTGTAACTTGCGGTACACGTGCGGGTTGGACAGGATGGAGAGGAAGCCTGTCCGCACGATGGTGGCGGTGGTGTCCGACCCGGCGAGCAGCTGGAAGAGTGATTCGTCGGAGATTTCAAGCTCCGAGAGCCCGTGGTTCTTGAACGACGTGACCATGTCGTGGCGGGTGGATTTCTCAGAGGCGGCGGAGGAGGAGAACCGGTCGGCGATGATTTGTCGAGCGACTCTACATGGTACGTCGCCTTGCGTTAGTTTTCTGTGTCGCGTGTGACTTGGTCACGGTGTGAAGTATGGGGTGTAGGTAAAACAGATATAGACACATATAAGACTCCGGGCATCGATAGGATATCTTGATACCGAGATGATGTGCTGAACTGGGGTCGAGCACTGCACTTACGCTTTCACCTTTCCTAACCCGGTCTTCTCCTTCGGCGACGGCACAAGGTTGGCCTGCACGGTGGGAATCCTCGCGATAGCCGACAGCAGCGGCACGGCCGAAAAGACGTTCATGATGGGGAAGTTGTCCTCCATCGACTTCACGTACGTGTACTTGTCCGTGTCGTTGGCGACGAACCCGAACGGCTCGCCCAGGGACAGGTAGGTAATCACGTCGAGGGTGAAGTATTGAGCGAGTTCGGCCCAGTCGAGCGGCTTGAAGCTAGTCCCCACGGACAGGTATTTGCGCTTGATCAAGTGCACGACGTCCATGACCATCTGGTCAATGCTGGGTTCGCACTCTGGATTGTCCTTGCCCGAGTACTATGTCACCCCTTGGTAAGCAAACACTTAAGTTCTAACCACGTCGAAGTCGGCGTCCACGTACCCCGGGGGACAGCTTTGCGCGCATCAAGGAGTGCTTCTCGTCATCCAGCTGAGTGAAGAGGTTTTCTCGCTCTGCGTCCATCTTGAACGCCTTGTACCACTTCCCGCGGGTGTAGTCATTGATCCGGTGGGCGTTGGCTTTGCGGTAGAGGTCCAGATCCCACGTCACTACCATGTTCGGGCTGATCCGGGCAATCGAGCCTGGAGGTCTTGTTAGATGCATTGGACCATCTCCGGCGGACACGACACATGCGTACCATAGCGATCGCACGCATCTTTCAGCGCAAGATGTCCTCTTCCGGAAACGGCAGCACGGATCCACCACCAGTTCGTGAAGCTGGCGAGTGGTGGCCCGGGGATATGACGCAGCTTGTTGTATGCGATGGCGGTTGACACGAGGTACCATCCCAGCAGGGCGACGGCGAGAAGGACCAGGGTCGAGGTGAGGCTGACGCGCAGCGGGCCGGCAATCTGTTCGAGCATCCTGGTCGAATCTGCTGCGTGGCTTGATCCGGGCAGAGGCGACGACAAAGTACGAGGAGGGAGGCAATATCAAGGGGAATTTGACGGCTGTGTGAACTGTGAAGAGGCCGTCTAGTGCGATGGTCAGTGGGATGTGTTGACGTGACTTTGGTGGTGGAGCCGAGCCTACAGGAAATCCAGCTGTGAGCCCCATCTGAGATGCCAGTTGAGGGAAGCGTGAGTGGCAGGTGAAGGAAGGGTCAGTCGCAGGGACATGGACCAGCGCAGTATGGCCGCCCACCACTGAGTTAGCAGTCGTTCCCAGTCCACACATTGATACTGTCGTTGAAACGGGCGCCCACCCATTGGCGGAATGGACCAGGCGTCTGCCGCAGCGGCAGCTTTGGCGTGATCTTCCGGGCGCCCGCGGGGATGCAAGTTGCCATTACAGGCACTGAGGGCACGGCAGTTGAGCCTTTTCGGGATTGGTTGCTTGACCACTGTGTCCGCCAACCGAGGCCCTCTTCTGATTCTTCGGCGACGAGATGCATGAACTGAAGATAGCGATCGCAAATCCGGCCATGGTTGGGAAGTTATCCTCCACTGGAATGTGGCAGCGGATCGCTCGTGCATGAGAACCGTATGCGCCGAGTCTTCGAGACCTGCATCGTGCTGCATGCATCTGCCACGCTGTCGCCCGCTTTTGACAGTGCGACTAAGAACTGCGATCCGGACATGACATCGATCCCCGGAAGCGACGGCCCCGTAAGATTTTCTTGTTTCTGACCTTTAACAGGAGATCTCGCGGCCTTATGCCATCTGCTGACCTTCGGCGATAACTGAGCTTCTGACTTTTCGTCGCAGACATCAGGTCTCCTGTTCGTTGTGCGCCCTCTCTCGTCCCGATCAAGACCCAAGTCAGAGACCCGACATGTCTTCATCTCAGCCAGGAGCTCGCGGCGACGGACAGATTCGTCCCGCAGATGAAGTGGAGGTAGATCACGGGGTTGGTTCCACACTTCATCCCTGCTGTGCTCAAACTTATCATCGCCACAGTACGACACCGAGGACTCGGGCTTCGAGCAGGATTCTGTCTTGACCCAGTCCGTGCGGTCGAGTATCTATCAGTACAAGGTCGAAAACGGGCGGACATACCACGCGTACAAAGAGGGCCAGTACTTCATGCCCAACGATTCGGCCGAGCACGAACGACTCGAGTTGCAACACCGCGCAATGTTCCTCGCTGCCGGTGGCCAGCTCTTCTACGCCCCCGTCGGCGAGCTTCATCATGTCTTGGATCTCGGCACCGGCATCGGGACATGGGCCGTTGAAGTGGCCGACGCCCACCCCGAGGCCGTGGTCATAGGTGTAGACTTGAGCCCAATTCAGCCGTCGCTCGCTCCGCCAAACACCAAGTGGGAGATTGACGATGTCGAGGACGACTGGACATGGCCGACAGACCACTTCGATCTCATCTACAGTCAATTCATGCTGAGCGGGAGTATTGCCGATTTTCCCAAGTACTTTCGCCAGGCTTTTAGGTAATTCCCCACTCGATCCATGCATCACACCCGCGACACCAATGACTGGTTCTGATGCTTACCATTCCCTGCGTAGACATTGCAGGCCGGGCGGCTACTTTGAGCTGCGCGACCTGGCCACGTACTTGCGGAGCGACCACGTTCCAATCAGAGAAGACAGCGCCGTCGACGAGTGGTGTCGTCTGATGAGAGAGGGCATCACCGGCATGGGGCGCAGGCTTGATCTGGATTTCGAGCAGCTCGGTGATTCGATGCGAGAAGTCGGCTTCGTCGAGGTGGTTGTACGTCCGTTCAAGATCCCCATCGGTCGGTGGCCCTCCGATCCAAAGTTGAAAGAAGCCGGACTGTTTCAGCTGTACGCCATGTTGGAGGGCGTTGAGGCGCTGACATTGGCCATCTTCACCCGCTGCCTCAATTGGGAGCCGGAACGTGTCCAGGTCTTCCTTGCTGATGTACGCAAGGAGTTCAAAGCCACAAAACGCTATACTTACTGGCCGTGGTAAGTGGTCGATCAAGTCCAATCGATGGTGTTGTGCGGGGCTGACTTCCCGTTCGCAGTGCGGTCATTTATGGCAAAAAGCCTGTATCTGCGTCGTAATGGACTCTCACCATGAGCGACAGTAGTGATTGAAGGACCTACCAGGATGGACTAGGTGCAAATCGCAGCTGATAGGTCCCGGAACGTCGTTCTCCAAGACATTGCATGCACATGGGCGATCCCAGATCGAAAGATTGTCAGTCCAGTCGACCTGTTAACGACCACTTCGAGAACTCAATATCCCTGTTGCTCGCCCTAGGACACTGCCAGCATGACTCGGCGAATTTGACCATGTGCTTCAGAAGACCTATCCTTGAGTCATCGATCAACGCATCGGAAGACACATGCTGAAGTCATCGATCATCGAATCGTGGGCTGCCGGCGTGCTGATTCCCCTTGACGTGGCAAACGGACGGGAGGTCTCCCACCAGCCAGCGGTTGGACATGGCTTGCGCAGTCTCCATTGAGGCTAGCACCAAATCCAGATATGGTTCTTGGTCTCGCTTCTGCGGATTGTCGAAATCCCGATGAAGGCGAAGAAGCCTCTTATGAGGGAATACGTGGTAGCTCACCGGAGAACGAAACCACGACCGCCTAAGGTCTGCACAGCCTTCAAGAAGACTCGACACAATAAATCAAAGGGCACAAGCGGTCTTAAGCCTCCGTATGAGATCCTGCGCGGAATACGCCAGCAGGGTTTGTGCACGCGGGACGAGAAGCACCCAACCGAGCAGTTTCGCTTGTACCATTCGGACTGTCGCTGAAATGGACAGCGACATACCTGAGAGTCAGTTTGCCGAGGCAGTCTCATCGAAAGATGTAGCTCCAACGGGGCTCAACGGACTGGTTTGCCAATGTGACAGAGTTTCAGGGAAACAGGTGGATGGACAAGCGTGGCTCGAACGAAGCTGCGCCAAGCTGAGGGAGGCAGCTGACCTTTCCACCTTGAAGCTCATGTCTGAAAGGAATGAGACTAAGCTGTTGTTGCACATATCCGGTTTGCCCTGTTCGATGAGAGTTCCTGTGCAGGGGCGACCTTGTGTTGAGGTTTAGCCAGCGAATTGCATGGCCACGTACAGTCCCTTCATGCTCTCAGAGGGAGAGCTCCTTATCTTCTCAGCACTCCAGATCTCACTCAGTTCAGCTTGCCATGACCGGTAACCATGGAAGGTTGAAGCTGGTCGGAACTGGACTTGCTCCGCAGCTTGAGAATTAAGACTACAGACTTCCCAGCGTCAAGGCGTGCAAAGTGGAGTTTGTTGACAGCTCAGTGACGCCACGGAGGAGGAAGAGGCATGTGGTGCGCGAAGGAGAATGCGGCCAGGGCTAAGTCCATAACGGTCGAGGCGTGCAAAGGCTCGAGATCCCACAATCTCGACATCATCTAATGGTATGGCGATCGATCCTGAGTAACTCGTATGCCCTCTTCCCTTGGTTCGAGGTCGTATTGTATCGTCGGCGCTTTGTTCCTGCGGGGAATCGTCTTCTGCACCATCAGCAGCCAACATTCGGAATACAATGTGGTCGTCGCGGATGACACGTTTTATAAGTGGCACCTCATTCGTGGTGTACATCACGGCGACCACCTCGGGTACCTACTACCTAATAGGCCCATTGTCAACAGACTGTTCTGTGTCGTTCCTGTGGCTGCGCGTCCACAATTCACGGTGAATATCACGGCGACCACCTCGAGCACCTACGCGTACTACCTAATAGGCCCATCGCCACCAGACTGTTCTTCCTCTAGAGTCTTGTGCTCCGGACGAATTACATATTTCACTCCTGGTAAACTGTTGTGTGCCTGCGCTAGGGTTGTTAATCGATTGCCATTCAGCAAAACTTCTGGCAGGTGTAGAAACGTGCCCAACATGCCAACGGAGCGTGGTTCTGGCGCCGCGATAACTAGAGACCCCGCTTACTACTCCGTACCTTCTCTGACGAGGGACATGTAGTTTTTGGCTGCAGTAGACGACCAAGTCCTTCTGAAAACGAGAGTGAAACGTCACGTGCCAGTAGCCATTACGTTTCGTGCCCCCGAAATAAGACTAGCAGGACTCGCCTAATGCAAAATTATAATGGATATATTTCGTAGCAGAAATCTTGTCCAACAATTGGGATCTGATCCTACCAATGCGTCATCAGGACGCGTGGCGAAATGGTATCGCGCTTGACTACGAATCAAGAGATTGCGGGTTCGAATCCCGTCGCATCCTCTCTTTTTTGCTCTTTTTCGTCTTTCTCCTTTTTTCCCTTCTTCTGATCCTGCGGATCGTATATCTATAGCTTTCGACATGGTAAAGGTATTGTTCTGAACCCTAACCAAATACGCTGCAAATAAGGTCTCAGTTGGTGCGTCCGGAAGCCAAGTGAAATACATTCTTCCGCATTCTCTACTCCCAGGAGATATTGCTTAAAGTAGGGCAAAACAGTCGTGGAGACAAGGGGCGCTGTCGTGAAGGTGAAGGTAATTCTCTACTATACATCCTCATGCCAATGATTGTGATTCGTCTCTTTGTTCAAAGAGACATTTGATTGGCAATGAGTCACTGGTCTTCACTTCGACGAAGTTGTCCGGAGCATGTTTGGCGCCCGGATCTACTGTTTTATGGTCACGTAGGTTAGCCAGCCGCGTAAGGGCAGGGGGTCTACCAGACTGCCCGGGATACGAGCTTGAAGGTAGGTGTACACTATAGAGAACCGGTTGCTGGGTGGCCAGCTTGAGGCCCTCCTTGTACGGTATTACCTCAGTTGGTTGTTCGGAAAACGCCGAGTGTGCTTCTACCAAACCCTCGTTGAGCACTATGACTTCGAGGCGGTTCTGTCAACCGGCGGCAAGCTTTTGTGCAGCGAACAACATTGGAACTGTAGCCGAGCATGACCTACGAGCATCGCTTTGGTGGTAAGCATAAAGAACCAGCCAAGAGGCCAGAACGTGTCGCAGTGTCAGAAGAAGTCTCTCTCGATCATCCGGAAGGATTCTTTGGCGAGGTTTCGGTGTCCGCTATTCCTGGGTGTCGAGGTTGAGCTCATCGTCGTCGGGGCATTTCGAGAGTAGCAGTCCAGGATATCAGTTGAGCGCCGATGGGTAAGCTCAACGGCAGACGCGTCGTAGTGTGTCCGGTCGTGAAGGGAGAGCAGGTCGACGGAGGCTGAAGATTCAAGGTGTCGTTCCAACAATTGACAGTGTAGAGTCAGGCTTCGTACGACGTTTTCCAGTTCTTTTTCCACGAGGCGTCTTCCCGTTCTTGTAAAAGTCCTTTGCATCTCTGAGTTGATTGGTTCGGTTCGTCTTGCGGCACTTCCATGTTCAAGAGCGAAGATGAATGCCGCATCGGAAAATAGCTAGTCCAGCTTCTCCGATCTGGACGCACCGCACTCTGCGCCCACGGCATGGAAGAATAGGCACTTCGATATCGATCCTGTCTTTCAACCGGTTCTCGACCAGCTATATCACTGGCTGGCATGTGTCAACCCAGTACAGGGTGAATCAGGGGCAGACACAACAAATGCCGGCGGGGTACCGCCATTGACAGGGTTCTGATTGTCCCATACTGCGATGCTGGAGAGGGACAAGACTGGATCGATGCCAGTGTTCAGGGAATCACCACGGCGGGATTCAACAGAGGCGATACGATACTGGATAAGCCAGGGAAGGCACGGTGAAGAAGGGCACGAAGGGAAAGGTCTGACTTTCAGAATACGGGCATCACTAATCACGTGACTGTCATGTCTATGGCTAGAACCCGCGAAACGGGACATCTCTGCTCCATCAATAGCTCCGTTGTCATATAAGTACCAGCAACGTTCATACCAATTCTGCATCACATCCACAAGGTTACCAGCGGTAGTCGTATGCTCTTACCTCAGCGACTGATGATCTTGGAGATCCAGGTGTGAAGTGCCCCGTATGCTTCACAAAATGCTACACAAAATCTGACAGGAGAAAGACCTGGTTCGAGCCAAAGGATCCGTGACAATGCATCTGCCGACACTCGCATCCGATGGTCCTCGTACTGTGTTCTCGTACGAGGTACAGTGAATCATGGCGCCCGAGGCAAGGCTGAGATCTATGTGTTCCTTTGGGTAAAGCAGACCTCCAATGAACACGGCTGACCGTCGGGCCATCCACCCCACTACTGTACCATGCCCGCTTCCCACATTCTCGAGTGTTTGCTTCCCCGCGTATACTCCGTACTGCGTGTTTTGACACACGGATGACTCGACGCCGCAAAGAGCCCTCGCTCGGATGCTTGACTTTTCATACCGAGGTGGAGCTTGATCAGCGGAAGACTGAGCTCAGCGGCGCGGGCACTCGTACTCATCGAGTACCTCTCCTGGAGGGTGGAGTGTCTGGAACAACTCCCATGATTACTTCATCGTGGAGGCTAGCGAACGAGGACGACCGGATGTGCAACTGCATCACAACGTAAGCTCCAGGCTTTCCCCCAAACGCTTGACCGACATTATAGTCCTTGTTGGCTTCGGTATCGGTATAATTTGTCCCTGCCTTCTCCCACGGCTTTTGAGGAAGCGCCCCCATTGGGAGGGAAGACCGACGACCACAATACAGTACTCGATTTGTTCGCAATTCCCCGCCGTACGCGTAGTCGGAATCTCTCCGTCCACAACTCCAGACCGACGACCGACCGATTCGACCGGAAGAGTCCGTCTATTAGAACTGCCGGCTTCACGGATTCTCGTGTCAATTGCCGAAAGACAGCAATAACGGGATATGCGATTTGCCAGGCGCACAAAACCTCGATAATATCGATCCTTTCCAACAAGTCTGGGCCAACAAACGCGCCGATTGAATTTCAACATCGACACTTACACTATGAAGCTCGAGGTCGTCGACCACTCCGCCGCGGCGACTGGATCAACGACGAGCATCCTGATCCGATATGCCCTGTTGGCGATTCCAGTCCTCCTGACAACCCGCCTGCTCATCTTCGCCTACCAGTCATTAACCTCGCCGCTCCGCTCCGTCCCTGGGCCCCTTGTCGCGCGTTTCAGCCGCCTTTATTACTTATATCGGCTCTCCCTCGGCCGCTGGGAACACGATGACCTCGCGCTACACCGCAAATACGGCCCCGTCGTCCGCGTCGCGCCGGACATGTACAGCATCGACCACCCCGAAGTGGTCAAAAAGGTCTACGGGATCAACAGCAAGTTCGCCAAGAGTGACTGGTATTACGCATGGCAGCATCCAGACCCGAATCGGTGGACGTTGTTCCCCGATCGGGATATGAAGCGCCACGCCGAGACCCGAAAGCGATTCCAGTCAATGTACTCGATGAGTAGTTTGGTCAATTATGAGGGCTACGTCGACGCCTGCGCCGAGATCTTTGGGCAGAGATTGTCGGAGTTTGCAGCCAAGGGGGAGACCATCGACATGGCGCATTGGTTCCAGTGTTATGCGTTTGATGTCATCGGTGATATCACCTATTCGCAACGATTTGGCTTCTTGGACAAGGGTGAGGATGTGAGCGGGTTGTTAAAGGCGTTGCATAGTGTGTTACAGTATGGCACTTTGGTGGGAGTGTATGCCAAGTGGCATCCCTTGGTATTTGCGATTTCAAACCGACTGGGTCTGGGAGGCGGTGGAGGGAGGGTGACTTTGATGAATTATGCGAACCAGAGGATCAAGCAACGGGAGGAGGAGAAGAAGTCTGGCGTCGATGTGGAGATGATGGGCGAGAGAGATGAAACCGCACCCATGGATTTTCTGGAGAAGTTAATGAGAGCGAACCAGCATGATCCGCAGAAGGTCACGCCGTATCATGTGTTTATGATGGGCCTGTCGAACATCATTGCCGGTTCGGACACTACGGCGGTCTCCTTGTCCTCAATTCTCTACAACCTCCTGAGGTATCCGGATACCATGCGGAAGCTCCGGGACGAAATCCAAGAATACGAGGAACAAGGACGCTGTGGCAACCCAGCAGTTTCGTTCAAGGAGAGCCAGGAGATGCCCTACTTGCAGGCAGTGATGAAAGAGGCGCTGCGAATGCACCCTGCCACAGGCCTGCCATTATGGAGGGTTGTGCCGGAAGGAGGTGTAGAAATTTGTGACCAGTTCTTCCCGCAGGGGACCATCGTCGGGCTCAACACGTGGTGCGCTCATTACAACGAAGATGTATTTGGTCCCGACGCGAAGCATTTCCGACCTGAGAGATGGATCGAGGCTGAGAAAGAAGGAGGCCAAAGGTTGAGGGAAATGGAGAATTATTACTTACCGGTAAGTGGATGCCATCTACTGTAAGTTGGCACTGCTAACATCGTCTAGTTTGGTCTCGGGTCACGAACATGCATCGGCCGACACATTTCGTTCCTGGAGATGTCCAAGCTGATCCCGCAGCTCGTGAGGAGGTTTGATTTTGAACTTGAGCAGCCTGATCGAGAGTGGAACACCGTGAACTATTGGTTCGTCAAGCCAACAGATTTTCGAGTGAAAGTCAGGGCGCGTAGCCAACAGTGAGGTGCACCGCGCGAGCACGCAACTATTAGCTGGGCGATTGTGGCCAGTTTTGAAGATCCAGGTCTTTTTGTGACCAAGATGCCCATGTATCCAACTGCGGTTACAACATCAGTGCAGAACAGACCTCGCGTCATGAGCAAGCCACATTGGTGACCCCAAGTTTCGCCGATCTATTCCGTGCTTGATGTAACACGAGGCTGACGCAGCCACATCTGTGCGACCCTGGTCGCCGATGGGCCACGGCTCCCGGATCGCAAGGAAGGGACAGTAAGAGGTCATGGAAGCTTCTGTTTGTTTTCGAGGCAGGCTCGTCCCGCGGCCATGTGGTTGACATGAACACGCCGTAATGTTCAGCAGTCACTTCTAGTTCTGCTCAACACACCCATCCCGTGCCACGCATTTTCCTGCATATTTCACAACTTTACGGGGTACTTAGGGCTGCGTTTCTCAGAGACACCACATGCAGTTAGCGAAGGTCAGGTATCGCTTTGCGAGTACTGGGTATGGCAAATGTTCGACCAAAGAAGAGTCCCTCACCTTTTTCAGTGTGGAAACGGAGGAACTGGCGGCTAAACAGCAAACGGATCTGATCTATCACAAACTAGAACGGCCATTTAGCGTGGGGAGTGGTGACAAGGATAGCTTCCAGCGACCAACCGCCGAAGAGCTCGTGCAGGAGTGGAGGCTAGTGTCAATGAGCACACCCTCCTTATCTCAGACCGTTCTAGCGAGTCCGACAACTCCGCAAGATTCAGCGTTTGCGATTCGTGGGGTTGGCCAGGTGCCGTCCAAGCAATTTCCGCCCGAGCGCCTGTCTTGTGGCTAGTGGGCGCACCGGCTTCACGACGATTGATGCCCAGGTCGGTCGGTACTATCGTTGAGGATCTCAATCCGAGAGTGACAGCAGTGATAGCGCAAGTTCAGCTGTGGGAGAGGACGAGGACTCGGGCAAAAGTGGGTGACGTTGGCAAGACAGCGGCCAGGTACAAAGAGGCAGAAGTCGGAGAAATAGAGGCGACCATGAAAGGTGAGCAGGTCAAGAGGGCGTCAAAACCACGGGAACGTGAGGGCGCCCCGAAGAAAGAACGGGAAGACTGCTCCTGCCCAAGATGGACATTTGGCAGCTGCCAGTATCATCAACACGAGACTCGGTCTACACAATATGACCGCGTCAGCCGTACGGAGTACTTTTAGTAGCTAAGATGTCTGTCGTTCTCTGCAGCACGCCGTCCTTCCGTACACCTGAAGGGAGGAAGCTGGAGATGAGGTGCGCAAGTTGCGCCTGGAAGGCTTCTGGGGGGTCATTAGGGTCGCCCCGAGCGGCCAACAGGCAAGTGCAAAGCCGCCGCGGCTCCCCTAGAGGAGTGGGTGGAGTGTGCCTGCTTGCCGATCGTGAGCCAGTCAAGTCCATCGTCCCGTGGCCTTGAATCCCGATTCCGTCTCCAAAGCACAGCCAACTTCCCTTCACCACCGCTAATCAACCTAGACTAACTGCTCGACCTCTTGACTCTCTCCATCTGAATGTGAAATCGAGCTGTGACCTACTTCATCAACCATCGCTTCTCTGCATTTGCGACAGCGACGCGCCGCTGTCTGCATCTTTAGTCTTCTGAGCGACCGTCGCTTGACCAGCCACCGAGGCTTCCCTTGCCCTTCCCTTTTCCAGTCTCGGTATCTTTGGTCTCGTCATCTCTCTCGCCCCGTTCAGCCGCTTCAACCTCATCGCTAGCCGCTCACTCGACTGCCGCTCTTTCGCGCGCGACTAATCCCCCCATCCATCTCGATAACCTCCCTCAACGTTGCTCACGGTCATATCGCATGATTCTGGAGTGGTCGTATTCATCCGTCGGCGCTCACCCAAGGAGAACAGGCCGCTGGCCATCTGTCGCCCCACATGAGTGGCAGCGCTGCCACTCAGCCCTCGTCAGGTATGGCCACCATCACATCTCGAATCTGTTTCTCCTGATGGCGCACTCCTGTCTCTAACATGTCTCTGTTCAGGCGCCTCCCCACAAGTACCAGAAATCAGTCCCAATGACGCCGCTGTCACCTTGTCCTCCCAAGCTCCTGCCGAAGCTTCTCAACCCACCGAGACCATGACCGAAAAGCCCAAGCAGCCATCGGCGGTCAACATCCCTTCTCGCACCTCTTCGCACCAGCGATCGACCGAGCTGAATGCCGCTGCTCCTGCTGTGCCTGCGGCGCCCGAACCACCTCCATCGCCAAGGCGAGGCTCAAAACGAAGTCTACTCAGCCGAAGCAGAAACAACAGCAGGAGTAGCAGAAGGTCATTAAGAGCGGCTCGAGCGGCAGAGAGCAAGGACCCCGTGCCGCCTCTTCCCTCCAACATCGCTACTAAGGCGGAGAAGAAAGCTCGCAACGGTTTCCTCGCATTCTTGAACTGTTGCAGCCCGAGCGACTTTCCCGATGATGGAAAGTCAGATGATCCCGACGTTGCCGCGAAAAAGATAAAAATCCAAGCCCAGCCGCAAAGGACATCCAGAACACAAGACCAGAATGAAGTTGCGGAGACCGAGAAGGATTTACCGGCAAAATCGACGGAGAATGACACGAACGTACAGGGCAAAGTTGCGAACGAAGATCTATCAGAGAAGAGGGCGCTTGAGATATCCTCAGACGAGCCTTACCATGACAAAGTGACCGTTCCCAGTACGAGTGCAACGCTACCACCCGCGCCACTCTCGCAGCAAGATATAGCACCCCGAGGCGACGAAGATCAAATAAAATCGACTACTGTCGCCGTGCCCGAGCCATCAACAAAGCCGGATGTGAATGTCATTTCCGCAACACCGACAGAGTCCGAGCATCCTGCAGAATCCCAACTACCCGAGGAGGATGAGAAGACGTCGGGGGATGTGGACATGGTAGATGCTCCTCCCGCAGTGCCGGAGGTAGAGGAAGAACCCCTCGACGAACCACCCCAACCAGCTGAACTCCAACCGCAAGTATCACTACCTCCTCCACCTCCGCTGTCCAAACGACATGAACAGGTTGTTGGGAAAGAAGTACCTCCTGTGCCGGACGCATCCCCAGAGAAGCAAACATGGCTTTTACCTCCCGTTGACACTAGGTTGAAAGGCCGAAAATGTCTCATCCTGGATCTGGACGAGACGCTGGTACACAGCAGCTTCAAAATTCTGAACCAGGCGGACTTCACTATCCCGGTGGAAATCGAGGGTCAGTATCACAACGTCTATGTCATCAAGAGACCTGGAGTCGATCAATTCATGAAAAGGGTTGGGGAGCTCTATGAAGTTGTTGTCTTCACTGCCTCGGTTTCCAAGTATGGTGATCCATTACTGGATCAGTTGGATATCCACCACGTCGTCCACCACAGGTTATTCAGAGAAAGCTGTTACAACCACCAAGGAAATTATGTCAAGGTAAGAGAGTGAAGCGCGACTATCCTAGAACCCACTGTACTGACCCAGGATCAGGATCTGTCACAAGTCGGACGAGATCTGAAGGAGACGATCATCATTGACAACTCACCTACGTCTTATATCTTCCATCCACAACACGCCGTTCCGATCAGCTCATGGTTCTCCGATGCACACGATAACGAGCTGCTTGACCTCATCCCAGTGCTGGAAGATCTTGCAGGACCACAAGTACAGGACGTGAGCTTGGTATTGGACGTGGCCTTATAAGGTCGAGGATCCCAGCCTCGCTTGTCGCAATCGATTCTCTTACTGTTCATCTGTTGGTATTAGAAAAGCACATTACGGTAAAAAGTTCGTTTGGCATCATCTAGCGAGGCGTTCTTCATCTCATGCTTTCCACGATTGGGTGCACGAGGCATCCGTGCGAACGGACCTTTGCGCAACGGGTGCCAGGCCGAAAACGGGTTACAAAACCTGCGCAGTCAAAAACAATACAACTTTAATCGCCCAAGACGACTTCACATTGTCAGCTACCTTGAAGCTCTGACAGCCTCTCTGGCAGAGTGCGGGAGGACCCTTTTGCAGTTTCCCTTCCCGGCACGGTTGATGTTCCCTTTGTCGGGCCGGTTGTTTGGGGTGTGAATGGCATTGGCAGGCTTGCATTTGGCTTCAGCTGAAATTACGGGTTGAGACAGAAATGGAGTAAGCGCTGCATGTTTGTTGGAACGTAGGATACCTGTTTTGTACACTGAGTTGGGGCATGTAGTGAAGGCTTTGTGGATGGAGAGGTCCAGGATGCTGCAAGACTTGTGAGGGAAGATTATGGAAGGGAGCCGCAGCTTCGATGCAGGATCATCATGAGCTCTCCGCTTGTGCGCTGACTCTGGAGAATCGAGTGTGTTTTGATATCCACTATCCACTTAGCTGATAACGCATCAGTAGCAGGCAGACATCTGCGTACAAAGACGGGTGATCAGATCTCAATTCAAAATATAGGTATCTTGGACAACCAGCTCCTCATTTCTTGACTCCCATCAGCTCCAGCTAACCCACCTGACGTTTTGACTTGGGGGCCTCGAGTTATACCTGCTTGACTAGGGACATTGCTCGTCGGTCGCGACTTGCTCGGTATCGAGCCTCCAGCAAAGACAAGCTCGATCGCTTGAGCCGGACTCGGACAGAGTTTTGGTTCTTTCCCTTCACGGCTAACGAAGTTCTTGCATACAGAAACACGGTCGCAACGCTCATTCATCCGTTCGAAGGGACTCCTCTTCATTCTACGAGGCTACAACCCCTCCACAAACTCCCGTACAAGCTGTCCAACCTCATCGGGCGCTTCAACACAGTGCCAGTGGCCCACGCCACGCAATACCTCGAGCCGCTTCTTCGCTTGTTCCACGCCCAGGCGCTCAAAGACCAATTTACAGCCCTCCAGCGGTGCCGACTTGTCGACCTCGCCAGCAATAATCAGAGTCGGGACCTTCACGTCGTGGTACGCAGGCGGGGTGGCGTGCTGGATGGCCCGACAGTTCGCGATGTAGCCTTGGGGATCCTGCGCGAGGAGCAGTTCCCTGATGAACGCCTTTTGGAGAGCCGTGGCTGCGGGGCCGGTGGCCGCGTTGGGAATCGTGTTTGCCATGGATTCCATGCCGGCGGATTGTACCTTGGGAACGCGCTGTTTGAATACCTCGGCGACTTGGGGGCTGGGGTGCACGGGACCGATCAGGATGGCGGCCTCGACGCGGGAGTGTGAGGTTGATGCCAGGTGTGTGGGAACCCTATGTCGTGTGTCAGTTGGCGAGGTTCTTTCGCGATATAAAATTCCCTGTTAATTAAGGCATTGTCGTTTTGAAACTCACATCCCACCCATGGAGTAGCCGACTACGATCGCTTTGTCTACTTCCAAATAGTCCAGCAGGCCCAGGACATCTTTACCGATCGATTCGATCGAGGTCTCGGATCCGGCCTTGTATTCTGAGCGGCCGGCGCCGTAGTTGTCGAAGATTATGCATCGATAGCTCGTTACTGGGAGGTTTCTGTCAGTCGGGACGGGGATGCCCCAGCGCAGCGACATATCGTCCGCAGATGGGCAGGAACTCACGGTATTGGAAGATGGGGAAATAATAATTCTGGGTTGAACCAAGCCCATGGACGAAAATGAGCGTGTGTGGCGAGGACTGGCTTGATGACGACGGAGCGATATCCGTGTAGTGGAGGCAGTGGTTGTTCGCGGTTGCAAAGGGCATATTGATGAGGTTGCGATTATTCTAGACGTACGGATTATGTGGTTGTATTGTCCCACTAAAACTTCCCGACTGCCTTTGTACCGGTGGATTGTGGAAATTCAACGTTGCGGATTGACAGTTTCTCTTCTTACCTTCAGTGAGGGGGTGCTGAGGTGGGCTCGTTATTGTAGAGTGATGTCGTCGAGTCCGGATGTGTCGAGGATCACAGGGGCCGGCCCGAACATGCTTCAACGACAACAACAGACATTTCCCATGGCTCGTTATCATAGAACCTTCAAGACAGCTGACTTTGAACTCAGATATCTCGAAGTCGAAGTCGATTGCTTCTCTTGACCGCCACGACAGATCGTGGCCCACGCCACAGCCTTTTTGGACAGTCGAGGTATGTACGTAAGTACGAGTTTGAGTATCACGCAAGTTGCCAAGAGGAACGCGCAACTGAGCCTGCAGCATGTTTCAGACCGAATCAAGAGGGGGTCCCCATCAGGACAATGCTGCGAACCCAGTATGGTGTGATGTCCTGGGAGCCTGCTCTGCGTTTACTGTGTACACAAAGCGTGTTTGTTCACAGGGCACCCCAGGGTCAGCCGGGAGAAGACGACGGACGAATCAGCATGGCCAGACCCAGAGACTGAGTCAGAAGCTGAAAGAAAAGTCGCACAGCACAGGCGGTCCAGGGGCTGAGGAGGCCCATTTGCAGATGCGCCCGGGCCCCGACCCGAGGTTTGGAGGCTTCGATTGCTTCTGTCGTGTCCCCTGAAGTTCAATTTTAGGCATGGATAGGTACCCCGCCTCTGCGTGTGCTGCGTAATCGTTGGACCGCTGTCGAGGCGTGCGCCCAACCAAACGCGTGTCCAGTAACTGACCCACCGCAAGCGCGAAGCCCACTCAACGTTTCCGGTCTGGGCTTCGAGCAAGAGGATCCACGCTGATCTTCGATGCGAAATCGCGGAGCGTGAGCGCTGAGCCAGACACGGCCGCATTCTCTTCTGGCTTCTCGCATCTGCGTCTGGGAGTTGCATCTTTTCAACTGCATCTCGTCGTTGGGCCGAGCGAATCCCCATGCCCTATTCTTCTAGCTTTGATTGAGCTTGGATGGGTTGCAGATAGGCCTTCTTCACACCACCGCGATTATCTACATCTCGCATAATCATTTTCCTTCTTCCTCTCCTTCCTCTCCCCTGTACTTCCGCGATACGGCCTTCGGTGCCAATTCCACTCGCTCAGAGTAGTTCTGGAAACTATACGACATGCCCCCAGACGTCCGGCTCCGTGTCTCCTGGTTGAGCTGCGTGGCCATTTTATTCTCCTCCTTATCGCACGCCTTCTACATTCCAGGTATGCGTCGTCCGCATCAGGCCGACCTGCTCCCGTGAACGGGGCGACTGATATCTGACAGGCGTATCGATACGAAGCTATCGCGATGACGAACACATCCCACTACTTGTGAACAAGGCATACTCGGATACAAGCCAGTTGCAGTATGCGTATTTCGACCTGCCCTTCGTGTGCCCGCCTACGGGCAACAAGCACGCCGGCTTCTCCCACGCCAGTGGACACAGCGTGGCCCTCAACCTCGGCGAGGTCCTTCGTGGTGACAGGATCAAGATCTCCGACTTCGAAATCAACATGGGACAGGACATTGATTGTCGATACCTCTGTGACAGGGTCGTAACCCGCAAGGACGTGCAATGGGCGCAACAGATGATACACGGTGAATATGTCGTGGAATGGATCCTCGACAACCTCCCTGGAGCGACCTCGTTTGTGACAGTCGACCGAAGTCGGAAGTACTACGCATCGGGCTTCAAGATGGGGTACAGGGATTTTGACACGGTTACGGGCAAAGAGATGTATTACATATACAACCATCACAACCTCGTCGTGCGGTGGCGGCAAGCACCTGGGAGAGCCGGCGACAACGGCGGAAAGGTGGTTGTAGGGTTCGAGGTCTATCCGAAGAGTATCGATGGGGGCCACCGCAACGCCACGGGCTGTCCGTCTGATGTGTCTGGAGACGACTTGGAACCGTTAGCACTGTACATCCCAGGAAACACCACCGACCTGACCGAGCAATATGCCAATTCATCCTACATCCCGGAAAGTGCGGTAGACATGGATGACGGGGCAACCATGACAATCCCCTACACCTACTCGGTCTACTTTTTCGAACAGAAGGATGTGGAGTGGTCGAACCGATGGGACCTCTACTTCAACGACCAAGCTGAGAGCACGTTCACCCACTGGCTGGCCATCGTCAACTCATTGATCATCTCGGGGATTTTGGGCGCCATCTGCATTGTCATTTGGGGACGGACCATGCAAGGAGATGTCAAGGGCCGTGGCGATGGCATGCTGGAAGAAGCTCGCCTGAAGCTCGGCAAGCGCGAGAAGAAGAAGTTGAGCAGCGGACTCTTGGAGAAGACCACTGAGCCGAGCCTCGAAGATGACCTGTCTTCGGATGAAGAACCGCTGGAAGAAATTACAGGATGGAAACTGCTGCATGGCGACGTTTTCAGGCCACCCCCGTATGGCGGACTTCTTGCTCCATTGATCGGATCTGGGATACAACTTGTCTTCATGATAGTGGGCTTGTTGGGACTGAGCTGCGCAGGTATTCTCAACCCGAGCTGGCGTGGGGGATTCTGGAGCGTCGGTGCTGGCCTTTTCGTCTTCGCCGGTGGATTCTCAGGGTATTTCTCTGCGCGAGTCTACAAGACGTTTGGTGGCCAGAACTGGCGCAAGAACACAATGATGGTAAGTTCTTTCTCACGTGGGACCGGAAGCCGTATACTGACAGGTTGCACCAGACTGCGCTCCTTTTCCCCGGCCTCCTCTTCACGCTGGTCTTCGTCCTCAACCTTTTCTGCTGGGCGCAAGCCTCCTCTACCGCGCTACCATTCTCGACCCTGCTGGCCCTCGCTTGCCTATGGCTGCTCATCCAACTTCCTCTCGTCCATCTGGGCTCATATTGGGGGTTCTACAGGTCGTCGGCATGGGAACATCCTACCAAAACAAACGCAATACCAAGACAAGTGCCATCCCAGGCGTGGTACATGAAACAGCAAGTCACACTGGCCTTGGGCGCTGGACTCGTGGCCTTCGCTGTTCTCTTCATCGAACTCATCTTCGTGTTTAAATCACTCTACCTCGATAAATCATCCTACTACTACGTCTTCGGCTTCTTGAGCATCATTTCGGCTCTCCTCTCGATCACCATCGCCGAGACAGTCATCATTGCGACATACGTACAACTCTGCGCAGAAAACTACCACTGGTGGTGGCAGTCGTTCTTCGTCGGTGGGGCGTCGGGCTTCTGGGTCTTTCTGTACTCGGTGTGGTACTATGCCACGCGGTTGCATATAGACGGGTTCGTGAGCAGTTTGTTGTTTTTCAGCTACAGCGCACTCGCCTGTGCGGTGTACTCGCTGGCGACGGGGACGATCGGATTCCTCACGGCGTACATGTTTATTCGGCGGATATACGGGGGTGTGAAGGTAGACTGATGGTTCAGTCCTATTAACATATTCCCTTCTCTTCCGAAGAGTGCAAGGAAGACGCTTCTTTCGAGAGATGGCAACGGGCAACGTTTAGATTGTATAGCGATTACCACTACAATGTTCATCTACTTGATACGCCCGCAAGTCGACGAGAGCCCCCGCGAGACCCGTACTGAGGTATGTTCACCGTGACTCCCTGGTTTCATGTTGGTAGCCGTCATTCGGTGGGACGGTCTCAAAAAAAAATTCTCATGCCCCCACCCCACATTTATTTGGGGACCGCAACCTGAACACGTGGGTGGGTTTCGTCAAATGTCAACAATAAGCTTCAAAACTCCAGTGGAACGGATTCTTACTCAGCAGACGAAAACGTGCTTAATCCGCTCTCGGGAGCGCACTGGGACTGGTTGCGCTGACAAACAGAAACTGGAGAGATGGAGCAATGCTAGATCGCAGGGCGTACCCAGGTGGATTGTTTAGGCCGTCTGCCGTGGCTACTTGAGGCTGGGGTGACCAAAACATCCACTTGATTATCGCACAGAGCCTAGGACGCCTCCAGGGGCCACGGGCGGCCGCGAAAGGCCACATGGAAATATCGGCAGGGCATCACAAAGAATGCCCGAGGGAACGGTTATTGGCTCCCACAACGCGGCGAGGATCCATTTGTCGACGTCGTCCGCCCTTCGCGTCATTTGCATACTTACATATACCCATCAAGGGATTCAACGTGCTCAATGACTCACGTTTTAGGGTCCCTCATATGATGTCCCGCTACGCACGCCTTTCGCAACGTCCATTTTGACATGGCCCATACGCCCCTGTTGCCCACATACCGGTGAGTGGCTTACGAGATACAGGTACGAGGTATATGACTCTGGCGGGTCAGCATCAGAGCGCATACCAACATGACATATAAGTATACCCCGGTGTCAGTCTCGTCTTGGCCGTGTTCCTGAGCCTTCCTTTGTCCGTGCTATCCTTTATCTCCAATCAGTCACCGCCTTATCTTTTCCACCTGATCTTCCCCGCATTCTTAACGCTGTCTTGGAAAGCCTGCCAGCGACTCACTGTTCCAATCACGGCGCCCCTCGTTTTAGAGCGGATCGACGAGCTCCTCAGAGCCAATCCCCAGACACTGGGATTATCAAACATCTGCCCACTTTCTGGCCGCACTGACTCTCTCTTCACCATGAGCACGCCCAGTCCTACCATATCCGGCGAGATGCCTTCCTTCCTTACCAACGTCCCTGGCTACACTCGCTCGCGGTCGCTGGCGCTACCTGCCTCCCAGCGACGCGGCTCAGCGATCGCGAATGCCATTGGTCTGCGGAAGAGGAGTGAGCTCGATATCGTGCTGGACGGCGATGCTGATTTTGTGCACTCATATTCCACCTACGACGAGATCAAGGGTCACGTTGTGATCAAATTTGAGAAGGATACCCACTTCGATGACCTCAATGTCACCTTCGAGGGCCAAACCTGCACTTACGTCGAGAAGATCGCTACCGCGGCTCCCACGACAGGTCGCACGACAGGAAGGCACACGTTTCTCAAAGTCCAACAGCCCATTGCCGCCGGCCTGCTACCTGAAAATGGCCTGTTCGAAGCAGGTGTGACCTACACCGTCCCGTTCACCTTCGTCGTCCCCGACAGATTACTTCCTTTCATCTGTTCACACAAGGTCGATACCGAGCAGCTCCGGAGAGAGCATCTGCAGCTACCTCCCAGCTTGGGCGACCCAAGTGTCTCAGGAGATGGTCACATGCTGATGGACGATCTTGCTCCTGAAATGTCCAAGATTTCTTACAGCATTCGAGCCAGAATCGTAAAATGGAACGCCACCGGCAGAATACTGGAGGTGGCGGACAAGTCAGAGCGCATTCGGATCGTGCCTGCAAGAGAAGAAGCACCGCCCGTTGAAGTCGACGACATGGAGTCGAACTACATCATGCGCAAGGAGAAGAGCGTCAAGAAGGGTCTGTTCAAGATCGGTAAAGTCGGCCGTCTGACGGCAGAGACGACCCAGCCGAGGAGTATGCGTCTACCTCACCCACAGAAACGGCAGACTGAGCCCATCTCGACCATGGCCACCATCAACCTGCGCTTCGATCCCGCTTCTCCGGACGATTTGCCGCCACAGTTAGACTCGATTGTTAGCAAGTTGAAGGTCTACACCTTCTTCGGCGCTGCCCCGTACAGAGTTACGCCCGACGCACGGAGGCACGACAACTGGTCCACGCTGCACGGTATCTACCCTGAGAGCGTCTCGCTGTCTTCGCGTGCATTGTCAACCGTCTCGTGGGTCCGCCACGGCTCTGCAGGACGTGAGAGCTTCTCCTCCTCGGACTTGTCCCGACGGCCATCAGGATACTCGACAACCTCGACAACGTCAATCCCCGAACCATCGTGTGCCTATGAGTTCGGCTCACCTTTCTACACCGCGAGTCTTCCTGTCCCAATCGCCCTCCCCACCGCCTCAGGCAGCAACCGGCCAAAAGTGTTCGTACCGACATTCCATTCCTGCATCGTATCCAGGACCTACTCCCTTGAGTTGAACATCTCCTTCCGGAACCCTGGCACAAATGTCTCCAGCAGCCACGTGACCCTCAAGACGCCCATTCAAATCTCATCTGAGGGTGGAATTCCTCCGGTGCAAGTTCAGGAGACCGAAGCCGCCATCGCCGCCGAGATCGAGCAGCAATTCGGGCTCTACGAGGCTAACCAGCTCGAAGAAGCTGGCCTCGGGCTCGAAAGCCCCGTGTACGAAGAGACCGAGCTGAACCCGCTCATCTCGGGTACAAGACACATGAGTCTCGCACAGCCTGTCCCATCACCAGGACGTGCACCAGCACTGCACGCCGGCGTCGACGCCAGCGCCCCACCCGAATACCGAGCTGGCGCATTCAACACGTACAGCTCCAGGGATAGGGTGGGAGGGCCTAGAACCCAAGCTGTGAGTCTCCCTGCCCCCACGGCATAGATCATGCATTTGCGCACCGTCTCACATGTATCTTGTGTGAAGATCATCCCCATCCTGCCGTTCTTCGTGTGAAGCAAAGCAAATGAGGAGAGAGAGAGGTTCCCGACGCTGAGACGTGGTGCTGCAGTTGAGTGATGTTGACCCGGTGTGCGAGACGGAGTCGAGCGGAAGCGAGTCCCCAGAACCTGAGCGACCAGGGCAGAGGGGTCAGGCGTCCAAAAATCAGGACCAGGATGCCGACTTCGACCCCGACGCCGACACGCTTTTCTACAACTACTGTTGATGCCTGCATGTCAGTCCGCTTTTCATCATGACTTACGTGCGCATTTTGACACAGGCTCCGACCTGGCCCTGGCACAGGGGACCACATTACACACGACCACCCTTGTTGGCGGGTTTGATGGTGCTCACTCTCTAGCCACGGGCTGATGATCCGGCGTGAGCGGAGGAGCATCTGCAGCTTCTCCGGACAGCCGGCACCACATCTTGGGTGCATCGGCGCGTTGGCGCTCTGCCGCTGAGAGGCATTTCAATATTTCAACATTTCAGCATTTCCACATTTTGAATCGGAACAGTCGATTCAATTGCGATGTGTCTGTGGTATGACGGCCAAGAGTCGCTCGCAGATAACATCATGATGACACGGCGTGATGACAAGGCGCACTGGGATTTGGATATGGCATTGAATTGAAAGTTCTGGGCTGAGTTGGGCGTTGCACGGTACGGGTACAGGTTAAAAACTGCGCGCAAGATACCCACGTCCGTATTGATTTGATTTGATTTGACTGTCTGTTTGGTTCTTCTGGAGTATAATTGGATTACTCTACATGGCATACATGTAAATATGAATCAACATAATTAATGCATACCTACTAGTACCTAGTTATACCATCACTTTTTATTTTATTTCTTGGGTGTGATCGAAGCAACTTCCTCGCCTTCTTAGGTGAATCGAGGACCTGGCCACCTTGACCTGTAACGCGTGATCCGGGCATGCGGAAATGGCTGGCTGGTGACTGGTGACTTGTGAGGACGTGACCCCGTCGTTCGAGATGAGTGCAGGATTCTAGTGGGGACTCGAAATTCGAAATTTGAGAGCCGTCGACCGGTCCTTATATTCTCCCTTATAGTTGTCAAGTCTCGTTGCGTCACAGTCACCGTCACCGTCACATCTGGGCTCTGGGCTCTGGACTGCGGAGTAGTGCATTAAGATTATAAGTACAAAGTGCCGGCATAGGGAAACGGGGACACGGGGGGGACATTTGACATTTTACAGTGGCGGGCCCAGGATAGTGCCCAACCACGCCGTCTACCGACGTGTCTAGAGGCGGCTCTACAGGCGCCATCGAGTCATTAATGAGTCTGGCCCCCCTGGACATGCATTACAAGGAATGCCGTTTCTAGAGGGCAACTATGGTATCTATTAATGTGTGGGGGGGTGGGGAATATTCAAGGAAAAGCTTTAGAGGGCATAGGGTAGATCGACATGTTACTCTACTTAAAAGCTCTAATAACGAGACGAGACTTGACGAGACGAGATAAGATAAGACGAAATGTAACGAGACAAGACGAGGCGAGACGAGACCATGTAGATGAAATCATTACTTATTTTCTCTTCTTGCTACTCTAGGCGTGGGACGACGTTGTGCAGAGTGCCTTCGCTCGTAATTGGCGTGGGACTGCACACGCGCCCGGTCTTGATGGCCGTCTTCTCATGCATGCATGACCAAGCGGCGGGACCATCTCGACGGTGAGCTACTCAGCGGCGCGGAGGAGCTGCATCTCTCCAAGATCTCACCGGGCTCGGCTTTGGGCTCTGAGGAGGAGAGCAAGGCGCCGCGGGTCGGTCAACTTCGAGCTGAAAGGTCCGGCGGGCAACACGGTTGTTTTGGCATTTCGGTGTTCGTACGCAGGATGGGTCGATGTTCGACTCCGCGGAAGAGAGACAGCGAGGGGGGTTGTTCAGTTGTCAGTGACGTCTTTCCGGAACGGAGGAGACGAACAGGATGGATTGGTGTTCGACTTCGCGGAGAGAGAGAGAGAGAGACAGCAAGAGGGTAGTCACTGGCCATTGACGTCTTCGATGGAACAGAGGAGATGAAAGCTCGTCTGTGACCGTCGATATCCTTCTTGCACGGTTCTTTCTGGTCCGGTGGGCGGCAGCTGCGGTGGCAGGGGACCAGAAGCGAACGATCCGTGCAGCCATGACGGTTCACCTTGACGCGGGTAGCCGCCATCCATCTTTGGCTCGATTCGACTCAGGAGATATATTTGTATATCATTTTATTTTTGTTAGTGTAGAGATGTTTTCTCGTTGAATGCGATCGGAAATGGTTGCGCCACAGCGTCAGTGACGGTTGCCCTATTCTTGTGCGGCCAGGGGTGGCGCCCATATGGCTCAGGGACGGTCGAACGAGACTGGCAAAGAACGGCCTCCACCACTGTTGGGCGAGACAGGATTTTGTTTCACCCGGTGAGAAAGTTGTAACGTCACGGTAATCATGCTCTGCACCGCCTGAAGGTACCTGTCCGGGCAGAGCACGGAGGGAGAGGTCGATAGGACGCGAGAAGCGTGGGCAAATGATCAGTTTCGAGGCGTCCTTTTTGACCGCTCGGTTAGGGTTGGGACCCCAGGAGAGGACAACCGAGAACCACGGCAAGAAAGTGCGAAATTTCATTGAGCCGGCGGAACCCTGACTGGTGAATCAAACCGCTCCTTCAGGCGATTTATGCCTTCAAGCGCCGATGTGGTGATTCTGCTTCCATAGCTTGAGAGAATGTACTTCGGAAAGGCCCGGGCAATCACCATGGTACGACAGATTGCTTCGTCGTGTTTGCGACATACGACCTATCAGCAGACACACTGACGCCACATCGGACCTCTTCATCTCGCTGTTATCGAGCCCAGATGAACCACCGCCGAAGCTTTTGGCCGCAAGGAATGGCTTGATTCAATCGTTCGTTGATTCTATAGATGCGGGATGACCGGAAACTCGGGTACTTAAGTCGGAAGGTCTGGAGAGGTACATCTCTGTGAGATCTGGAACCCGATCAACCAGCTCCGGCGTTGGCTCTACACTCGAGCTGTCATTGTGGAAGACGCCCAGTGCTGCGGCCATACCTTCTGGTGGGCTGAGATCAGTAAGGCTTTGGTATAGCCTCGTCTGGACGCTGGGCGAGAAGCCTGCTGAGAGAATGTTCTGTCCGGAAGGTAAATCTGCGTCTTGACGGTCGAGGCGACACACCATTGTCTTTGGTCGAGGTTGCTTCCTTGACTGAAGGTTGCGGACATTGTAAGGATCTTCGACTCTCGGGTCTGGGAGGTGGTGGTTCACCCTGACGGTGAAAGGGCTTGCAGTGTGAGCCCTTTCCAGGGTCTCACGAGATGAAAAAAGAACCGTCATTTCCAGCTGCTCGCTCTGAGGTGCGCGATGGGGCTGAGGCATCTCCAGCCGAGGACACGCCGTGAAGGAGGCTACATGGCCGAAAGATTGCAGCCTCTTAAGCACTGCAGTTGATTCACCCAAGGTGGCTGGTGGAGGGGAGATGACCAGTCGAGTAGCAATGCATTGGAGCGAGCCTCTGGTGATAGACATGGTAGAAAGAGGGCTAGAGCAGAAAGGAAGAGCTCGAGAAGAGGCGAAGATTCCGTGCTGGCTCCTGCTCGAGTCTCAATCGCGAGGTATTTCGTGACCAGAGCACAATGCGCATGTCATGATCCCAAAATGGATATTGGACTCTACTTTGCACGTGTTCTACAGACAGGGCTGCGCTCCTGCGGTACCGTAGGACGCTCACGTGATCTGATTCCCTACGGTGCGGCAGACGACGAGTTACATTCGCTCCAGTGGCTCCGTTGTTGTTCGATCGGAGCCAAGGAGCGTCAGCACCGCGCCCCAAAAATAGCCTGAGGATTTGGCTCAGCAGCCTGAGGCAGACTCGGGTGTCACAAACTCCCAAAGACATACCCCAAAGAGATACCCCAAAGGAGGTACATGTCAATAGTAAAACAATGCGAAGGTCGCCAGCAAAGATATAACTATGCCTGATGGGAGCAGCGCGGATCTTCCAGTGGTCTACGGGGTGACTGAGGACCCAGACTTGAAGGACATTTCTCGCACGAAACACCGTAACATGGTCGACAAGAACAGTGAACTCAATCAACATGCCACGATACAGCCGTCAAAACGCGCATAACCCAGCTAAGCACAAAAAGGAAGCCTTGGGAAAATTCTTGCTCGGCTCTGGCGCAGTTGCGGGCGACTTCGCCCCCAGTCTTTTTGGCGGGATTGGATTATTCGCTCAGCCCTTTCAACCGTCACAGCGCCCTGTTCGCGTGCTCCTAGTCAGTTAGAGCTGACGAGACGTGCAACTGCAACTGCAACTGCAAACTGCGCTGGGCCCCGATCTTTCATCTCTGTCTGCACTCTACTCCGTACTCTCTCTCCTTTCTTCCATCTCTCGACAACACTCATTGCATCCAACTTTGCACTCGCTCCTTCACCATCGATCAATTGACCGTTCCCCGGCACATTCAGCGAGCCATTCGCCTGCTTAGGTCGCCCACTTGCCCGCTCCAGACCGCGCTCGGAACCAATCCCCAGCTGCATCCCCTCCTCGTTGGGTTTCAGCCGCACCCAAACTGCAAAGTGCCCCGAACCGAGTGCGCCTTCACCTCAGTACCAAGCCTTGACCAAGGCCGCGGACCCCGATCAAGTGACTCTCAGGTCCCCTTATAACACCAAAAGCTTCCCGACCTGTTATCGGTGGTGCGACTATCGTTATCTTCGGACCGTTACACGTCGCTGAGCCCGACCACAACGTCCATCAGTTGTGGAGACCCAATTGCGGAAAGCAGGAGTTCAATCATCAACTCCGCTCGAAGCCGCCAAAATTCGCGCTCACGAGGCTCGCGCTTCCCTCCTCGGAGGTCAGGCTGACAACTATCATCCTCTACCTGGAGGGTTCCACCATCGCGAGGGATATGCTGTAAAGGATTTTGAGAAGAGACGATCGACATCCATCATGTATCGACCCAACTCGAAATGGACATGGGCGTTTTCCATCATCGCCCTGGTCCAGGCTATGGTCGTTCTTGCATTTGAAAGGTGAGCGTTAAACCGATGGCAGGGTCTCAGTACGTCCTCTTCTGACGAGATTGCTAGTTATGTCTTCGCGCATTTCCAGATTCACCTCGAAGGCATCCCCAACAGCAGCGGCAGCACATCCTCGCGGACCATTCCCACCTTCCTGACCCTGTACATCTTCGGTTTTCTGTACCAATTGGTGCTCGTGTGGGATGCACTGCGCATGAAGAATACCATCCAAGTCATCGGACTGGTCATGTACAATGTTGGACTGCTCATCTACGGCGCCGTCCAGATGGACCAGATCAGGGACGCCATTCTGGAGCTAGCTGAAGATGACTATATTCGCAAAGACGTCTGGTCCGATACCGAGCCATACCTCATCGCCATTCCGTGCATCCTGGCCGTGGGAACGGTTCTCATGGCTGGCTGCGCCTGGAAACTCTACGACGAGTTCGCCTGGACCATCTACAAGCGCATCTCGGCCGATCTGAGGATGAAGCGGCGCTACCTCCAGTACCAAATCTACATCACCGTGCTGAAGTTCGACTTCTTCTTTTTCCTCGGATTCACCGTCCAATTCGTCGTCATTGTAAAGGGCCGGGGTGCTGAATTCGCTCTCACCATTGCCGCCATTCCCGTCACCATTTTCATTCTGCTGGCCGCCGCCTGGTTTGTGCGGAAAGAATCTCTGCTCGGCAGCATCGTTGTCATTGTAAGTCTAGCGACTATTGCCTCTCGCTCAATCACCCCGACTAATCTTGCGTTCTAGATCCTCTACTTTGGCGGCCTCGCCTACTTCGTCTTCAAGATGGTCCGCATGTACTCCCCGCACTGGAAAGATCCGTATCTCCCGGCACGAAAAGAACTGACTGCCTTTGCTTCCCTGACCATAATTCTCATCCTCCTTACCATCTCATACGCATGCATCTGCGCACACAACTATAAGACGGGTCTCAAGCCGTACGTCAACAAGCCACAAGCCATCGAGGACGATGAGAAGCCGATGGGAGGAAGTGCATATGCTCCGTATGCCACCGAGATGGAACCGAGTGGGGTTGGGAAGATGCCGGCTCCGCGACCGATGGCAAACAGGATGGAAATTGATTGAACGACAAAATACCGAGTCTTTACTGCTGTGGATACCAATGAGCGGGCGTTTTTGTTATATATATCTTTTGTCATGTTCTCGGAATGGGGGATTTGTGCCAGTGTGTCTGGATCCGGGGCGTTTTGAACCTTGTACTGGACCATGAAAAGGCCAGGTATAAGGTTATGACATATATACCTTGGATGAACCTGTTTGACTGGGGAAAATACGGCAGGTTACGGTGAAGGTGGCGTCAGCCATGGCTCCTGTCCGTGATGAGTACAGTACATTGCCCGAAGCCGGCGTATGGAATGAATGAATGGAACAATCTCAGCCAAGGTTGATATGAAGATTGGACTAGCACCAATCAACCTCTCTGCGGTTTTCTCCATTGCTGTCAAGAGATTTCACTAATCTTGGTTCCTGCCCAGTCAGCGTAGCAGACCTGAGTGAGCTGAGCAGAAAGTCTCGTGTCACTCCTACTGGTTTGCTCACGTCAACCACTTCTTCCCGCTTGAACGTCGCGTCCGTAACTCGTGTACGACGATACACAGAAGATGTGGAGATCCCGGACCATGGCAACTTGACGCCATCAACGCCGTGAAGATGAACATGGATATGACTTTGAATGTGAGCGTGAATGTGACAGTATGCCCTATGCCCTATGCCACACGCCGCGCCACACCACGCCAATCATCCACCGTGACGCCCATGAAGTATTCCTGCCTCGCCTTGAATCATGGATGATAGACAGAGAGGTCCTGTGGGGGTAGATAGATGACCTCATCCGTTCGTTAGGACTGGTCTTATGGCAGTCCATTCCAACCACAAACCACCGTATGTTATCATGTCTACGGCTTCCGCGCGGGCTGCGGCGGCGGTGTTACCTCATCGACCTCACCATCCTCAGGCCGCCTCCCACCTTGCGCAGGACCAAAGTACACAGTAACTGAAGAGTACTAGCTAATATCTCACTCGGCCATGAAGATCTGCAACACATTGGGCACGTCGCGCCTCTTCTCCTCGACCATGGAGTCGCTGATCTTCCAGAACGCCGTGGGACCCGCGGGCCCGTGGGCGTCGTAGTCCTTGTCGAACCAGTTGCCCAGGATGCCGCGGGCGGATTTCAGGCCGCCGATCTGCACGCCCTCGGAGCGCCAGCGTTCTTCGCCGTGGAAGATGCTGAAGCTGGTCCAGCGGATGGCGCCGGCGGCCGTGGCTTGGACGGTGCCTGCACGGACGGACAGATTAGTTAGGAGGGGGTTTTATCACGGTGTGGTGGTGGTGGTGGTGGTGGTGGAAATAAGTGGTTAGGCACCCGGGGGGGGGGGGGGGGTGGTAAAAATAAACATTGCAGACGGGTACTCATCCACAATCACACGCACGCACCCACGCACAGTTTAGTTGAGGGGGATAGAACAAGGTGGGATGATGGTGAGCAGGAGGGAGGGAGAGCATAAACACCGGGGGGGTTTGTATTGAGACGTCGGTGGTGCACACGCAACATACGTACGTACGTACCTCTGATGCGCGAATTCGCGTTCGGATCCCACGCCATAAAGGTACTGCGGCTGGTCCCCTCGAAGTGGACGACCGGTAGCAAAGGCTTGCCGTGCTCGTCGAGGCCGTCCTGTTCCTCGACCCGCGTGACCTGCAACTGCAGCTTGATCAGCCGAAACGCCTCCCTCGTGGAGATGGGGTCGCGCTCCTGGTCGGCGGGGATGTTGGCGCCGTGGGGGTCGAAATTGAAGCGGTACAGGTCGTTGTAGTCGAGGAAGCAGACGATGCGCATCCACGTGCCCGTCACGCCGTACGGGTCCAGCGCGTCCAGGTCCGGGTGGAGCGAGGGTTTCGGTTTCCCGTCCAAGGGCGAGGACACGTAGCTGTCCGGCGCGATCCCCTCGAACAGCCCTTCCCACGGTCTGAGCAGATTGCTCCGCGTGGAACTGACGTTGCGGACGGTGCTCTCTCCCAGCAAGGTGCGGATCGAGTCCGGCAGCCCCAGAGAGTCGGCGCCGATCAGGCCGCGTCGCTCCGTGTACAGTCGGTGGTTGTACGCCAGCACGACCATGATGGCTTGCACTTTCTCCCAGTCGATGCGGCCGGTGCCGTCGTCGAGGAAGGGACCCCACATGTTGGACTCCTTGTACCGGCGGAGGTCGTACACTCTGCTGCGCGCCCAGGGGTGCACGTCCCGGAGCGGGGTGGGATAGTTGCGCAGTCGAAGCCGCGTGTCCTCTGTGTCCTCGGGCGCTTCGGGCTCGGCGATCCCTGCATCGGAGCTGTCGTCGGAGTTGTTGTCGTACGAGTCATCGAAGACACTGCCTGCGCGGGCGGTCACGTGCTGGCAGGTTTGTCCTTCGGGGTCGGGCCACGGCGCGTCGATGTTCATGCCCGCCAGGACGTGTAGCTGGGCGGAGATCTGGCGGAGATCTTCTGTCGGTGCGGAGGGCCATTGTCGCGGTCGGGCACGGGTGAAGAGGCTGGAGCAGCAGAGGATGGTGTTGATGTTGAGGCCCTGTTGGTAGTACTTCGACAGGAAGGACGTGTTTTTGGGTGACGTGGCGAGGGTTTGCGCCGTCAGGGCCAGGGTCTGAGTGAGGATCTCGGAGAGATTGTTGGTCTATGCAGGAGCAGAGGATGTGTTAGGTTAGACAATGTCCCGTCGTACAGCATTTCAACGCACGGAGTAATTCATTGACAGGACAGGGGGACATGACTCGGATGTACCACGTCGTTAGCTCACCTTTACTTCTTCACTGTCCGACTCGAGGATCTTCTGTAAGTTGATCAGACGACTGAGTCGGGCTCTCCACGTCTCTGAATCATCGTCATTGGGAGGATCCTGAGAGTGGGATTGCTGTCAGTGGTCGTTGCGCGGCTTGATATCAAGACACGGGCATCGAGTCTCAAGCGGCGCCATCCTTACAAATAGAGAGAGATAGTGTATCTTCCAGAGCAGCTCATCGGTCTTCACCACACGATTCAAATGGCGGCAAGTCCTCGCCAGCCGGGCCAAGTCGACGGGCTCGACGTGCTGGAAAATATGGTGTAGAACCTCGGGCGCCTGGTCGAGGAGTCGTGCCATGGGCTGTGTGTGCGACGGCGATGGTGAGGCCGAATGTGAATGCGGGATCAGCTGCGGGGATGAATTGTCCGGAGACGGACGGCTCACATCGACTTCGGTGGTGGTTGCGTAGACTGTTGGCTTCCCAATAGCGCCGGCCGATGGCGGCACAGGGACGGAGACTTCTTGCATGGTTCAAATGTATCAAACACTGGACTCACTGATGCACCGAGGGAGATGCAGATGTGAGAGAACGACGATGAGAACGACAATGTGAACATGACGAGCTCGAATCGCGGTCGAATGCCGGGCCGAGTCATTGATTCACTGGCCGGAGATAAGGAGGCGTCATCCGGTGCTCGCAGCATGTCTTTACGAGATATAATAGTATATTGAAACGGATATATGTATGTACACATATATGTGCTATTATCTGCCCGTTTAAGCGGCCTCGAGATGAGTCACCTGCATGGCCGGTTCCAGCTCGTGCCAGAGCTTCGAATATCTCAGCTCATCGGCCTCGCCGGTCCACAGAAACTGGCTCAGAGTCCATCGGAACCGGTCGTAGTCTACTAGTCCATGCTTGACGCACGCTCGACCAAGCATGAAGATGAACGACGCATGCACGACCGGGGACAACGAGGTGGTCACCGCCCCGGTACCCAACATCCAGATGAGCAGCGAGGGAGCGAAATCCAGCTCCGTCAGGTCCTGGTCCATCGCTAGCAGCGTGTCGTAGAGCTGTATTGACAGGACGTTGAAATGCCGGTACTTCAGCGGATTGCCGCGCAAGTAATGGTGGGTGAACAGCAAGGCCGACAACGATACCGCCCTCCATATGGTCACGCTCCAGTGATTGTCCCCCAGCGTGGTATCCCCTTGGACAATGACCCACAACTTTCTCTCGATGCGGTGGAACATGTCGGCTCGGCGCATCCGCCCCTGGTCGTTGGTGAGCCTCAGGGGGCTGATCTGCTCGGCATCACAGAGGTCACGGATGTCGCTGAGGAGACCGACGACCTGGTGGTGAGGAACTCCGGCTGTATCGAGTTCTTCCCGGCTCAGGCCAGGCAATGACCCCGAGGTGGTCTGGCGCCGCTCAAGAGTTCCCCACGACTCGTCCCAGACTTCGATCGGTGGGAAGCGCAGTTTCTCATCAAACACTTCCGAGTATATCAGGTCGTTCCAGCTGATCAGCCGCTGGAGGTGTTGTTGAACGTTGGATTTTAGCGACGAGAGCCCCCCGCGCATTTGCACAATCGCCCACAGACCCGCCATGTGCTTGCTCGCCTCGGGGTAGGAGTCAATGACAAGGGCGATGTTGGTCAAGGCTGCAACCGCCGCGACTGTCTCATCATTCGCCGCCTGCTCCAAGTCGGACAAGCGATCGTTGATGAGTGATATAGCCGCTACCTTGTGCTGCAGTGTCTTCATTTCCTCCTGCGGATCGGGCACTGGTCTGCGGTGCCGGAAATGCATGCCCCAGCTGAACATTGTCGCGTGGAAGACCAACTGGTCGGATATCGCGAACGACGACCAGGAACTCTGGCCATTGATGGGACACCAAGGGTACCGCTCGTATTGCTGGAACAGGAAGAGCGAGGTCTCATCTCCCTGATCCATCTGCACCGGCAAGACTTTGAAAACGTCTATCTTGCGAGACCCCAGCCACGTCACGGGCATGCCTGGCACGAAGCCTGAGTCGGTGGCGACCTGTCGCTCGGTGATGGCGGATGATACATTTGCTGTCGAATCTCCTTCCCGCTCATCTTCGCTCGTGTTTCTTTGCTTCCTCTTCTTGCCGGTGCGGTACCGGTATGGGTGCCGAAGCTCCAATTCCCCGGATCGCATCCTAAATCTCATCTTCTGCCCGCCGCTCATGCCATGTTCTGAATCCCGACCGTGCGAATGCGCAGTGTTCAGCGCCACTCCGCCCGCTTTGTCGGCTTCGCCTTCTTGCTTCCCAGCATCCCTCCGCTCCAGGTAGTTGTGCATAACATGTCCCCGCAGGGTCCGGAGCTGTTGGCGATCCGGCTTCGTCTTGTGGCCTGTCGACGCAATGAACACGAACTGGGCCTGAACACGTGCGTCCATGGCATCCTGCTGGTCGATATCTGTGGCATTGACGACAGGATCACCCACCGCTTTGCTCGAGCTCTCGCGCACGCGAGCCATGGTCTGAAGTAGGTCGATAATTACACGACAGGCCAGATTCGCCGTCTCAATGGCCTACCTTTCATTTGCTGCAGATGCTAGCAGAAGACGAAGGCAATGTCACCTAGATATTGGGTGATAATATATTGGGTGATATCAACGAGAACACCACGACCTCCCAACACTATCCATCCGGCCCAGTTCATGCTTTTAGTCATCACGTATCATGGTGCAGCAAGCCTCCACCCTCAAGGCCGTATTCAACCAGCGTATTGTCTTTTCCCAACGACATTGTCTGGTCCGCTGGCGACAGAAATAAGGCGAAGTGGCTTGTGTAATGCGCCCGAGGATTTGTGGATTACTGATCAGTACCGTCTTAAGCCGAGCCGCCCCTGGAAACAAGCAGATCAAGCATTTTCTGGGCGAGTCTTTCCCTCTCTCCACGTACGTAGGTATCCTTCATACCATAGCTGAGTACTCCTTGGTTTACGGCAGTCCACCATCGGTACGTGCGCAATCTATACTGGGCATAGCTCCCAGGGGGAAAACATATTTCGCGCCGTGTTTTCTCTTGGCCCCGATGCTCGCTCAGCATCGTCAAGGTCTTTGCGAGCGCGAGCGCGCCTTCATACCGCTAGCAGATCGATAGAAGGACCAGGGCTGGAAATCCCTCCGCAGCCAACATACATTCTCGAACCAGTTATCAATCAGCGCGTCTCATAACGTAGCCGACCTGGGGCAAAGACGATGACGCATCCGGCGAACGGTCCATGACTCCGGATGTGAAGATGGCTCCGATTTCGCGTATAGAGGCAAGAAAACCTGTATCACAGCGCCGCCCGTAAAGATGCACCATGAGGGGCACGGCACAAGGCTGGTCGCAAGTTCTTGCGAGTTAACTAGGACCTCATCTTATCCTCACTGCGCGATATCGTCGAGATCGTGTAGGCGGCCATTTCAACATATAAACAGGTCGCTGGAGGAGTGCTCGAGCCCTGAGAGCGAGGCCGAGGGCGAGACCGAGATTCCTGGATGACCTTGTCCCACGTCGACACGTTGCGCGAGAAAGGTCTGGTAGGAGCGATGACTTGGCTACAGTAGGAGCAGAATACTTGATATTCTACCAGGTGGTTACAATACAGGACTGTACTGAGACATTTCAAAGGGACTCGTCAAATACCTGGTATGTATGCCTTTCCCCCCTATTAGCTGGTCGTGCGCGAAAAGTTGTCGAACCTCGATTTCAAAGGTTAAAGGGTCATGATTCCGTGGAGTCGATGCTCGTCAAGTCTTGCTGGAGGAGCCGAGTATTGTGCCACCGATGATCGGTTCATGCTGCGACTGCATGCTGCGACTGGCGGGAGCCTGCCTTCTTCAACCGCCTGCAACATCTCAAGCTTGTCCCTCACCTCCACTAAAGCGGAATCCCTGACATGCTGCGGGCCAAACCGCTTGACCAGTCCAAGATCAAACATGTATTGCAGATTCTCTGTCGCGGTCTTTCCAGTGTTGTCAAGGGCTTTGATGTCCGCGCCTTGGTGCAGAAGCATTGCCAAAAGACCTGGACTAGCTGTGATGGATGCGAAATGAAGCGGCGTCTCGCCGATTTTGGTCCGAGAGTTAACATTTGCGCCGCAATCGATCAATACTCTTGCAAGATGGTTGTCGAATTGCGTGGCTGCCACGTGCAAAGGTGTCCAACCTCCTTTGTCGATTGCATTTACATTTGCGCCAGCCTCGAGTAAGATCCTCGTTGCGGAATCATCGGAACGGTAGCAGGCGGTATGGAGCGGGGTCCAGCCTTGAAGGTCCCGGGCTGCGGTGTCCGCCCCAGCCCTAAGCAGAAGCTGCAGCATAAAATCCGACGAGCGATTTGAAGAAATAGCTTGATGGAGCGGCGTCTTGCCATTATGATCTTTTGCCTCTAGGTTCGCAGACCTTGACACGAGCAACTTCACCACATCTTCTCGATCATGAACTGCTGCGAGGTGGAGTGGCGTGCCAGCAGCGATAGAGGTATTATCGCGTTTGTAGGCGTTATTGACGTGCGCACCATGACTCAGTAGAAAGCGAGCAATCTCCATATTTCCTGACAATACGGCGATCGAGAACGCCAGGCTCAACATCCTGTCGTGCTGCCGGAATAGTATCAGCTTCCCAAATGTTCCGGGCCTGTGCCAATACTTCAGTGCTAGGGTGGAGATCAGCAGTGCTGTCGCAACCATGAATAGCGCGTTCGAAGAATGGAAGACATCGTGCAAGAAGTTCTTGTCAAAGTAATAACCAAGTCGCGACATGTACTCAACGAACCATGACGTTCCGGTAGCTTCCTTTTGACTGAAGAAGAAACTGAATGTACTATGGTTTTCTGGCCCAAAAGAGGGAGAAGCTCGCGCGTGCAGCGGCCAGTATGCGGTAGCATAGCTCAGGAAGGTGACGTCGCGTTGGAGCCGGAGCCGCTCGCAATCCAAAGCATTGCTGAAGACACTTGCGGACGGCCTCTCCTTGCTCAGGAACTCCAGGCATTTTACCGCAATCTCGGAGTTTGCCTTATCTGGGTCAATTTTGTAATATTCAAGGACCGGGTCGCCATCAAGCTCTGCGCGGAGAAGGTAATCTTTGAACGACTGGTGCACCAAAGTCACCGTATCACCATCCAGAACAAGAAGTCCCGAGCACAGTTGGAGTCTGTCTTTGGTTACTTCGGCGGGAGTAAGTGTTGCACAAGAGGGTGGCGCCAAGACCGTGGCCAGTTCTTCAAGCTTCAATGGTCTCAACGAGAGAGTAGCCCATCGCAGCATCGCAGCGACAAGGCTTGAGTTGGCCTTGCTGACCCCCCGCAACAGACGGCCGTAAATATCGTAGAGGCCTGCTGGTAAGGAATCGAGGCAGGCTTCTGTCTCGGAGATGCTGACCTTTCGTAGAATACCCACCGCGAATGAAATCCAGAGGAAGGTCCCTTCTGACCGGAGCTTCAAAGTCTCAAAGACATGTCGCTCCAACTCCAGCGGGTATCGTTTTACTCGAGAGAGCTCCTTGACATTGCTGCGAACGTAGGTGTCCACATCGTTGCTGACCTCTTTCTCAGAGTCTGGGTCTAGCCGAATTGTGGGATAATGGCCCAGCGCGTCTTTTATGCTCCGCGGGAAGTGACGGCTGAGAGCGATGACCTTCAATTTCGGAAGAACGAGATCCCGGAGCTTCGCGAGGAGGGTACCCAGGGAAGTATCTTGTAGTTCATCAATCCCGTCCAACACACAGGAGACGGATGCCACGTCTATCTCACGAATGATGTTTTCGAAAATCCTCCAGAGACTGTCAAACGAATTCTCTTCGAACAGATTGGTTTTTTGGATTTTAAAGTCGGGGAGCAAGTGAGATATCATATCGGGATGTGAGAGAAGGACTTGAAGAATGAGTCCCCTGATCACACAGGAAGCTTTGTTTCTTTTGTTGTCCTTGTTGTCGCAGAAGAAGTATAAGACTTGTTGCATGTTGGTGTTACTTTGCGCTGCAAGCTGTTCCAGTTCTTCTGTCAGGAAGACTGACATGATTGTTTTGCCCTTTCCAGGACCTCCCGATATCCAAAGAAGCGGCGATTGACAAGCCGGGTCTTTCCATGATCGATAGATCGGATGCTCGGTGATCCAAGTACAGGTTCCGTACGAGCGTTCCCCTTTCGTCCGGGTCAACATGGCTCTATCGTCAGCAGAATTCGTGATAAAGAGCTCAGCAAGACAATAATCTTGCCACTGCTCCGTGGTAGGGGCTGAGGTATTATTCGAGTTGCAGAGACCTTGCAACTGGGAAGAAAGGTTCCTGATTTGCTCGCTCTGGACTTGTCTATTCCACACGTTAATCCGGTCAAACACTTGCATATGTCGAAGCGGGAGGGCTCAAGCAATGAGTACAAGTGGTCGCCAGCGTAGCTTTTGAGGCGAAGCAGGTAAACTCACGCATCAATCCGAGCAAGACACAAGGCTAATGTCATTTTGTCCCCGTCAATCTGGTCGAGTTTGTTCGCCACATTATCGGTATTCCAGGTTGAGTTGAGTGCTTTTTTGATAGCATTCGCGTTACTGTCCCCAGGATCTGCTTGGAGCCTAACCAGGATGTCCGATAAGGCATTGGTTTTGGTGTTAATCGATGACAGGATTTCGGCCACCTGTCGAGACTGGTAGGACGGGTTGGCCTCGATGCTTTCCACAACGCTCGTCAGCTGTTGCAGCGAGGCGATGTGCTGAACCACCTCCTTCGGCGCATCTCGAATGGTTTGCACAGATTTGACAATTCTCACCAGCTGCTCAGCTATCTGAGACGCTGCAGCAAACGCTCCGAGGACTTCGAGCCCGCTCGCCATAGATACGGAGTGATCGACTTGGTGGTGGCGAGCAGGTCGTAGGAGTGAATTTTTTCCTCGCGGCCATCATGTTCGAGTGTTGAGTTGGCTGGCAGGCAGAAGATTGCCTGAGGTCGCGACGGTGAGGCTGATCATTGGCAAGGTCGAGTGCGCCTTGCCCCGCACTAAGTACTTCTGCCAGCACATATCGTCCTGGAAGCTGATATTACTGGCTCTGGAGACTTGGCTTGCCTTGACAATTGTGACGACGAGCAGAAGAAGCTGCCGTGACGGGCACAGCGGCTGAATGCTGTGTCTTGAATCCTGAAACACGAAACAGCCTGCCAAGCCGGCACGTTCCGCGCACAAGCAATTCACGTGACGTGGGCTGATTCCTCCCTCGCCTGCGCCGAGTCTGCGTTCTCACCGAATACTTACAGCATCCATCACCCATCACCCATCCCAGACGTCGAGCGAGCAAATCAGCACAGCCTCGTTGCACATACTCCAACTCAGCTCACGTTGGGAGCTTTGTCACCGGCTTCGAGCTTCGTGGCACAAGCATGCGCCTAAGTTAAGCTTAAGGTGCTTAGCGCCAGTCCTTCTGGCTGTCTTCGTAACAGCTCGGGTCAGATTCAGTGATACCTCGTAGTGGACGACGTGAGGCGTCGCTGACGCCCACTATCTACAGCCAAACGCCAGCTATCAACATCGCCCTTATCTGTTTGACCGCCACCCTCTCTCACTCAGGGACTATTCAAATTGCCTCTTTTGCCTCTTTTGGTTGCGAAAGATATGTGACCACCGTCTTAACACGACGCGTATGCGTTCACCTTCTGGACGTGGAGAAGATCCCAGCACCCTATCTGATGGAGGGTGTACTGGGATGCCCAAGGTACGCAACCGTCGTCTCTTATTTATTGGCCCGATCACAGAGTGAGAGTCCACTCGGTGGAATCTTGGATGCAGTACCGAGTACGAGTATTTCTCCGGTTGTATTTGTGTCTCGCTTGTCTCCTTCATGTCCTATTCCCCAGCACGACGAAAGTGTGATCAGGATACCTTCTACGCACCTTGACCGACACTTCCATCTGGACTCGTACACCAGCATGGCCAACCTCGAGAAACAGAAGTCAACCGAGACGCCGGTGGAAGTTCTTACCACTGGCGACCAACAGCCGTTATGTCCTTCGGAGGCGAGATCGTGAATGCCTCAGGTCATGTCGACCAACCTCCCCGCCAGTATGGCCTCCTAAGCATCTGCGGACTCGCATTGACGGTTGACAACGCGTGGGTCGTCCTGGGCACGTCGCTCGCCATATCAGTCTACAACGGCGGCGCCCCCGGGGTAATTTGGGAGCTCTGGGTGGCCACATTCTACTACAGCTTCCTCAACGCCTCGATTGCCGAATTCGCGAGCACAGTCCCTTCCTCTGGAGGCGTGTATCACTGGAGATTCCATCTCTGAAGGGCCGAGATGGGGTCGCCCAGTCGGATTCTTCGCCGGCTCGTTGAACTATTTCGGATGGCCGTTTGACCTAGCTTCCATCGCGTACATTATGTCCGAGCTTGTCGTCCAGATGTACGTTCTGTACTACCCCGACCATGTCATCAAGGCCTGGAATCTGTTTGTGGGACTAGTGTGCATTATCGTCCCGTGCCTGGCAGTCACCTCTGCCTCAACAGCAGCTTATCCTAGCTGCAACGCTTTGGCCTCTTCGTCGTAACGATCGGCGGGATCATCACCATGATCGTCCTCGCCGCCATGCCCTCACACCACGCCTCAAACAGGTTCGTTTGGTCTGACTTTCAGAACAACACGGGCTGGTCCGGCGGCGTGGCGTTCCTGACAGGCGTTTCTCAACGGCGCCTTCACCATCGGCACGCTCGACGTCGTGACACACATGGCCGAAGAACTGCCCAACCCGAAACGAGACCTCCCAAAGGCCATCTTCGCCCAAATCGGCCTCGGCTTCGTCTACGCATGGCTCTTCGCCATCGCGCTGTTCTACGGGCGTCAACGACCTCTCCGCCGTGCAGACCAGCATCGGCTCCTTTCCCCTGGCCGAGGCATTCGCCCAAGCAACAGGCAGTCAAGGGGCAACATTCGGGCTACTCTTCATCGTTTTCCTCGCCCTGGTTCCCTGCCTGATCGGGACGTTCCTGACGGTTGGACGCGCATGGTGGGCACTATCGCGCGACAACGCCACGCCCTTCTCGGGCTTCTTCTCGCGCGTCAACGAACACCTCAGCTGTACCGTCGAGGCCACGCTCCTCACAGGGATCTTGACCATCGGCGTGTGCGCCATCACGCTGGGCAGCAAAACGGCCGTCAACGATCTGGCCGGCTCGTTCGTCGTCCTCAGCAGCATCTCCTACGCGGCCACCATCCTTCCGCACATGCTCACCCAACGAAAATACATACCCCTCGGACCCTTTAACCTGGGAAGATTCGGATACCTGATCAACGGCCTCGCCGTGGGGTTTATCATCTTTTTCGACATCATCTATTGTTTTCCGGTGAGAGCGGCGCCTTTCGCCACATTTTCCTTTTCTCTGCCACCCCTTGTTTTTCTTCTTAGGAGCTATGAGTACATCCCGCGGTCCGAACTATTAACTAACCACGAGTAATTGGGTTTCGATCCAGTTCTCCCTCCCCACCACGGCCTCCACGATGAATTACAACTCGGCCATCCTCGTCGGGGTCGTCGTCCTCACGACATTCTGGTGGTTCGTGCGCGCGGTCCGGAAATACGACGAGCCCGACGTCGCTAAGATGGTCGAGGTGAATATGTCGCAAGCGAGGCGCGCGAGCAGGGTATAGGATAGAACAGCATAGAATAAAATAGAATGGGGGTTGCAGTAACTTAGATAGGACAGTGATACTGCTTAGCTTTTGGCTTTGGCTTTGGCTTTGGCTTTACTCGTCTGAAGGCCGAATCGCACAAAGTATACCGATCCGTGATGTACGGGTAACGACGTAGAGACTAGACACCCACTACCCGGTAGAGACGTCAACCGATCCTTCCATCAACCCATCCAAGCCTCCGCGGGCGTGAAATCCTGGCTAGAGAACTCGGAGACCAGAACTCAAACGACGTAATCCGTCCGTTCGAGGATATATATACCATATATGTACTAGGTATGCACCTATAGAGGAGATACCAGCGAACGTGAAGGTACCGTAATATTCCCGGTCTATCCCAATACCAGATCCGAACCACGCAACCCATTCCGAGGAAGTGGTATGCCCCCCACCCTGAAGCTCGAATCGAGTATCCAATCAATGTGTCCTGCCTCTAGGGTAGACCGAAGGGACATACAGAAAGTATACATAGACACAAGAGAAACTCCTTCGCCTAATCGAAGTATGTAACCCATTCATTTCCTGAACACCGCGCTCAAGTCCATGTTCGAACCAAATCCGAACCAAATCTAACCAAGTGTCAGGGAAAGCGACAAAGGGAAAAACGCCCAGCACGCAAGCTTCATCTCTCGTCCATCCGTTCATTCATTCTCCGGCCCCGTACCTATACGTCCCCACCAGTCCAAACACCCAGCCCGCCTCCCTCGCCCCTGCGAATTGGAGCATATACACCCGCTCCTTCCCCAACGTCACACCCCCCGTGTGTGCAATGACCTCGTCTTCGTTCCACACCTTGACCGCCACGCCGGTCTGCATGACGCGTTCAAAGCAGCTTTCTCCGAGCACCGAGTCGAGTAAGACGACGTCGCGGTCCTTGTTGCGCGTGATGAGAATGCGCTTTTCACGCCCATTCCCGTGGACGCGGTGCGGAGTGTGGCTGGAGCTGGGGAGCCGAGGGCCGCGCGTAGACGGTTGTCCCGCAGGGGTGAGGTTCGAGGGCGAGCGGGAGTGCCCTGGCGTGGCGGGTGGAGAGACTCCTGCGAGGACGGCTGGATGTTTCGGCGTCGTTTGGCCGCTTTGTGGTGGAGACGCCGGTAGCACAGTCAGCCGGGCGGCTCCTAGGTTCTCCCAGTGCTGTCCTTTTCTGACGTATAAACGGATCTTCATGTTGTTGACCATGCCTCCCCCTTCGGCTGCGGCCGCGCTAGTAGATGGCACGTTTGGTCCGTCGTGGCCGGGAATATAGCCAGCCTGGCTAGGGGCTGGAGTACTGGAACCCGAACCAGTGCGGGTGCCGCTGCTCGAAGAGTACAGCGAGCCACTGGTGCCCACTCCGCCATCCTTGCGAAGGACCGATGACCGGTTCAGGTTAAAAGCGTTGCTGACGCTGAATCTCTTGAAGGCGGAGAAAGCGCTTGTCGTGGTACCCGAGCTCTCGACAGAGAAGTCGACCGACGCCGGCGTTGGTGCAGACGACGCGCGATAACTTGACTTCTTCTGACTACCAAAGCTGAACCACGAACTCGACTTCGCCCGGGTGTTTGAAACTTGTCCCACGTTAAAAGTGACTGGCGGCTGCCGAGCCGGACGTGCCTTTTGAAGTTGGATGTAAGTGGGGTTGTTACAACGCGCCCAGTTGATCATGCCGTACAGTGCTTCACACTCCTCGGGATTGCGTGACCGAAACATGACATTGTTGGTAATCCTGATCCTCGAGTTTGGCGTTGGAGGTGACCGAATCGAAATATCCAACGCGGTTCCTCTCCGTAGTGGAACGATGGGAGTCAGCTCGAAAGCGACGAGTGGTTGTTGACTGGGCGAGGACATCCCCGAGTCGGAGTCGTCGGTAGGGCGGCTTTGCGGGACGGAATGGGCTGCTGACATCTCAAAAGCCTCAATTAAACCTGGAGATATGACAATGGAGCACTCGTCAGGGTGGATCTGTTCCCACATGCCTCTATCTGACCACGAGCAGATCAATGCGATTGTCCTCGACTTTTTGTTGGCTGGGACCGTGACAGATGATGGAACCCTGCGGTAAGGCCCTTGAGAAGCTGAATCCGAGGGAGCCAGCGTCCGTGTTCCTGTAGAGGCGCCTGTACCTTGATACGACGATGGAGGCATCGAGGGGGGCATGGATGGTTTGGACGCTCGCCGATCAGCCCCAGTGATTGCAACAAGAGGTGTTGGTACATCTCCATGCTCGGATACCACATCTTCCGACGTGTCAGAAGATGTGTCACTCTCGCTATCGTAATCGGAGTCGGAGGAGCTGCCGGAGCTTGTGGATGGCGCATATTCGTGCTTGAGAGGTGATGACGTCCGCCGTTTCAACGTTTTATCAGACGGGCTCGGTGTAGGCTTTAGGATGAGGTTTGGCTTATTGTTTGATACCGGCAGGAGGACTCCGGAGTGGTGAGGGGGAGTGGATGGAGGAGAGGGAGAAACACCAAGACTCAGTCGCAAGGGGCGATCTTGACGTTGGTGGTGGGAAGGCGGTGTTGGGATATCTTCTGTATAGATCTTGCTCCTCGGTGAGCTCTTCTGGCCACGGCTCGATTGATGTACCCGCGGCTCTTCCTTTGATGACAGCCGTTGCACCTCAGGTGATGATTGCGTTGTTTGCACCGAGGACGGCGTTTGGTGAGCCGGTTGAGTGCGAACCTTGTTGACAGTAGGGAGGTCTTTTGATGGTGTTGATGACAATGCTCGATGATAAGCAGGCCTTTGTGCGGGTGCCCCGGGTCCTGCTTTAGGCGAGGGTAACGAGGTGGTGGGCTGTTGCTTGGGTGTTTGCGACTGAGACTGAGCGGTCGCAGCGGTCGACTTCGGAGCTTGGGGGAGATGAGACTCTGGAGAAGACGGCCATCCGCCAGAGGCGTGCGCCCCTTTTTGGGCCTTTGAGACATTTTTGTTCTCGGTGCTCTGAATCTGCTTCCTTGTCTCTTCGGAAGGTCGTTGTATGACAGGCTGCCGGGAAGATCGAAACGCCTCGGATTTTTCTGTCTGGTCGGGCGGATATCCAGGTCTTGTCGATGTTGTTTTAGACGATGTGGTCAGAATTGTCGCAGAATCTCCGATCGAGCGATTCGAAATGGTGGATCGATCAGAAGACACCGCTGATGGTACAGGCTTTCTTGATATTGTGGTTGGCGGCACCCGATATTGCGGAACAGGCTTCGTGGCCAGTCCGCCTCCTAAACTCAGTCCTGGCGAGGGCCTGTGGACTAGAGGGACGCTGGGCCCAGACCCACGGCTCGGCTTGGTGTGGGCTCCGAGGACAGATGGCTCACCGATGGGGACCTCCAACTGTTCCGCGGTGGTTACCTTATCGGATATCTGACTATTAGCCTTTGCTTCCTCAGGATGAGATTCGACGGTTGCTGTGGTGGCCAATGGCGTAGGAGGATGCACAAAATCGGGGGTACGATTCAGCCTCGGCGGCAAAGGGTTGGAACCGAGCATATTCATCCATTCCGTCACAGCCTCCTTGTCGTCAGTCTTCAGTGCCAGCAGTTCGTGCCATTCCTTGCCTAAGCCGGCCAGGCCCCGAACCATAATGACAAGGTCGAATCCGTCCTCTCCACGTCTCGCGGATATGGAGTTCAGCTCAATGGGAGCGAAGAGGAGCCATTTGCTCGTGTCGTCAACTTCGCAAACAAGCACATCTCCACCAACGGGTTCGCCACGGGCATTGTCGCGAAAGATTAATTCAATACCGCAGTCCAGCCTTTGCCCGCTTGAGTGGTACACAGTGAGGTTGAAGAAGTCCCGCGCTTTCACCCGGCGGGTTCTGTTCACCTTGACTTGGGTCATTGCCGCCATTGTCCGTATGTCGCGCGTCCTTGTGGCATCAACATTCGCCGCTAGTTTGTCTTCTAATCGAGCCTGTTCTTCTTGATTTCGCCTCCCGGCTAGTGCCGTCAAGTCCGCATAGGTAGCCGCCATCTGGACAGCTAGAGGTAGGTCGGACTGATCTTGAATTCGGGTGAAGGCCTTGCTGAACGCCTTGACCCTGACCAGCGGTCTTTTGAGCAAGTAAGCCACATCTGCTTTCTTGCCTTCTCCATCTACCAGGTCACCCGCCTCGTCCCGAGAAATGCCTTGGTCGGAAGGACTGGAACTGTTAATCGGAGCAAGGTTTACCACAACATCCTCAAAGCCAAGTCTCCACGCATGTAAATAGTCCCGGTAGGCCCTTTCAGATGTCTTTGCCCAATTGAGCAGGCTGTCCACGTTCTCGAGGGGGATCCGCTTGTGGAGGGTTTTCAGTCTCTCCAACGCGATGCCCATCTCGACGATGGGTTTTGTCATATTCGGATTGTCCGAGCTACTATCCGACGAGAGGAACAATTCTGCTGCCGCGGCTGAGTCGGTTTTAGACAATGCACATTGAAGAAGAACCGGGATGACACCATCGACAAGGGTCTGTAGTTCTCGTGCATACTTCTGTTCATCCGCCACCAGTCCGTCCAGTATCTCCTGCGCAGAGCTGGAACGCTGTTTAGCTCGTGATCCTCTTGCAGTCCGTGCTGATCGACGGTTCCTGCTTCCTCTTGGCATAGAGAGGACTGACATCAGGTCTTCATGAGTCGTCAGCTTGCGTCTGAGTCCATTACTTTCTGGCGCTACAGTCTGGTCAGGGCGCTGCTCCAGGGACGGCTCTCTCAAAGACTCGGCAGATGCAGTTGCTACGGGCCGATGTTCGCCTACAGAAGGACAAGGTCGGACGGGCGGACTCGTAGGCGTGATTGTCGACTTCTCAAGTGAGGGATTTTCAGCCAGAGGACCAGCTGCTTCCGGGTGATCCCCACTTCTCATCATGTCTTGCCTGGAAATATCGCGGCGTCGACGGACTTTTGCGCCTCTCCGTCGCAGAGAGGATGGAGAGCCATCGTTGTCGTCTTGGTCGGCGGTCCGAGGAGTGCGAAGTCTTGGACCAGAATCTCGATCCCCGTTCGAAGAGGTTACTGAGTCACCATGTTTTGGTGTATCAGGAGGTCCGTGTCCATTAGGTGTGGAAATAGAGTCCCATATGTGATTCGGGTCTGCCAGGATAGGCTTTACCTCCGAGGTCCTCTTTCTGTGTGTCCGTTTCCGCAGCGGCTTGGGCATTTCCACCGGTGGCAGATCTTCTCGTTCACCATCATCCACAAAGGGGTCAGGTTGCTCCTCCAGCCATGCCTCGATACTGGGTATGCGATTGTTGGCCGGGGGTAGACTTTCCGACTTCATAAACCTATCTCGCGTTTTGTTCAGAAGCCCACCTCTTCTAGTTTTCGGCAGCTCCGCGGCTGCAAGTCCATCTCCGCCCCTGCCTAGCAGTTCCGCATATCTGCTGGATTTGCGTGTACTTGGTTCGTCACCGTTGGCGCTGATTGGTCCCCCAGGATACCCTTCGTGATCACCAGAAAATATCGATTGCGTGGTCAGTTGGCGGGCCAAGTCATCATCCGCTCTGCTTTCCACGTCGTCTTGGGACAGTAATTCCTCCTCTGGTGAGGGATCCCCATGGTCCAGCGGTTTTACTCTGATACCGTCGTCAAGAGGTATTGCCGGTTTGATCTCGGCGTCTCTAGGCAGTGGTCTATGCGACCTTGAGCGGCGAGATTCCTTGGTGGTGTCTTGATTGGATGTGTAGGACGGATCATACCGACGCGACTCTGGGCGTCGGCTGCTTGTGGGTTTAGAGCCTTTGTCTTTGGCGTCTTCCTTGCTTTTCCAGTGCTCGTCACTGACGATGCGGCGCCGTGGAGCACTCTTACTCCTGGCTTTGTCTGGATTGCCCTCGGCCTTCTCCCTAGCCCTTCCATCGCCGCGCACACTAGACTCATCACCGTATTCAGACCTCGGTCTCGCAGCGCCTGAAGGACATTCAGACACGGGAATTGATCGCACGCTCACCGCATCTGGAGCGAGAGCTTCTGCAGCGCCCTGGGCCTGCCACTGCCGAATGCGATCCTGGACGGTCGTCGCTTCGTAGGAACCAGTGCGTTGAGAGGACTCTACATTTTGGATCTTGGGAGGAGTGCGCCTGCTCGTGCGATAGGTCTTTGGGGTTTTGCGAGCTGGCTTTTTGGCCGAGTCCGCTGGCATTGACTAAGCTATGAGGGAAGCGTGGTTCAATGATGGCTTGTCTTCTCAGATTGTGGCGGCCGTTCGCTCTATCGAGGAAGTTTGCATTGGCTCCGTAGGTCGCTGCTTGGGCATGTTGGGCCTCGACGTCGATATAGGAGACAGCGACTCGTTCCTTGGAGCGGCGAACGTCTGAAGCGGCTGCAGGGGCGACGATGCACTTCGAGCAAGCAGATCAGATCCGGGTCTCATGCAAGGCGCGGTGGCACAAGTTTCCCGTGGCGCAGGCGATATGCGAGGCGGGTTGCGTCAAGGCGCAAGCTGTGTGGTGGGGTCGGATAAATACACCAAGCGCGTTTCCCAGAGCAACAACCGAGACGCAACAATCTCGGATCTATTGGGCAAGTCCGCAGCAGATGGCTCGATCTGACCTCTAACTCTAACCAGCGTGCCAGGACCCGTCCTTCCCGTCTCTTTGGAGTACGCTGGTGGCACCGCCGGCGTAGTAGCTAATTACGAGTACACTATCGACACAAGATTCTTGATGCTACTACAGCATCCCACTCACCACAGAGTGCACAGCGTGTGATGCGTTTTGGGGATATCTATTCTATTGCCTTCGCAGAGGCAGTTCCCGATTGAATCGATTCGCCCGCCCTTGAATGTCATCCTACTTTTGTGGACGTTTCTTGGGTGTGCTGATATGGCCATTGGCTTTTGGACCGGCTACCGTCCCGTTTCCCGCCACCGATTTCGCTATCGAGTTTAATGCCCGGAAGGCGCTAGCGATCGAGCTCATGCTGCTCGCAAGTAATACTGTCATGTTTCAGCTAAAGATCACCAGTATCGGGAAGGGCACTCACTGGCTGGAATGACGATCCAAAAGAAGTTCATCAGAAAGTAGTAGCCCCAGAAATAGTAGCCCTCCGGCCGACAATAGGTCAAGTTTTTGTGGTAATGGTCAAACATGGACGTGGCATAGTATAGCACGTCGCCGTAAATCTGGCCGAGCGAAACGATGATCTGGAGGGGGTGGCGCAGAGGATGTGAGACAACGACAAAGTATATCATCAAAAATGACAGAGGACCCCAGAAAGCCTGCGTCTGCGTCAGTGGTATATGGCGTATGATCCCGAACTCGATCTTACCGCGGTGATGGTCTCCATGCACAACACGAAAGGGTCCGACGTGAGGTATCTCGAGTCCGACAGCGAGTACTCTTTCCACAGTTGGCCGAATATATCTTGCATTCCGCCCATACGAGTATGGTTATAAGCGAAATAGCCCTCGAAGAAGAGGTGGATGAAGCCGCCTACTGCACATCAGTGTCCGTCCCCTGGCACAGGCAGTCTCTTCTTACACAAACAAAACCACAGCGCAGTCAGCTTGTCCGTCTTCTTCAGGCGTGGTGCAAAGCGGGACGCAAGGAACCATGTCAGGCCGAGAATCACCGCACAGCCAGCCGCGAATGTAGCAAGGAGTTGCGGCACGGTCAGGTCGTTGGCCACGAAGTTCAGGATTTCGATCTCCGTGGGATAGTACGGGTGGACCGGCTTGACGACGACAACAGTTGGTTCGGGAGGTGAGGGGGGCGTCGGAGAGCTCATCATTCTCTTCAAGAAATCCATGGTGGAAGTCAACGACTGGAGAGCGAGAGCTTCCCGAGACTCGGACAAGGAGCGTGTGAAGAGACGCAACAGAACCTATAATGAGGGAAACCCCAAGTAAATAGAATGGGCAATTGAGATCACAGTCCCGGCGCCAAACTCCCTGAACACAAGAATAATGAGCGGATGGTCATGTGTTGCGAGGACGAACTCGTCACCAGAGGTTGGCGACGGCAAGCAAATTGTCGCATCCAAGAATTTTGTTTAGGGTTTGCCCAATGGAAGAGGAGGGTTCCGCATCGTCAGTTTTCTCCCCCAAAGCACCAGAAAGGATCCCTAAGCTCGCCTGGGGCGGCGGGTTAGTTAACTAGCTCGGCAGCTAGGGCTCTCCGCACCCACAACTTAAATCAGAAGTCTCTCAATCGACTTGCCCACCGATTTCTCCCACGTCATGCCCGCCCACACCCATCAAGGTGTTCCCGATTTATGGACGATCGATGTTTGCCCCGAATTACTGTAGCAGGCGGAGAGGCACCGAAGTGTTGTGCAGCGCTTACATCAGTGGCTGCAGCACACTCCCAGAGCACATGCATTTTGGTACCTGAGTTGAGATCGATCGTGGTTCGAGATTTTCCCAGCGTTCCCATTCAGCTTGACCAGCCTTCCGCGCATGACACTTTGCCGTCTGTCCTTGTCTTATCGTACTTGCAGCTCCTACTGAGGACACGCCCTCCCACCCACATGTTCCTGAAAAAGTGGACATGCCGTTGTGCAAAACACCACCCCCCAAACCCTGTGCGTTCCTTCCAGGTTGCGGGGCCGGCCGAGAACTACAAGCGAATCGCGAACCCTTGGCGTCGCTCAGGGATGCCGTCGTGCCCGTCTACTGGCACATGGAGCAATGACGAATTTTTCACTGGCCTCTGCGATTCGTTACGCAAAGTGCCCCATATGATCCTAGTGAAGGAAGCCTTGCTTGTGGCGAGTGCTGAGTACGTATTGTTGCGACTAAGAGCCCGATTCCCGTGGACCGAGTTCCGCTATGAGGATTTCGTTGAGGCAGGTATAAGTAGGATCGATGGCTGAGATGTGTTTTACGGGAGCCATCAGGATATTCCTGAACCACTCCTACCGGTATCTCCACGACCTCGAAATATCTTTCTAGCCGACCGAAAGGGGCTATATCAACTCGGCCCGTTGGCCTTGACGTTCTCTTATCTTAGAGTGACATCAGACTCTCTCAGTTGACTTGTAGCATTGTTGCTGAGGGACAGCGCCATCATGGCCAAACCCATATTCTGTGCCACGCACCCCAGAGCCTGTAGCACGGCTTTTGAGCGGGTAAGACGCCAATTAACCAACCTGGAACCATCGAGCTGACCCCGACAAGGTGTTTATGACCAGGGAAGATTTGACCTCCGTGCACGAACCGTTTGGTGACGCATTTTACTATGGGTGAGTCTCTTCTCATCGCAAGACCTCGTCAGAGCTGACTTGGTGCCCAGTCCAGAGCGCATGAGCGTGCGCTACGAAAATGACGAAGAGACGAGAACGGCGTCAGGGTACGGCGATTCGACCTATAAAATGATCTTCGATACATTGAAAGACGAAGAAGCTAAGGTGAGATACTCGCTAAAACGGCAAATGTGAAAGGGCGTCTACGAATAGACCTTGGCTCACATTCGACTAGGGCAAACGCGTCTTTATCAAAGATATCCTCCATTATCTAGTGCCTCCGAATCAGCAAGCACCCAAATTGGCGCCCTCCCTGTACCCTCACAGGCGTGGCATTGGCACCGAAGCAACCTCGAACGGAGCGAACGGGAGTCATGGTAGGGATCACGCCAACGGCATAAACGGCGTCAATGGTGACCACCATGTCGCCACCAACGGTGTTAATGGAGACTATCATGGCAATGGCACAAACGGTGTCAATGGTGACCATGTCAATGGCACAAATGGCATCAACGGAAACCATGACACCAATGGCACCAACGGCGTGAATGGCACTGGACAAAAGGCTCCCTTCCCCTTCCCTACCGAGGGCGAACCTGGAAACCCGACAATCGTCCCTCGGGCCCTGCTGGAGAAATTCCACTTCACCTTCCTCATCCGTGATCCTCACTCGAGTATCCCATCTTACTATCGATGTACTATACCTCCACTTGAAGAAATGACCGGGTTCCACGAATTCTACCCAGATGAGGCTGGCTACGATGAACTCCGACGCTTTTTTGATTACGCACGAGAGACCGGGTTGGTCCGGGACAGAGACGCAGCTCTGAAGAATGGATCACGAAACGGAGAAATGCAGAACGGCCCTGCAGATATTCCTGAGGTCTGCTTGATCGACGCCGATGATTTGCTGGACGACCCGGAGGGTATCCTCCGAGCTTACTGCGCCAGTGTGGGCCTTGATTTCAAACCTGACATGCTGAACTGGGACGACGAAGAGCTTCAGTCGCGTGCCAAAGTCGTGTTCGAGAAGTGGAAGGGCTTCCACGAGGATGCCATCAACTCTACTGACCTCAAGCCAAGAACACATGTGAGTAGTCTCTTATGGCTCAATCTGGGCGGTGCTGACTAACGTACAGAAGAAGGCAGCAAAATCCGAGGAACAGTGGGACGCTGAGTGGAAGGAGAAATATGGGGAAAAGGCAGCAAAGGTGATCCGGAAGACTGTCGACCAGAATATGGCGGACTTCCTGTACCTGAAGCAGTTTGCCCTTAAGCCAGAGGCTTGAGTTCCCGGCTGTCTCGAAGGGGCTGCTCCTCTTGAACGACCTCCAGAATGTAACTTTCCATAGCACTAGCTCCAGCAAACGACAAAAGGAGAGAATGACCCAGCTCGATCTTGAGTGTACAATGTACTCAATTCAAAGTGTAACTGATTCACGAGTCAAGTTTAGTCCACGTCGCGGTCAATGACTGGTCGGGCACTGCGGAGGCGGCACATTTGTGGTGGATCTAATCGTATCGGCGTATCATTTACCAGCCGAAATGTCGTACAGTCTGCAGAGTACGTCAACAGTGACACCCAAAGGATACTCATGGATTGTGGTCTGATGCGAAACAAAAGGCAATCGACTGATGCAAGTGAAGAGGAACCACCCGGCAACTGCTGGATGACGCATGATTGGTCCAGAGGGTTCCTGAAGTCTCGTGATGGCGCCAAGCATTTCTAGGCAGTTCTGGAAAGCACTATGTCATCGGCCTCATTGGGTGCAGGTGCGATAAGTGCGGGAGTATAACAATCACCTCGCTGTCGACCGCTTCCTCCTCTTCGCGTTTCCCAACACTAGACACGAAATCTCACACGATTCCAGATAGAAAACACCTACCGAACTATGGCAGCGCCTCAGTTCACAGATAGAGCCGCAAAGGCTCTCGGCGACGCAGCAAACCTGGCAGAGCAGTACGCTCATTCCCAGATTCTGCCAGTTCACCTTGCAGTCGCTTTATTTGACCCTCCCCCGGACGAGTCGAAAGACCAACAGACTACAGTCAACGCCTCACAAGCTCACGCCTCAGCACCGCTGTTCCGACAGGTGGTAGAGCGAGCGCATGGAGACGTCCAGCTACTCGACAGAGCCTTCAAGAAAGCTTTGGTGCGGTTACCCAGTCAAGACCCGCCGCCAGAGCATGTCACCATGTCGCCAGCCCTTTCCAAGGTCATCAGATCCGCTCAAGAACTCCAAAAGACACAGAAAGACAGCTATGTCGCAATTGACCACCTGATCAGCGCCTTAGCACAGGACCCCAAGGTTCAAGAGGCGTTCCGCGAGTCCAACATTCCCAACAACAAACTCATTGATGCCGCCATCCAGCAAATACGAGGCACGAAACGAGTGGACTCGAAACAGGCTGACTCGGAGGAGGAGAATGAGAATCTCAAGAAGTTCACAATCGACATGACGCAGTTAGCACGAGAAGGAAAGCTCGATCCCGTCATTGGACGAGAGGAGGAGATTCGGAGAGTCGTCCGGATCTTGTCCAGAAGAACGAAGAACAACCCCGTGCTCATTGGTGAGCCAGGTGTGGGAAAGACGACCGTCATCGAAGGGCTGGCACAGCGCATCATCAATGCCGACGTCCCTGCCAACCTCGCCGCATGCAAACTTCTCTCACTCGACGTCGGTTCTCTTGTTGCTGGCAGCAAGTATCGCGGTGAATTCGAAGAGAGAATGAAAGGTGTGCTCAAGGAGATCGAAGCCTCCAATGAGATGATCGTCCTTTTCGTCGACGAAATCCATCTCTTGATGGGCGCTGGCGCCAGTGGTGAGGGCGGAATGGACGCAGCGAACCTCCTCAAGCCCATGCTCGCCCGTGGCCAGCTTCACTGTATTGGTGCCACCACCCTGGCCGAGTACCGCAAATACATTGAAAAAGACGCTGCTTTCGAACGACGATTTCAGCAAGTCTTGGTCAAAGAACCCTCCGTGGCCGAGACCATCTCGATTCTCCGTGGCCTGAAGGAGAGATACGAAGTCCATCATGGTGTGACTATCCTCGACGGTGCCATCGTTGCAGCTGCATCTTTGGCCGCTCGTTACATCACCTCGCGACGACTGCCCGACTCTGCGGTCGACCTCATAGATGAGGCAGCAGCAGATGTCCGAGTCATCCGAGAATCTCAACCCGAAGTTCTGGACAACCTCGAACGACGACTCCGACAACTCGAGATCGAGATCCACGCCTTACAACGTGAGACGGATCCGTCATCCAAGGAGCGTCTGGAAGAGGCTAAGCGTGAAGCGGCCAACGTCAAGGAAGAACTTGAGCCGCTCAAAGAACACTATGAACGCGAGAAGAACCGGTCCCGCGAGATTCAAGAATACAAGATCAAGTTGGAACAGCTCAAGAACAAGCGTGACGAAGCCGAACGTTCCAATGATCTCCAGACCGCTTCCGATCTGACGTACTATGCCATTCCCGATGTTGCCCACAAGATCAAGGAACTCGAGAATGCTAGGGCTCAAGCTGATGCTGAACAGCACACCAGACTTGGTGCGATGGGTGAGGTCTCACCGACTGACGCAGTTGGCCCGGAACAGATCAACGCAATCGTGTCCAAGATGACCGGCATTCCAATCACCAGACTACGTGCCTCTGAGAAAGAAAAGATCCTCCATATGGAGCAGCAACTCGGTCGCACAGTGGTTGGACAAAAAGAAGCGGTCCAAGCTGTTTCGAACGCCATCAGATTGCAACGTTCTGGCCTTGGCAACCCGAATCAACCACCATCTTTCTTGTTCTGTGGTCCTTCGGGAACTGGTAAGACGCTGCTGACGAAAGCACTTGCGGAATTCCTGTTCGACGACCCGAAGGCCATGATCCGGTTCGATATGTCGGAATATCAAGAACGACACTCGTTGTCGAGGATGATTGGCGCGCCTCCGGGCTATGTTGGACATGACGCTGGCGGTCAATTGACGGAAGCCCTACGACGACGACCTTTCTCGATCTTGCTATTCGATGAGGTCGAGAAGGCTGCCAAGGAAGTTCTGACCGTCCTACTCCAGCTCATGGACGATGGGCGAATCACCGACGGACAAGGTCGTGTTGTCGATGCCAGAAACTGCATTGTCGTCATGACCTCCAACCTCGGTGCCGAATACCTCTCGCGCCAGAATGCACCCGACGGAAAGATTGATCCAACGACCAAAGAGTTGGTGATGAATGCGCTCCGCAACTACTTCTTGCCCGAGTTCCTGAACAGGATCAGCGCGATTGTCATCTTCAACCGGCTCACTAGAAGGGAGATCCGGAAGATTGTCGACTTGAGGCTGAGCGAGATACAGAAGAGGCTCGAGAGCAACGACAAGAAGATCCTCATCAACGCTACTGACGAGGTCAAGGATTACCTGGGTGCTGCCGGCTATTCACCTGCCTATGGCGCACGTCCATTACAGAGATTGATCGAGAAGGAGATCCTCAACCGGTTGGCAGTGTTGATTTTGAGAGGTGCTATCAAAGACGGAGAGACTGCAAACGTCATCTTGGAAGATGGTCGGATTGTGGTCCTGCCAAACCACACTGATAGTGAGATGGAAGATGACGAGGATATGTTTGATGAGGATGATGCGATGTTGGAGATCGAAGATGGTCCCAATGGGAACATGGATCTTTACGAGTAAACGACCGAGTGATGCGTGATCAAGCATGGCGGCATTGGAAAGGATCATGATATTATGAACATTGATTGCATTGATAGCGGAAGGCGTTTGGTCGGTTATGTTTCATGGAGCAGCTCAGCAATGATCTGAGCGATTAATGAGATAGCCTCGCCGACCTTGTGATAGGCAGGGCCTCAATACGAAGATTTAAGAAATTTCCATTATGTGTACATCCTAAATTGTGCTCGTACTCATATGCACCACTCCGAGAACAACCTGGAATTCTTGCCCCGTCTTGGCCCGAAGCGGTCACGTGAAGCGCGTGATGTCCGACGCGTTGCCCCGCGTTTGGCTTCGGAGCGCGTCACGCGAAACATGGGCGCGCTTACCACTTCTATGACCGCCCAGTCGAGTTGATTGACACATACGGAGTACAGTCCACATCATACAGGGATATCCCGCAGTGACAGATTCATCGCCGACGACTTTAAAATACGGGACTGCGAAGCGTCAGCAATTCTCAGTCTCGCCGCCCCCAAAACAACCATGGCACCCACCGCACCATCCAAGCGATCAAGGCCTCCATTCTCGCCTCCTCGACCGGGGATATCCAAAGTCACAAAGTCTACGAAAGGGAAAGCCGTGAACGCCCAGGGTGCAGCGAAGCGGAAATCGGGAGGAAATGGAAACATAAACGCCGACTCAGCTGTGCAGAAGAGTAAATCAAAACCTAACCCGACGCCCACATCCGCGGCGAAAGAGAAAGAAAGGCGCAAGCGGGGGCAGAAGCAGAAACAGAAGCAGAAACAGAAACAGCGTGGAGCGGGTGGTACGATGCGCGCACTTTTCGACCGAGGCGGCGACGATGAAGATGACGATGCCCACAACAGACGAAAAAGGCACGCCGAAGAAGACGAAGACGATAATGATGATGACAATGATAATGAAGCCACTTTGAACGATATCGCCGCAAATATGGACACAGCAAGCGACACCGACGAAGATACAGACACGGACACAGATACACAGAACAAGACGGACGAGTCCGGCTCGGAAAGGGGCAATTTCGACGAAGACAGGGACAAAGATAGAGTCAGCCCGCGCGATGACGATGAAAGGGAAGGTGAGGATGAAGACGACCAAGGCAACGCGCTTTCTCCGTCCGCCGGTCTCGATTTCTCCAGCCCAGAACCGGATTTCATCCTCGCCGAAGTCACACACACGGACAAGCAGACGCATGGTCGGTCCAGAGGCGCCAAATCCTCCTTCTCCGCCTCCGCCTCCGCCTCCGCCTCGGTCTTGGACACCGAAGAATACCCTATCCCGTTACCGCTCGTGCATCGGATAATGCATGCCCATTTCGAAGACCCCGCCACGAAACTCTCCCAGGACGCGAGGGCCCTCATGGGTACGTACGTGAGCGTGTTCGTCAAGGAGGCGATCCGGAGATGCGCCGACGAGAAGAAGGAGCGGGTCAAGCGCGGGGAGGGCGGAGATGCGGGATGGTTGGAGGTTGAGGATCTGGAGCGCGTGGGATGTCAGTTGGTTTTGGATTTCTGAGGTACTATACCGTATGCACCTCGTACACGGCGGGCTCGTGCTCAGATTTGGATCCACTGCTGTACTGGCTGTGATGGCTGTGATAACGAGTCTGTTCTATCGTGGTGCGGATGGGACCGAAATCGGGTCAAGTCAGATCAAGTCAAAATACATTCCGTGTTTTGGGTCCTCGCCTCTAAGGAATGGAATATAATGTGTACGAAGCGGTCAGGATCCCAACGAGGCGCGTTAAGTCAATACCACCTATGAATAGAGAGTGTGTTTCGTTACTCCAAATTGAAGATTGTGTTTGGCTTGCCTCTGTCTGTTTAGTAGTCACCATCTACCATCTACCACCTATGCACACGCAACTCTATACACTTCTGATCGTGCAGTGGACTTGCCAGTACGGCGCAGTCGTCACTTGGCTTGAGGAAAGCAAAGATCCAAAGTCAAACACCCTCAATTGATTCCAAAAGTTTCCTCATTTTCGTCCTCAGGTCATGCATGGGTCATGCCTGGGTCATTGATGTTCTATACTGGCCTGCGATCTCCTGCATGGCGTGGTATCAAAGGGTGGGGGTTCTGCTAAGAGAAGAAATAAAGTACAGAAAAAAAAGTGTGGCGTCCCACAACTCCGGACCTGCAAAGTCCACGTCGACAAAGCTCCAATATATCCTTCGTTTCGGCTTCTCTTTCCATCATGACTGGACTCGACCTCGAAACTCGCGAGGGAGCTTTCCACCATACTCACTTGACGCACTTTTCCCCAAAGGAAGCCGTGGCCTTTTCATGTTGCATGCAAGACTCCACCGACTGGGTATCAAAACGGCTCACCATTCCACCAAAAAAGACATTACCACAGAGCCAAAAGCGCACCGAGAACAAGACCAGCCACACCTGTCGATGACTGAGGCACAAAGCCAGGCACAGCCGCACCAGTGAAGGTTGCAGGAGCCACAGCCGCTGGGCTGGACGGAGGGGTGACAGTCGCGACAGCTGGAGGAGGAGCGACTGACGAAGAGGTCTCAGCTGGAGGAGGTGCGCCGCCGCCGAACGCGGGAGGGGGCGGTGACGAGGCAGGGGGTGCTTCCACGGGGGGTGCTGCTGACGACGGTGGCGGCGGCGGCGTGCTGGCGATCGGTAGTTGGGCAGCCTTGGAGATGTATGCCTCGATCGTGTTAGGTGACGAATCGTTCTGGTTGATAACCATAGCCATGCCTTTTTGACAGTGGTTGGTCTGACCGCAGTAGATCCAGATGGGCTTGGTGTCGTTGATGAGCACGTTGTAGACGGGAGTGAAAGGTTCCATGCCGGTGACCGGGACGAATCCCGATTTCAAACCCGGGCGGGTTGGGCTGGTCAGATTTGAGGCAATGGGCTTGCACGGCTCTGCGAATGACGATTCCGTGATGGTGTGGTTCTATGCGACTGTTAGAACACAGAGCTCCGTGATAAAACGTAGCCACACAAGCATACCTTGGGGTGATATTGGAACTGCACGATTGAGCCGACTGGCGCCGTGATCTTGTCGGGGAAGTACTTCAAAGAGCCATTGGCATCGGAGACCGACACGACTTGCACGATCAATTGGCCTGGTTGAGTCTGCGCTGCCGGAGGAGGTCCAGTCGGGAATGGCATGCAACCAGCCGGGCAAGAAGGCGCCGCCAAAGCAGGAGGTGCTTGACCACCGCCGCTTGGCCAACTACTCCAGCCACCGCTGCCGCTATCGCCGCCCCATGATCCACCGCTGCCGTACGAGGAACCACCGCTGCCGTGGTCTGTCGCGATGGCAGTTGCCACGAGCAGTGTCGAAACGAGAAGAGTCTTGAGAGACATCGTGAGGATGATATTTCACTAATGTTGGATATCGGAGATGGACAGTGAGGTTGAGCTGTGGTACAACGAGCGACCGGCGCAAAGGCGAGAATGGAACGAACTGCAGTGCGTCAAGCAGCAGAGAAAGGAATGTACAGGACCGGTACTACCGAGTACGCGACCACAAACTTTTTGGTATAAGGATGGAATGAAGAGAAAGAGAGAAACAGATTCGAAACAGCAACACGACAGACATATGTATAGGCCAGCGAGGGGCGGGCGGCTGTGCACTCGGAACAGGCGAACACCCGCCATCTGAAAAGCTGAGATTATGGATCTCAACGAGCAGGGAGACGGCACCCACCGAGTCTCGTCACCTTGTCCAGCTTGCCCCTGGAGGAGGGTGAAGACATTGGGATCGAATTGTTACAGACTCGTCTCAGGTGCAGAAGGCCGGATGGGAAACAATAGGCCAAGCGAGCGAAGGAAACTTCGCGGTCGGCGTCAAAAAGGCCATAGCTAGGAATAGAGAAGCAGTCCAGGTGACAGGACGGGGTCGACAAGTGTCGCAGAGTGACAGGCGACAGGAGAATCCGAGGCGCTGGGTGGTTTGGGAAAGTGTTTGAAGAAGGAGAAGGAGACGCTGAGCGGCCGAGCTTGAAACTTCGCCTGTTGCAGGACGCGGCGCCGACCATTCCTTTTCGGGGCTGGCGTCCTTGGCTCCTTGGCGTTTCCTTTGCGTCTTTCCCCTTTGCGCGCTCAGTTCCCTCTCACTCACATCTCGTCTATCAGCCACGTCCCAATCCCAGACACCCGCTTGGAAACAGATCCCACGAGCAGGCCTCGATCTGGCTATGCTCTTCTTCAGGAAGGCTTGTCTCCGGAATCTCCACCTGTGCCTTTATCTGGGGCTGCAACTTCGGTCGTCCATCTTCCGAGTTTCACACGTACAATTCACTGCACGGCGGTGAGCTCAGCCACTTTTGCAGAGTAATTGCCAAAGCGAGTCTGAAGCCGGAATGATCCCTACCGAAATAGGACTGACGATACAGAGAGTGGCTTGCCTGCAGAGAAGTGTCCACAGTGGTCTGGACAACAATAAAGCCTGGAAGTCGTTTACTGCTGCCTTGTACGGAGTAGATGGGGTTGTGATTATCCGTGCTTGTTGGAGTCATGTACCAGTCTGCCACTGGTGCTTGTGAAAGCCTATTATGCCTGCACCTCCCTCCGCAAATCTATGGCTTTGTCGTAGAAATGACAGCATGTATTCATACAGTATCTCTGATGGCCAACTACCGCCAGACAGACCACCGATCCCAACTCCACGCTGCAACAACATCCATGTCAAACTCCAACCCAAGGCATCATGCTACGATCACACCTGTTGTGTTAGGTGATGAACGCCAGTCACGTCTGCAGAACCCTCAAAGCCGCTTTTGCTGCTGGGCTGCCACAACATCCTCCTAAGTCATTGTGTAGCCGGTTGGAGTAGGCGCCATAAAGTCCCATTGACCAGGAGGCAAGTTGCCGCGATTGGGAGTGTTGAAGGTCGGTGGGGTGGTTTGCGCGCCATCGGACATGTTGGTGAGGGCGGGATCGACTTCGTCTTCTGGCTTTCTCTTCTTTGGTCGGCCACGAGGGCGGGAGGTGTTTGGTGGATCTAGCACATACTCTTCCTTGAGTTGCATGGAAACATTAGGGTCGTAGCCGCGTTCGCGGGCGAGTCTTCGCAGTCCCGCCATGACCTTCGGGTCCATTCCGGTAATCTCTTGGATTCTCTCATAGGAAATACTGGCCTCAGCCAGCGCCAATGCTTGAATGCGCACCGCTGTAGTGTGATCCCCCATCTTTAGGACCTTGGGCGCCTTTGCCTCCGCCGACTTCTGTGCCCAGTCGGAGCTTCGGAAGAATGCTTGCGGATCAGCCGCTTGACGGGTGATGGAGGTTTCGATGCCTTGTTCTTTCATCGCGTTGAGGTAGTTCTGGCAGCCAAGGAGGTGGAGGCGCTGGCGGGAGGTGTGCTGTGCCATTTCTCTGCCACAGTACTTGCATCGTACCTGGGCGAGTTTCTGCGCAGCAGAGTCAGTGGGTGAGCGGTGCGCCTCGCGTTGTGAAAACCATAGAGCGCATACCTGAGTACCTTCGGGGTCTTGAGGGATAATATCCCATGCTGAGTGTGTCTCGGTGTCACCCGGCTTGTTCTTGTAGCCACCAGACTGATGTCGAGTTAGCCTGAGGGGACAATAATGGAAGCAAAACAGCCACTTACGCCTGGGCCGCCCATGTTGAGAATCTGCGCAATCAGTCTTGTTTTGGCGGTTGTAATGTCTGGAGGTCAGACTGGTGATAAAGGGACCGTGTGCGGGAGAGGGGGCGGGTGGAGATGGTCATCCAAAAAAGCAGCGTCACAGTTTCCCTTCAATTTTTGTGACTGACAGCTCAGATCCATGGCCAGCGCCGGGACACGTAGTGATCGACAGCACGTGATCAGCCTGTTTTGGGCCGTCTGTCAACACTGTGACCGCGTGAGGGGCAGGACCGCCACAGCCGCAGACGCGTTCGTTGACGTGGTTGAGTTCGTTGTCTTTCCTCCTCGTGCCGACAGACATGGCAGACTCGTCGCAAGCAGCCACATCGCTGCTGACAGAGCATCTCCAGTACACACCGTTGGTAAGTCAGAGGCAAGAAATAGGTCCGGGACGCGTAATTGACAAGTGATAGTCGCTGATCGACGACATCATCAACTCGGTCAACAACTTGGTGTTACAGGTCCTCGGTAGCCTCGAGACAGGACTGTTGACGACTCCTCCTGAGGAACTTGGCTTCCAGCCGGTTAAAAGAAGGAGAGAAGATGGCGCCGAGGAAGTTGAATTTCCTGATGCGAAGCAAGAGATCGAGGAAGGGCTCCATAAACTCGAAACGCTGTTATACTCGACCGTGGACAAGAACTTCGACAAATTTGAAATATACGTTCTGAGAAACATCATGTCCGTGCCGGCAGATTTGGTCAACTGGGTGCGTCTGAGTCACTACGAGGTAAGCCGCCCAGCACAACCTGCGCTGGGCTTCGAGCTGACGGCACAGAACTTGTCCTATCCACCTCCAAAGAACGCCCCGACCCTCGATGGTGTACAAGTAATGCGGAGTAAACTGGCAGCTGGACGAAATGCCTCGAGAGCCCTGCTGAAGGAGTACAACCGCAACCAGGCCATTATACAGCAGTTGCGCAGCCTGCTTGGTCAGACGCAAGCTACACCCGACAACCTCTCCTTCCTCGCAAACAGCACGCAAGCTCAATCACTCACCACCAACACGCATTTCGCGATCTCACAGTTACCTGCCCTCCAAACACTGCTTACGGAGCTGAGACCGAAACTTGCAGCCCTGAAACACGCCCGCATCAATGTTGACAGTGCCAAGGACGAACTTAAAGAGGAACGCAGAGGTTATATTGAGCAACGTACACGGTCACATCTCCGCCGTAACGGAGAGGATCTACAAGAACAGTCAGCTGCGATATCCGGCAAAAGAGTGGAATCGGAAGAAGTTCAAGCTTTGGAAAACGTCGCTGCGATATTTGACCCAGAATGAGACCTACGTGAGCACGCTGTGGATCACCCATTAGGTCTGGAAACCTCAGCCGCACCAGCCGATGGAAAAGCGTCGATCGGAGAGCATGTGACAGGTCATATTGATCTAAAAAGATCGTGGCAGACCAAGCATGCATAAGGTTGCGCTGGTTGACCTGGAATTCCTCCGATATACCGAAACCGGTGTGCAGGTTGCTCTTTTGGGCAAGAAACGAGCAAGTTCGTTCACCAACACATCAGTATGTTATGCATGAAGTGGAAATCAGGTGGTGGACCCAGCAGGCACCTTCGCGTCGGCAGTGAGTTGTCAAGCAGGGAGACGAGGCCAAAACGGTCGATACTGGGGTCTGTTTAAGATTTTCGCCAGGCCAGGAGTAACAGGACCCGTCTGGCCGCTGGTGGTGTAACCCATTCGAGCATGGCCTGTGGGGAGAGTTGCAGAACATGAGAACTGCTTGAAGGGAAGGATGGGCCTGGATCGATGCAGACTTGCATGCTGTGCGGCAGCGAGCAGAGAGGTGAAGGTCTAGCGCCCTGTCTATCTGCTCTGCGATGATTTGAGGTCGCGGGGTGAAGCTAGAACTCACGACGCCTGGGATGTTCAATGAAGCAAGTGAGCCAATGAGAGAGGGGTGTTTCCAACGAGACGCTGAGTCCATGACAGGCCATTCAGCGCCATTGACACCCCACGGCAGCCGCTGCAGTTGCAACAGCTCTGCTGGCAACCAGCCAATGATGGACACGCCACGGCAACGCTTGCGCTGGTCGGCGCGGTGTGGAAGAATTGTTATTGCAGTTTGTGTGAGCTGGCGAGGGAGATCGGCGGAGAGATTCGCCCTGGCTCCCTGGCCAGTGATCATTGACCAATGGCACTGACCACTGCCTGGTCACTAGCCAATGAGGGATTGCTGCTCCTTCCTAAATATACTATAGCGCCATGCGTTTGCGTATTGGCCAATGAGACGGCAGCACGATGCCAAGACACACCTTCCTTAAGCGCTCGGCGATTTCCTTTCCATTTCCAGTCGTGCGTCTGTCTTTTCCTCTGTTAATCCGGGCCTTGACCTCCTTGATGGCCTGTCGTTGTCGCCATCCATCCTGGCCTTTGTTTCATGAAACGATGTAAGCTGTCTAAGCGCCTGATGGATATTACTGGCAAGGAGAGTGCCACGATGATTCGCCGCCAGATGAGCACACAGTTCAATCAGAGGCGAGCCTCATCTCGGAATAGATTTAGGCTCTACTATGGACGAGCCTCACACGATCGAGGCGGGTAAGCAAGAATCACAGGGAGCCGCGCAGACACATGCGTGCGATATAATATACAGCGCGTCCGGAGCGGCATCTGTGATCTGTACGGCCTCTATTATTGCATTCGTTTTCAGTTACTGTTTGTCTGCGCTGGTGCCGCCTTCGATCATCATTACCGGCCGTCTTCATTTCTGCTTGTCCCGCTAATTCGCGCCGTCAGAATCATGGAGAATCATTTTTCTACCTCACGGCCAAGTTCGGAGAAGGAGCATCGTCTTAGCAGCAGTCCTTCGAGGTCACGGTCTAGCACGTCCAAACTAGAACCACCACCGCCCACCCCTGCCTATGATGCGTCGGCTCTTCTTATCCAGCCTTCTCCTCTCATGACCTCGTCCTTGCATTCCCGCAACTCAGCGACATCGGCTCAGGAATCTGCATATCTCCGCCAGGCTGGATCTCTCTGGTGGATTCGCCTATCGTTGACGCTCTTGGCTATCGCTACGGCTATCGCTGCTGTTGGCTGCGAGGGACACGTTTTGCACAGATACAACTCGACCCGCCTCGGAGATGACTTCCACTTGCCACCGCTCTGGCCATCAAATGTGGATGTGCGACCGACACTGGCTATCTTGATCTCAGCTTGTATCATTGTGGCATCCAGCGTTGTTTATCTGGTCTGGTCGCTGATCCCTACAGTGCGGCTTATCCTCTGTCTGAGTCACCCGCGAAATGCTGACTATTAAACAGCCATATTCTCGAACTCTCTTCTACAACTTTCTCTTCCTGGGCACCTCCATTGCGAGCTTGATTCTCACCGTCTTCGCCCTGCCTTTTGCCAACCTTCTGACCGGATTCAAGTCCCACCATGCTCGAGAATCCATTCAGTCCTGGACATGCAAATTCTCCCACGGTGCCTCACAATTCATGGCCGATGCCCATTCTCTACAGATCCCGGTCTACGTACCAAATGGCATGCCTATCCCGGCCGGATTCAAACGAGTCTGTCAGGAGAGCGAGGTTGGCCAGGGCCTCGTGGCTACGTTGTTAGCTTTGGAGGTCGTCAGCTGTGCTGTTGCAGTGGTGGGATTAATTGTCGAAAGGAACATGACGAAGAAGAGGAACGACAGATACGCCGTACACGGCGAGAAGGCAACGGATATGTCTTAGCCGTGGGCTAAGGTTTGGGTCAGGGTCATCAAGAGCATTTCTACATATGCTCTGACAATACCGAGAAAGCGCCCGCGTCACAGGATATATGTGGAAAAATTCTGGTCTGGTGGTAAGAGGAATGACTGGTTGGATGGTTTTAGGCTTTAGTCCCCCAGCGGCCCATGTTGGATTTTGACTCTGGTAATACTTCGCAGCGCTGCTTGTACTGGAGTACACACCAGGGGACTCCATGGCTTTTCGCACTTGAAGAGTTGTAGTGGAGAGGAAGAAGCTTGGAAGAAGCTACTGTGTACATAGTAAATGTCATTATGGGCAACGCTGCGTCATCGGCGACGGCGCTACTTCCACACTTGCTGGTGTTAATAACCCGGCCTCTCTTTTATGAAGGCTTCAGCTCTTACGGAGGACTTGGTCTTCTCTTCCCTTGTCTTCTTCCCGCCTGCTTGCCAAGATCAAGAACCAATCCCACGATGCTCTAATGGGGTCTTCTGCGCCCAGAACGCTGGCGCTGGGCGCAACGCTGGAGAGTCCGCCTTGCTGGTGCCTTGCAGCGCCTGCCAGCAACACGAGATAGACGGGCAAAGGTGCATGAGACCTGCGCCCGATGGGGGTGCGATCCGTCGTGACAGTGCTGATTTCCTCCTCCTGCATCCCAGACTCACTTGTCCCTCTCGAGTTCCCCCACCGTTCGGATTGTTGCCGGTTGCGACACATTCGATGCTCAACGACCAACATGAACACCTCCTCGATCTCAGCTGCTCTCATCTCCGGAAAGCAGCAGACTAACCTTGCCGGACTCGCAACCTTCAACTTTGATTTTTCACTGGTCAAAGTCGAGCCGCCTCTCGAATATCGGGACTTAAGCGCTTGCCTCTCAAAATGAACGACGAAAGGTCGCAGAAAACGGCCTACAACATGTCACCGCAACGAAACTTGGCGCCATATTCCGCTCAGTCCTACCGGAGGTCCCCTATCTCGTCAAAGCCTACAGGGCTCGTGTCTCAAAGATAGCAGAAAGCCCGACCGCCAAGCCTGGCAATAGCAGAGACAACGGTGCATTTGCCGATTTCGTTGGTGCTGATGGCAATTCGATTTGGGCTGCCACGACGTCAGGACGTGATGCCATACTTACTCATCTTCTGGCTTGTATGTTGGCCTTGGGAAGTTCTTCGAATCAGGTCGTTGCACAAAAAGATTCATTACTTCCGAACGGGGGCTTGCTCACCCTTGGGGTCAAATCCGCGTCTCTAACGCTACCTAAAGGGGTATTCTGGTCGCTACCCTTGGCCTATCTGCGATATTATGGAAATTCCGTCACAGTCACTAAAACGGTCAGCGACAACCATGGCTATGGCTCGATGAAAGATCTCGCACTGATAGCCTTGGGTGACCTGTTCCGAGACCGTGCCTTCAAGGGATGAGCCTTTCTCACTGTTGCAAGATTGATCTCCATGCTTGAATCCCATTTTGTGAAATCACATGCCATCAACAGAGGAGGCTCGACAAAGCCGTGCCCGTACTGGTTGCGGTTTCTCGCCCAAGCCGCCAACGAGTTGCTGAGTGTCCGGGAAGACGCTGCCAGAACCATGCTGAAGAGGGTCTCCTTCGGCAGTCGCAAGTGCGAGCAGTTTCTGTCACGGTCAAGTGTCTCGTCATACCCACTCTCCGTTCTTTGGCAGACCGAAACTTACTTTCAACTCCTCGGGAGCGTGGAGCTCAAGATTGAGTTCCTGCGGAAGATCGCCAGCCGACTTGTTGACAAGGGCTCGGACCAACAAATGATAATTGCCTATCGATCCTCACCTGGGCATCCTGTGTCTTTGGCAACGGCATTCCCTATTGCAGCTGAAGCCGCTGCTAAAGAAGATTCCAACACGGCTACACGAGAAGAGGCACAGCGTCGTCGCTGGCTCGGCGGTCCTCTCGAACCTCTGCCATCGATGTCGGAACAGTTCTCGGTACTTGACACCAGCAAGGCTCTTGCCACTTGCCCTTCTGCGCTAGCTTGGGTGGGTGCTCCAGAGCCTTTCACCAGCAATTGCAAGCTGGGCGATGGCGAAGGCTACAAAAGGCACTTCATGTCACCCGTTAGTTGGTCACAGCACGATGGAACATACTACTCTAGTACACACAGTGGAGTCTCCAGGTCCCTGTTCCTAGAAGTTATGGAACGCTATGTACCACTCGACACCATCGAGGACGACTTTGCAATTGTCGAAGAGCTCCCCGGAATAGCCATTTTCCACCGTTGTTTGGGCGACCCTGATTCCGCAGCACTATATTCCAGTACAGCAATTGGCGTCATCAATCGTTTCATCGAGCCTGAAGATCTGGTCGACCTTCTAAAGCGCGATGAGGTAGACACTAATCAGCGCTGCTCCTTTGTTGGTACAGAGAACGTCCTGGATGCTGAATAATTGAAATCAATCCAATGTCTATCTATCGCGTCGGCGCTCTACGACCAGATGCCTGGCGCAAGAGTCAATCTGGACGTCACTCAGCACACGATACACATTTGTCGCTGGGTGCAAGATGGCCTTGGACGCGCACATGAAACGTTGACGCCGTTACTATCGAGAAAGCAGGCGTTTGCATGCATAGCCTGGTTTGAGACCGGAAGCATTGACGGTTCACCGGCCGATTTCGACCAGGCAATGGCGCTTTCCAATGGCAATTCCTTGTTCGTTGCTGCTGAATTGCTCTGCGATCCTTCTGATAATTGCGCCCAATCTCCGGTGGCTCGAGTGGACGGAAATATTGGAAAAGGAGGCTTTGCCATTCTGGTTCCACCACCAGACCCGCTCTCAAAGAACATCAGCCATGAATCTTTCGACGTTGTGAACCACGCTCCGTACGATGGCAACTTCCAGGACAGCTTCGAACACACATGATTGCACCTCTCCTTGACAGATTATTCAGTTCCACTTGCTACAGAGCATAAAAGCTTTCGGGATGTTGAAGCTTGTTTCCAAGAGGCAGTTGTTTCCGTGCTTGACCGCTCCGAGCGGATTGCTGACCTGGATGTGTTGAAGAGTCTGGTCTGAATCAAGCAGTACAGCAGCGTAGCAAAGGGGCCACAGCATGTTTTCGCAGAGTGCAGGCTGTATAACCCTTTCGACGACGTGGGCATCAATCTGACCAGTGTCGACGCCTGGGAGGAGCTTATTGACCGACCACCGGGAGCTGCGGTTGTGCGGGCTAGGGGTAACTGGGTAGGTCGGTTAGCTGCAGCCTGTCTAAGTGTCCAGAAAAACCACGAAGCCTTGGTTCTACCCAGAACGTGGTGTTGCTGGTGTACGACCGCAAAGGACACCCACTCGATGGGGAAGATGATCAAGAGGGCGGCACGCGCGAACAAGCCGATCACCTTCATCCTGTGACTGACGCTGATTCCCAGAGTCTGAGAACTCCCATTCAATCCGCTTCAGAAGCCTTTCTGTTGGCGTAGGGCGCACGAGGCGGCGCGAGGCTGCAGGACGTGGAAATCGAGATCACCCAGAGGAACCGGATACGTTCCGCGTCACGTACTGTGTATGCTGCAAGCCATCAAATTTCCCCGGCGTCGCACAGCAGGACAGGCGCGCCCAGGTTCCCTTTGCAGGTTGCACAGGATAGTACGAGGACTCGTACAGAACACAGCATCATGCCACAAGGTTGGGAGTACAAGATCTCCAGTGCAGTTGGAAATCCGACTGACCTGGCCTGGCCCGCCGTCGGGGGTCAACAAGGCCAGGGGATGGGTGACGTGGGAATCGTGGGAAGCACAAACCACCCCACCACCCGGAGGCACTGCAGAACTGTTTAAATCCAAGGTTAGATTGACGACGCCTGAGAAATGACGAGTCGAATGCTCGGAGACGATGCGTATGTCGATGTAGCAAGCAACGGTTTCGTGGTGGTCAGGAACCCTCAGCTACGGCTATGGTGCACGCTCAAGCTTGAACTTGAACCTGGCGTTGAGTATCGTACTCCGTATAATATAATATAATGTCCTTGTCCGAACTCCGGGTCCCATGACCTAGATGAGTGAGGGTCTCCTTTTCATATCTCATAGCGCCGTCGCTGATCAAATTATAGAATAATGTAACCCAGTATCGCCTAGTGGTCTTTTCGCATATCTCATAGCGCCATCGCTGGCCATTTCAACTGTAATGGAAGGGCAGTGTGACATAAGATACAGTACCATGTCGAGTTGACCAGGAAGAGGAAAAAGAAGACAAAAATCCGATAGCGGCCATCATAGGCGGTGTGCCATATTCGTGAAGGATCAGACTCTGTGTGAAATGCATTTTCAATGGTTGAGGCGGGCAGACTGCAACTCGGTGTCCGGTCCATAATCCACATCACGCGTCTTCAGCGTGTGGTGAAGAGTACCTCTGGGGGCCCGACCCTCGCATACATGGTACGGTGTATGGCGGGTGGTGGCCTCAGTACACTTACGAGTTAGGCAACCAAGCATCAGAATATGTACCTCGTACACAGTACTCGTACGAGAGTCTGACACGAGATGGATGCCGGGCTCCGGGCTGGGCGATTTCGCTGACAGTTCACGAACAACATTCAGTAAGCAATACCCAAGCTTCGGTGTTCGGTTCCTTCGCGTTTCTTAGCAGCCCCCCAGCCGTCAGAAGAGCTTAGTGATGCGTAAATCTGACTTGACGAAATCAATCTCGCCCGCGAACATGGCTCGGTCGCGTTTGACGGAACTGGGGCGGTGAGGCGCGAACCAATCGAGGTTGACGTCGCCGTGGAAGACGACCCGTCTCTGATCAGGACTGACGTCCATGCTGCCGGGGGCGGTGAGTTTGGTGCCGGACACGGTGTCTCCGGTGCGCAGCAGCGTGTGGTGCGGAGAGAGTTGTTGTTTGGCTTTCAGCGCGTCCCAGTCACAGCCTAGGACGCCAGAGTGGGTGTCGACGCCGACAACACAGCTCACGTAGTCGATGCGGTAGTTTGGGCTGGCATAGCATCGGGCGTTGTACAGCAGGTAGTAGGTGTTGTTGCGAAAGACCATGCACGGCCTTTCGACGTTGGGGCCGTCTTCCTTGAAACTCTGCATGTTGGAGAAGAGGTAGACCGGCTTGCCGATCGGGGTGGTGAGGTCCTCCGGGTCCATCAGCTGGAGGTACAGCGGCGTGGGCTGCACGGGGGCGTTCGTGTTTCCGCACGCACCTCCGTGGCCAATGGCATTGCCGTCGACCTTGTAAACGAGGTAGCTCTCATTGTTGACGGGGTCGACGAAGAGATTCGGGTCGATGTTGCCACCGCGAGCGAGCTCACACACAATGGGATCCTCGATCGGCGTATAGGGGCCTTGCACGTCGGGCGAGGTTGCAGCTCCGATGCAGTGCTTCTGCGGGTGAGCACGCCCTACGGCCGCAAAGTACATGACCCAGGATCCATCGGGCCGTTGGTTAACGTCCGGTGCCCAGCTGCCACGTGCATTAGCGTCCTGCTGTATGCAAGATAAGGAGCAATATGGGAATTCACTACGGAGTACTGCATCATAGAAGGAGGCAGCCCTCTGCATAGATAGGTAGCTGAAAACTTACACGCCTGCGTCCGGTGGCTTGCGCGCCCAGGCTGGCAACGTGGGCAGAGCGTCGTAGCCTCGATGCAGCGTCCAGCTGGAAAAGTCTGGTGACGAGGCCATCTGGACGTTGATCTCGCCTGTCTGGGTGCTGAAGGCATACCAGGTGCCATGCTGGGAACCGTTGCCGCTTGTCCTTGTGCTGGTGTCGAGTGCCAGGCCTGGATCTGGGAAGTTGGAGGAGATTGCAGGCCCGATTCCAGCGGCGGATACCAAGGATCGACCGTGTGACGATGACAGTGATTGGAGCGAAAGTAGAACCGTTAAACTGGCGCTGATAGCGCTGATGCTGGTAGGAGCAATCCGGGGACCGAAAGGATTCTGCATCATCTCACTCCTGTCGCAGAAGGCGGAACGAGGTACTCCTCACAGAGTAATGATCACTGAGCAATAATAGCCAGACTATGGGCGGAGCTGAGTCGCGATCGATCACGCACGTGGCAAGGCAGGAGGAAAGGTGATCACACCAGAGGATCGCCTGTGACGCCGGGTCGATTACATTCCGCGAGGGCTCGAATCCTGCGAATTGATCTCGAGCCTCGAGGAAGGAGTTTATGAGTTTTCCGAGATCTCCCAAGACGCGGGGATGAGAGCTTGGGAAGCATTTTCAGCGTCCGGGGCGTTCGTCGATGCGAGCATTAGGTTCCTTGAGGGTGGTTCAGAGATGCCCAGCAAGGCATCGGTTGTGAAGAGAGTCTATTCTTGCCGAGTACTCATACACAATACTTTTCTCTGATGCGAATGTAATCGTCGCAGCGCCAGTGGTGCCAGGTTCATTTCAGCTGATGCAGCTCACGTGACGACTCACCTGCCTCTCACTTGCCGCTCACCCGCCTCTCACCTGCCACTTACCCACTATTCACCCACCACTCACCCACAGTTCCTCGTACGAGGTACTCGTACGAGCTACTCTGGACTTCGCAACTGTGATAACTTTAACGCTCGCATCGGAAGCAGCAAGTGGCTACAGTCAGCATCAGCAGTACGAGTACCCAATTCGTACGAGGTCAGGGACCCCCTTCGCCTCCCTGTGTCACTAGCACCAGGAGGGAATGGCCTCGACCGTAAGCATCCTGCTGCGTGCGGCCAACCGAGGCCTTCTTCCCTCTCGGCTCGTTCTCTGTCGCTCTTCCACACCCACTCGACGCGGCTCGTCTGCATCCGGTTCCCTGTTTTTGTCTCCGAGCCTCTGCTCCAACCGGATGGGCTTATTTTTAGGACTTTCGCCTGCGAATGTCACGACCCGTGACTCACCGCACCCACAGCTCGGAACAAGCACGGCTGTGCCTGCAGCTTCTCGACTGTCCCAGAATTCAGGGGCGCAACAAAAGTCTCCTGCCACTCCTCGCCGAGCCTCCGCATTGATATGGGCAGCGTATTGATCGCGATCCGCGCGTGGCAAGCCTAAAATGATTTCTAAGGACGAGCGTACTGGGTACAATGACGATCACTCTAATGATCCAGTCAACCATTCACCCAATGCTTGTCTCGCTCAAGATTTGGATGACGCTCGGCTGGCTGGCGGGCTGGCAGATTGAGTGGCCTGTTGGGTGCTTGTTTTGGGACAAGCACAAAGCATCCAGGCTAACAGGCCACCGGGCGTTGCGAGGCTTCGCTGGAGCCGGCGATAAATAGGCTGGAAGGAGCAATGGGGCGCACCTCAGCTGAGCGAGAAAAGCTTCTAGCCCCCGATGCTTGACGCCGCTAAGAGACCTTGTGGCGTGTTTGGCGCGGTTTCTTGTGGGTGTCAAGCTTCGCCAAGTGGGCCCGGTCGCGTAACAGGGCACAAACCACATCCCAAGGCTGGTGACACTAGGGTTGTTGTGTTTGTGGTCGCTGGGTTCATCCACCGACGATGGATCACACTGTCATCTCTGATTGAATTGCGAAACGGAGTGCTGCCCCCCCTTTCACACGCATAAGCTGGGCCGGATCCCTGTTTCCAAAGGACGACAAGCTGCCGTCTGTTGGGGCTTCCTGGTGCGCAATCTCAGCCAAACGAGATCGCCAGACGGTCTCATTCACTGAATGTGCTGGTCTTACACGTTTTCTGCAGAGAGCTTGTCCGTGGCGGCCGTTCACCAATTGTCCGTTCGTGTATGCATGCAGTTTAACGGCGCCAAAGGGGCCTCCGCGCTGACATCTTACTCGAGCACTGAGGCTGTCACTGCGTCCTACACTATTGATAAATGGGGAGAGGCTGGTCCGGCTCCAGAAGGCTCCATCTGAGTGGGTAGCATGGATCCCACTATCGTGAATGTGGTAAGCGGCCATGGCGAAGGAGGCTCTGGCGACCCAAAACACCAAACCTTGTCGCCGCCGCATGTTTGCCAGGATGGCTGGCAGGCCCCAGTCCTTCCAATCTGCAGCCACTTCGGGGAAAATAGCTTTGCTGGGCGCTGGGCGCTGGTCGCTGGAGGATGGATGCTTGTGATGCTTGTCTTGCTGGACATGGCTTGGTTCATAAGACGTCCTATTCCTCCCCTGCTGCCTCACTCCTTCTTGCTTGCCTCTTTCACAAACGATAGTTACCTCAGTCTCTCTTTCTTTGCTCGCTAGCATACTAATAATGGCGTTCACACGCCTTTTCAAGGCACTTGCTGCCATCACACTCGCTTCATCCATTCAATCAGTTGCAGCTGGCAGCTCAGACTCTGTCTGCTCGCAAGCCTCAGAATGCGTTCCTTTCGTTGTCGATCTTACCTGGGCCCCGACGGACCCGAGCAAAGGCATCTCTAGAAACGCCATCTTGACCAACGGCTCGCTGCCGGGTCCCCCTCTGAAGTTGAAGGTCGGCGACTGTGTCGACTTCACCGTCAACAACAACCTTCCCAATGTCACCGGCATCCACTTCCACGGTATCCGACAGAACGGCACCCCGTGGTCCGATGGTGTCCCGGGTATCAGTCAATATGTCATCCAACCAGGCACATCCTATCAGTACCAGTGGGCGGCAGTTGAGTCGGGGACGTACTTCTACCACGCCCACTACAAGGGACAGATGATGGACGGTCTCTATGGTGCCATCCTCATTGCCCCCGCCGACGATGCCGAGACTCCTTTCAGCCAGATCGACTCCTCGGCTGTTGATGCGCTGACCGCCGCATACGAGGCTGTTGAGCCGGTCTTTGTCACCGACTGGAACCGATACACCTTTGACGAGTTCTTCGCTGTGGAACAAGCCGCCAACATTGATTGGGCCTGCAGTGACTCCATCACGTTGAACGGCTTCGGTTCCCAGTACTGCCCCACCGCCGACTTCCTCGCCGCTTCTGCCGCTCCTCAAGAGTCCCTGATCCTGAACGGCACGAGCCTGACTGCCAAGGGTTGCGCTCCTCCCAACAACCCGGTCATCCAGGGTGGTCAGTACATTGCCCAGCAAAACCTTGCGGCTCTGCCCGATGATGCATACAACACCTGTATCGGATATGGCGGCGCCAACTATACCACTGTGGTTGACCCTTCCAACGGCTGGGCTGCCTTCAGCTACATCAGCTCTGCCGGCATTGCCATTGTCAAGGTCTCCATCGACAACCACAAGCTGTACATCTACGAGGTCAACGGCAACTACATCGTCCCCCAGGTCGTCGACCAGTTCAGCTTGAGCAACGGTGATCGTGTTTCCTTTTTCGTCAAGCTTGACCAGACACCTGGCGACTACACCATCCGCGTTGCGAACGAGGGTATCAACCAGGTCATTTCTGGCTTCGGTGTCCTGTCGTACAAGGGTGGAAGCAACGCGCCTTTGGGAATTGCCACCCAGAACTACGGTAGCCAGAACACCACGACCGTCGTGCCCTTCAACCCTGGCCTCGCCGCGCCATACCCTCCCAGCTCGCCCGCCGCATCGGCGGACCGAACTTTTGTCCTGGACATCCAGAAGTCACCCGTCGAACCGACCGAGGCCTGGGCTTGGACTCTCTCCGGAACCGACTCGTACGACCAGAGCAACGACGACACCAACCCTCCTCTGCTGTGGCAGGACATTTCTCAGATCCCCGCCAGCGACCTCATCCTGGAGACCTACAGCAATGAGTGGGTCGACCTGATCATCAAGGTTGCCGGCCCCGTGGCCGAGCCGCATCCCATCCACAAGCACGCCAACAAGTTCTACATGATCGGCGCCGGCGTCGGCGACTTCAACTTCACCAACACCGCCGATGCCATCGCTGCCGGCTACCCCATCAACACGCAGACCCCGCCCTACGTGGACGGCTTCACCAGCATGCCCGCTGAAGGCAATGGCACGTGGATGATCTTCCGGTACCAGGTCAACACCCCCGGCGCGTGGCTCCTGCACTGCCACGTCCAGACCCACTTCTCCGGCGGTATGGCCGTCGCCATCCTCGACGGAGTCGACAACTTCCCCAAGCCACCCTCGGACGTCGGCAAGGTCTGCCCTAGCAACGGCGTGAGCAACTACCCCGGCCTCGAGGGCACGTCCAGCCACTCCAGCGGCGGCACATCGACACAGAACGAGGGTGTCTCCACCACGAGCACCACCGGCATCGCCTCCTTCACGGGCGCGGCTTCGTCGGTGCGTGTGTCATTCGCGGGTGCGTCGCTCGGCCTGCTCGCCTTGGTGTTTGCCATGTAAATGCTTTGCTTGGTTTTGGCGAAAAGCGCGACGCCAGGGTCTCCGTTCTCGCACCGTTGTAATGATTTTCCTTGGTTTGGTTTCCCATGTGTGTGGACACAGCATTGGTCGTTCCACCTGGCATAGCATATAGTGCGCAATACAAAGCCTGTTGTTGATTTCATATACTAGTTCTTGTCTGTTTATTTGTACAGATGTGCAATAAGGAATAGCAATTGCAATGAAAAGGTGAAAGTTCGCAGCCAAGCACAATAAGGAGTACTCCATGGGGAAGATGTCATGAGTTGAGCAGAGCATAAGCTAGAGAGCATACCATGTACTCCGTATGTACACATTATACTGCGTATAAATGAAGGAGCTTTCACGTTGAACGTGCAGATACTCCGTACAGTCAGTATACTTTTGCATACTGTAGATTACTTCTACTTCGACAGCGCAGGCAGGAACCGTGAAGATGTACTCCGTACGGAGGAGGAACATAGGATTCGATCCCGAGCTGCCATGCCCGATACATTACGGAGTAAATGGGTTCACAGCGAAGAGACCATCTGCCAAAGGAAGACCCTAATTACAGTACCAGTGAGTGCTTGCCTCTTGGTTACGTTACCCTAATCACACGGAAGCAAGAACAAGAAAGCGACTGTCTTCGCGACCGAGTGTACGGAGTACAGGGTATGGAGTACACAATGTACAGCACGACCAGTCATTCCCTCTCCGTGCGAGCTATGTACGATCATTCGCTCCCTTTGCAATTTACGTAGTGTGTACTCCGTACTCCATAGCCTGCTTGAACCGCTTCGAACCAATTCGTCAAGGGGGCTTTACGCAGCGCGAGTCGTCCGCAGACCTGGTGGTCATCTGTCGAGTGGTCAGTGGCATACGAATCCTCGGTACTTGCGATGCATCAGGAGCGTAGGCTATCACGCCGCGAAAGCGCGACGGAAATTGGCGTCATCCATTTATGAGTACGACTCGACACTCGTTCCGATTATTGACTTGTTTCTACGGAGTGTCGATAGTGAGAACTCCGTGCTCATGAAGGACTGTCTACGTACTCCGTACTGTACCTCGTATGGAGCAATCACACTCCTGTCGAGCGAGGGAGAGGCACCCAAGAGGGTCGTGTCAATATGGCTTGCGTCATGCCCTATCTCGCTTCGGTGCCCCCGGCTCCAGTTGAGAAATGATAGCACGGAGTACTCGCGTGATGTACACTACCCCATGCAACACCAATCTCGTCTGTGGCCGCTAGTAAAAGGACGTCGTCATCTCTGTCGCAAATCTGGGGTTATGGATCGTGTTGTTTCACCCCAACCCACACTGGGAAATTTCTTAACGTCTGAGCGCGCAATCTCCAGTGCTGGGGCGAGTTGGACGCTACTCAGTCGGCGTCTCGGTAGACTTGCGCTGGAGTTGGGACGGCTTCTGTGGTGTCTGTTGGTGGGTCGGAGGCTATCTTCTCCCCAGTACGGAGTACTGAGTACGGCTGATCTCAACCATGTAAGCACCTCATCCTACTGTATGCGTCCCGTGCTATCCGTCTACATCGCAGGCAAGGGGAGGAAACCTCCTGACTGGGAGCAGCAAAGCTTCTACCGCACAACCTGCCGTGTGTTACTGTATGTGCACAGTGCCGTGTACGGGGGACGAGGTCTTCCGTATTGTCCCAGCGTACTGTTTACATTCTGCAGCATGACAACGTGATAGGCGACGCGCGGCTCCTGGAGGACCTCGTCCTCGCCAACCACATCCTCCACCACAACCACGTCGTGGACGCGCACGCGTTCGGGCACGTCTCCATCCGCCACCCGACCGACCCGTCGCGGTTCATCATGTCGGCGAACATGGCTCGCGCGCTTGTGCGCTCCGCGGCCGACTTGGCCGAATACAACGTCGGCGACGCGCCCAACCTGCCCATCGTGACGGGCCCCAAAGGGGCCTCGTGGAACGGTACATCCATTCGGAGCTGTACAAGCGGTACGCGGGTGTCGTGTCGTGTGCGTGATCCACGCCCACGCCGACGACATGCTGCCCTACACGGTGAGTGGCGTGCCGTTGCGGGCCATGGCGCACATGGCAGGGTTCATGGGCTTCCCAGCCCGCGCACGTGTTCGACGTGGAGCGGTGTTATCCGCGTCGTGGTGGTGGTGGTGGTGGTGGTGGTGGTAGTGACGCGCACGAGCACGAGCATGGCGACGCACACGACCTACTGATCAAGACCGTGAGGTTGGGGGCCGCTTTCGCCGGCCATTTCTCGTGGGGCAGGTCACCACGCCGACCTGCCGGAGCAGGCGGTCGTTCTGATGCGCCGTCATGGGTTTACGACGTGGGGGACGAGCTTGAAGGGGGCGATCTACCGAGCCGTGTATGCGACCAAGAACGCCAAGTTGCAGACGGCGGCGACGTTGCTGAGGGGTGCATTTGACGCGGACCCGAAGAATGCAAGGGGGGACTTGAAGGATGGAGGGCCGACGGGGCCCATCCATGCGTCTGAGCCGCTGACGCAGGATCAGGCTCGGGATGCGAACATCATGAACTCGAGGGCCGGAGAGCGGGTATGGGTTGTTTGGGTCCAGGAGGTCAAGTGTCAGGCTTTGTACACAAGCAGCGTATATCAAGGGTAGAATTCGACGGTGACAAGGGAGGGGTGGGTGACTGACCGACCCCCAATATGCTGTTCGCTATGTCTCGCAGTCAGTTCTGCTGTGGCCATAAAATATCCAGAGACAGCATCCACCAGTTTTTGACCAAGTCTTGTGTTGCACGTCCAGACTCTGCGATATACATATACGGGGCGCAGCCTCGTGTAAAACCCCCCTCCCCCCTCCTCTCCTGCCGCTCTCACTGTGGCCTTACAAGAACCCCGCACATGTCGGAATGTGGCCGGATCGTTAGAACATCCCTTCCGGCTCGTTCTGACTGGACATCCTGCAGCTATTCGCACTCTCTGACCAAGATGATGGTGGCCTCACGGAGCTGATGAAGGACGTCCCAGCGTCATATCCGAGGTCGCAGCATATGTAAACAGCAAATACTGCATTCGTCGGTGAGAGCAGTCAGATTGCTACCTACAGTAGCCGGGATTGAACCAAAGCCCAACTTTCTGGCCAGAAGCGTCGGAAGATCGCGTCTCGGTGTAGTACCTCAGCTCTGTCGCCAACATGTCCTTTCCTACTGTCGAGGAATCTCTGCCGAAGAACTGGAGGTTGTTCTTCGGCGGTAAATGGCAAGAGCCCCAAGACGGAGAGTACCTGGAGATCTACAGCCCTGGAGACGGGAAAGTCATCAAGAAAGTCGCCTTTGCCGGGGCCAAGGATACTGCTGCTGCCGTCGAAGCGGCACAGGCAGCCTTTCCGGCATGGCGGGCAGTTCCCTCGCTGGAACGGGGGAAGAAACTCAAGAAGGTGGCCGACATTCTCCGTCAGCACGCCGATGAACTGGCCCTACTTGATGCCTACAACACGGGTAATCCGGTTTCGATGATGAAGGCCGATGCCTTCTTTGCTGCCGACCATGTCGATATGTTTGCTGGTCTCATTCCCGCCGTGCAAGGAGAGACGACACATCTTGACGATACCACATTCAATTACACCTTGCGCGAACCATTGGGCGTGGTTGCCAGGATTGTGGCATCGAATCATCCACTGATGTTCACCGCCAACCGACTTGCGGCGCCCATTGCGATGGGCAACACGGTCGTGATCAAGCTGCCGGAGCAGGCGCCGCTTTCGGGGTTGCGGTTTGCTGAACTTCTCGATGGGATCTTCCCACCCGGCGTCCTCAACATCTTGTCTGGCGGGGTGGATTGCGGGAAAGTCCTTTCTACGCATCCGCTTGTCAGAAAAGTGACTCTCATAGGAAGTGTACCGACAGGAAAAGCAATCCAGAAGGCGGCCGCCGACACCTTGAAACTCACTTCGTATGAACTCGGCGGCAAGAACGCCCTGATTGCATATCCGGATGCAGATCTTGACCGCCTGACCAACAGTGTAGTTGCAGGTATGAATTTCGGTTGGTGTGGTCAGTCTTGCGGATCGACTTCGCGGGTCTTCGTGCACGAAGCTCTCCACGATGAGGTCCTCGACCGGGTCCGCGACAAGATCGCCACCTCCTTCAAGCCAGGTAATCCGATTGACCCGAAAACGACGATGGGCGCCCTCGTGAGCAAGGCAGCACAAGACCGCGTGCTGAGGTATGTCGAAGTTGGCAAGAAGGATGGTGCGCGACTTGTGCTCGGCGGCAAAGTCCCTGAGGGTGCAGACACCAAGGGCGGCTATTTCGTGGAACCGACTATCTTTTCCGGCGTGACTCAAAAGATGCGCATTGCCAATGAAGAAGTGTTCGGTCCGATCTTGTCGATACTCAAATGGACCGACGAGGAGCAACTCTTCAAGGACGTCAATGCGGTCGAGTATGGTTTGACAGGGGCGGTGTTCACTTCAAGCATCAAGACAATGCAGACTGCGGTGCGCCGAATCGAGGCGGGCACAGTCTGGGTGAACACGGTCGGCACACACTTTTTCGGTATGCCTTTCGGAGGCTACAAGCAATCGGGGATTGGAAGGGATGACTGCTTCGAAGAGCTGCGGGACATGACACAATGCAAAGCCGTGCATGTCAAGTTATAGGGAGCGCAGGGAAGCTCATATGGGTTACGCCACAAATTTACCTTGTGGCAGCTCTGGCAAGGAGGAACGAATTTCTCTGGAGCTCACCGAGTAGATAATGGCATACTTCTCTTCGGCATCTTTTGGACCTGGCTTTCCAAGATCTCATGGCGGAAGAGCGCCCATTGACAACAAAGCCACGGATCCATATTCGTGGCTGAAGCATCGTCACATATGATTTTGTAGTCCTGCTATTCTTTCAACATTACTTTGGCTGAAAAGACAAGTGCTGAAGAGTCGTCCCAGTGTCAAGCCCAGCGCCCCAAAAGCGGCATAATTCCCTGTTTGGAAGAGGCTAGCGGGACAGAAGAGCGTTATTCTGGCGAGCCGGTCGTGACTGCGGGAAAGCAACATGCGACCGCTATGAGGCAGCTCTCGTCACAAAGAGCTTCACTAGAAAGCCTCGACCTGGAGGATAACTGCAAACTCGACAGTGCACGTCAAATGACGGTGTGGTAGGGTTTGACAAGCCTTGAGGCGGTGGCAATGGCTCGGCGTGGTACGCCGGAAGGGAATGTCGTTCCATGAGGATACTCCTTCTGATCTACCGAGAGAGCTGCACGATAGAAATGGAGGACAGCCCGCTGGAGATGAAGGCGGAAGCGCCTGCCGCTGATGACCAGAGTGAGAACACCCCAACGTGCTCGGAAGGATGAATTGCTAATTTTGTAGGCGAAGCCTTCAGAGCTCGCATGGCGCAGTTCACATACTCCCCGTTGAAGGAAGCAGAAGGTCTGCGGCGCTCGGCCAGACTCTCCAGCCCACGGTCGGCGATTCTGTCAACGACCTCCAGCGCTTCCCCGTCCCCGAGAAAACGACTTCGGCTTCATGAAGCAAGTGACAGCGACGGCATCAAAGTAGAGGAAGAGCCGGGATCTATCTTGGCGCAGGATGATAGCACATCTACGATGCCAAAGTTGAAAAAGAGAAGAAGCACAACGAAGCAGCGGTCGGCTCAAGATCCACACTATCCACCCAACAACTTGGTCGACAGCTTGCGGCCCGGTCTGACGCTCGTGTGCATCGGCCTCAACCCGGGGCTCATGACGGCAGCAACCGGTCACGCATACGCCCATCCTTCCAATCGGTTCTGGCAGTTGCTACACGACTCGGGCGTCACCCCAAAGAAGCACATTCCTGCCGAGACTAGAGATTTGATGGATTTGTACAGTATCGGGAACACCAATATCTGTGCTCGGCCGACACGGAGTGGAGATGGTCTGAGCAAGGAGGAAATGGCGGAGGGTGCTGTCCTATTGGACAAGAAGATTGCGCTTTATAAACCAGAGGCGGTGGTTATCGTTGGGAAGAGTATCTGGGAGACTATCTGGATGGTCAAGAAGGGTCTGAAGCGCTCCAAGGACCCGGACTTCCGTTGGGGATGGCAGGACGAGGACATGCAGCTGGGAAGAACCTGGAAAGACGGAGAATTGACGTGGCCTGGAGCAAAAACCTATGTGGCCACATCTACCAGTGGCCTGGCCGCTACGTTGAGACCAGCAGAAAAGCTCGCCATATGGAAGCCCTTGGGTGACTGGATGACAGCCAAGCGGCAAGAAGCAAACGCGCCAAAATCTGAGTGAAGAATAGCTCAGCCTTGTGGCGATGCCAAGCCCCTGTAAAGCCTCGCTGCTGCGAGTGGCAGCAAGGGACCTTTCGCACCCCAACATAACCAGGCCAGGTCAACTCTGAGATCTGACTGGATACAGACAGCTGTCGTAGGTGGGAATTCGTATGCCCAAACATAAGCATCGCCAAGACGCACCGGTGTGAAGTTGCAACAGCGATTGGTTCTCACCTGCAGATGAAACATTGGCAGACTTCATCTGTCCCTCACCCTGGCTTCACCTCAGCGTCACCTTCCACGTAACCTCAACCTCGTCAACCTCGTTAAGCCTGCTTGCGGTTACAAAACCATCTCTGTCAATCTAGAAGGTAGCTATTTAAAGCTTCAAGCGTCGTCCTTATAAGTAGAATTTGGCTGACACTTGTGAGAGAGGCTTGAGATCGGCTTATTCCAGCTGTCGACAACCCCGCCATAAACACACCCGACACTGAAGGCTACGCGGAGAACACCATCTCAAATCAAAAGCCGCCATGGCTCTATCTTCCACTCACCTGGTCTTTCTCTGTGCCATTGGCATCATTCTCCTGGCGAGACCAGCTCATGCCTTTGGCGCAGGCAATATCGGATCCACCTCCAAGATCGAGGGGCAGAATTGGCGACATGGTGACCTTGAAGACACCCTACTGACCATCATTGCTTCTCGCGCCATGGGCGGCAAGGAATTCAGTAAACTTGACGTCAAGAGAGTAAGTCATCTCCCTTTACTGCCGTTGACCCAGCTCTGATCTGACATTCCAAAAGGTCTATTTCGGTAACTGGCTGCGGGATTACAGCCAGGCTGTGGATGTTGGCACCGTCAAGTATGTCAGCGCAGAGGCCATTCGAATCTTGCTCTGGGTCCTTGGGTTCATGTCTTTTGGATACGGCTCTGGCGAATTCGAAGTCACCACACAGAGACTCGGTTGCTACAGACCAGAGGAGCACATTGAGTGAGTCGCGTCTTTTCTCGTCTGGCCCATGCTAATCGTAACAAGCAATCCCAAGGACTATGCAGACAATCAAGACGCTAGACAATATGACCGTCGCCTCCGCGGCCCGGTGGATGAACGCCGAGAACTGTCCATAAACCCCAACACCGGCCTCAAGAACTACATTGCGTCCGAAGGTATGGGCATTGACACGTCGGCCGGGCTTGTGCGGAAGCTCCTCGGCCGGAGCATTGAACTCGGACGGCAGTATGCTCGGAACAAGAACAAGAAGGACCTCTACGAAGCGCTTCGCTTGCTAGGCACTGCCAGCCATTGCTTGGAAGATTACGCTGCACACTCCAACTACGTCGAACTCGCTCTCATCGAATTGGGTGAACGCGACGTATTCCCCCATGTAGGCCGCCGTACTGCAATCCAGCTCCGCGAGGTCCGACATCCTGTCTTCCCCATCGTTACAGGCACGTTCGGCGGTGTTGATTTCCTGCACTCGGTCTGTGGCGAGTTCGACGACAAGGCAACGCAATCCGAAATCGAAGAACTTGACAACACCCTGCAGCAATATCAGAATGGGAACCAAGACAACAGTATCCTCCAAGACCTCCTCGATAAGGTTCCCTCGGGGGTCTTTGGCGGCAAAGATGAATCAGGAAAAGCCAACGAGCTGAAGCAGAATGCTTTGAATCATCAAATGCAAAACACCAACATCAGCCCTCGTCAACCAGAGGAGTGGACTCGGTACATTAACGATGTGCAGAAGCAGATCTACCCCATTATCGAGTGGCACGATGAGATCATGCAGTCCATCACTGAAACCATCGAGAAGATCCCCATCCTGCCTGACCTTATTGAAAACATCCAGGAGGAAGTCAACAAATTTGTCTTCTCCCTTCTCGCGCCATATGTTGTCCCGATCATCAACCAGGTCAAAAACGAGCTCAACACTGGCTCGAATGAGATCATCCAGTCCAGCGTGGCTCAACAACATATTGTGTTCAACGATGACCACTCCTCTGATCCCACTCATTCTATGTTGTCAAAGGATCATTTCTCGAATGTGCTCAACGAGCCCGCAGGGAAAGTGGCGCGACAGACGGTGAAATGGGTTGTTCCACAGATCGTTGCATGTTGGGACGACGAGTCTATCGATGTCGAACGCACGCTCAATCGCGTCATTCATGGTGTGCTACATCACCCCGCCCTGCGTGATTACGGCCAGGACGGTGCCAGTGATGGTCGCCGTTTGATGTTCGGCGTGGTCGAAGAATGGTGGCGCAGAAAATCCGAGCGCGAAAAGGACGGTCTTCGCGAACAGCTCAGCCGTCGTGGAGTCGAGACCGGGAGAAACCACAAGCCAGGGGTTAAGGACCATGGTCATGGCAGCAACCGTCCCCTTGGCATGGCAAAGCTGAACTACAACACGAACCAGTCGTCAATTGGCGGTGGCATTGCAGGCGACGCGCTCGGCGCCATCGGTTCGGCGCTAGGAGGCAACAACCAGAGCAATCAGCGACCACCCAATGTCCAGAGAATCAGCGACCAAGCTGGCAGAATGGCGGGTGAAGCATTGGGCGGTGGTGTCCTGGGCTCTCTCGTGGGCGGCATCGCTAGTCAAGTCGGCGGCGATATCCTTGGCGGCGGTCTCAATCAAGGCCAGGAGACCTTTAAGCGAGAGTCATACAACCGCCAAGATCATTCCCGTACCGAGACTGTCACGCAAGTTGGACACTCCCAAGGTGGCGATAGATATGGTCAAGCGCAGTACTCACGGACCTATGGTGACAGCGGAGAGCGCCGGCACGAAGGATACAATCGATTGGAACAGCGCGAGACATCAAGTGGTGGTTGGCAGAGCGAGGTGCATCGTCAGGAGAGAAGTGGAGAGGGACGATATCATGAAGAGACAAGGTACGCATCTCCTCCACCCGGACCAGCTAATCTAACGGAGGTCTTTAGACGCTATGGCGATGATGACGATGAAAGCTCGCAGCGACACCGTCAGGAACACCACCAAGGGCGCCGTCATGATGATGATGATGACGACGACGACGACAACAACCACCGCCGCCACAACCGTGACGAGGAGTCCCACTCCTCCGGCGGCTACGGCGGCAGTGGTAGACGCCAGCAGACGGAAAGCTCCAGGTACGGCGGAGCCTCAGAGGGCTATGGTCACCAGGAACGCCGCGAGCAGTACGGACGACGCGACGACGATGACAACAACCGATTTAGTGGTGGAGACCGACGACGAAATGACAACGACAATGAGTATAGCTCTGGCTACGGACGTCAACAGGAAGGCGGCTTCGGCTCCGGAGGCTACGGTAGCCGTCGCGAAGAACCACAGTCCGGCTTCGGGTTCAGTGGCGGTCGTCGAGAGGAAACAGATTATGGCTCGGGTGGCTATGGCGGCGGTTCAGGTTATGGTCGTCGGGAGGAAACAAGCTACGGATCCCGTCAAGAAGAGGCCTACAGTGTCCCTGGCGCTTTCGGCAGTTCCCAGCAAGACGAGTATTCTTCAGGGGGTGGTCGAGATGATTATGGCCGAAGCCAGCAGCGCTATGGTGGAGGAGACGCGTATGGATCTCGTGGCGAGGAGAACGAGGGGTATGGTGGCGGCAGACGCCGACATGGTGAGGGTGAAGGCGAAGGTGAAGGTGAGGGATATGGCAGCCGTTATGGAAGCTCTCGATACTAAATGAGAGGGCCTTCGCGGTTGCAATGACGGAGTCAAGGAACCAGTCGCTGCACGACTATCCCAGCCAAGGACACAGTGCCACGAAAGGCAGTTTCTGTGCATGTACTGCGAGTGATTAGACAGATAGACATCAGCTGTAAACAGCATCCTACTGGTTGTGGACCGGCTCAGAATCCCGCACTTTCCTGTCGCACAGAACGTTGAGGCAACGTGTACTTTGGGCGGCGAGATGTTCATAAGTAAACTTGATTCTAGGTTTGTCGGACACGGACTCTTTGACCCTGGCTTCAATTCGCGGTGACAAGAAACTACGGCTTTGGGATGCAGATTTTCACGTCGGGAGAACTCGTACTGATTGACTGCGTTAGGCCTGTCGAAACTGATTATTTCCGCAAGACAGGAGTGACAGAGCGAGCCAGCGAGTCCCGCGCCACTGGCATGAGTGGCCGCACTACTGTTCTCGCGATCGGATCAACGACCAAGAGATATTGTCCTGGCGAGGTGATGGCCATGTGCAGTTCGGTACTTTGGGGTCCTTTCGTACCAAGTCCCGCCTTTTCGAGACGCCAACGCTGACGAGATGTGCTCAAGGGCGATCGACGGCAAGCACCAGTGGCTGGTTCCATTCTGTGGCTAGAGCCCCCATGCTTGCAGGGAAGCAAAGATGCTGCGCACGCAGAGTTATGTAAGTGAACGGGTGGCGTCAGAAACTGGTGCTTGAGCAGCCGGATGATCACTGATCGTGGTGATTGGACTCGCTTCCATTGTACTGGGTACGCAAGGCAGTCGCTAGTAGCAAGCACGGCTAGATGATCGCTGCTCCCCGGATTCGACTGTCTGCTGGCCATGTGCGGTGAACAGCGTGCGGTCGGCACCTCGCTACATCATCCTGCTCGTGCTTTTGCGCGCTCAACTCGGCATCCTTGGGCATCTGCGTACATGGAGCTGGACCAGCTGCCTTCAAAAGGCATCACACATGCCCCGTGGGCGGACAGCTAGCCATGTCCCTTTACACAATCTGACCTCCCTCCACCGAGACCGAAACAACGGCGCTCATCCATTAGACCAACCCAGCACCGCCTGCTCGTGGACGCCCACCAACAGGCCACCCTCCTACCCTGACCCGAAGGATGTCAATGCATGCCTCCGGAACCCAAGGCACTGTTGGAGCGCGGCCCAGCTTAGCTCCGGCGCAGCCTGAGACGCATGGGATTCCAATCGACGTCTTCCAGCACTACTCCGAGGAGTGCGAAAAGGTGGGACACAGTAAGGCGCTGCAATCAGCCGGAGAAGTCTTCAGAACAGCCTACAGTACAAATACATATGAGGGCAAACCGTGGGGAGCCGTCGCAGCCAGTCTCTCCGACTGTCTGTTCGACGTTTTCAAGCCTATCATCATCCACGAGTACACGCAGGGTCTTTCTCACAGGGCAATCGTAAAGAACCTAAAGGAGCAGGTCTTCTTTCCCTTTGCGTACGTTCTACCCCTGTCGCACCATCACACGCCGGCTGGCTGACCAAGAGCAGGCCGAGTGCGACATTGGACAAGATTAAGGAATGGGCAAAGGACCCTGTCAATGGCTTTGAGTATCGGTCCAAAAAGAATCCCGGCAAAACCCAACGGACAAAGCCGAAATCGACCCATGTCGTGCCTCCGACACCCGACACTGAGTATGGGAGAAATCCACATGATGCCTGGTCATATCATGCTGGATCAAGCGAGCTGGCCACACAGGAGATTGGTGTGGCAGCCGATCCAAATGTCCTTCTCGGCCTCTCCGATGGGGAACCTGATACATGGCTCAATGTCAACAATCCCTCCTTTTCCATGCACGACTTCATGCATAGCATTGACCCGGCAAGCGATCCTTTCGACGCCCAGCCCTCGCAGATACCCCATCCTGCGATGGACACAGGAGCTATGGGATCGTTCAACGAAACATTCCATTCTCAGTCGACAGCCAATTTCGGGGTGGGTGACTTTCCACTGACAGACCACGGTGATGGCAGAGCGGTTCACCCCCCAGCAACCCAGTTCTCGTCTCAGCGGCAACAGACTACAACTGCTTCTCCGCCCATGCAACAGGGCGAGACATTGGTGCAATCCTTGCAATTGGAAAATGCCCGGCTCGCAGCAGAGGGTGAGAACAACAAGAGGAAGATAGAAGCATTCAAAGCAGAGGCTGAGAACAACCAAAGGAAGATAGAAGCATTCAAAGCAGAGGCTGAGAACAACCAAAGGAAGATAGAAGCATTCGAAGCAGAGGTTGAGACCAAGAACAGGAAGATAGAAGCGTTGGAGTCTCGAAACAACGACCTCGGGCGCGAGAACGAAGACCTCAAGGTCGAGCGTCTCATGGCTGCGGTTCCAAGCTCGGAATCTCGACACGGCCACCCCGGGCGCCAAAGTGAAAGCTTCAAGGTCCCCCGTCTCATGAGCGCGGACGAAAGCGCAGAAGTCGAAAACGCGACAGCGCCAACGACCCCTACGCCCAAGGTCCCCCGCAACAACAAGAGAAAAGCACCCGGCCTGCCCAGGAGCAGCACTACCCACTCGCAGCCCGACCGCATCGCACCCCGTCAAAGTAGTTACCGTGGCGCATCGTCCAGCCAGGCCTCGTTTGCCTCGTGGCAGAACTTTTCTTCTCCAGCTCAATATACATCTGCCGTGGGAGACCAGAGCAGCATGGCTACATCGCCGTACAACAACCACGCAATGTCCTCCCAGGCTGACACACCTTTCTCGCCATTCTCAGACATTGTCCGGCCCCGACGTGACAGCGCATCTTCCACTGCATCTCGCTCAGATGGCGAAGTTGCACGAACACTGCGGCGCCGCCAGGACCATGTCGATACCTGTCTGGACATTCAAGCAGTGGAGAAATGGCGAGATGGCTCGCTGTCCCGCCGGCTGATCCGACAGAGCAGCGCAGACGACGAAAGAGATCTTGCAAAGTCCTTTGGAGGGTTGGGCTTGTGACGAGACCAGGTTTGAGTCGGCATCATGGTGAGCTGGTGGCGGCTTTCCAGTTTTATAGTTTGGCTGGATCGGGGCGTTTGTTCGGACGCGTCACGGTGAAAGATGACCCTATGCTGTTCCGAGATGAGATACGACATGACATGTTCATCGTATCAGTTATTGTCGCGAGACGTTGATTGACTAGATGCTATGACTAGAGAAACAGCGTGGTGATTTGGCGTTTTGGGATTTGGGATTTTGTCGTTTCCTTCCAGGTTGTACAAGGTCCATGGCATATTTGTTCTTTACGATACCCTGAAACAACTTGATACCTAGTATATGTGTATATGCGTATATGTGTATATATATATGTGTGTTAATAGACATCGTGTCTTTGCCACATACATACCCGTGTCAAGTGTCAACATCCAGTCAGCGAATGTCCAGGAGAAACAGAATAGACAATTGCTTCTACCCGAGGATGACGGGTGCGACGCTACACTACACTGTACTGCACTGCACTGTACAAGCAGAGAAGGACAAGCAGAGGAGAATGTAATCACGGGGCACGCATGCCATACACCTAGTAAACCTTTGGAAGCTTCTCAGCAGTACAGTGTACGAGGTACTGTGCGCGTGCGCGTGCGTGTATGATGCACTCGACTCTACCTAAGGTAGGTATACTGTATCTACGCACAGTTGGGGGGCCAGAGTAGCCTCCACAGTAGGCGCGTTCCTTCGAGATCCTGTCCCGTACATAGGACCGTCTTTCCCTCCCTCTCTCGCTTCTATGCTGATTACACCGTAACAGTGACCGTGACTGTAACCGTATCCACCCGTCGTCCTCATTCCAACCGGGAGATTTTAAATGTAGGTGAGCCTTCATTCCACTGTATACCGTGTGTGTCCATCAGTCGTCCTCGTTCACATTGGATTCAACTTTGTAAACGTAAATGTAAATGTCACCTGAAAGTGCCCTCTCCATCCCTCACGCGTAGTGAGTACAGCTCGTGGCGTGCGCAGTGTTGCCCTGCCTCCGGATCGCCTTGTAATCGGCACCGCACATGTAGCAGAACTCGAAGCCACAGCCACCTATTTACAGGCACAGTCAGAGTCAGCCCGATGTTGCGGTCACAGACTTTATAGCCAGGGAAAAAGGAGCGGGATGGAATGAGTTTGGGGATGGGAGAGGAAGGTAATGGATCAATGGTGGTTAAGAAACGGAACGCAACTCACGACTCCTCGCCTGCGAATGGGCGTCCTTGCCGCACACGATATGGTCGCACCCCTCGATCCGCTCGTACGGCGACCTGCACTGCGGACACTTTTTGCCCTTGGCCAGGAATGCGGCCGTGGCGGCTTCTTCGGCCCTTCTGCGTTCGGCGCCCAAGGCTTCTTCGCCGCGCGGACATGGTTCGTCGCGATGCCGATCGTACAGCTGGTTACACTGGATGCAGGTGTCTTTCCCACAGACCGGGCAGGCCACGATGGTGATGTCCTTGTCTTCGTCTTCGTCCAGCCACGCCGCGCCCGTGCAGGCTGGATTGGCGCACTTGAACGTGTTGGCGCCGTCGTGGAGGCAGAGCTGGGCGAGCGAGGCGTCGTACACGGCGAATCTGTCCGCCTCGGCGTACGCCTGGAGCACGCTGTGGCCGAGGATGTCGGAACAGTTGGGCGCCCAGCATTTTACTTTGGTCGAGGGAAATTTGTCGTTACCCTGCGGGAACATTTGTGACTCGAGGTAGCCTCGCAGGCAGTCTGTGCAGATGATGTCGTCGTCCCAGCCGTGGTTGGCTTCACAGGAGGGGGCCAAAGCGGCGTGAATGGCCTTTCGGTCTTCGGGCCTGTCGGAGCATACGGCACACTCTTTCTCTCTCCAAGCACGGCGGCGTGCTCGGATTTCCGGAGCCTCGAGTTCTTCTGGCACATTCACGGCGTCTTCCGGCTGATCTCCTTCCACGGCATAATAAGTCCGCGTGAATTCGAGTTCTTCTAGTCGAGCCAGGAGGTCCACTCGTTGGACGTCAGATAGTGGGATATCATTCCCCTTTTCCACCAAGCTGAGGATGGAAAGCATGAACCTGTCCTGACGGACGAGCGGCAACTCGGCGACTTTCATGGGGTGAAAATCTATCAAGGCGCTGAACATCTCGTAGGGATTCGACCCCAACAATGCCAGAGAAAGAGGCGAAGGCTCTCGGGTCCAGAAATCTGACGGCAGCTCTGTGTCGCACAAAAGTACTGTAAGTGTTACACCGAAGAGATCCTCAGCTATACCCGGGTGGTCAAACCGCAGAAAAGCCTCCAGTGGCGTCCCGTCAGTGAAAAGAGGAGAACGATGGCTGGGAATATGCTCGGCTTTGAGAAGTAGATGCATCGCCTCATGATGCTGCAGGCACGTCGCAATGTGTAAACTTCCATCATTTTCTCTCGCACCCTTCTCGATTAGAGTCTCCATTATATCGAGAGAATTCACAGCAGTGGCCAGGTAGAGGGCTGACCTTCCGTCATGGTCAGTTGCACTTGGATCGGCTCCAGACTCCAAGAGTGTGCTGACCAGCGAAAACCTCTCATGCTGCAGCGACAGAATCAGTAGTCTGTCCAGAGCCTCCTCTTTCAGCGCGAATCCTGTAGTGTCTGACCAAACGCCGGCAGCATTGAGTGCGTCTATCTGTAAGACCCGCAAGAGAACCTCGATTCGTTGCTCAGATCTTTCTCGTTCCAGCCTCGTCTCGTCACAATTCATGATGGCAGCCACAATCATCTGTTCCACATCGTTCTGGTCGTTGTCGCAACAGGTCCGTGGCGCGAGCAATCGGAGACCACCCCTCATAAAGAAGAATGAAAACATCAAGGTGGTGCCAACGCCTCGACCTCTCGGGTTTAACATTGCTCCAAGGAGACTGATAATGTCAGACTCCTCCAGCTCGACACATTCAGGTTCCGACGCGGGGAAGTTGATATTGTACAGACAGGCTTGGTCTAGGTCGTCGTTGGCCTTGGATATGTTCGAACCCACAGGAGCAGACCAATCCTGGTTCCGGAAAAGGTGATGTAGAGCTGAGAGCCGAGATCGCATGGGTGGGTTGCTCTTCGATACCAACGAGTGAATCTTCGGGTTATTGGACAATCTGCAGACGTGATAGAGCGGTGATCCAGCCCCGTCAATGAATCGGGCCCCGTTTTCTAACAACAATTCGATAATCTCCAAGGTATTGGGTTCATAATGACAAGCGCCGTCGTTTGAGTCACGCCGCGCAATCGCATCAAGGCTTAGATTGCGAGATTCCTGCGAGACTTCTCTTCTGAGGAGCGCGCTGAAGACAACCAATGATCCTTCGGCCTGGAGACCGAAGCCATTCTCGCCTCCTCGAAGGTAGTCTTCGCACGCCTTGTTCAAGAGCCCTGTCACGACAGATGTCTTGGTACATTGGGTGAGCAGATACGGGAACAAATGGACATTGCCATGCCTCCATGTCTGTTTCATGCAATCACCCTCCCTGTACTCGACGGATGCCCCACAGCTGACCAAAACCCCGACATGATTCACGGTTGCGAATCGAAGTCCTGAGAGCGACAGAAGAGCGTTGCTGAATGACTCGGCATGATCGAAGCCTGCCATACGGACCTGCTGGAACATAGAGCAAAGATTATCCAGGTTAGCTTTGGCTTCAGCGAGACGCTTTTCAAGTACTTGGTGTACTGCCTGGAGTCCTTCCAACGATCGATTGTAGGGAAGAAGAACACTCAGCATGTCGGTCTGATCGAGTGATGCGGCGGCTTTCAAGGGCTCTAGTCCATATGCTTCAACGGAACCACCAAGTTCCACAAGACCAGTAATCCAGGTAGGGCGGTTGTTTTCCACTGCTTGGAGGAGAGCAAAGTTGACCATGTTTCGCGTTTCGGAGCACGTTGTTGAATGTCGAGTAAGTTCTTTCAGCGCTCTGTAACTTCCGAGAACAACAGTGAGTTCGATAAGCGACTGTCGCCGATACACAAGAGGCGCTCCAGCGGTACAGAGAAGCTTGCAGATTTCCGGTAAATCTAAGCGAACCGCAATCGACAAGCCTTGACCAAGGACTGTGAAATACTCGGTCTCAGGAACTTCTCCCAGCGTTTTCAAGACTGGCTGGCGATTCTGATAATCGAACTCTTCACGTTGCTGAAGGGATCGCGGAGCTTGCCACTGGGCCAGGATAAGACTGACGAGATGCTCGTCATTTCTCCCAATCGCATCCATTAATGTTGCAACAACAGAACTCCCATCAGCACCGGCCTTGAGCAAGATTTCCAGAATGGTGAGGGATTCGCTGAAGTATTGCCGAGTAGCATGTTTCCAGAGAGTTTCAAGCTCACTGCTGGAGAAGCTGGTCGCGCCTAGCAAGGTGGAAACATATCCTAATTCCAGCTCGTCAATGGCTTGTTGCAAGGACGTTAGCACGTCCTTGATGCTTAATCTGTGGCGGGATCTTGTACATAACAGGATGGCCGCCTTGTGAGCATGCGCAAGGCAGGCGTGATTGAAAGCTCGTTGCACAACGTCTAAGAAGAATTCGTCCTCCATACAAGACATCGCTTGGGACTCCAGGAGCACTTGGAGAGTGACAGGGGTAAGTGAAGAGGTTTGGTCCAACAGAATGGAGGAGAGCGTGTTTCTCGGAAGTTGCCTGTCCAGCAGTGATTCAAGGACAAGCCACTGTTGAGAAATGATGGCCATACTCAGACATTCGTTGTACTCTGGCAATGTCACCTCGATTGGCTGAGACAGAAGGTATTGTGTCGTCTGAAGAGGCCAATGTTCGCCTGGCGGGACTGCCTGTGTGCATTGCTCGAGGTGCCGTTTCAGCAGTCTGGTCGCAAGATGACTTTCACACGCATCTCCTAGATGCTGGCGAAAGACTACTTTTAAGGCTTCAGCAGTCTGTGAATCCGAAAAGTCTGCGTGAGGTTGGCGCAAAGGAGGTATGTGGACATTAGAGAACTGATTCGACCGCTCACTGGACTGAAGGTTGACTGCAAGCCTCCGGCTAAAAGTCGACGACTGCGGTGATACTGGACTGCTGAGCGGTTTAGACCTGACGATTAGCTGGAGTCGATCAAGGTCGCAGAAATAAGCCGCCGTCAGGACAAGCTCTGTGACTATGATGCTGTCCATATGCTGCACCCAGGTGAGGCATGCTGATAGGAGCTCAATATCCTCTGCACCACTTTCAAAGAATTGATGAAAACATTCAACTTGGCGAGCGCCATCATGAGCGTCACACAGGCCCTCCGTTGGACCCGACTTGGACAGTATCATCTTCAGGCAAGCCGCGGACACCGCTACATGTTCGTCCCTTTCTTCAACGTGGTGGAAGAGGACCCGATGCCAGCTTTCAAGCCACTGCAAAGCTGAGTCGTGAAGAATTGTTTCTGAGAGACGTATTTTATCGAAAATGCTGGCATCTCGGTGTTCGAAGACTACCGTGAGCGAAATGTCGCTGCATTGGCCACCAGCGCTCACCAACATATCCACCAGGTCGGGGTCTCGATGGTAAGAGTAGTTGCAGAGTTCGCTGTTCAGAGCCTCGTCCAGACACTGCCCTGTGAGACCCTGATTTATAAAAAGCTTTGCGAGTAGACGACGGGGCAGAGTCTCCAACTGACAGACACCCGGGAACGCCGCTTGTAAGCTCCGCAAGGATACTGGACGGGATAAGAGTCGCTGAACGATAGGGATATGACCCAGTGACACAGCCTCCACAAGAGCAGCGCCGTTGTGATAATCAACCGAAGCATTCCCATTGATCAATGCCTCGACCCATTGCACCTGGCCCTCTGAGGCTGCCTTGACAAGTTCCCTGTGCTTCCACACGCCGTCAGCCCCAACAGCAAGCAAGCGACGCAGGATTCTCTGGCGCATCTCTCGTTGAAGTTGCCCCTGCAAATGCGAAATGCGCGTGACTACTTGGTCTGCTCCACGGATGTTACCAGCCAGCAGCGTATCCAGCATCCTCACATCTTGAATTTGACACACGAGCAGAAGTGGCTCGGCTGAAATTCGCACGCCGTAAGACACCAAGAGACGCAGGATATCTTCTTCTTGTGTTTGAACACAACGGCAGAGTGTCGACTGCATCTCGCGATCTGTGTGGGAAGAATGCGCCATGCCATCACCGAGACAGAGCAAAACTTCGAGCATGTCCTTCGCCAGGCAGCGGTCCAGACCCGGAGCCTCTAGAACTTGCAAAAACAGGCGGGCGTCACTTAAAGGCCAGCTTCTAGTAGCAGCAGCAATAGAGAAAAAGGCTGCGGTATCGGGAGAACTGATAGCTGTGGCGAGAAGACTGTCACGATGCCACGGGACTGTGCCATCGCGGAATACCTGATAATCTGAAATGCTTCGGAGGAGTACGTGGAGAGCAGCTGAGTCGCCACGTTGGATAGCGAAGAGACAGAGGTTTCCGAAAGCCTCAGGACGGAGAGGCCTGGGAGCTCGAAGGATCAGCTGAAATAGGCGAAGATCTGTTTCGGCAAGTCGAAACATGCAAGGGTGATCGAGCGTGTTCGGATCGGCGCCATATTCCAGTAGTGCTGTGACGATATTTTGATTGCCGCCGAGGACAGCAGATTCGAGGGCGGCGGTAACAGCCTCTTCCGCCGTGACTGGGGCCAGCAGACGCACCAGCTTGACATTTGCGTTCTTGATGGCGGCCAACAGTAGATCGTCAGGTACTTCTAGCTGCATACCAGACTGCGCGGCATCTATAGAAAGTCTGTCGATATAGATTTGCGCGACTTCAGCACAGCCGTCAATGTGCACATGGTTGCAGAGAGCGGTCAAAGTCACCGCCTTGTCCGGCCTGGTCAGTTTGGATTTCACTCTGCGGAGGAGCGGTTGAGATACCCGAGCCGCCGAAGCCTCTCGTTTTAAGTAGGATTCGGCCAAAGCCTTATCGTGCTTGGTGATAGTCTCAACGCGAAAGCGAGGCTGGAGGTCGATTCGAGGAGGGGCCGGTTCTTCCACATAAACCCCACCCGTCAGCTGTTGGATTCTTGCGCTCTTGTGAACCAGCATTGGGCTCAGATCATCCGTGTTCCAGAAATGCGATATAGGGAGACAGAAATCGCAGGAGCAGGACGCAAATCCGGCTCTCAGGCTGGGGTACAGAAGGGTTTGATATGGCTGCCACTAAGGGCGGTGTCGCAGAGCCTCGACAAGCCATGGTGCTTGTACGGTGTCATTAGCCTTTGCCTTGAGCAAAAGAAATGCAGACACATACGGCAGCAACCAAAAGCCATTGAGACAACGGCTTTAGGTATCCAATGGGCTGTTCCTCCAGCACGACTCGGGCGCAACAAGCGAGGCGTGACCTTGGAAAGCATCGACCCCTTTTCGGTCGAGCTGTGTGCCTTGTGCTAAATCGGGGGTCACGCCGCCAATCAGCGTTCGCTTTGCTCGGCAATGCCAGGGAGTGCTTGAACCAGAGGCGTCCATCTGCTCATAGACTCCGAAGCCCGACCAGTGGAAACTGGCAGCATGTGCGAGGCTGAAAGGTAGATCACAGCTTGTTTCCAGCTTGTCGGTAAAGGCGTAGGACCTCTCTCTCTCGCCACAGATATGTAGCTTGACTCCAGACGCAACCTGTCACGACCAGTGTACACCAAGCAGTTTCGATACAAGTCGAAGAATGTGCGGTGCGATACCTGTGGTGGATGGCTGGTTGGGTTGCTGCTAAAGCCATGATCACGCCCTTAGCGGAATTGTCCCCGTGTACCAGCAGAATCACCACAACCATCGGTTGGCGCCATTGGAACCATTTAGTCAGCCTTGCGAGGCGGTGGATGCCCAACAGGCGTCCCGGTGCAACCCACGATGGTGCATAACGGGGACATCACCTATCTGATCACGCATGGCCGCGACGGCAGACATGAGGCGACAGACTTTCCACCTCAAGATATTCGAGCGATCAGGTCCCGAGGCCGTTAGTTATGACCTTTCAAACGCCGACTGCATGACCATCACCCTGCCGGCTGCCTCCAGATGGACCTCGCAGTTACATTGGCACGAGACTCACACAGAGTTTCTCCAAGTTCTGCAAGGACGCGCATTCGTCCGACTGGGCGATCGAGCTGGAATTCACGGACCCGAGGACGGTGTGATTGAGGTGTCGAAATATACCGTCCATGAGTGGCACCGTGCAGGAGACGGGGATCGCAGCGACTTGATTGTTCGGGAGTGGACAATGCCCGGAGATGGCCAGAAGGAGGTCTTCTTTCGCAACCTGAATTCGTTCTTGACAGAACCTCAGCCCAGCTCTTTGTACGACAAACCCACAGTCATCCCGACGTGGGGCGCGAGGTGGCTGGAAAGTTGGATCATTCCGCTACAGTTGTGCTGCATTTTCCGTTCGTGGGACAATTGGCCAGTTCTGATCGGAGACGACAGCAGGCTCTTTAGTTGGACGGCTACGCATTTGGTACTGGGGTTCTGCTCATCAGTAGGGTTTGTGCTCGGACTGCGAGGGACGTATGATGAATACGTCGATAAGGCGCTGCTGCTAAGAGCCGGAACAGGGAGCGGTGGTAAGAAGACGCGGTAACTCAAGAAGATGGCGATACCGTCGGACCGATGACAAGTCCCTCGAGACGTCAGAGTCCAGTACGACGTTTTGCGTGTTTCGAATGTTAGGCCATGCTGCCTGCAGGCGGCATCAGTGGCCGAGATGAAGCACTCGTGCAATGCCGCAGTAGAATCGGTCGGTGCACGACTCAGGCTCAAAGTACCTAATTACAAGGTGTCTGTGTTGAGAGACTCGGGGCTGTCAGCCCTACAGATTTGGTTAGTGGGTGGCCCGTGGCTGCTGCAGACAGGCACCGTCTTGGGTGCCTCTCGCCTATAAGAGGGCCAGGGCCTTAGCCGGACGCAGCTGGCGCGCATAACACTGCCCTCTTGCGATTTCACCACTGCGCCAGCTTGGCCCTTGTAATACGACCTCGATGTCTTGTGTATGCCCGCCTACCGCAGCAACTACTCTTCTTCTCGTTCATTTCTGGCTCAATTTTCACACATAGTCCGTTTGAATAACTACTGTAGTCTTCGATCTTTTGTGCAGAGCTTACTTTTTGTATGCTGACTGAGCCATCTGTATTACACCCCACTTGAGGCAGTCCGCGCTCGGCAGCCTCGTCACCCCCGGAAGCCGCTACGAAGGACGAGCTCAGCTTCACAAGAATACCATCAGTCCTTAGCCACAGGTCCCCGCCTCGTTCGTGGATGGTCGCGATAATTTCCTCTCGCCTCTCGTGAAGGAGAATGCCACGAAACTACCAACGCATGCGCGAGACCCTCTTTGATCTGTACACCGAACGCGACGCCCTGCCTTGGTATTTCCGAACACTTGCTATCGCGGCCTCATGCCTTGCACTAGGTGGATATATTCTGTTCGCCCTGGTCTTCACTTCAGCCAGAGATAACATCAAAGTGTCGCGGGCCTTCCTGACGGTGCTGGCTTCCGCCCTTCTCGTTGTCGGTTATGCTGCCTCCGCAGTCATTGCATACCTCAGCCGCAGTCTGCTGTTCCTCTTCGACGCTGTTCTTCTCCCGATTCTCGCCTCTTCTTTTATGGGAGTGTTTGTCACGGTTATGAACCACGCCCTTCACAAGAGATTCCCCATACCGACGCAGATCTACATTTATGTGCCTCTGGTCATCGCATGTGCCACCACCCTTGGCGCGGGCGGATTGAGTTACGTGATGTACCGAAAGCTAAACAAAATCAAAGAGCTGGATAGACAAAGGCGACAGCACGTGCAACGGTGGGAAAGAGGCTCCTACGGCAACTATGGGGATGCGACTTCTACGACGGAACTGCTGCCGACGAGCGCCTGGACTGCGAACAATCTACCCGAAGACGAAGCCCAGCGGAGACAGTTGTTGCGGCTGCTACTCAACAGAGAAGCGTCGCAGGAGTCCCCCAATGACCATCGCAACTCTCAGAGCACCTATCACATAAACTGGCCAGCGGATGGCGACGACTCCCCCGGGTATGACGGACTGCAGGTTGTCCAGCCTGGCATGCGGCCTCGCAGTGGCAGCCTACCAGCAAATCCCAACAGGTGGAGCGTCTTGAGCAAGATAACAAGAGACCGGAGCCCGACTGTGGAAAGCCAAAGCTTCAAGAATCCTCGAGAACGACGACGGGAAGAAATCGAGCGTTCGTCGATCCTGCTGACACCCACGCCTGGAGTCGAGCATGGTGCATGGCCACAGACTCCCGGCTCGAGCAAATCTCCATCGTATTTCCCGTCTTCGCAGCCAGCTTGGGCAACAGGGTCGACGAGGTATGCATAGGGCAGGATGTATCTTCAAAAGTGTTTGGAAATTTAGCGAGGCGTCTGGGTCTGGGTCTGGGTCTGGCTCTCGGTATGCAATCTGGCGTGTTCCGGACAAACGAGGTCCGAGATGTATATACGCCTACAATATACGGACCCAGGGTACGGAGTGGATGGTACGAGTTACAGCATTCACAGTGTACGTGCATCATCCGGTGGAATTCGTCTATCGGCGTCCGACGCACATGCGCCATGGCTTCGGAAAATTGACGCGACTGCCTCGGCTCTTCTCGTCGTCGCCCAATCAAATCACGCGCGACGTCGACACACTGCAGTCAGCGATCGTCCGTAACTTCTGACCCGACTCTTGAGCTGATGTTCCGAGATGATGTCCCTGATGGTTGACTGCCCGTCCGACTCGGCGACAATAGAACGCGACGGCGTTAGCAGTCCTCGACCGACTCCCTCGAGCCCCTTGCCGTGCACTTGAAATAGGCCTGTCTTGCCCTGCCCTGCTCTCATCCTCACCGTCACCTCACAGTCCTCGACCTTGGGTCGCACGCGTCAAGATGTCGACACATGCTACCCTGATAAAGCCTCCCAAGGCCCTCCCTCACCACTCGCCGATTGAAAACGTCCTGTCTCTGCTGCCCCTCGTCGACATCGGCCCCGACATTTATACAAATGCTCGCCCACTGTGGCATCCTCCCGGCGCCCGCGGCATATTCGGCGGCGCCGCAATCGCGCAATGTCTGGCCGCCGCCCAAGCCACGATCCCTCCCGACTTCACCGTCCACAGCATGCACTGCTACTTTGTCCTGGCAGGGAACAGCGAGATCCCCATCCTGTACCACGTAGAGAGAGTCCGTGACGGCAAAAGCTTCATCACAAGAACAGTCCAAGCCCGCCAGCGCGGGGCTTGCATCTTCACCACAACGCTGTCATTTATGAGAAAGGACTCCGCCGGCGCGCTGACAGTCGAACACGCGGTCCCGATGCCCGCGGGCGTGATCGCTCCACCGGACCTTGACTCCGGCCGCCACCAACTCTCCGGCGACGATCGCCCGTTCGAATCCGTGCGTGCTCCCGCCGTCCACCGCGAGCCTCCCTCCAACAGGAAACTGCGGCAGTGGATACGCGCCCGCGGGCGCATCAGCAACTGCCCGCCCAACGTGCGCGAGGAAGAGCTGAGAAGTGGCCAACGAGCGAACCAGCCGGGCGATAACCACCAAGCGCACCTCTCCGCGCTGGCATACATGTCCGATTCGTACTTTATCGGCACCATCTCACGGGTCCACGGCTTGCAGCGCTTCGCCAACAAGGGCAACATCGAACGCATGCTCCAACGCTTCCCCGGCAGCGACGCCGAGCGCAAACAAATGGAGGAATATCTACTGCAGATCGGGCGCGAAGAGGAAGAGGAGGACGCAGAGCTCGACTCGACGCGCACGCCGGCCCAGCGACTGGAGCACCAGCAGGATAATCGGCGGGTCAGCATGATGGTCTCGCTGGATCATACCATCTTCTTCCACAATCCGCGGTCGTTCCGCGCCGACGAGTGGATGTTGACCGAGATGGAGACCCCGTGGGCCGGGGATGGCAGGGGCCTGGTCGTGCAGAGGATCTGGAGCAAAGAAGGGGTGTTGATCGCCACGTGCACGCAAGAAGGGGTCGTGCGGTTGCAGCAGAAGGAGAGTAAGCTGTAAGAACACGCGGGCGGTGTCCTTCCTTTGGAAAGACGCGCCTTCTTTGTACCCCATTGGATAGGCGGTGTTGGCGGCCATCTTGTCGGGCATGGCATGTATATGATGATAACTTGTGCTCTGGAGACGCAGCCACCCAGCGCGGATTTGGAGGCGGATGGTGTTTATGACGATCCCACGGCCATACAGAGCATGGCAATGGCAATGGCAATAGCAATGGGGCCAGTTAAGTCAGTCTCACTTTGAGTTCCTTCACTTCCGATCAATACACAAGTCGTGGCATAGTAGAAGTAGCGTGGTAGAAGTCGCCGAGTAGAGGTAGCGTAGCGTAATAGAACAACCTTTGCCCTTCCCTCACACCCCTGGGTGGGCTACGCCTCGAGATTGATCCCCCTCCCAAACCGAGCATACAGATGAGCCTTGAGGGTGGAGATCTCCCCCTTGATGCCCTCAAGCTGCTCCTCCAACGTCGACACCTCGCTCTCGACCTCGCCCGTCTGTTCGGCCAGAAGGTCCTGCGCCTCGCTGAGCGGGACGTGCATGAACGAGTCTCCGATCTTGTACCTAAGAAGCGAATCCACGGATTAGATTAGAATGGAATCGGAATAGAGATGCCGAGGGAGGCGAAATGCAAGCGCGAGCAGGATGTGGTAGAAGAAAATACTAAAAAAAAAATGGCCCAAACACACCGTATCAATTCGTCCTCGTCCGCCAGTTCGAGTTCCGTGGCCAATTCTTCCAGCTCTTCTTTGTCTTTCTGCGAGGGTGGTCAGCAGGGCCAGCAGCCAGCGGACAATACCTAGCCCCTGTGGAATGGAGATCCGGGTGGCGTGTCCTTGTACTTCGGGAAAGACGGACGACGACGACGACGACGACGATGACAGCCCGATAACGATATCCCGCTCGTCCTGTTCCGTATCGTCGCCGTCGCCGTCGCCGTCAGCGGGGATAATGAATGCCACCTACCTGTTTGGCACTCAGTTCCTCTTCGAGGGCTTTGCTCCGATTATGCAGCCGGGAGAAGGTGTTGATCTTGTCTTGGTCTTCCTTTGTGACTTCTGCGTCTGTGGACTCGGACTCTTCTTCGCGCGAAAGCTGCGAGAGTGGAATGGAATCGTTAGGATGAAGTGCGATGTGGTGGCAGAGGTGCTTGTAGGAATGTGGCCATGAATAGACTTACCACTCTTCTTGACAACATCGTGAGTGAGTGAGTGCCTCTAGGTTCGTGTCCGCTAGAGGAGAAACACTGTAGGTGATCGGGTCTGAATCCAAAGACACAAGTGGTAATGGTACGGTCCGCTGTCCAAGGAGGTGGGAAGGGAAATAATAGGACGTGGCTTTGGCTGTGCACGCTGTGCCGAGAGTGAAATTGAATGTTGAAGCGAATCATCCGTCTGAAGGAAAGAAACTGATGTGGCGGCGTCCAATCAGCTGGCGTGATTCTTCCGATTTACACGGGCTCGTTATTTGTCTCCTTTCCACAGAGTACCACTCAACATCTGCAGAGTATGGGCTTGTACACGACGCAATCTCAGGATCTCGCGGACTTGAGCATATTTCGAACGTCACCGCCTACGTTGACACCACTATTTCGACCTGATTGGGAAAAAAACTTCCAAGTGCAGGCAGGCCGGAGAGGGGAGCTCTATTCGAGCGTTCTGAAACAGTACTCTGAAGAGACGGTGATTGTCATGGGCCGCGTCCTTTTCGTGTTCATACCAGTGATAGGTACTTTACATTTGCATGACGCGTGTAGAAAATTCACAAATTCACAAACGATGCCTTGGAGAAGCCTCGGAAAAGCGGTTCTGAATATCATGCGACGTGGTAGACGAGTCTAGTCGAGTTACAGAGCCGCCGTAGTCACCACGGTAAGTATTTTCTCGCAGATGGCGTGCAGCGAGCGTGTCGAACCTCCAAGCTGGTCCCTTGGATTGATCATCGCCAATACGAAACGCGCCGGCAGCGATTAAGGGGACCAACAACAAGGCGGTCAACTGCGGACTTCTCGTGGATTGAGCGCAGCATGCTATATATGTACAGACTCCTCCGAAAGGTAGATTGTCTCTCCAAGCGCTCTACCATAAACTGCTTGGCACGAAAACTCAGTGATTTTTTGAACCTTGACTTCTTGCCGCTCCGGCCGAGCTTGGAGGTCGACAAAGGATATCTACGGCTCTTCACAAGCCAAAGACCTCTCGTCTAGCCATCCATCGTCTTTAACAACCGTGTCTGCAAGCCGGAGCTTGACTCCCCTGTGCTCGCTGAGTTCTCGCTATCCGCTTCCGCTGCCGGTTACTCAGCACCACTACACTTACGTACTTACTTGTGCGCAGCACACGCAGGGGACGAGCCAACATGCGCCTCCCAGGCACGATCTCAATCGGTCGACCACTGCACGATGCTTCATTTGCGCTGTCTGTCCAGTGCCCACTATCGCCTGTCTGACTGACTACTCGCTTACCATATCAGGTCTCTGCAAAGATGTTGCGTGAAGGACACATGTCTTAGTCAGTAAGCCCCTGCTGCTAGGCCCGATTCGGAAGGCCATCGCCCTTTTCATCAAGCCTCGCGACGTTGGATTGGGTTGGGTTGGGTTGAGTCGAGTTGAGCTGGCAGTATCTGCTTCAAGTCTGCCAGACATTGGGTCCTTGACGTCAGGAGCACGGTAAACAAGAGACAAGCAGTCCGTTACATTGCATTGCGTTGGCTTGCATACCTAGGTAAGGTAGATGAAGTGATTGATGACTGTGCGCGTTTCCGACCGTGAGGACCATTGACCAGGGAAAGACGCGCGGACCACGTTGCATCGTATATCTTATATATGTTGCGTCCGGGACTCTCACTCGCTCTCACATCGCTCTGAAGTTGTGCCCATCTCCCTACAAAACCAGCACAGTCCGCCAATACCGTTGTACCAACTGACCAAGGAATCAACTTCTCACCAAACCACCCCCCAGCTACAGTGCCAACAGCACAGCACCATCGCCCGCAACATATTCCTGCGCTTTACAGTTGTACAACGCCCACCATCATCCCTCCATCATGTCCTACGCGTCGTACCCGCCACCCCCGTACCGATTCGAACGGCTCGACAAAGACAAGGCCATCCTCCTGATCGTCGACCACCAGCTCGGCCTCCTGCAGCTCGTAAAGGACTACACGACGGCGGAATTCCGCAACAATGTCCTCGCGCACGCCGAGCTGGGCAAGCTCTTCGACCTGCCCACCATCCTGACCACGTCGGCGGAGAACGGGCCCAACGGCCCGCTCCCCAAGGAAATCACCGACATGTACCCGGACGCGCCCTTTATCCGGCGCAACGGCGAGGTCAACGCCTGGGACAACCCGGACTTCCGCGCCGCCGTCGAGGCCACGGGCCGCAAACAGGTCATCCTGGGCGGCATCGTGACCGAGGTGTGCACCATGTTCTTGGCCCTCAGCCTGCGCGAGGCCGGCTACAGGGTGTGGGCGAACACCGAGGCCAGCGGGACCGCGACGCCCAAGCTGGCCGAGGACGCGAACCGACGCATGGAGAACGCGGGCGTTCATTTGGTCAGTTCTCTCTCCCCTCTGTGTCTTCGGTCGTTCGATCTGATGTGATATGACATGACGTGACGCGAACGCCTCGAGTTTGGCCGAACTGACTGACATTCGTCTCTTTCCGGCTTTGGCACAGACCGGCTTGTTCGGCGTGGCCATGTTCTTGATGAAAGACTGGAGGAACACGCCCGGCACGGCAGAGGTGCTGCCCTTCTTGGACAAGGTACGTCGCGCAGCCACGCATCTCGCCGACTCCTGTCCCCATTATCCTCCCCTTTTCGAATATATGGCACGCACGCGCTCACAATATTCTCAAATAGTATTTCCCGGCGTATGGCATCGTCGCGCGAAGTCATGGCTCGGCGAAGAAGTCCGGCGAGATTGTTCCCGGCGAAGAACAGTTGTTGGGATAACGGCAAAGCGTGCAGGCCGACGACGTTGCTGCTTTGCCATGTGTTTAGAGGCCGCGGGTCTCGCTTCGGCGAGAATGAGAATGAGGACAAAACCGGTTCTCCGAAATCAGATCTCCTCTTGCGTGTGCAAAGGCGGACATTGAAGGACGTTGTATACAACAAAATAATACAGATATGTGGAAGTTCGAGTAAAGTCCAGGCGCCACGCTATGCCTCCCATTCCATGACCCCCTGGTGCCTGATCCCGTTTTAGTCAATACCGGTTCAGGTGTGATGTCGTACTACAGTTGAGCCGAATCTTGTGCTTCCTGCCCAAGTCGTCTTTGTAGCGACATTCAGAGCCGTATGGGTTCACAGGACCTGTTCCGTCTCTCCTATAACCGAATTATACAGCGCTATAACCGCCCCGCGAACCTCCTCCTGCCACTGTGTCAGCCACCTTCCGGGACCAGTCTTTGACCAGGTAGGGGATATCGCGGATGGTGTCGCCGTGAGGCAGCAAGTCCCAGCCACGTGCGCCGTAGCGGTTGTAGTTCAGCCAGGAACCAAAGATCAGGTAGGCGGCGATACCGAGGAAGGCACTGTGAAGTTCATATCAGCAAATGCCTGTAAGACGGATAGTAGGCGCCAGAGCCAGGGCAGGGCCTGCGCAGGAAGCGGACGTACATCAAGACAAACCAAGTAAAGAAGCCCCAGCCGCTCTTCTTGGCCTCGTCACTGTCGGCATAGTCCTCACAGGCATACTTGGTGCGCCAATTCAACCGCAAGACCTCCAACTTCTCTTTGCCCTCCACCTGGCCGTAGCTCACGAATTCTAAACTCGATGTGCTGGGTGGGTCGGCCTTGTCATCACCGTCTTTCTTGTCGTCCTTGTCGTCTCTTTTCCGCCGGCGTTTCTCCTCAACGCCCGTCCTGTCCTTGTCGCATTGTAATTGGATGACCGCCCTCTGTTTCATGTGGTTGTAGTTCCCACCGTTGAGTTCGATCTGTAGACCATCCGAGCTCGAATCCTGGGCTTTTAACCGCGAGACTTTCGGGTCGAGACTGGCACCGGTGCTAGACTCGAAGTTTCCCGCCACGGGGATCACGTTCTCGACCTCGACGTGTTTCTTCTCCGGGTCGTCGGCTGGGTTCCACGAGCGGACGACGCCACATACTATATGCCGGTCCAATGTTAGCGCCGTTGGACTTTATGTCGTCTTCTCTTTTGCTATTGAAATAATCGGCGCTTCGTGGATGCTTACCTCTCGTGCCTGCCGGGCATTGATCCTGGTCCCTTATGCCTTCGAGCTTCTTCAGCGGCGCGCACAGGTTCACTGTCCACGTTGTGTTGTATTCTGCCGGCGGCCTCGACGTGTCGTGGACACTAACGGAGTGTCGACCCGCGAGCTTCGAGAGATCGAACTTCTTGCCATCCACGCGGATGTGATCGCAGTCTATTGATACAGCGGCGGCGAGGTGTGACAGGGATAAGAGAATAGATAGTAATGGGTAGGCCGTTGCCTTCATGGCTGCGGGTCGAAGGTAACGGACGAACTGATAGAGGTCGACAGAAGTGCGGATGAGGTGATGCGCTGGTTGATCGTGCGGCTAACGGGCAAGGTTGAATTAAGAGCTTGAATGAACGGGAAGAAGGGAAGAGGCCCAAAGAGAGGTGGAGGACGAGGATAGCTTCGGGCAATTATCTCCAGCACGGTGCAAAGTACTCCGTACAAGAATGATCAATGATCAATGATCAATGATGCCCGCTTGCTTCGCCAACAGCGACGCAACGAGTAAACTGCATGATGTCGATTCCCAATCCATCTGCCAACGCACTAGCGGCCACCCTGTGGCACTAGTCCCTTTTCGCTACGATTGTACATTGCCGCACACGTGCATAACTGTTCGTCCGTACTCCATCCACAGTCACGACAGGTCATAGAGGCCATAGTACTCGTCCACGCTTGGCGCACCAATGCCATGCTCCTGCACGACCTGCCACTAATGACTTACTGGCTCCTCTCTACGGCTAACTTGCCATTGTACTCCGTACCACGTTCAAGACGCCCTGTTCAGCGTCGTACCTCGTGCCTTGCCCACTGTTTCTGTCGAGGTATCTTAGCCTGTGGGATTGACGCAATCTTGAGCGGGAAGTCTAAGGACTGTTGCTTACTTGATGCGTAGACAAGTGTACGAGGTAGTACGGAGTACATATGGACACTAAGGTTAAGCTCGATCGGGGGCCCAACTTAGGGTTTAGGGCCTAAGGCCTATCTCTACAAGCCCCATGTTCTCACTCCTCGATACCATGTCAACACGCTACCCACCCTTGGCTTCTGAACGCCGCACCGGCCGTGGTCTTGGAGAGCTAAAGTCACCATCCCAGACGGCAGATGGAAACAATGACTGAGAGCAAACAGCCATCGACAGAGGGAGCTGGGACAGGAGCGGGCCTTATCTACCGCCCGGCCGAAGCGCAAGAAGACGACCTCCTCTCAAGAATCCTCTGCAATGCATTTCTTCCGCTATGGTAAGTACGTATGCGACGTAGGCTGGACTACGACGAAAGACCCTTAAAAGGAGAATGAAGTACTCTCAGAGACTATTTACAACATCTAGTTGCACAAACACTGCTAATACTTGGTCCTCGCTCGCAGGAATCACAACTGGTTCCATGGTATATCTCACCCATTGGAGCCCGTCACGATCGGCACGACGGACAGCAATCCACCGATGAGCAGACTGCAGAGATCGCGAGTGCGCTTCTACCTCGGCTTGATCAAGGTGACCAGACTGATAGGCGGGGTTGTGCTCGTCGCGGAAGTCCCGTCCACTGCTACGGGCACGCCCACGGCAGCAGAGTCGGCCGACGCCACGAGCGCGACGCGCGACATCGGCGCCATTCTCTTGTGGCTTCCTCCCTCAAAGCGACTCGGCGGCTTAGACATTCCTACGCTCTGGCGCTCGGGCTTGCTGTCGCTTATGCTACCCTGGCACTATGGGCTGACGGGCTTCTACCGCATCGATCTCGTCTTCGAAGAGAACATTGCCAAAATGTGGGCGCGCACGCTTCCGGACCTCCCGCCACGAGGCTTCAAGGAAAGCGACTGTGGCTTCGTGCAGATGATCGCCAGGAATCCCAAATACGCGCGCAAGGGGTACGCTTCTGGACTGTTAAAGTATCAGATGGACCGGCATTTTGCAGAGTTTCCCGACAGGCCGGTGCTCCTGGATACGACGACCTTGGAGGGGATCAGGGCGTACGAGAGGTTGGGATTCAAGTTGTTGGCCGAGACCCCAGTGGACACAGGCACGGACGCCAGGGGGATGATGTTGACAAAGAATGCGAGCGAAGAGGTCAAGAAGGAAGCACAAGAGATCTGTGTACAGAGGGTGATGGCGAGGCTGCCGGGAGGAGATTTCTGAAGACGGCAGGAGTATCATTTGACCTTGCGACCACGTCTGAAGGCTCGATATGCTCGGGCTTGGGACGCATCGACATGATTGCTGTGCCAAGTCATCATTTTTGCAGCAAGCGATGTAGATGGTCAGAGCGCACGTACCTTTCGGACCCTACAAGATCACGCTGTTCGCCATGGTTGTGCCTGTTGAGGTGCCATAACGTCTTCCTCGGTTGAGTACCACAACCCTTGTTCATGCCATGGCCACCAGTTGCCCGATGCTACAGGTCCTTGCCCGAATCCCATTCCAGCTCGCACGGTCTAATAACTTTCGTCGAAGTATTCTCGATCGCGGCCTGAGTTCGCCATGGTATGGACGTTACAACGATCAATCAGCACAAAGTCTAATCTTCCGCTTCGGGATAGCTGGTATGGTACGCAGTACTAACTGGTATTGACCATGGCGACGGGGTCAACCTGCACTAGTGTCCATCCACTCTACACAGCAATAGCACAGGCCTCATGGCTGATGGGCTGAGGTGGAAAGATTCGCGACCGTGCCAGCCTCTTGATCCATTAACGGCGTGTTTGTCCTCCAACAGGGCTCGTTCCTGGTCGTTGCATTGAGGACCTCTCAGAGGTGAGGAAAGCGGAAAGCCCATGGTACTGGTATGATCACTCGAGTGTACGAGATCCATCCACTTGACGCGGGCGTTAAGGCCCAGGTATCCAGGTAAAGCTACTGGAAAGAAAGTGTTTCCGGGCCGGACGCCTCGACTTGCTATCAATCGCAGTGTTGGCGGGGGTCTGGCAAGTTCTGCGGCTGTCAACGAATGAATCTGGTCTCTGATGTCGAGATACCATGTGATTTGCGACTCGGCCTATCTACGAGGCGCTCTCGGGACGGGCACAATGTATCTGTCTCTGACACGGCGTAGGGTCCAATGACAAGGATGTATGAACCTTTTCTCAACGGTAGCCCAGCTGAAAAGTGCCGCGTGTAGTTGACAAGCTCATAGTGAGCTCCATGAAGTGGTGTGCTCTCAAAAGTCCTCCCTGAGACGGCCTTCAGGCCTGAATAGGGCTGCCCATCTAGTTTCTGAATCATTGGGCGTAAGTTGTGCTAGCCATCCTTGGCTCCAGCTACAGAGCGGGAGGTATCAAGTGCAGCATATGAGGCGCTATCATAGCATGCAAAAGGCCGACAAGGCCCCCCGGAACTATCGCGATCGTTCAAGCCTCCGTGCCTTGGCCACTCGTGCTGGCAGCCTCAGGCCCCCCGGGCTTACTCCGTTGTCGTGAAGTCCACTCCGCAGTGCTCGTAACGACTCACTTCTCATTCGCCATCGACGCTATGCAATGGTTGAACATCCAACCAAGTGATTTGCAGGGACGATGTGCAGGAATGAGACGTTTCTGTTCCGGCATAGCTGATGCAGGTTACAACTCTCTGGGCAGTATGTGGATCCAGAGTAGAAGGCATGGCACGGCCAGGGCGACGTTCTATAAAAATCCCGCATGGGGCAGCACCAGAGCGAGCGCGGTCTTTGCTCATTGAGAGAACCACTTGAACTGTGACAACCACAAACCCGAGTTGCAAAGCACCGAGAGAGAGACCTTTTTCTCTTCAAGTTCAACCGCTTCAACGCCAATCGAGCGTCGAGCTCAATCGGGCCAGATGGATTCCACAAAGGACACATTCGACTACATCGTAGTCGGCGGGGGTCTTGCGGGCTGTACATTGGCTTCCCTCTTGTCCAAGTCGCCGGCGTCGCCATCTGTCCTTCTGATTGAGGCAGGCGCCGACGTGTCGGAACATCCACTGACACAGGCACCTATGGGTGCCTTCGCCGCACATGGCTCTGACATCGACTGGAACTATCAGACCGTTCCTCAACCTCACCTCGACAATCGGAGTCTGTACAACGGGGCTGGGAAGGCTCTAGGTGGCGGTACCGCCATCAACTATGCAAGTTGGACCCGAGGCTCAAGGTTCGACTATGACCGGTGGGCTGGGCTTGTGGGTGACAGTCGGTGGGGTTATGATGGGTTGCTGCCTTATTTTGAAAAGATCGAAAAGGACCATATTACGAATGTGGCGGTGTCGAAGAGCAGTCCAAATCGCAAACACCCCTTGCGCGAAAGGGTGCTGCAGGCATGGCTCGATCTTGGACTGGAAAACATCGCCACTGCCAACAGCGGCGAGCCGATTGGAGTCGGAGAGTTTGTTGAGAATTGGCGAGACGGGAAAAGACAGCTTGCGAGCAATGCTTTCGACTTATCCAACGTCACTGTCATGACTGAAACGGTTGTACAAAAGGTTGTGCTTGAAGAGCGAACGGGAAGTCTCACCGCCAAAGGAGTGCAATTGCACGAAGGAAGGCAACTCTCGGCCACCAAGGAGGTCATTCTCTCGGCCGGCGCATATCGCACACCACAGCTTCTGCTGCTCAGTGGCATCGGACCGGCCGAAGACTTGCAAAAGGTTGGTGTCCCGGTGCATTCGAACTTACCTGCAGTTGGGAAAAACCTGCATGATCACCTTCTTGTTGGCTTTGCATTTCCTCTCAAAGATCCATCAGCCGGGTTTGCGTTGGGCGGCGCGGCAGGTCCATGGGCGGATCCAGCATATCAACTGGGCCTTCCTGGAGACTGGATTGCGACAGAAAACGTCCCTAAGTCTGCTCTGGAGCCAGCTGTGGAAGCCGACGCCGCCGTTGGTCTTGACCAAGAAAGCCGAGAGTATGCGAGCTCTCTCCTGGATTCTCGCGCAGCGCACCTTGAGACGGTTGTTATCTACGTGCCTGGAGGTCCCCCACTCACGAACACGCACGTACCGTTTGATGGCACACATATTGGCGCTGTCGTCGCAGTCATGTCGCCCACTTCACGTGGCCAAATCGGCATTTCGACGGCTTCGGCGTTAGACCCACCAGTCATTGACCCCCAGTACAACAAAACGGAGGTCGACCGAGCCCTGATGCGCTATGGCATACGGCGCTTGCTGAGGCTTGCTCGAATTTCTCTGGCAGACATCGTAACGTCGGAGAATCCTCCACCACCATTCGAGTCGTTAAGCGACACATCTTCTGACTCAGAAATCGACGCACGCGTGCGTTCGGAAGGTCGGACGTTCTTCCATGCAGCAGGCACCGCCAGTATGGGGCAGGTGGTAGACACGGAACTACGAGTTGTTGGCGTCGATAGATTGCGTGTCGTCGACGCAAGTGTGCTTCCTGTGCCAATTGGTGCACATCTTCAGGTCGCAATCTATGCCCTTGCTGCCCAAGCTGCAGACATGTTGGCACAAGCGAGCTCGTAGAAGGTTTCGCTGGAAATATGGACGCAGCCTGAACTCAACTATCCAGCCTGTCCGGCTGTTTTTCGATTGGAGGACGTGAGTTCAGACTGTGGACGCATTGGGGCTTTCTCCGTCTTGTACTTCTGCACATCAAAACTCTCTTCTTCGTCCTGCTAGGCCAATCAGAGGAATAACAACAGTTCTGATTCCGAGGTCCGAGGACTCCGAGGTCTACATCGATGACTGTCCCAGCCCCAAGACGCAGGAGGGGGGTGGAAGTCTCCTTCGCGTAAACAGGGAATGCCATTGTAGCGGAACGCCCAGGAGCCTAGAGCCTCGGTGGCAAGCTCGGTAAGCTTGGCAATCTACCCCGGATTTTTTGACTGAATCGAAGATCGGCAGAGTATATCGGCAGTAGAACCATGGCTCGGAAATCGCTTTGCCAGCCTCGCCCAATCTCCTCCCTCGAGGAAAGGCTGTGTTGATACTCGAGCCTTGGGCGGAGAAATATAGCTCGTATGAGACTTGCCGCCATATCGCCTTCCGCCAACTTGTATACCCAGATTATGTCCCTTTTGAACAGCAATGGAACTCCTTTATTGGCGGGAATTGAATGCTGGTCTTTTGGCTTGGCGATAGCGTGGCAGCTTCATATGATGAAGCGGGCCAAGGTGCCACGATGAGGGGTAGACGGCGGAACATGCTCATCCAGCACATGGTTTGCGAGACAAGGACTGCCAAGTCTCTTGGTTGGACAAGGTGTCTCGTGTTCCAATCCTCGCCATGACCTGGGCTTGCTGAATCATGAGATATAAGAAAGGTAATGCGTCCCACAGCGGTGGAACTTAGCTCGATCAACGCCAGCATTCCGCTTGCAAAAGCATCACAGGTGCTGTCTTCCAGTCCTTCTTCTACCAGATCCGCCCTTTCTTCCAGGCATCATGTCTGGTAGTGACCAGGAGAAATATAGCGGCTCGTTTGAGCAGAAATCGGATGTGGCCGCCCACGAACAGCCTGGTCCTACCGAAGATGCTCCTTACTATGACAAACATAGGGAGAACAAACTCATCCGCAAGATTGACTTCCGTCTGCTCCCAATCCTAGGGGCGTTGTACTCCATTGCACTCATCGATCGGGTCAATGTAAGAAGTTGTCGACTTCTACAGAAGTAACAGGCGCTGACGGAATCAGATCTCCAATGCCCGAGTTGCTGGTATGGGCGAGGATCTTCGACTAGATATCGGTAACCGCTATACCGTCGCCCTCGTCGTGTTCTTTCCACCCTACTTCCTGTTTGAGGTGCGGGATACTCTGTATCAGCTTGGTGGTGATCCCGCTAACCAGGTGGCAGCTGCCGTCGAATATCGTTCTCCGCCGCGTTGGAAGTGCCAACTGGCTGTCTTTCATAGCCTTCTCATGGGGTTGCACAATGATCGGCCAGGTAAGACTTTCCCTGATGGTGACCTGGGAATTGGCGCTCAAACGAAAACTAGGGATTTGTCAAGTCGTATGAAGCTCTCGCTGTGTGTCGCACAATACTTGGACTCTTCGAAGCAGGTACGGTTGAGTGTAAAGCTGCTTTGCGCCGTACTGACCGCATCGTCACCAGGATTCTTCCCCGGGTGTGTATACCTTATCTGTTGCTGGTACGTTCGATATGAGGTGCAGAAGCGGTACGTGACTCAAAGAATGTCCTGAAAGACGGGTATTGACCCCTTCAAGGCTGGCGTTTTTCTACATTCTTTCCGTGCTTGTCGGAGGCTTTTCGAATATTCTCGCCTATGGCCTAATGCAGATGGAAGGTGTTGGCGGCCAGCGCGGGTGGCAATGGATCTTTGTGAGTGCAGAGGAGCTAACTCGTTGATGGCCGGTTGAAACTGATTTGAGGCAGATCATCGAAGGTCTAATGACAGTGGTTGTCGCCGTCATCGCATGGTTCATCATTGTCGACTTCCCCGATAAAGCTGAGAAAAAGGGTCTCTTATCTCACGAGGATGCTGCATTCATCGTGCGACGGATTGAAATCGATAGAAACGATGCCGTTCCCGATCCTCTCACCTGGGCAAAGTTCTTCCAACATCTCCGAGATTGGAAGCTCTGGGCATTGTGAGTTGACCGCCGGACCCTGCGGCAGATGTGTTCTGACAAAGTTAGCGCACTGATGTTCATGTCGACAACTATGCCGGCATACGCCTTCGCATATTTCACCCCGGTCATCGTCCAGGTATGTGTCACTCTCCATCTCCGAGCCTGGGAAAGGCCTAATTCGTGGTAGGGTATGGGATATACCGCAGGAGTCGCCAATCTGCTTTCGGCACCTCCCGTTGTCTCAGCAGTAGGCAGTGCTTTGGGGTTTGCATGGATTGGCGATAAGTACCACGTTCGCGCTCCTATCATTGCAGCCCAGGCAGTCATCGTGATCGTCGGCTTGATGATCACGGCCTACCACAGCTCGAACGGTGTCAGATACTTCGGAATCTTCCTCGGCATTGCTGGATGCCAGGGAAACATTCCGGCCATTTTGGCATACCAGTCGAACAACATCCGAATGCAGTCCAAGAGAAGCGTAGGCAGCGCGCTCCAGATTGGATTTGGCGCGATCGGCGGCATCATCGCCTCCACTGCGTTCACTCAAAATGAAGCTCCTTACTACAGGAGCGGACTGTGGGCCACTGCCGCATTGCAGTTCTATATTCTGGGATCTATCGCTTGCACTTCATGGTACTTCTGGAAGAAGAATAAGCAAGTGGACGCTGGGACACTTGAGAAGCCGATCGAGGGACAAGAGGGTTTCAAGTACACTCTCTGAGCTTGGCCGATGCGTAGGAGAAATTGAGACAGGGTGCAAAGGAGATGATTGTATATTGATGCTGGTGCAGATCTGTGAAGTCGTGAGACGTACATGAGAAGGAGGATTGTATCTCGGACTTCGGAATCAATCGGAGGAAGAAGAGAGCAAAGATGGTGTTCCTGGTCACGTGCCAGGCACTAGCTCGACCAAGGCCCAGAAGAAGCGCGTCATGAGCTTATAATTCACTGCACTAAGTTCCGGCGGAGCAAACAGTCTCCTACCCGCTTATACCACGATGCCACTTTGACTCGACCTTCTATTTTCGCAACTGCAGCGATATTTTGAACCATTCCTCCAGTAGGATTCTGCTTCCACTATGCCCGGACACTGGGGCTGACGCAAGCAGACTTTCTCCGCTTGCGGCCCGGGCTTCCAAGTGAAGTGAAAGTTAGCGCGCGTTGAGTCCGCAAGTCCGCAAGCATGCCGAACAAGAAATCCAAGAATGCCTCCAAGGGCAAGACCACGGCGACGAGCACAACCGTCGCCACTTCTCATATTCCGCAAGTCCCACCTCTGCCTAGCCTGTCTGATGACTTCCGGATCAAGAACGCCGAAGCGAAAAGCCTAATAATGGCAACCCTCGTCCCCGGCAGTGAAGCGTGGAAGATCGCTGAACCCATCCCACTTGCCTCCACCATCATGAAGACGCTGGAGGCGAGATACGCGCCCAAGGACGCGGCCGGCAAGCCTCTGCGCGGCAGGGATCTCATGGCATGGACGGCCACCAACACGAGGAAGAATGAGCTGGTCGGCCTTCTTGGGCTGGATATCTACGACGGCGCAACCTCGACCGAGTTTATTGAGGACTTCGTGGCGGGCAAACCCATGGACAAGTATATGAATCTGTATAGGGAGAAGCTTGCAGTGGCACAGGCCCACAGAGCGAGAATATCATCGAATCGCCTCGCAGCAGATGACCCAAGGAAGACACAAATGGCGTCGATCTATGCGGATCCGTCGAAGACGAAGCTGAAGACGGATAAAGACGAAACGAGGCCGGACTCTAATCTACCGCCAACCCAAGCAATTGAATCACCTACTCCTCAAGCATCTAATGTGTCCCAGTCACAACCGCAAGCTCAGCCTCCCTTGCAGTCTCCAGACGACGCGGACCTTCCCATCCCAGAAACATTCGATCTCCACCCACAGCTTTCAACGTCCCCTCAGACAGCTGGCTCAACCTCCTCAAACTCGAAAGCACATCCTGTCAAACACGAGTCCTACCTCTCCGAAAACCAGGCGACCGGCTTCGCTCATGACGATGCCGGCCGCAAACAGCAAATTCAAGTCGCCGCCGCAAAGGCTCTCATGCAGAAACTCCCTACTCGCGATTTGAGGCTCCTCTGGGCCGTGCTGTGCGGTGGGGAAAATGCAGCTTGGCCTGAGAGTTGTTCGAGCGTGATTCCTGGAGTGGCCAGTTGGCAATGGGGAGGCAAGACTTACGAGATTGATCACAAAACCCGTGTGCGGAGTTGGAATAACAAGGCCGAGGAGAAGGGGTGAAACCAACAGCAGTGGAGGGAAGCATTTTGTCGTGAATATGAATATTCAACCAGTGGCCGAAAGGGGTATCAACAATGACGCTGCAGTACTGGCTCTGCATTCACATGTTCTTTCCAACAACCTCCTACGCCGACCGGACCCAGGCGATCATACAGGACCGAACTGCCCCAGCACAGCCAACACCAAGAACAAAACCAAAACGACAGAGTCCAGACTCGGCTCGTCGAACCTCCAAGCAGCACTCTTCTCCGTGATGTATGTCACATTCTGCGCTATTGAGACAATATCTCTCGTGGCGTGGCCGGTCTGCGCCAGTTGCCTCAATTGATCCCCAAAGGTCTGCAAGATCTTCGTACTCCTCCCCGCCGGGCAGAAGACGACTTCAAACCCTCCACCCTGGGGAATGATGAATGTCGATGTCTGATCATCATACGCGTAGCTGTATGCATCGGGACAGACCTTCTTCGCTTGCTGAGAGTACAAGCTGGGAGTGCAGGAAGCGGGTGTACCGTGCTTACCGGTACAGCAGTACTTAGCTTTATTCCACTTTGCGCAGGCGCTGAGACAGGGGTTGAAGATTGGCCGCTGGATATTGTCGTCCGGGTAAGGGTAGACTCCATCACCCGGTTTGGTGGGTGGTGCGAGTTGAAGGGGCCAGGGGCACCAGTCTTGCACAAAGGAGGATGTGATGGATTGATCGAGCGGTAAAGGGAAGGTTGAGTTGGTGCCGAACTCGGCGTCGCTGGTGTCCCCAACTGGGGCCAGAAGAGAGGACGTGCCAATACACACTGGATTTGTCAGGTTGGGAGGAATGTCCGTCAGATTGGGGTTGCCGCTTTGCCCGAGCAAGGAGATGATGCCAACCGGGATGTTGTAGCCATCCACCAGCGAGATGTCGTAAAAGGCTTGATTCGTGGCTGATGACAAGGTAAATTCGGCGAGCGTCGCTGGTGGTTGCCCCTGTATCCACAGAACTTGATCAGCCACACGCAATCCATCCAAAGTCACGCCAGGTTCGGTCTCGCTGATCACATCAAAAGACCGACCTGGGCAAAGAGTCACTCACCGCGCCCGGACACTGCAAAAACATCCCACAATCGCCCGTCTGGCAGGGAGCACCACCTTGCCCGCTCGAAGGCTTAGATCCCGTACCAGGGAAACTGCAGTTTGTGCGTGCCCACACCCGTCCCTTCCAATCTAGTCCGACTGTCTGCGGATTTGTTTCGCCAGGATTGAGAAGGAAGCCGGAGCTGGCGGGTGGAGTGCCTTCCTGTGTGAGGATGGCTGGCCAAACGGGCTCCTTGCAGTTGTTGGTCACTCGCAGGGGAAGCATGGTCACTGCTTGCGCTGTAGGAAGGTGAAGGATCGTTGAAAGAAGCAGGAGGGTGGGCATGTGAGTTCGGAAAGAGGAATGTCGCCTAAAGGGACTCTTCCCTCCTCGGGTTCGGCTGTCACGGGCCGCGGAACGTTGTGGTGTGAAGATATTGCCGGCCATTATGTGCATGCTGGGTCTGATTTCAGAGTCCGTTGTCGGGACTGTTCCCCTCGACTATCTCGTTGGGTCCAAGCTCAGGAGCCCAAAGGTGAGGGATTTTGTTTGCGTAACCTCCAGGCTATGTATTTGATAGTGCGTAAGGTGAGAGGTTGACGGCAAACGTCCCCTGTCCAGCATCCGTATCAAGAAGCCCTGCAAGGTCGTGCTATATCCCGCGGACCGAGTATTCTGGAAGTTAATGAAGGTGTCTGTTGACGTTTGGGCTAATATGTATGCTGCGATATCTGTATACTCTGAGTATAGAGGCGTATTATGTGAAATGACTGACTCGTTGCATATTTGTCGTTTGAGACAAGTGAGATGGCGAGATAAATATGGGCAGTCGCAATCAGGGCGAGGCGTCCGGAAGGCACGTGCCGCCTGACTGCTTCCCAGTTGAAGCTGATGTGTCTATCTCCAGGGCCAAAGCCACGTCCAACCCAGCTTGAATGGAAGGTGATAAGCCTCAACGGTCAAATCATGTGTTGAAGCACTTCACCCAAGGTTGAGATGTGCACAGGTCCACGCGTTCAGGCAGTTGACCAAACGTGCGTAGCGAGATAGCCACGACAGTGCCATGCTTGGTTTTCTATTGCTCGCTCTTGAAGCCAGCGATCGCCAACGGCTGAATCCTGGCACGTCCCTTGTAAGATCCATCAGAGGCCAGTTAGGTGCCAGTGAGGGACTGCTGAGTGATGTCACTGACGCCCACATGCTGTGGCGGTGCAGCACGTACCTGTACCCACTTTCTGGCACCTTTAACTGCGTCACCGTAAAGAGGCTGATACGACGAAGCATAGACGCCCAGGTACGCAAAACCTCCAGTCGAACATTTCTCGTTGGCGTGTCAGGCAATTAGTACGAGTATCCTTTGAAGGTAGCACTCCTCCTAGTTGAGCGCTGCTCATAGATCCAGACACCCGCGACGTTCGCGCTTGTCCGTGGGGCGGCATGCATCGAAAGGATTCTCGAACCCCAACAGTCTTGTCCATGTCAATCGAACCTCACCCAGCTCTCACCATGTGACAACATCCGTTGACGGCGGGTCTCTTCGACCAAGACAAATGTGTAGGACAAGCAGTATGGCCATGGTTGACCACCTCTGCTTGCTTGTGATCGGGCCACCCCCGCATACCGTCCCGCAATTGTCTCCCCCAGCTTTCTTTAGAGCCCTGGGACCCATCGGTGGGAAGTGGGAATCCCAGTGACAAAGTCCCACATATATAGTGACTGGTAATACTTAAGGTATAAATACCTATGCCGAGACGGGAATGTAGTCGGTGAGTAAAGGCCAGTTGGAACATCAATTTCAGGATGCGTATACTATGGTTCTACACTCTTGCTTTGGTTTCGGTCGCAAGTACCTGCTCACCCGGGCCTCTGATACCGGATCAGCATGAAGTCCAAGGATATATACAGCGCCGAGCCGGGTTAGCCTCTGCCACTCCTACTTCCAAGACTGGACTCCGGAATGTGCACATATTCAATGGACACACCTTCCGCTCGGGCTCGTTGGCGATGCAGGGAGGCAAAATCACTTTTGACTTGCACAACGTGGACAGCTGGATCGATGGCCAGGACGGATACCTCATTCCCGGCCTCATTGACAGCCACTGCCATCCGGCCTCGATCTCAGACTTGGCCACCCTCAGTAGCTATGGGGTCACCACAGCGATGAGCATGGGATGTCCGTCTTACCCGCTGTGTGCTTCGCTGAGGGACCAACCCGGCTTGACCTCCTTCTTCACAGCCAGTGCGGGTATCGTCGGCCCCAACTCGACACACGCCCTCGTTATGCACGTGGACCCGGACACGCTGATACGTTCGGCGTCCCAGGCACCGCAATTCGTGTCGTGGGCTTTTGGGAACAACTCGGACTTCATCAAGATAATTGCCGAGACGAACGGTCCGGATCAAGCCACGCAAGATGCGATCGTGTCTGAGACGCACCGGCTTGGACGGCAGGCCATGACCCACGCTGCGGACATACGATCGTACCTCCAGGCGATTGCATCGGGGACAGATGGAATCCAGCACACTCCCGGGGATGGGAACATCACACCAGCCATGATCGAAGACATGAGACATAATGGTCAATTCATCGTCCCCACCACTACGGTGGTCAAAGCCTTCCTGAACAGCGCAGTCCTCCCACTTTCGTCGTACAACAATCGATCCTGGCCAACTGTCATTGGGAATTTGAAAAGCATGCACCGAGCAAGGTTGCCGCTGGTGGTGGGGACAGATGCTGTCTCTCTGAACGATCCTTTTGCAGCTTTGGTCAAGAACCCACTGGGGAGCACCATGCATGATGAGTTGGAAGTCTTTGTGAATGAGGTCGGGTTTGAGCCTGCTGAGGCACTGAGGGCTGCAACGTCCCTACCCGCACGGCTCTTTGGGTTGGCTGATCGTGGACTGCTAATGGAGGGGAAGCGGGCGGACCTAGTGCTGCTAGGGTCGAATCCGTTGAAGAACATTTCAGCAACTAGGGATATTATGAAGGTATGGAATGGAGGGATCGAATACAATTCTGCCGCATGACCTGTTGCGCGACATGGACACAGCGCACCACTGGGATGAATGAAACACTATACTGACTTAGAGCCAGTTGGTTGGCCTAATACATAGCTGGTGAACCTCCAATAGCAATCTGCATACCTACAAGCCTCCGGCACGTCTATCTTCAGCTTGGAACCAGCCACTGATATGAGTTGAGCGGACCACCATTCAAGCGGAAGAAAGGACATCGTAAGACCCGCACTAAGAGCACACCAGTTCCACACCTAATACGCAATTGAGAATGTGCATAGCAGGAGGGAGAGAGCTGTCCGACAGGTTTCCTCGTCTATGGATGAAGTTCTCAACTCAATGCTCCAATCGCTCGGACTCCAGGTTCAGGACCCTTATATCGTCTAAAGCTTCTCGATTTTGATCTTGGTAGCGTTACCAGGTAGGACGACGTGCCAGTGGTGCTGGTGACGAGCTCGCGAACTGAAGAGTGCTCGACGGGCGCAGGGCGATTGGTGACGGAGCTCTGATGTGGGATCGATGTTGTCGTTCTTCTGACCTGGCCGGGGTCGGGACTGCAAACCTCAGCTGCGGACTCTCAAAGGAGGGGATTTGCATACAGCGGCTCGGTTGTCCCATCACTGGACGATGAGGCTCGTACAGCGGCAGGTGCTGTGGTTGTCGCCGGCATCGATAGGCTTTCAACAAGGCAAGCATGACTGGTGACAGCGCGACAACAACCGCAATGATGCCGGTAATTGTTTCGCTGGAGAGCGGCATCTCAAAGGTAAGCCGCCACGACCTGAATGTTGTGGAATTGAGAAGTCAGCATAATTCGAACGACTGGGAGAGTACACTCTTATGGTTGATCCCCTTTATCATCAAGGCGACTCAAGCTGGCAGGCTCATGTTAACAAGGACTGAACCCGACTGGGCCTTTACCGAAAGAGTCATCAGGGCTATGCTCATTGCGAGCAACAGTTGGGAACACTGATGGCGGGGTCAATTTGGCCACTGGGGTCGAATCCGCTGTGAGAATAGGATTGGTCCATGACAAAAAGTTCACCTGAAGACAGGACGTCCATGTTCGTAGTCTTTGGGACGCGTAGGTCAAAGTGCAAGGCGGACGTGCAAGGCCCATGTCCAGGGTGAAAGTGCGCAGCACGTCTCAATCAAGGCTCATGGAGCTGAGTACGAAGTACGGGGTACACGGGATTGGCAGGTACCGAAAGGATCACGGTCGCTGATGATAATGATCGTGCTGGCGCCGAAAGTGGCGAAGTTCGAAGGGAGTGAAAGATGTTTCGCGTGAACAAAGGGTCAGAGCCCAGTGTGCTGTTGACCTCTCCCGGCGTCATCGCTGGCATCCGCAATCCCAAGTACTCAGTACCATCCCGGCTTGAGGACAATGGAGTCTCGATCGTGTCGAGGCGGAAGGTCAGGCAACACGCAGGACTGAGCAATTGAGTGGTTTTCCACGCAGGTACGTGGGTTTCTTCTGACCTTTTCGGCCCTGACCACTCACATGTCCTGCAGGTTTCGACTTCAGCGGCAGCAACCACCGGTCCCGCCTTCCGCGCTTCCCCGTGGCATATTCCGTATGCATGACAGCCACATCTACAGCACATCAAGGGAAGGCGCGAAGCGACGCCAACGCGCCGCGGAAGCAGGAAACAAATTCGGCTGCTGCACCTTTCGGACACCACCAACCACAATCACTCTCCGAACGCCTCGTTTAACCTGGGAGTATGGTATCATCTGGGCCGCCTTTCCTGCTCGGTTCATTTGTGTGCTGACTGTCAGTCCCCGCTCTCAACCCCATGGTTGACCCAGTCCCTCATCAACATACATATTTGTCCACACGGAAAAATGGCTCCAACCCGACAACTGCCGGGCAAGCGCCCTGCCGGAGTCAACGCCGCGCAAACTCACGATGGCGGCATCTCCTGACACGGAAGACCAGAAGACCAGCGACTTAGATCGGCGCTGGACCAAGCATCGACGAACAATCCAGGACCTCTACGTGGTCCAGCGGCTTCCCTTGAGGGAAGTCCGTCAGCAGCTCCAGGAGAAGTGCTCATTCTCTGCCAGGTAAGAGACGTTACGGAAACAACATACATGTGACTGATAAGTCGGACAGTGACTCCCAATACAAGCGCAAGTTAAGAGAATGGGGCTTTACAAAGAACTTGAAGGCTTCTCTCTGTCAAGCAATTAGCATCAGCCTGGAAATACAGGGCGTCGACCACAAGAATGCTACAGCCATTGTTCGCGGTGTCCCCGTGACTTCCAAGCAACTCACTCGGGCTTTGGGAAGGCATCGACTCACCACGCTGGAACGGAAGAAGTTCATGTCTGGTATGTCATTCCAGCCGGCGAGATCTACCTTGGCTTACAGGATACCAGGGCAAAATCAGCCAATACTCAACGACGTCGAGATTTACGCCAACAACCTCAGTATTGCCGTTTCCCCAACCCCCGATGTCGAAGCTATTGAACAACCATGGTCGGTTAATCGCGTTGCACCCCGAAGTGGCAGAAGTAGTGGAAACTGCTGGACCGAGACCTCTGGAGACGGGGTGGATTCTAGCATCCTGCCACACACCGGCGCCTCCCTGGCTTCTCCTCGCCAACAAACTCCTCTGGTTCCGAGCCTCTTCCCAAATTGGACGGCGCGTTTTAGCAGTCAGGAAACCCTCGAGATCATTCTACCACGCTTAGCTAAAGAAGAAGCTACCACGAATCATATTCGCTGGCTGCTCGCCAAGGGGGCCAATATCGACGCATCGGACAACAAGTGCTGGACTGCTCTGCACTACGCCGTCGATTCTCAGAATGTTCCCCTGGTGCAGCTTTTGCTGAGATACGGTGCATCGCCAGAGGGCGTGAATGGCAATGCCCGTGCGTCCAACGCGCGACACCGATCTACGCGCGACCGAGAGACCCCGCTGGCTTTGGCAGTGGTGCTGGAAAACCTTACCATCTGCGAGATGTTATTGCGGGCGGGTGCAGACCTAAAAATGACGGCCATGAACCGACCCCTCTGCTCGCTGCCGGGGTATATCCACAAATCCCCTGCGGTGCGTCGAACTCCCCACTCTCACCAGCATATCCCGCTGGCATGCTGTTTCGCAAACGCCTTGCAGTACGCGGCAATAGGCAACAGAACCACGCTAGTGGAGCTTATCTTCAGATCCACCTCGAGTCGATGCAACACGCGCACCTACACTCCAGTTTTCCTTGCGATTTGGAAGGGACACGTTGCTATTCTCTCCCTCTTGTTGAAGGACGGCGCTGGCGTGAATGAGTTGTCTTTTTCTCACCTTGGACGGCTGAGTCCATTGCAAGCTGCATGCTACTACGGGAATCTGCAGGTCGTGTCGACGCTCGTTGATGCTGGCGCCGGCCTCAATGCTCGACCCAACAACACTAGAGGAAAGACGGCCCTACAATACGCGGTTGATATGGGCCACCAGCAGACAGTCGCTTATCTACTACAGCATGGCGTCGATGTCAATGCTCCCTGCGCAGAACCGCAAGGGTTGACGGCTTTACAGTCCGCCGTCTTTCAGCGGAATTACCATCTGGTTGAGCATTTATTGCTACAAGGGGCGGATGTTAACCAGCAGCCTGCGAGGACGGGCGGGCACACGGCATTATCTGCCGCTATTGCGACTGGATCGAATAGCCTTTTTCAGCGTCTCCTCAGGGCGGGAGCAGATGTTCAACTTGTCGAATGGCCAAACTGCGACAACCAAAACATTCACCTTGTAACTGCAGTCAGAAAGGGACATATCCAGTTCATCGTCGCTCTACTACACTACGGTCTGGATGTCAACGTGGTTTTGGCCACGGGAGAGAGCTTGGGTGAGCTCGCTCTGTTAGAGGCTTGTCGTCGGCGCTTGTGGCCAGGGGTCAAACTGTTGCTTCAGCACTGCAACATCATCAAGCCTTATGTGTTGTACGAGGTCTGCGACAGCATCGACAGTGTCATGGCTACCGACAAGGATTGCATCCAGCTGCTGCTAAGCAAAGGTGCAGACGTCAACGCTTTGGGCAAGGATGGTTCACTTTTTGAAAAGGTATTTGGAGCGGGCAATCTGAGAATCATTCACGAGATGCTTAGTAGTGGGATACAGCCATACCTCCCCTCCGACCGGTATGGCCAAACAGCACTACAGGCTGCAAGCGCTGCAGGAAACGTGCGCCTCGCAAGATTGCTTCTTGATCACGGAGTTGACGTCAATGCTGTTTCTGAGAGGTTTGGTGGACGAACAGCTCTCCGCGCCGCATGTGAGCAAGGGCATCATGAAGTCGTGGAACTCCTTTTACGGAGTGGAGCATGCATCAACCTTCCCGGCTATCCTCACAACGCATATATTGCTCTTCAGTCAGCGACCAGCAAACGCGCCACTCGGATTGTGCAGATGCTCCTTAGCGGCTTTTGTCTTATTGCAGGGGCAGATATCGCAGCAGCTCAAGCGCTTATCGGATGGAGGACGGCCATCAATATCGCGGCGGCAAGTGGCCGGCTGGATGTGGTCAAAATGCTGCTTGATCATTACGTCCCCAAGGACAACGAGACGCTGCCGGATGTATGTGCTGGAGCAGCTGTGGCTGCGGAAGAGCAGTGCCGATGGAAAGTCGTTGAACTTCTGGAAACTTACCAGAGAGTTGCAATGGGGCCAGAGAATAGCTGCTTCCGATAACCTGCTGAGTGTGGCTGCTCCGGAGTAAGGGGTTTCAGTTGGATCACATTCCATCTACCTGTCTGTGTCTCTTGGCATGAGGTGTTTGGTGGTCAGAAAAGTTTACATGAATATATCCTCTAGGTTAGAACTGGGTATCGCCATGACATCTGGGGCCATTATACGGTCCGCCAATGCAAAGATGATTCTGATATACGCCGTGTGACGAGGTGACTGTACAAGCGCCTCGCCGAACCCTGTCAGAGCGGTATATCCCAGTCTCCCTTGGTTCAGTCCCCCTTGGATCTGTTCCCCTTGGGTCAGTCCTCCCTGGTTCGGCACGCGCCCAGTCGCTATCCTTCATCTCCCGTATGCCATCCACCGCTCCATTCCTGCTCGTGGTGGCTATTGTCTGGCGCCGACATTACCAGGTTAGATGGCGGGGAACGTTCCATGGCGATGTGGCAAGCTCGTGCAGTGACGTTGGGTGTCGAAGAAGAACTGGGCTTGCACGAGCGACCAAGACGCTCAGGTCGTTGTTCGCTTCGGCCACTGCTACATACCAAGGGTGTCAGCGAACGGTGTCGGTGTTGCAATGCGCGTTCCCCTACCTCGGATGGTTCGTCTCGTGGCAGGCCGACGGGCCTCATACATAGGTAGGCCATGTTGCCTCGTCCGGTGTTGGTACGCTTTCACAAGGCCCAGCACGACGGGTGGGGTGGCAACAACGACAGCGATGATACCGACGATGGTCTCTGCGGAGAGATGCATAGCAGGTCGACCATGGACTGGTGGAACTCTGGGCAGACGGTGCAGATGAGAACTCGTGAGCGAAATATTGGGAAGGCGAGGACCGCGAGGCCCTATTTATCACCCATGACCTCTCTTGCGGTGCAAGATATTCTAGACAGGACGTATCTCCTGCCCGCGTGAATACTGACGGTGGATAATCTCAGATTGCATGGTGTCGAAAGTACGGGGTGAACCACGGTTAAGGCTGGGTCTGGCTGGGGTCTGACTGGGGTCTGGCTGGGGTCTGGCTGGGTCATGGTGCCTGGCTTTGATATATGCCCCGGTGCTGAGGTGCATCTGACGACGTCGTGTCTGGATGGCGATTGGAACGTTTCAGAGGTGCGATTCCTTCCAGCTCTTTGAAAACGCCTGTGCCGACTCACCAGAAAGACGTCAGGCTGGCCAGTCGCCGAAAACTAGCCAGGCTGTGAGAGGCCTCATCTGCTTATTGGCGGTGCATGAAAGTTCTCTCCTCCACCAATGCACATATTGTCATCGGATCATTCAGGTAGTGAGGTTAGCGGAGTGGCAGGCACAGAGGCACGCAAGTTGCCCAGATGGTGGCAGTGCGCGCTCGCTTGGCCCATTCTCGCCGGAGCACTTTCGTCCTTAACCAGTGGTAGAGCTCCTCACCAAACGGTGGGTCATAGTGACCTAGGCTTCCTTGGGCTCGCTGGGTCCCCGCGTTCCCTACCGCTCCATGTCCCGTTGATCGTCTCGATGGCCGGCCCGCACGCCCCTTGAACTTAATTAAAGTGCTTGCAGCAATGCAGGAAGCGACCACTGGGTGACGCTCGACACAGCACGGCACACTGCAGCTTTCGGCTTGCAGCTCAGCGTACGGAGTACTTCCGACAACAACCAATCAATTCCCCATCCACCCACGAACAACATCGAACAGCCGCACCGCTGGACGCAACGAAGGGCATTTTTCTTTCGAGGATATCTGAAGTCTGCCCAACCGGCCATTGGCTGAAGTTCATTATGGAGCGCGTCTTTCCGAGGCGACTCTGGTCCATGGTCTACTCTTGTTCCCCTCGAGGCGTTTGTCTTCTTGCACACGGTGACTTCCACACTTTACAGCTTTGAGCATGCGGTGCTTGCACTTCTTGAGTTGAGCCCGCAATGCCTGCAGCTGGACTCACCATCCCACGATCGCAATGGCTGGAACACCAGCAAACCATCCATGATCTCTATGTCACCCAAGGCCTCGAGTTGAAAGCCATTCGTCAACACCTCATCGACCACCACTCCTTTTCTGCAAGGTATGCTTGAGACCAAATCCATTTCTGAAGCCTTCGCTGACGCAACTGCAAAAGCATCCCACAGTACAAGCGAAAACTCAAGGAATGGAAATATGTCAAGAACCTCAAAGCCTCTGTCTGTCGAGCAATTGGGAGCGGATTGGAGCGGCGTGGCCTGACTCACGATACCGCAACCGCAACTGTAGGAGGCATCGTTCTCAGCCCCGAGCGCCTGCAACGTGCTTTGAGAAGACACGACATTCCTACCTTGGGGCGCAAGTGGAGTCTAGGCAAGACGGATCGTGGAATTCCACACTGCTCATACTGACGTGGTTCCAGAACGACGGTCTCCAACTCCAGATGGCGTTCAAATTCACAAGAAACCAGATTCTCCCGATTTATCGAGCTCTCCTGACGGCGTCTCGCCAGCGACGGTCTACTGCCCGCTTGATCTATCGACATCACATGTTACCCAGCTGCTAAGTCCAGATTCAATTCCAAGTCATATCAGGACGGAATTTACAACTCTTCAAGAGCCAAGTACCACCGACGCCTTCGTGTTTCAGGTTGGAAACGGAGAAGCAGACCATAGAAGCCTAGAATCCACCGATACATCGTCCACGCCAAGTTCGTCAAGCTCCAGTGGGCGGTCAGGATCAGGACAGGGGCCTCTGAGCTGTCCTGATTGTCACTATCGAGCAAAGACGCGATTAGAGTTGAAGTGAGTGGTCGCCTCTTCGATACGCCTGCAGGCCGCTAATCAAAAGCAAGTCAGCATCATCTTGAACATGAGACTCAGCATAATTGCACTCTGTCATCCTGCCCTCGGAGCAAGCGAGGTTTTGCTACAATCTATGAGCTCGAAAGACATCTAACAGAAGCACACGTCGAAGATCTGACGGAGGCTTTGTCCTATAAATGCTTCGACAGATCTTGCATCAAATTGAATGAGAAGTGGTACCATTGGAAGAGCTTTGAAGACCATCTAGTTCAAGTACATGGACAAGTTGCTCACCCACATTTTCTTCAGCAGTAGGATTCTCCGAGCTGACCTTAACAAATTTTACTAACTGTGCAAAGGTCTGCCGCCTCGTTTAAACGAACTTCACAGCAGAGGCTCGACACAACGTTCGATGATTTAGACATAACCGTTACTACCTCTCGAAGCACCTTTGAAGAAATTCGGTCAATGCTCGAGCACGGTGCGGACGTGAATGCGATTGGGCAACACGGCTCTCTGTTTGAACGAGCGGTTCTGGCACGCAATCAGGACTTGGCGCGCTATCTCCTCGAACACGGCGCAAGGCCCGAAGTCCCATCGGATCCATTTAAGCGAACAAGTATTCGAATGGCAATCGATTGCGGACTCTTCGAGCTTGCGAAATTGTTGATAGAGCACTGTGTTCGTGCCAACCTTCTACTTCCTGGCGACGGTGTCGATGCACTTGCAGTGGCTTTTCGCACCGGCGACGTGCCGATGGCCAAGATGCTCATTGATTACGGGGTGAATGTGAACACCCCTTCCTCTGATGGATATACACCTCTTGAACACGCCTGCTATCTTCGACCCTGAGTTGCTGGCATGGACCCTGCCAGCTGGCGCCAATGACGTCCTCGTACAGTGCAATTGGATCAAAAGCGAGTGCAGCCTTGACTATCTCGAGTGAAGGGCTGGCAACGGCTTTTACTACAAGCGTCTGATCCTCAACGCATTAGATACTACCCGTCCACGAAGAAACTACCAGCTCCGGGCTGTCAAGATACCCTCATCCTTTCATGGGACACATTGAGCGCAGCAGAACGACGTCGAGACCGAGACCAACTCCCTCGATGGCTTTGTTCATCCCTTGGCACCCCGATGTACCGCAGGGTCTCTCTGGTCCATCTCGCATACACGGACGCCCTGTTTACAGTCCATGTCGGATCTCCACAAAGCGCTACACAGCCAAAGCGGTCAGTCCTGGCCATGCAGCCCGATTTCTACCAATCTCTCGGGTATTTCGGTGGCAGTCGAGGTTATCGTATTGACATACAATGTACCGGCGGTGCATGCTTTGGGGTAGAACCGAGTACGCTGATACACGGAAGCATATACAAGGAGGTGGACCTTGTTGGTATATAGGTATGTAGAAAGACGGATCACTCGGCGTGCTGGCTTTGGATTGCCCCTGCCGTACCTTTTACTGCCTCATTAATTTTGCCCAAGCGTAATCGCCATTTCATCGAACGGGAAGTTCACGGACACAGACGTTCTTAATGTGGATCGAATGAGACAGGTCGGAAGGACTGGACTCAACGAATATTTCAGTCAAACTCTGGGGAGTCGCTCTGTAGGGGACCGACCCACACCACCTGACATGACTGTTGAAGACTGAAGCGAATATTGACAATCAAAACGAATACTCAAGACTGAAAAGAAGTTGAAATCTGACGAATTTAGCTACTATCAAGCAAAGGGGTATCTGTTCGTAACATTTCGAAAGCGGCATCACACGTGTCCTGTCCTGTCCTGTCCTGTGCTTTCCTGTCCCTGGCTCGTCCTCATACCGGCCGGCATTCCATTCAATCCCATTTCATTCACTTCACTTCAATCGACTCCAATCCAAGGTCAACCGAAAAGGTCATCCAACCCGCCCCCATCCCATCCATGTTTCGCGCGCACACTATCAACTCGCTCGTAACTCTCCGAGATCCTTGAATGACCATCAAGATCTCACGACCTTCGACCCCGAGCTCACAACCACAAACTCGACGTCCCGGCCTAGCGACCGCCATCGTTCGATCCCACCGCTGACGAGCCACGGCTGGAGGTTCTTGCATTGGCTGACGTCGAAGAGCTTGAGTTTCTGACACCCCTCGACCACGGACTGTACGCCCAGCCCGGTCACGCGCACGCAGCCCCGCACAGCGAGTTCGCGCAACGACGTGAGATGCAGGCCGATGGAGCGGAGCGAGGGGTCCGAGACGGCACTCCCGCAGAAGGAGAGGTTCAGGTGCGTGAGGTTCGGGCAGCCCAGCGCGAGGACTTCGGTTGCTGTGTCGGAGAGGGCGCAGCAGAAGGACTAGGTATTCAGTCTTGACGTTAGTTGTTGTTTTTTCCATGTCACTCTTGTTCACACGGAGCTGTGTGTAATAGGTGGGACAATTATGGTCGGGAAGAAAAAGAGAAACAGCAACGGAAAACAAACATGCGACTCACCAGGTCGAGTTGCCTCAGCCCGCTGCCCGCGCCGTTGACGAGCCACACAATGCTCTGGTCGCTCAAATACGTGCAGTCGGCGAGGCAGAGCTTCTTCAGGCGCTCGAACTTGACATTGCCCCAGAACTGGAAGCCCGCGTCCGTGATGGTCGTGCAGCGTGTCAGGTCCATGGTCTCGATGCGTGTATGCGCGTGCGTGGCGATATGCGCCATCGTCCGATCGGTGATGTGTTTGCAGTAGCTCAGCGTGATAGAGCGGAGGTCTGGACATCCGATAACGGTGCCTGGCGCGGGCTGCGGAGGGGGATGCGCCGCGTTGTTGCCGAGCTTGGTGTTGACGACGGGTCGTTGGGCGTGCGTTTTCGTGCGGTTCGAAGGAGCTTGAGGTTGGGCGGTCACGACCCAGCCGACGATACGGGCGAGGAGCGTGTCGCTGACTTTGCGGCAGTTGCTGAGGTCGACCTCCTGGAGGCCGCGAGCTCGGGTTGCCATCTCGAGAATCGCCGGCGCAGTCACGTCCCAGACGCTCTTCATACGCCAGCCCTGCACTGTTGCGGCACAGGTGTTGACTAGGGCACCGAATCCCTCGTCGGTGATGTGGAAACAGTTGCTGATGTCGATGAATCGAGGCCGCTGGCCGACAAACGGACATATGCGATTGATGAGCACATCATCTGTGACCCTCCGGTTGTAGCGCGATAGGTCGAGGTGGTGAAGTAGATTGGGGGCACCGTTGACAACGTTTTGCCAGTGCAGGGACACGCCTTGCAGACGCATCAGCTCGTGCAGGTCGAGGTACTCGAGAATCAAGGGCAGGACCTTTTCCGGAACAGTCCCCCGGTTTAAACCGCGGCTCGATCTAGCTCGAGGCTTGGGTCGTCCTCCCGAGGAGAAAGGGTCCGAGAAGGGGAAGCCTGTAAGGCCTTTATACTCGGATGTAGGCGAGGGTGTGCCAGACACAGAGGCTTTGGGCGATGGACTGGCCGTGTTGGTAGGAGACGATCGAGGAGACCGACGCTTCTGATCTTTTGAGGGTTCATCTGGGGGGGGAGGAGCGAGCGATCCTCTTCTTGACCTTGATCTCACTTTCTCTAGCCCCTCGCTCAGGAATGGATCCGGGTCCGACGGCTCCAGTGTGCTGGGCTCTTCTTTCTGGACTGAGGGCGCCGAACTGCTGATTTCTGCTCCCGCATCTGTGAATGTGACCCGAGGGCCATTGACAAGTTTTCGGGTCCTCCTCTCTTTCCCGTCTTCGATCTCTAGTTCGCGGATATCCGGTGTCGCGTCCGCGTCCTTCATGACAACGTCAGCTTCGAAGCTGAGTTTCAACCGATGCTTCGCCGTCTCTTCGATCTGCTGCAGAATGCTTGGTGGACATCGGTTCCAGAAATCGGCGAGCACATTCTCGGAAATCATCAAGCACTCAACTTGTGTGACTGAGCGGACAGTAGCAGTTCGACGATCTGCAAGACCCCGACTGACGACCTCGCCAAAGTATTGTCCCGGCTTGAGTCGGGCCTTGACCACCGGTGTTCGAGGTATTCCGTTGGGTTGGCCGGATTTGTGAAGCTTGGGGTGGGAGACTTTCCTCTCGTCGAGCACTTCCACTTCTCCACGGACAATAAAATAGATTTCACGCCCCCTCGTGTCTTGCTTGACAATATCGGTGAATGGCGCAAAGCTTCTCGGCTGAGCGCTAAGACCGAGAAAGTGAAGAATGTCAGGAGGGAGAGAAGCGAACAAAGGCAGCTCCTTCAACGTTGCTCTGATGTTGACAAGCCCATGTCCCAAGGCACTGGCCGTCGACACTTCGTTCGTCCCGGGACTAGGAGATTTGCGGCGCTTGCTGTTGGCGCTGCCATCACTGCCGGCCATATAGGCATCGTCTCCTAGCGTCGGTCGAGCTCTCTTCGAGCCTCGTCTCTCATGGTCTGGGACGTCTTCGGTTCCTAGCAGAACCTGGGCCTTCTTCTTTTCCAGCTGAGTCAGTCTCTCGAGAGCTTCTTCGCGTATGGCCTGTTCCACATCTGGATATTTCGGCAATATCTTCTTGAGGTCTTCCTTCTTCAGCACTACCACCATGCATCTCGTCCGTGCAACGACCGTCGCGGTGCGCGGGCGTTCCATCAGGATCCCGATCTCTCCAAAGAATGCACCCGGTTTCAGCTCTGCAAAGATGCTTTCTCCATCCCGGGAGGTCACAGCCACGGCGCCCCGAACAAGCCAATACATCGCTTTTGCGTCTTCACCCTCTATCATGATATAGTCATTCGTGTTGTACAATTGGGGTTTGAGGAGGAGGCCAATGTCGGCGAGGAAGTCGTCGGAGGTGGATTGGAAGAGAGGGAAGGAGCGAATGCGGTCGATCAAGTCCAGAGGCATTCCTCCGATTTGAGAGGTCGCCAGAGGAGACTGTCTCGCAGGTCTGGAGGGGTTGATTTTGGAGTCAAAGCTGCGAACCAAGGAGACTTCGGCGGAGGGAGGGGAGGCCGTGCGGCCATGGTAGGGCGACAGTGCTCGGCCATGGTGTCGGCGCATGGCTGTGGAAATGAGAAGGGGAGGGCTGCGTGTGTCTGAGCGCGTGTCCACCTGAATGAACTGCTGCTCGTGCCGGAGTGCCCCTCATCCCATGTTCCTGGACATACTCCGCGACTTTGGTTCTCGCAGCGTCAGGTACCTCTTTCACAACAAGCCGGAAGTCAAGCCCTGGTTCTTGACCAACAGCCGTGTCTTTGCTACGGTTCCAGTAGAGTGTCTGCGACCTGTTGTCTTAGTAACCCAGATTTTGAGATGGCACGAGGGCTGGACCGCACAACAGCAGGGTTCTCACGGATGTGCTGGGACGAGGCCGGGCGGTTGCAGATCACTTGGAGGGCAATGGAGAGCGGATGGATGTGGAGCGTGGACGCGAAACAACAAGCAACCCGGATTGCCGAAGTAGAAGAAAGATGAAGCGGGAGAAAAGTGTCGCGAAGGGTTGCCCGCATCCGACTGAGGATAGAACCTGGCACAGAAGCGAGGGCGGAAGCAGTCCACAGACTTGCATCTGCAGCCGGGGAGGTTTCAACCCTGAAGATTGGGCAGGACTGAACTGCTTGCTCTGCCGTCTGCCCATCAACTTGGTGGGTGGACATGGTGGGGAACCGCGGCCATCTTGGAGAAGCCATGGCTCCCCGCTAACGAGCTTCGAGAAGGGGATTAGAAGACGGCAAGACGGGAATGCAAAGGATTGGGGCACTCCAGACGATCACTGAAATTGAGCTGACAACCAGCAGCATGGGCCGCCAACATCGCGGCAAGTACAGAGAGATGCGCCCATCTGTGTTTCTTCTGGATTCTGCTATGGCCGCCTTGAGCCAGCGAGACACCCTCTCGTGGCATTAGGTATTGCTGCGTCGGGCTTGAGACAGAAGTAGACACACCAGTGACTTTGGTCTGGGAGGAGCGGGAAATGCGCACAAATAGGATGCCAGGATTCTCCCAAGACGGCCTCTCGAGGGTTTCACAACGACATATCTCGCATCCAGTCTGACCGCTTCGAAAGCTCTGCACCACCTGAAGGTGAGCAATACTGTAGATCAAGTCAAAATACCCGTACGTCAGCCAGTTCGAAGAGATGGCGCGATCTTGACAGGCTTGACAGCGACAGGAGTTTAGGTACTCGTAAGGAAGTTGGTGTGCTTGGTTAAGCGACCGGACCCTGCGGCACTGTCACTTTGGGAATCTCAGGGAACGGCCGCCAGACCGGAGCCTAAAACGCCAAACAAGGCGCATACGCCCTGCGCAAAGGGGAGCTTGGACTCCATCAGCCTTACCCGCCCAGCGAGGAGGCTTACCAAATGGAAGCCCTGCGTAAACTGTGCCCGGCTGCGCTAGAAGCCGCCCAGAACCCCGCTAAATTCAGGGACTCTCAGAGCCTAAAGACTGCAATTTTCCAGCCTTGCAGAGTACGTGCTCCGTGGCTCTTGAACGAGTGATGGTCAATGTTCAACATGCCATTTCCTTCCTATCTGCTCTGTTCCAACTCAACGACGATGCAGGGATGTGGGGACACACTTCAACCCGCCTCTCTATCTCGGCTGCCGTTCTTGAATCGTGTCGTTCTAGCTCTGGTGCAACACGCTCAAGGCATGTCCGCAAAGCTGATGCCTCCAAAGTTCCATTCTTCAATGATTCCATTATGGCTTAGGGTGAGGATGGGTATGCACAGTCCATCTCACGGTATCCATCATCCAACCCGCGCGCTTGGAATTCTCAATTGGCGCACGAACCCTGGCTGGTCGCGACTATCCGCTTCGAGGCATAGGGCAGACTCTTCAGCGATCAGTGTCAAATAGCCGAAATGCTCAGCAAGACAAAGGATGGTGTTGTCCTCATTTCGTAACCTTTTTCCTCAACCACAGGATGTATGCAGGGGGATTGCCCCTCAGAGAAGCAGCCAGATCTTGTATTACACCGTAAGCCAGCGACAATCTGAGCGCGCTTCTGGCAATCCCTGCGGCCGCGAAGTGATCGAGCCCTCTCTTCCAGCTGTAGATGCCAGCCACTGTCATCCCAGCAATGACCGTGCTTCCAAAGTCTCTCTGGCCAGTGGCGACATCATCGTCTCCGCGTGCAAACAGCCGAGCTCGCGAAAGATCAACCATCTCTTCTGTGGCCATAAACAGTGTCGCCCAGCCCGTGCAGACAGACCCAAATTTCGCGCCTTCTTTGATGCCGCCGAGCATGGCATGGTAGTTCTTGGACTTTTGATAGAGGAACCAGCCTGTTTGGGTCGTGGGTAGACGGTGTGCATTCTCTGCTCGATAACGATATGCGCCTTTTGTAGCGCCTTGTGACGCTCCCAGGCTGAAACCACAGGCGAAGGATGCAAGCACGAGGGTAGGAGCTCGTAGTATGAGGGGAATCGAGAGTCGTTCGTTTGGCCATCCAGTGAACCTGACCAGTGTCTCCTCCTCTTTCACTACCGGTCCAGGCTCAGGAAGAGGGCCTTGAGCAGGGCTGCCCATCGGTATGAGCGCGCCATCCTGAACCTCATCTTGCTGGCCGACTTGAGCAGATTTAAATGGCCACATACTCCAACCCGTTGTATTTCGCCTGCTCTCAAATTCCGAGTCCGCGGGGACTCTCTCAGCCTCGACTTGATCCCGAATGCAGTCCACAAGCTCCACGCATATTGAACATACGTAGTACAGCCCTGGCGGGAGATACCTGTGAGTTTCCACTGGCAGGACGGAGTGAACTAGGTCAATTACAGCTCACGCAGGTACCTGAATCGCTGTATGTCAAAGTACGGCGGGCCACAGCTCGTCGGAGTGCATATTTACTTTGCTCACCAAGCCGCCCCTCGATAACTATCCCTGGCTTCTGCCACCACCTTCGGTTCAACCACCGTCAGGCCTGTTCATCTGTCCAACCTGTTATCATTCTCTAATGATCCAGCGAAGCTCACTTTCAATGGTGTATCTTCCTGTTAGCGGTCACCAGTCGTGAGTAGGTACCAACGGAACCTCACATCGCTTTCGCTGTTCGAGCTTCGAAAGATGCTTTCCCAGCAGGTCGCTGCGAGGCCTCTGTGGGCGTCAGCCATGCTCAGCCTTATTTCTCAGCACCAACGATTGCTCCAAAGTGTTTTGAATGGTGCTGTTGGTCTTTTCCAGCCGAATGCTCAAAACAAGTCACGGATTTGGATTTGGATTGCTCTGTGAGCTGACAGATTACCATCATGAACCCTGTTCGATGTTTTTCAATACCTCCGTCGAGCAAAGTTACTTCTACGTCTTCTGGATGTCGAGGCCACTATCGACCGCGTTTCAGCAATGGCGACATCGTCAGCAACGCAGACTACGACCCGGCTTGTCGTCAATAAGTTATCTTACACAGACTTTTGTTTCACTCCCTGCCAGTTCGCGTTGGAGTTGGTGTTTGCCGATGTATATGGACAAGCGAGATCTTGCACCTGCAAGAGTGGCTCGACAAGATCATTTCGCGTCCAGCGGTTCAGAAGGTCCTTTAGACGGGTGCCGAGTCTGGTGGGTATTAGTGTTGGCATGATAAGATATGTAGTGGCCCATTGCTTATTGTGTCATTGAGAACAGGAGCACACATCAGTCATATCACTACTTGTTCTACAACCACCCCTGGCTGTCGTTTGTATAGGTACCACAAGTATCTGTGGAATCGGATGGAAGTCAATGATCATCAGGCGAGGCTGCGGGGCAGCCTTGCGTATTCACTTCCCCGCACCGACTTTTCCTTGCCTGCGACGCGCCCAAACGCGCTTCACTTGGGAATTTGACAAAACCATGCAGTCGGCAACTGCCCACCGAGCTCTGCAAGAGAAGTATCGGTCGATTCTGACTTGCTATTTTATCTTGAGCCCACAGTAATTGCCTGCAGACCATCAGCGGCAGCATTAGTCGCCCCGATAAAAGAACTTAGAGATGGCTTCTCATGACGAGCTTGCTACGTTGCCCACGCCGGACATGATTACACTTCTCTTCAAATGCCACAAGTCCACAGTAGCACTTTCGGTCCTCCCAACGACGCCTTTCGCAGAAGTCAAACCTCTCTTGCTTGGGGCCCTTCAGTCGCGAAACATCAAGACCTTGCCCGGTTCCGACACTCCTCTACCTGAAGACCCCGAGGACCTAGAGTTTGGAGTGTTAGCAGACAAGAAGGACGCCAGCAAGGGCTGGGTACCAATGGTGATCAGGGAGCAAGAGGTTACTGGGCCCCGAGGTCCGAAAAAGAAGGTTGGAGGCAAAGACTCGGTCCTCAATCAGAGTCCACGTGGGGCTGGTCTTAGTGATGGGGCTTGGATTGCATATCGGGTGAAGCCAGAGCAGAAAGAGCCAAACGGTGAAGCCGACGATGAAGCCGACGGCACCCCAAACATCGACGTAGAGGAAGATGTCGGCTTTGATGTGGTCATTCCAAGCTTTGAAGACGAGGCTGAGTGACAATCGACGCTTACTCACTGTCATGGACCCCCAATTCTTGGTTGCAAACTGGGAGAACGAGATAATACCTACATCATGAGTCAAATTCATGGTGCGGCCGCCCTCGGGAGAAGAAGCAGAAGCAACAATTTCTCACTTTCGCGCCAAAATGGACGAATGGCTTCAGTCGTATCGTTCGCCCTTTCTCGCATGAGGGCAGGCGTGCTGCAGGTTCGAGACCCGGTGGAAAATGTTGTCATTTCAGTTCTAGGCGAGGAGTTATTGCGCTCATACTGCTGTTGGCAGGATTCCAGCCCCCATCGGGCTTATGCACCCTCTCGCAACTGGGAATCTAAGCGACTGGTTAGTGCAATTGCAAAAGCAGGCAAAGAGCACGGGGCAGGGGGATAATGTGCCTGCCAGCTCGATTACGAAGAAAAGTCACCAGACGAAGGCGAATCCAAGCGGTTGCAAACACTGCGTATGAAGTTGTGTTCTATATCTGGAAACACAGCGGGACGGTTTCCCCGCAGTGTGACTAGAGGCTGACACCGGGTCAAAGTGTGAAAAAGACAGAGTAGCTATGTACTAGGCATTGACAGGTCAGGACTCAGAAAGACAGCAGCCGAGAGCTAGTTCCGTAGAGTGCGTAGCTAGAAATCGAGCCTGAGCGGCAATTGGGCGAGATTCAAGTCATTAAGCGGCATTGAGGAGAGGCTGAACAGGTGCACCTCTTGGTATCTGCCTCCCGCCCATAATCAGTGTTCAATCAGCCCGCCTTCAATCAGGGCGAGCATCTGCAGCTGACTCTTTGTTCAGCCCGTTCGATTGTCTCCGGCTCACCCAGTGCGCAACTCGCTGTAATTGACATCTTGTTTGTCTCGTCCCCTTCGCGGCGGAGGCGGCTTCAATGCAGCGGCTCTTCAAGACCAACAAGTCGCAGGCCTCGATCGAAGACCCCCAGGCTCATCAAGCTCACCCTGATCCACATCTCCATCAGCAACAGCAACAGCCCCCTCCAGGCGGACGCCAGCAGCAACTCTACTTTGACCCCCAACATCAACCCTACTCGCACCAGCAATCGCAACAGCAGCCATTTCCTCCAGACTCTCGCTTCCCAGGACAAGGACAGGGACAAGATCTGCATCATCAGACCCCGTCTCAGCCCGATTCCGGTGCCCCTCCTCATCTGAACCGCAGTCAGAGCAACCGCAACTCCTCCATCCCAGACGTCTATGGACCCCAGCGGCCACAAGTGAACGTTGTTCCACCGCTGTCTCAACAACACGACGCCTTCGTCCCCGAAGGTCCCGCGCCGGTTCCTGGACAGACTCAGTTCGGCAGGTCAACACAAGTCCGCACCATTGAGGACAAAGAACACAAACGGTCCAAGCGTAACATCATCTCAAGTCTGCTGAAAGACAAGAGCAAAGACGACGAAAGACATCGAGAGAAAGAGAAGGAAAACAACTCGGTCGAGCGCAAGCCTCTGGGGCGGTCAAGCTCGGTACATCTTCTCAGGAAATCTCACCCGCCTCCTGAGCAGCCTCCTCGCGAATCGTACTCGACTCAGACATCTCCTCAGTCACAGTACCCGTCCAGGCAGTCCGTCTATTATCCTCCACCACCGACAGAGGCTACCGACCCACGTGCAAGCCAGGCTGCTGACCAAACTACATACGAGCAATACCAGAGGAACCAGGCTCAATTTGACTCTCCTCAGAGTCAATTTACTCACCATTCCATCGAATACACCGAGGACGCGCCTCATTTCAGTTCGCAACAGGAGCAATATCAGGCTTATCACCAGTCCGAATCTGAGAATACCTCGGACCAGTACTTGCCCTACCAAGCCCAATCGTCGAGACCGGGCAACGTAGACTCTGACCATTACCAACATCTCAGGCCCCCTTCACAGACATCTCTGGGCCCACCTTCACCCATCAACACCCCGGCCCAACCTCAGACCGGCGGTCCCGACTCTCGGCCCTCCACAGCTGCCACCAATCGATACTCGGCGCAGTCTCCTCCTCAGGGGCAACAGCCACCCCCATCGGTCATGGCGAGAGGCGACCCTCCTAACGGGGGTATCCGCCAACAGCTGTCCCAGCGTGAGCGAGGCTCCGATGAGCAGGTTCAATATCAGAGCCAAAACCAAGCCGATCCGAGAGCGAGAATGTCCCAGCAGCAGGCCTCCGAACAGGGCCGAAACACGCCTCCTCCCCGGAGCCGAGAGGACATTACGCAGTTAGACTTTGCTTCACTTCTTGCGCGCCATGAGGAATTGCAGGCCAAGTACTCCAAGGTCAAGCGATACTACTTCGAGCGAGAGGCTCAAGTGACCCAGTTGCAGAATACTGTGGCAAATCAGCGCCTATCAATGTCCAAGACTTCTTTAGACGACGCACAGTACACGGCCAGATTCGAGCGCTTGAGTCAAGCCATCAATAATCTCTCCTTCAACATCCGGAAAAACTGGCGCGCAATCCCACCGTGGCTGCGCCATGTGTGCAATCAGGATGCTCACACAGTTGGGACCAAAGAAATGACTGCGGTAGGACGCGCTTGTATCACACGCTGGCTGTATGAGAGTATCTTCCAGCACACGTTCCATCCCGGCATTGAACCGTCGTTATCCGCGCAGTTGAAGCGGATTGAACACAATCTCCGTCGCGGAGGGCAAGCTGGCGCCATGCTCACCGATGAACAGCGAGACGACTTGACGACCAAGATCACGACCTGGAGGCTCACCACTATAGAAGGACTGCATGATATGCTGGGGTCCCAGCAAGCCGAACACTACACCGAGACCATGAACAAGCATTATACCCACCAGCTCACCGAGTCCTTGAAGGCAAACCTGACGGATCCCCCGCCACCGGGACTTGTTGAGGGCGTCGGCATGATTGTCGGACAAGCCATCGGCATCGCCTCCAACATCCCGCTCGAGTCGCGCGACATCTGCATCGAATACTTCATGCCTGGCACTCCTCTCAATGAGGCGTACATGAAGGTGGAGCCACAGATCGTCGCCCTGACCAATCCTGGACCCGACGAACGGATCCTGCAGCAACAGGCAGCAGAGGCGAAAGCACGGACAGAGGCACAAGAAGCCGATCAGATGAGCACTGCCAGCACAGACGATGGGCCCCGTGATGTGGAAGCCGAGATTCGTGAAGCTGCCGGCAAAGCGGCGTCGCAAACCGCCCAGCAGCCTGGCCAGCAAGGACGCAATGAAAGCGTGGCAAGCAACGCCAGTCAGGCAACCGTCAAGGGTTCGGGTGACAAGCAGTCCAAGAAATCAGGGTTGTTTGGTGGTTTTGTCAACAAGAAACCGTCCATGTCGTCGCGCGGTGGTGACCGTCCAGAAGTTGCTAACATCAACTCGGCGCGGGGCGAGGGTGATGATGAGCGTGGTAATGTTAGGAACAGCATGGCCGTTGATCCTGCGTCCATGGTGCCTCCCTCGATCGCGAACGAAGGACGTATCAGGTTTGCAGCTTTCGTGGCTGTTGAGGTCAGGGGCAAAGGACCAGGAATGGCGCCGACAAGTAGTGCAGCCAGCGGCAAGGAACCCGGGTCGACCGCGGCAGCAGCAAGCCCCCAGTCCTCGGTCAATGTCCTTTTCAAGGCGCCTGTCTACGAATACTAGATGAGCAAGAGCGTGTACGGCAGTGGGATATAAGGCATTTGCTAGCGATGGTGATGTCAAGGCAGCGATGCAGTGATGGGTTGGCTGGGGAAGCAAAATGTTTTGGGTATCCAATTGGACCTCTCCTACTTGTTTGAGCCCTTAAGCGAAATGGATAAAGTAGACGAGGACGATGTGCGAGATGACATGGTTTAAACCTGCGTGGGCGTGGCAATCCAGTCCCTGTCTGCATGTGATGTGTGCTCGGGCGACCTTGACGGCAACGCCTTCGGAGCATGCTTCAGGCTCGGGAAGGCCCCTAGGCTCCGCCCGGAGGCCAAGCGAAGGCCACAGGGGGGTGCGGCTCCTCCGTTCAGTGGCTGGTCGGTGCATGGGCTGCCCTTGCGCTCGCTCGTTGGGCCGCTGTTCCATCTGTGAGCATCGCCCTTTTTCAGCTCCCCGAATCCCATTTTCCTTTCCCCTTTGCCGTTTCCCGTGTCTCTTCAGGTTGCAACCTGACAAAAAGGCGGGGTCTTCGTGATGCCTTGCGTGCGCTGGGCAACATCGTCTCACCGATTGGCTCTAGGCCGTTCGTTGAAGCAGCCCTGGTGCCGTGCTTTTTCAGACGCCAACATTGCCATCTCAGTTGCCTCGAGAGCAAAATAGAGGCAAACTTCCCCATTTTGCTCCTTTCTTCTCTCTATATGGCTCTGTAGTGCTCGCCGACACCCTTCGTCTCGCGGAGCTCGTTTCCACCTGGTCTTCATGCCCACGTTAACGAATAAAATCGAGGACCCATGTCAGGAATGTCGTGGTATGTCGTCCCGTCCCATGGCCCTGGGCTGGCTTGTTGACTGATGGCTGCCGAAAGACCGCCACCTCAAGTGTAAGTCGACTGCATCTTCTTGTCTCTGGTCTCATGGCAGCCTCCACACGCTATCACGTCTGGGTGCTGCAGGCGTCGATTTCTGCACGAAGGCTGCGAGACGTGCCACAGGGACCAGCCGTTGCTCACCGCCCCTGTCATTCATTCTCAGCCCCGTTACTACCATCTCCACTTCCCTGGGCTTCCCTTCTTCCCGAGCTGACTTCCCTCAGGCGACGATAGCTATCCCAAATGCAAACAATGTGAACGGTTGGGCGAGAAGTGTCGGAGGGGAAAGGGCAAGCTCAAGTTCCGGGTCGGGTCGAGCGCAAAGTACGACGCTGCCTTTGCCAAAGATCAAACATGGCTGGAGCAGACCAAAAACGGTAAGTGTGTGTAACCTTTTCACAGAGTTTTCGGTGTTCGAGACAAAGAGCCGTGGAGGGGAGCATGAGGTGAAAGTCCTCACCCGTCCTTTATACTTCCCTCATGTACCTCCGCCACCACCGCCGCGCTCCAGCACGAGGTATTCATCTCGTGTCACACCGCCGGAAGCTACGCTGGCAGCTGCTGTGTACCCGTCCACCCCGCTCAAGCGCAAACTCCTACGGGCGGCTGGCCTATCAACTTGGATGCTGACGATGCTCTTTGGCAGCGAAATTTCAATTCGTCGATCAAGGACCCGAACTAGAGAACTATTATTCCCAGGATGATACCGTGATAAGTACGGCCAAATCGAACAGTGACGAGCAAAGACGGGAAGATGCGCCCGGTCTTCCGAAGCGGATAGAGCCTTCAGTTGAGACTGAGCTCTTTCCGACGACTCGCATCCTACCACCGACCGAAGCTTCTACTTTTCTCTCACCCGTCGACATCGCCCACGAGGCTGTGCTGGTGCACTCTCCCATCAAACGGAGGAGGACGGCAGACGAGACCAGCACAGGCTTCCGGTCTAATTCGGAGCGGGCATCTCATGCCGCGTACGACGCCATCCGTTCGCAGTATCGAATCTACGATTTTCCCAAGGTCTTTAACTCGGTCAGTCCGGACGGCTTCACCTATATGCCGGGGCAAAAGCACGTCCCCAAAGTAGTCGAGGCGGAGTACCGTCGACTGGCAGATTCGGCGGCCGCGGCCATTCCGGCGGAATCGCTACTCTCGCCCACCATATGGAAAGAGGAATTCTACTGGCCGAACCAGTTTACCACCATACAATGTGCTTGTTTGATGCGGTATTACATCGAAAATCTGGCGCCCTGGGTAGGCTCCCTGCTTCGCAGATCATGTGGCAGAGGCTGACGGGGCGCAGTTTGACGTAGGAGACCCTGCCAGACATTTTACATTGGCCGTGCCCCAACATGCAAGGCGATGTCCTCCATTGCTCAACGCCATCTTTACTCTTGCCGCCCGACACCTTGCGTCGCTCCCACATTTCAAGACGGCCGATGGAGTGATTGAGTATCAAAGCATCCGACTTCCCAAGTTGACCGAAGAGACTGCTGTGAAATACCATCAGGCGTGTATCGCGTACCTCATCAAATTGGCCACCGATCCCGAGCATGTGCGGGACGAGAACTTGTTGGCGGCTGCAGTCATCCTGCGCTATTATGAAGAGATCGACCCATCCTTGACGGGGGAAGATATCAAGACACTGATCCACACCTTCCAGCTGTTTGTCAACGCTCAAGCCAATCCGTACGCATATTCCATGGACGACGGGAAGCATACCGAGTACCTGAGACCAGGGTCGGCCGTGGGGACGTTCGACAACTGCCTCGCATACTTGAAAAGCTTCCAACATGCATCGTTTCGGGTGGCGCTGCGTCAAGAGATCACGATCGCTTTCTTGAAACAACGGGCCGTCCGCCTCCCACTGGAGACGTGGAGCGTGCTGCAGGGGTTTGACGAAGCCGAGGACTTTGTTTGGTCAGATCGGCACCTCTACCACTGTGCAAAGGTCTTGCAGTTTTGCTTCGGCGGTGATAACAATAGTGGTAAGACGCAAATTGAACGATGGAGCGAGCTTCGAGATTTCGAGACGCACTGGGATCAATCCAAACCCTTGTCGTTCATGCCGATCCATTATCAGGAGCCGGACCGCGCCAAGGGAGAATGTCTACCTCACATATGGTACATGGCCGAGGTCCACGTCACGGGGCTGTTGTCGCTGGACCTGGCTCGGATCTTGTTGACAGTATACAATCCCAACATTCCCAGGATCGGACCTGGAGTCACGGCCGCGCAGAGGCGCATTGCGGACGAGGTGCATGACGTCGTGATACGACTGTGCGGGACGGCCGTGTCACTCGGAGGCACGGCGGCAGCGACCCCTTCTTCCCAACCGGCCATGGTGCAAGCGTACGTGGCCATCGTGGTCTGCGGAGAGTATTTTACGGACCCTGTCGAACAGCGAGCTCTTCTGGGGATTTTGGACAGGTTGAAGAACGATCACGGCTGGCCCACGGCAAGGGCTGCCCTGCGGTTGAAACATGAATGGGGCTGGACTTGACGGGGTCCTGCCTGGACAGGTACCCGGGTTCGGTATTACATACTTTTGACGCACGACCTTGGCAGCACTTGAGCGTTTGACGACTTCTGCGACAGCGTTTGGTACACTTGTACTCATCGCATGAGATACCACGGGACAGCATTGGGATATGGGCGATGGAAAAGGAAAGGCAATGGGACTGGGACTGGGACTGGGATTGGGCATGGAATCAGGATCGCCAAAGGATGATTGAACTGGCCTCATCAGCCCGGAACAGGAACACGCAAGGAATCTACATGCGACGGCTGCCAGTTACGGAGGGGGTGCAGGGGGTGTTGCATTCTCACGCTACCTCTGCTGTGAGTCCCAAACGGTGCCCCACAGGCCTTTTTCTGGGAGCGGGCTCATGCCTACGAATAATCACTGTGTACGGAGTACTAAGTACGCGTATTGGCAGCTCGCAGTTAATACCTACCTACTGTAGCTTGTCGAGGCTTGCCACGCCTTCGGTGGATGATCGGCCGACTCGTGGCTCTCGCATGTTGACTTGATGCCGTCATCAGCAGGGAATGAATGCGACTTCCCCTCCTGGTCGCACCCCCCCCTCGATACCCCTCCCCTCGTTCTTTTGATCAGCGTCATTACTAATTGACAATAGACAGTGAGAAGCCAGACGCAGACTCGGGACTCACTGACGGGAACCAACGACCGGCTATGGCGCAATCTCTCCGTCCATTGATTCACTGATTCATTGACTATTGACTATTGAAGCCGCGTCTCCGTCTTCGCAGGTTCCTTTACTTTCCTCTCACTTCACACTGAGGAACGAACCTGCCCTGCCTGCCCTCATCCTGTTATTTTCTCTGTCTCAAGGAACGAGACCGTACCTGGGAAGCACCACACCAACCAACACGAGTTGGACCACCCTCGTCCACCCACCATCATGGCCAACAACCTCTACATCGCCGAGACGCCCAAGGAAGTGGCAGAGGCCAAAGGCCTGCACCTCATCACGCAGAACACGCCCAACGGCCAGGCCACGCAGATCCTCCTGGAAGAACTGGCCGACAGCTACGGCACGCAATGGACCACCACGCTCATCAACATCATGACCAACGAGCAGAAGAAGGAGTGGTTCCTGCGCCTGAACCCCAACGGCCGCATCCCCGTGCTGGTCGACAACACGCAGTCTCCGCCCTTCTCCGTCATCGAGACGTCCGCCCAGCTGCTGTACTTGCTGAAGTTCTTCGACAAGGAGGACAAGTTCGGCTTCAAGGACGAGTTGGAACGGAACGAGGCCCTGCAGTGGATCTTCTTCTGGCACGGCGGCGGTGCGCCGTACCAGGGACAGGTCAACCACTTTACGCGGGCGGCGCCGGAGAAGATCCCATGTACGTTTGACGTGTTGCGTCTAGCCGCTCCCGTGTGCCTTACCCGTTTGTGCCTGTACTGACGTGAGGTGTGCTCACGCGCATTCAATTAGACGCCATCAACCGATACAAGAACGAAACCCTCCGCGTGTACGGCGTTCTCGAGATCCGCCTCTCGGGCATCTACGCAGACGGGCCGCGCGACTACCTCGCCGGCAAGGGCAAGGGCAAGTACTCGGTCGCTGATATCAAAACGTGGCCGTGGGTCAAGGGCTGGGAGAGGAGCGGGTTCACCGCCGACGAAATGAAGCCGTTCCCGCATCTGATGAAGTGGGTTGACCGCATTGCGGCCAGGGAGCCCGTGCAGAGAGGCATCGGCGACAAATACGTGCAGAAGTAAGTGAGTGTGTGTGTCAGTCGGTCGATATTCTGCTTGCCACATGATCCGTGAGATGTGAGGTGGCCGTTCTGGAACGGTAGTGGTAGGAGAGGGGGGGGGGGGGGAAGACCGACCATCACATCACCTTTACGCATAAAGAGATGTGGGATAGAACAAGAGCAAAAGCAAAAGCAATGACATACGCAATGGCATATCACAACAGCATTGGCGACCGATTGATGAAACCCAGTCCGCGAGCCCAAACCGCGATCGACTGCAGTTCTGTGTCAGTTGCTCAAGACAAAGCATGCATTCTATGCACTCCGTTCTACACCCAGTGGCCCAGGTTTTCCAGTCAATGTTGTCGTTGTTCGCCACGCCTCAAACTATTGTATATCAACCACGGGCTAACATGGACGTGCTCTCTCATTCCCTGGGAGGGCACACGCTCGCTGCTCAGGTCGAAACTCTGATTCCATCATCCGACACGGAGCCTGTCTGTGGCGATTACGGGCAAATCCTGTAAGGCAAGACTGCAAGACGAATTCTGTGATCTATCAGGTGTCTATGTCTATCCCATGTGCTGATCCGCTTTTACATGATCCCAATCAATCGCGATACTTGACCATGACATCCTCTAACAAGCGCGTAATCTCTGCCTTCCTCTCACTCGAACACCAACTCCCCTCGATGGAATTGCGCACAATCCGCTCCCACTCGGCCGTACTCAGCCCAAACGCCTCTTGCACAGCACAGTAGTTATCCAAGATATACCCGCCAAAATAGGCCGGGTCGTCACTGTTGATACTGAACTTGACACCGGCGTCGAGGTAGCGGCGGACGGGCAAGTCGGCCACCCGCTTCACGCACCGCAACTCGACATTCGACAACGGACACATGGTGACCATGATGCCCTTTGCGACAAACTCGGCCATGACCGCTTCATCCTCGACGAGCTTGATCCCGTGGTCGACGCGCGTGACGTGCAGCTCGTGCAGCGCCGCGGCCATGTACGTGACGTCGGCTTCCTCGCCCGCGTGCGCCGTGCGGTTGAACCCGCGGGCCTCGGCGTCGGCGAAGATGTCGCGATACTTGGCCGGCGGGTTACCCAGCTCGGTGCTCGAGAGGCCCAGACCGGTTACGAAGTCGCCTGCCTGAAGATCCGGGATGGCGCGCCTGTACATTTCCAGACCGTCCTCCGGTGGCAGGTGGCGGAGCACGCACACGATCAGGGCGCAGGAGATGCCCAATTCGGAGCGCGCGCGGGTCAGGGCGGCGCTGAACCCGGCCACGACGGTCGCGTAGTCGACGCCCCGGCTCGTGTGGGCTTGCGGGTCGAAGAAGACTTCGGCGTGGACGACGCCGCCGTCGTGGGCGTGGTCGTGGGCGGCGGCGACGCGCGCAAAGTACGCGCTGGCCAGGGCTTCAAAGTCGGCCGCCGTGCGGAGCACCGTCATGCCGATGAAGTAGTAGTGCAGGAAGTCGTCGAGGGAGGTGAAGCGGCGGTAGCGCGCGACCAGGGCCGCGGGGCTGGCGAACGAGGCGTCGTCTTGCGGGAGGGTGATGTTGTTTCGGGCCGCCAGTTCGAAGAGGAGGTCTGGTTCGAGGGAGCCTGCGGACACAAACGGTAAGTATGTATGGGAGTGAGTCAGTAAGTTAGAGAGGAAAAGAGGGGTATTCTACGTATGTATGTATGTTTGTATGTGTGTATCGCCTGATCTCGTCTTGTGTCGTCTCGTGTTGTCTCTCGTACTCTGTATAGGAGAGCATACTATCTTCAACTCACTCTCTCACTCACTCTCTCACTTACTCACTCAGTCACTCACTCACTGACCCGTACACTCACTCATACACTCACTCATACACTCACACACTCACCCTCCCCCGTCAAGACGCAAACCAGGTAAACAGACAGACGGACAGACTCGCACGTCAACTCACCTTCCAAATGCATATGGTGCTCACATTTCGGCAGAGCCTTGAGAAACTCGTGCATCTGCCCTTGACACATCTTGAGACGGGAAGTGGTCGGAGGGAATGAGTAGAGGAGAGTTGATCCTATGTAGCACTCCTCTTCCTTCTTGCTTGGTCGTCGTTTCAGAAACTGTAATCAGTTAATTATGGCGACAGTGCTTGTGCTTCCAGGGTATCTAGGATCTAAGATCTAAGATCCAACCCTCCTCGAGGGTTCTTTGATCTGCCGGCTGGGAGCAGTGTCGTGTCGTGTCGTGTCGTGTCGTGTCGTGTTATACCGCGTCTTGTCGTAATCACAGGACGTCGATGAATTTCGGGCGTCGGTGCTTTGGCGTTGTCGTAATCACAGGGACGTCGATGAATTGAGAGAGTCGGTGCTTTGGCGAACCAGTGACGAGGTGAGGCGATCTCCCGCCACCCAAGCTACGTACGGAGTACCAATGTATTGATTTCCTTGCTTCTCTCTCTCTCTCTCTTTCGGCTAATTATCACATCAGACCAGGTCAGATACCGATTCTCAATAACAACGATTGAACCTCAGGCAGAGAAATCAACGTCGCTTATTGCTGGGTGGTGAGAGGGAAAAATCCTATGGGCAACCCCCGTCCAGTCCAGTCCAGTCCGGTCGGCAACCTCCGAACCTGACTGAGCAAGTACGAGGACATTCCACCAACACGCACTGGAATCCGCAGCGAAGGCTGCTTACATACCGTTCGCTGCTGCGGTCGTCAGATACGGGATATCATGCTACGTTAGCGCATGACACGGCTCGAGAATAGACATCCGAAACAATCGGCTGCGGACGGGACGTTGACAATAATGAGAGAGGATGAAGTGAATCAATTCTGCCTGACTCGACGGAGCCTCTCAGAAGACTCTGTACAGGCAGGCTACCATCGAAGCCCCTAATAAGAACACCACGGCTAGTATTTACAGCGCGTAGACGTCCTCTTGGTAAGAATACTTCTGTACAGCTCGAATGTCATCAGGCATCCAAATTCCGCCCGTTTGCTGCCTACCCGAGATCATCCTTCGACAACGTCGCTCATTTCCAAACTGGTGCGCGCATACTCTTTGCCCAGTCCGACCCCTTTCAATCTGGCATCAATCACAGCCCCGATACAGCGTCCCATTCCTTCAAGATCCCCCATGATCCCAACATGGCCGCGGTCGCTCTCCACTCGGCCTCCTTTGACGCACAGATATCCGTCTGGCAGCTGTGCCGCACTTGCGAGTACCACCCCGTCGCCGGCTGCAAAAGCCAGGTCATCAAATGCTTCGGTGTATTTGATCGCTTCCTTGTTGACCACTCGCACTCCGTACACAGTGGGCACTGTCTTGCCGAAGATGATCGCATGCGGTGGGTAGACATTGCTCGCCTGATGGCTTGGATTGAATTTGAGCTGCTGCTTGAAGACTGAAACCTCGGCCAACGTACGATCCAGATAGTCCATTGCAACGTCTTTCGGAATCGTCACGGCAGTCGCCACGCTTGGTCGCTGGTGTGTCTGCTTCATGGACATCCCAACCATGCCCTCCGCATTGCCCTCAATATCTTGCTCAGCCTCCAACGCCTTGTCGTTCATTCGCTGACCGAGTCCGTCCAAGGGTTCTCTAGCCTCTGCATGTTGCGATAGTTGTCCCTGAGAAGCTCCACCCCCAAGCCATGAACTACGCCTAGCAGTTCCGGTAATGCTATCGGAGAGATGGTCCATAATGCTCTTCCTACCATCATCTTTTCCTTTGATTCTGTGATCTAGCGGAGGATTGATACAGGGAGATAGTCGGTACTCGTCCCAGGTCTGTGGGTCAAAAAAGTCCAGATCGAATCTTTTGTTAGTATGCTTTTCGATGAAGCAACGGCCATCTTCTGGCAGCAGGGCAAAACTGGTCCGAATGGTGAAGTTGACTTGTGCAGTGAGTACCCTGGAACTCAAAAGGACATCGTCCCCGTTCCGCAGAGGTCCTAGGATATTGACACAATGTTGCGGAGTCCCAGCAAAGACCACACCGGCGAAGAGTTCAGGACGCTGATTCACCGCGTGTCGCGTAATCAAACCACCAAGGCTGTGTGCAATAACAATCGCTCCTCGCATTCTCCGTGGCGTCTCAGGATGGTTGGACTCGAGCGATTCCAAGAATTTTATCAATTTCCCACTGAGCAAGTCAGGACTCAATCGCCAATCATAGCCCCAGTTATGGACTCTGAGCTTGTTGTCGCGAGCATTCGGGCATTTTCTCATGTGCTTAAGAAGCCTCCTGCAGATATCAATTGGCCCGATATGTGAAAGAATGCCGTCTGGGATGACCGTCTGTTCCATCCGCTCTTCGTCCTCCCGTGTGAGGCCCACCTCAAGGTCCACTTTGCGTAGGTTGAGGCCGACCTTGATGGGCACCCAGAGTTGTCGATGAGGCGGTTTGGCCGATCTCAGGATTGACCCCCTGTAGCCACCAAGTATAACAATGTCGCCCTCGGCCTTAGCCAATGCCTCAGACAGCACAGGGTGAGCTCGTTGCTGGGGCGTTTCCACTTCGATGCTCTTGGCTGCGTTCCGCATTGTCTTCATTGAAGGATGTGGACGGCCTGGAGCGTGCCCTGGCCCAGTGGCAACATCATCGATTTCGCGTGACGCCTCGCTACTCGCCCGCCCTGGTGATGCCCGCCGTCTCGCACCAGGTCGAATTGCTGGAAGCCGCGGTAACTTTATCGTGGAATTCTGAAAGCTATCTGTGATGGCTTTGAGCCTCGAGTTGGCCAGATCGGTTACATGGGCAAAGGCACTAATATCATCAAAAGCGGACGCTCCAGAGACTCTCCTTCTTATGAAGAGCGAGCTCTCCGAATTAGACCGCGCACGACTGAGGTTCAATGCCGGGCTGGATGGCGAAAGGAGGGACTCCACATTGCCATCCACCTGGCCCCGGGATATAGTAAATTCATCTCGAACTGACGATTGTCCTGGCTGCGTGCTGCCGGAAAAATCGCCTGTTCCCCATCGCTGCAGTGGTTCTCGGATAGAGAACCGAAAACTCCTGGTCATTGGAGTGTTTTCACCGCTAGTTGGGGTTCGCTGGCCAGAGTCCTTACTGTTCGGAAAAGATAGGGAACTTGGACTCTTGTCGAAGTTTGCTGAAGGTAGTTCTGGCAGCAACCTGCGAAGGTTGGCTAGTGGGCCCGACAGACTTCGTCGTCGTCCACTGGCAACTCCGCCAAGAATGCTCTTTGTAATGGACCGCCGCGAAGGATGTGAGTTGTCGTAGCTATCTCCACCGCCTACAAGATGCGAGACGTCGGTTTCGGAGTGTCGAGGCTGCTGAGGAATGTGGTCTCGCACGGGTGGGGATGGCGGTCTCCGGGTGGGTGGCGGTGGGAACCGGTATTGATAAGGCTGAAATGCATGTGAATCTTCCACCTGGATCTGTGAAGGGTGCGTCGCTTGAAAGGAGATGTCAGAATGATCGACAGTTTTGCCATAGATCCGTTCTTGCCGATAGGACGATAGCGACTCTCTTGACCAGGACCTCCTATCCACTGCCTCGGGGGATGCGGAACTCCCGGGACTGCTTTGGAAGATTGCTGGTGGCCTGTAACTGCCTAGCCTTGTACGGGGTTGTGTATCATTTGCTTCGCCTGCGTCACTACCATGGTCGGCATCCTCACCTATGCTGAGCATCCGTTGAAGGTACTCGACCGTCAAGCCTGGGGCTCCCGCCTCCTCGGACGCCAGGGCACCGGTTTGAGTATTGTTTGCTCCGTCTGCGTCGTTATCCTGGTCGCGATCCTCAGCCATGCTGAACATTCTTCGAAAGTACTCGATCGTTAAGCCTAGCGCTCTCGCTTTCTCGGACGCCGGTGTATCTGGCGATCTCATCTGCGTCTGGACGCGACTCAAGCTGACACCGATCAGTTCGTCGCCATGGAGGTCTTCCGTTTGGAGACGCAGCGCTTGGCCATGGTTGCCTGAGAGGGTACCAATATCAACGAAGCCGCCACAGCCGTCGGTCACTGGGGAGTAGTCCTCGGCCGGACCGTGAGCGGAAGTGAGGTCGGCTCTCCCAGGAGCACTGGCTAAATTCATGATTGGACGGCGAACTCATGAAGCATGTGAGACTAGAGCGGGCTGGGTGGTGGAGGGTGCGGCACTTGTCGAAATGGTGTTCCGTCCCGTCTAAAGAAGGAGCCCGCTCGGGATAATATAAGGCTGATGGGCCAGGTACAGCGCGGCTCTTGAGCTGAGATACGGTGCTTGTTATGATTGGAGATGGTCGAAGCGATGTTCTGGGTTCCAAGCTCGAATCTGACAGTTGTGGGACTCGCCTTCCGTTGGTGAGGCTGGACCTGTACGAACAGGCCTGGTGAGACGAGCAAAGCCGATGCCATAAGCGAGCGGCCGAACCATTGGATCGCGAAACTAGATCTGATGGACGGTGACTAATAGTCTTAGGTTGCAGGAAGGGTCAGGTTCCAGACTTGAGAAAGGGCGTGGGGATTCCGCTCATTGCTGGATCAAGGAAAACAAGGCGCGATAAAGATGGACTTGCGAGGTACGATGAAGGCGACAGAGAAGAGAAGAGAGCGAGCGGACATGCGAATGAGCTGTCATGAAGCAGCGCAACCGTCTTTACGACGGCGGGAAAGAGCGGATCAACTGTGAGACGAGGTAGGAGGAAGCTCGTCCCGGAGGTGGTGGCAATCGCTTCGTAGCCATCACCGACGGCCATGACTTGGACCAAAGAAATGGCATGGGCAACAGCAAGCACGTCGAAGGCCTTGATACGGAGTAGCATTGCTACGGTATCTCGTCTCACCTGTATCTCACTTCGCCTTCACTTGTACGGAGTAGTTGAATTGGTTATCAAAGATGACACACTAAGGCTTGGACCGCCCAAGAAAGCAATCGGTCAGTCTGGGGCATCGCCGAGCCCCTAACTAGGTAAGAGTAGGTAAGTAGCTAGAGGGGAGCCCTAAGCTTTGTTGGTGGGAGCCCGCCCCTAAAGTCCACCGCAACTAAATCCCTACTTACCCTGCTGCCCCTGCCTGGTACCTATTGAATGTGGATTCGGTGCTTGCTGTGTATCCACTGTCGGCGGGTTTGCGGCCCTGCGAAGAAAAAAAGCTTGTCCTCTACTTAATTGATACTGGATCCCTCACAGCGGCGGTTAAAGCTCCCCTACAGGGTCCTTCATCCGCCAACAGCTGCTGTAGCAGAAAGTCATGGCAACCCCATGGCAAATAAATGGTTGTGACCTTGAGAACATATAATGCCAGGGAGTCACATCTCAATCTGGGATCTCGTCACGGGCACTGTAACATGAAGACCTTGTGCAGCGCTACAACTTTTCCCGGCCGCCCCTTTCAGCTTCAGGCGTGGACAAGGCTTCCACGGTACGCTACCACTTCGATGAACACGAGCCTGGTTGGTCGGGCACAGATCAGAGAATCGCTATAGCATGATATCTGGTTGACAGTTTCAGGGTGGTATTGCCTACACTTGCTGCAAACACAGGACAGGGCTACGGGCGACTAGATATTGGACAGACCGACCAAATCTTGATCTTGCGATTGATGATGACTGACTGAGACGTCTGGCTTGCAGCGACACTGTTCAATGGGGATCGCCGCGGGTAGGACTCAACCATCACGTAACTGGTACTGTTTGACCGGGCATACTGCTACCCATCCTGTTCTTACCGCGTCACCACATCATCAAGAGTCTGCCTGCCGCTTCTGGCTTGAACTGACTCAGATATATCGGGACTCGAGAGTGGCGGTCCTGGTCTCAAGGAAGGTCCGGAACTTCAAGGGGGCTGCTTCTAGTCACAGCATCCCTACGATGAATTCCCTGGGAACTCAACGCAACTCCAAGATACCAGCCAGGCGCAGCTGGCAGCCTCCGCTTCCCTCGATCTTTGCCTTGTACCTTTCTCAGTCACCTGCATCAACAACGATATCAGTTCGACGGACGGAGCTCGCATCTTCATACACTCTGTGGGTACGACGAAGGAAACAGCACAAAGCAAACAGGGTTATCCACGGTGTGACAAGCAAAGCACATGCATAACTTCTACTGGGCAGGAACGAACCATTCTCGTTCCGTTCACTTCTCGTTTGTTGTTAATAGTCACAGTGGACATATTACTCGTGTTCAATGGCATCCGCATTCTACTCATTATGGACAACCTCGCCATCAGTGACTAGCCGCAACCGGCTCAAACGGACCCAGTATACTGGTATATAGCTCGGGGATGGATCCCCGCCTGCATGGATCTCGTTTCCCACCACCTTGTTTCAAATGGCTAATACACAGATCTGTTCCTCGAAGAAAGAAAAACAATTTCCCGAGTTGAAACTCCGCTTCTCGGGCGGTGAAAACAGCGTGATGGGTGGCGGTCTGTTAGCTGAGGCTCTCTTGTCGCCGAGAAGATATCACAACCTACGAGTCGAACACAAGAAAGCACAAGACGCTAGAAGGGCCGCCACAGCTGCTGATGAGGGCACTACATCCATAAAGGCCGATGATGCTGGTGGTGAAGAGCTAGCAAAAGCCCCAGCCTCCAGGGCCGAGAAGGCTAGAGGAACCCCAAGTAATGAGAAAAGTGAGCAAGGTGAGACATCAGTGGCCACACAGTAAGCGACCTAACGAGACGACAGCATGCGATGCAGAAGCAACAGAAGCCGAGGCAGCTGAGCACAGGGACCTGGAAGCTAATGGTCAGGCACATAAACCAGCCAGGTCAGGTCCTTCAGAAGCTGGATCTGCCAACGGCGCAGGCAGAAAATCCAGCTCCTCATCGCATCACAGCAGCAAGCAGGGTTCAGCCCATGATAGCAAGCAGGGTGCCGCGAGAGACCCCCAAGTCTCTCTCGGGCTACGAGGTGGAGGAGGTCCCCTTCACCGTCACACATCGACTATAATTGCGGATGGCAGTGCGAGAACGGTCCAAACCAGCGGGTCTGGCATCCCGAGAACCCTCGATACTCGTGGCAACGTGGGTGCGCAACCACAACAGCAGCCGCCCTCATTTCGACGTCCATCGCAATCAGTCCCACGGCCTCCCCCGACCAGCGATTCTCGCCCGGCGTTGAACAGACCAAGTGCCCCGCCCACGATCCTCAACGCTTTGCGAGCGAACACCATTCGTCCAGAATCGGCCATTTCACAGCAGCTCACGGCCGATCCTGCGGTTCCGGGTCACGACCGGGCCACCCCCCTGGGTCAACACTGGCAAAACACGCGCGGCAGATGGGACGTGTCTGGAGAAAATGCTCCTAGTGCCATGATCCCGGAAGTGACAGCTCGGCAAAAGATCTCCAAGTGGATTGAGGGCCAGACCCAAAATCCACAGTCGTCTCAAAGCCCAGTCCCTCAGCTCGATATCACTGAACGAACCTGTCCCCGTTGCGGAGCTCGGTTTCCTCGCCAGTCTGCCTCACAAAACCGATCTGGAGCGCGACAACCAGCGCCGTCACAGAATCAGTCCACTCCCAAGAGCCATGCTCCATCTGCTCGCCAGAGCCATAAATCCCCGCAAACCCAGCCTCCAGGTCAGAGCAAATGTCAATGTCCACCAGGCCAGAAGCAAAACCAGAATCAGGACAACAACCAGAGCCCGTCCCAGCAAGGTGAGGAGACTCACCATCAACGAGAGCAGCACCAGCAGCGGGATTCCCATCCACAATTCCATGACAACGTCCACCCGAGTTCGAAGGCTCAAAGCCAGCAGACCTCTACAAGTAAGGCTCAGCCGCCGAAACAGGCCCCGATCGGCCGCCGCGAGTCCATGACAGGGCCACAAACAGCGCAGCAGAGTCGACCTCCGCCGACGTCTCAAAGCCAGCAGGGTTCCAAAACCCAAAAATCGAGCCAGGAAGGGAGAAACCGGAGCAAGAAGACCCTGAGCACGATCACTCATCCTGGTTCCGCCTCTGCTACTGCCGTTGCCTCCACCTCAGCCGCTCGGACCAAGCCATCCAATGCCGCAAAATCGCAGAAACAAATCATCCCCTACGCGCCTCAGCGAAGTCAACCGCCTCCACCTCCGCCTCCTCTGCTGCCGCCACCACCACCACCACCACCACCACCACAGGGACAACCGCAACCGCAACAGCAACAGGCACCTTGCTCTCCCCCTAACTCTCTATCTCCATCCCAACGCCTCCGCCGCGCCGCAGACCACGCCCCAGAAGGATGCTACCTGACGGTCGTACCACCGCACAGCGCCCCTGGCCCTGACCTTGGCCGCGGCCCGACCTCCACCCCACGCCTCCCACCATTCACGCTCGCTGCTAATCTAGCAGACATCGCGGCCCAGCAACAGCAGGATCTCGGCGGTCTGAACCCAGGCTTCGGCGTCAGGTTCGGCAATCTACGCGGCGGGCACGGGATGCCATCCCCACCGTCTCCCTCTCCGTGCCACGGCCACGAGAACGTCACCGACGAGGCCGCGAGAGCGACGGCATATTGGCATTGGAGATGTGATATCGAGACAGAAGTACACTTGGCACGTTGGGGAGAGATGTTTGCGGGATGATGGGTCCTGTTTCTCTTCCAGTTCTTGTTCTTGTTGTTGATCCCCGGTGGGGTGCCAGCGAAGGAAGCCTACCGAGTCTGCGGAGTGAGCACCAGAGCACTGCTGTGGTATGTAAGTCGGGAAGGAGAGGGAGGAAGGGCATGGACTGAAGTGCAACCAGTGCTGAGTGCTGAGTGCTGAGTGCTGAGTGCTGAGTGCTGAGACAAAGCAAGGTGCTCGCGCCGCGATCTCGTCCGCTGTATTCGTGCTTAAGCTCTTCATGTGATAACAGAAAGTACCTAGGTACCTAGATAGAAAGACAAGCACGATCTCCGACATACGAATACTGTACCGGGGAGACGTGACCTGATTCAATGTGGCCTCGGACCTGATCTGATCTGCTCTGAATCACTCACTCACTCACTCTACTGCTCCGATACCAGATTGAAGACATGTATGTAAATTATTCAAAATATTTCATGCACGAATAGACCGAATCTACGAGTCTACGTGCCGACAGTCCATGCCGGAACTGTGATCTTTCACGCCGTCATACTCCGTACCGAAGAGGAATATCCAGTGTGTACTGTGGCCTGTGGACTGTGAACCGTTGGAACCGAGATCCCTGATCGGTCGGCCGGCCATTCAAGGTCAATGAAGAAAAAAGTGGTATTTATCACTGGTAAGTGATGGATTGATGAAGTGATGGAATTCTACACGCGGCGTCTTGTCCATAATCGAATCTTTTGTCTACTCTCGTCTCCTTTCACTCTACTGCACTGAAAGGGTAAGAAGATAGTTGCGGTATCTGCCAGCTATAATCATATCGCTATGCAATTCAGTCATGGAGCCGCCGTCTAGTCACTGGTCTCCTGGACGCTTGATGCCAGAACCAGCACGAGGACTTTTCTCCATTGTATTCACCTCGACCTTGCGTCGTCCGCTCTTCTCCTCCCACATGACCTCGTCCAGTGGATCCAGCAACATGTGTCGGACAGAGTACTTCTGGACAAATACTTTTCGTTTGCCCCTTAGTGGGTCATTCCGCCGCCGTTCGTCGGTTCTGTTGAGGAGAGATCCCATGGACCTGCCCTTGTTTGCCCCAGCACCATCCTGACCCCGTAGGTCTTCATCTTTTGCTGTCCAAACCCAAATATGTCATTCATTAGCGTCGTGGTTCGTTCAGTGTTCCACGTGTATGTGGCAGCAGGCGATAGGCCCAGCCAACGTCCGCAACGGCCTCGGCGGCCGTTGCGTCGTGTCATCATAAGAAAGGGTCGCGCATCCGGCTCGACCTCTGTTATTGCTCCACTCTCGGGCGTTTGGTGCTGGGACCTCCCATCCCCTGAGCGGCACGCTCTTCACGTATTCGAATGGCTTCGGTGCCGTCGTCGACCAAGGTCTCCTTGAACCAGGGATGTTTGAGTGCTTCCTTGGCAGTGATTCTGTTCTTCGGATCATAGACGAAGATCTTTCGTAAAAGGTCGAGTAACTGCCTATTGAAGGACGTATTGGCCGGAATGAACTCCTGTAACAAAATCGTGTCAGCACCGCATTATACCATAAGTAGGCTCACGGGAATGGTAAAACGTACATGAAGATGCTTCATTGCCTTGACGTATTTCCTGGAAGCCTTTGAAGTTTCCTGGTTGGGATATTCCAGTTTGCCTCGGTTGAAGAATTTGGCAGCAGAGTTGGCGTTGGCACCGCGACCTCCCGAACACACTTGCTTGACGAGCTTGGCGTCGATTTTGCTACTGCAGACCGCCTCCATCATTGCAAGGTGCTCAAGATTGTCGTGAGTCTGGAACAGTGCGTCGCCGGTGAAGAACTCTACTAGTATGCACCCTATGCTCCAGATGTCACAGGGGAAACTCCAACCAAGCTGTAGAATAATCTCAGGCGCTCGATAATGCCTTGTTGATACGACCGATGAATGGTATTCGTCGTCGAAAGTGGCAGACCCAAAATCTATCAGGCGGATCTCGCTGTCCAAAAGCACCCTTCGTTGTCGAGCTGTCCTTGACGTGGTATGGGAGGATGACGGTATCGTACGGTTGTAGGTGAACGTCTGATAAGTATTGTGCACGAGAAGGATGTTTTCTGGCTTGAGATCGGTATGGATAAGGTTCAGATCATGGAGGACTGCAGCATGTCAGTGGCAAGTTCGCGCGACATTGGCAGACAACTTACAGGCGACGCTGGTGAACAACTGTCGAGCAAAGTTCTGTATCTGAGAGCTGGGGAACGGCACAAAGCCGTTTCCTTTGAGAAAGTCAAACACACTCTGTCCGAGCAGGTCTGTGACAATGCAGATGTGGTTTCGGAAGTCGAACGAGTCTCGCAGATGGATGCACTTGTTCCGGTTGTTCTTGTCATTGAGGGCCAGCGTAGACAGGACTCGCAGCTCAATCCGAGAGGCATCGCGGTACTTTTGCACTGATCGAATGATCTTGACGGCACATTTTGATTTCTTTTTGGAGTCGTATGCTTCGACGACTTTACCGAAAGTGCCTTGTCCCAGGAGTTTGATGATTTCATCTGTTCAATATGTTAGAACGACCTTGTAGCGTGAAGACTGTTGAACTTACATCGCTCAGCTAGTTTTGTGCCAGGCGTCACAATGTAGTGCCCGTCCTCGTCATCTACTTTCAAATTCTTGTGTTTCTCTGCATCCCGCATCACGGGGACGTGCACATCGGCAGCCTTTTTTAGAGGCTTTGGCGGCGGGATATAGTCAAGGAACGCATCTGGTACAGACTCCTGCTGTTTTCGCTTCGCTTGTGCTCGCGTCTCTTTCTGCGGTTGCACTCTCTTGCGCTTTTGTCCCACCCTGACATCTTCATAACTGTTGCTGGCAGTGTTGCTGCCATACGACTCAAGCGATGTCGGAGCCGTCACCGTCTGAAGGGAAGTGGTTCGATCGCCCGAGTGGTATGAGGCCGACGATGACGCAAACTTTGCTGGGTGTGTTGAGTACGTCGGGCTATCAGTGTACTCGACGTTGTAGCCTTGATCGACTTTTCGTTTCCGGCCCGTGTTTGTTTGATAGGCGGTAGCATCGTGTCTTTGTGGCCGTGTCGTCTGTGCATCAGGCTCTGGACTGTCGTCATCAATCACGATGATTTCTTTGGGAACTCCATTTTTGTAGAATTCATTCCAGTCCGGCTGTCTTCTCAGAGGATCCGGCAACACTGAAGTCGATTGAGAGGGGGCCATTGTGGAAACGTGGGATGGCCCTCTGTACGAGATTGCAGGTGATGGTTGGGGTTGTGGGTAATGAGAGGCGCTGGCGTAAGTCTGATAAGAAGTGTTCAGGCGTGGAGGCGCAGGTACCGTGTTGGTAGCGGGGTAGGTGCGGGTTGTTGGCGAGTAGGGGTTTATGTGAGCATAACCATATTGGCCGTGATGGGCAGGCAAGAGGGTGGTCGCTATCGAAGGTGTAGACATTGTGTTTCAGGCCGGTCGTTCCGCCAGTGGCTCGACAACACAGATGTTGTCGAGTGCAGGGTACGGCATATGAGGCACAGACGAGTGTGAACCCGTGAGATCGGCGTTAAGACTCGAGTCCAGGAGAGGGACGGGTGTTTTGGTGACGGACGAAGGATCAGGGTCGTGGAAGAGGACGATGAGGGTGAGATGGTCGTCGTCGAGGCGGAGTTCGTGGTTCGGGTGAAAACGTGGAGACACACAACCTCAGGCGGGAAACGCCTATTGCTGCACTTCCACGCTCATATCGGCGAGTCTAGCAGGATCATAGGGTGACAGAAAGGACAATGAATGCCGGGGACCGAGAAAGAATAATTTTCGTGCTGGTCAAGTCGAGGCAGGTTCAGTGGGAGAAGGTCGACGATGATGTAGACTGAGGTGTGAAGTGAGGTTTGCACTGTCTCTCTGCCATTAACCAAGCCCGTCGTAGCGCAACTCCAACTTGAACCCTGGACGCTCAGACGCTTCTCAATTTGGGCGTCGGATTGGGGACCGCGTCGTAGCCGGCCGAATCATCACAGTTAAACACCCATGACACCATCCTGACCGGCGACCAGCGACGAGCTGCGTCAGTCCATCGACTATTCGACTCTGTTCGACTCTCTTCACTGCGACCTCCAAAGCGTGCTGCGGCGCATACGCACACCTGACTACGTAGTCCAATTGCCCAACCATTATCGGCCACTGTGTGGTACTGTCACGCTGCCAGTCACTTAGCCGCTGCCCCGGCTTCGTGAGCGACTGCCCCAGTTTTTGCGCACGCGTCCTTGGTCGTCGCTTATGAGGCCTTCCAAGTCCCCGGGCTGCGGCAAATGCGGTAGGCGTACGAAGTATTATCTACCCAGTACGTTCGGATTTACCCAGGCGCTTCTCGTCACGCCAACAGCTTGCGCGGGAAGACGCACCCAGGCACTCACTGGTTTTAGCGTTGCCTTTACATTGACCCTGCTGTATTTATTTCATGGATGGACTGTTTTCTCCCACATGTCCATCTGTGCCATCCTACCGAGATGTTGTTGGGGACGAGATCATGCCGCGGATGACAAGTTTCCGCCACCGGAGCACCGAGTCTGGCTGGCGAAGGCGACGATCCTCCGATACCGTGACACAAGCGATCACGACATGCGACAAGACCCGAATGGCCGATTCGTGGTGCAGTAACGTATTTTGAGCAACCCTTCCGCCAACAAGAGCCGAAGAGCAAGCGGCCCTGGTGATACGAACGAAAGTCGGCGCACAAGCCCAGGCTCCCTCTGACGATGTCAACCCAGCCTGACATGTATCAAAGACGGCTCGTTGGCAATAGATGCGGCACATATGAGATCCTTCATCCTAATGCAGCCATCATGTCATTCTGTGCTGTGCTCGTCTTCCAAATCTCGCAATGAATTGTCGTTTTAAAAGCAATTATCTTACAGTAGGCATGCTTGTCGCCCTGGAGAGCTGCCACGGCATAAAATTCGCTCTCTTCCTATGCAAACTGATGGAAAGAATCTAGAAATGCACATCAAGAATCACTCTTCTCCGGCAAGCTGACTCCTCGGAGGAATGAGCGCGAGGCCCGCCCGTCACTCTCCAATATCAGCAACACGTCTCGAGCCTGGATTCGGGCGTCCTTGTCCTCATCCCAGTGGCCAAACTGATTGTCCTTCGGGGCTGCTCGAGCCCGTTCAGGCGCTGGGGTGCCTGCTGTCGACGTGGGACCTGATAATGGCGGTCTGCCAGGAGTTGCTGCTGGGCTCGCTCCTGCTTTGCCTGCATTCATCCAGTCAAAGGTCCTGCCTGCCTTTTTACGGTTACCCAAGATGCCTGCTACAGCCATCCGCGCGGCTTCATTTGCCGACTTGTGTTGCTGTTGTTCGGTAAATTTGGTCTCAGCCAACTTCCTCTCTTTCTTGGTGGTTTTCTTTTCAGCCTCGAGAGCGGCGCTAGCGGCATCCGGAGTGCTATCACCGGCAGGCGTAGCTGATGCTTCATCCTTCGCGACCGTCCTCCGTTTGACTCTCTTCTGGCGACGCATCTCTTCAGCAGATTTTTCCGTCTGTGACACCTTGTCGAACGTGGAAATCAACCGTTCAGGGACTTGCGCTGGGTCATTTGAGAATGATGGCTCGCTGATAGCTTGCGAGTGCGTGCCTGAGCTGGTCAGCAGTGACAATGCAACGGTAAAAGAGGGACACTCACGCTTTAGGCTGGCGCTGCCTGCTGGACTTGGTGCGCCGTCTAAAGGGTCGGCCACCGCCTTGGATGGCGCTGCTATATCCTGCCATTCATCTGGTACTTTTCCTTTCGAATGCTGCCGCCGTTCCTTGGCCAGTCTTGAAGAAGCACTGAGGAGACCGGTTATTCGAGACTGGGTTGCCAAATTAATAACTTTCATGATGTCTGATAACCGCTCGCCTTTTCCTTGAGTGTCAAGAATAGCTTGACCCTTGTCGATGACACGGGAAGCCCCTTCGAGGCCATTGACCCGCACTGTGGGCGGAGGCATATGCTTCTGGGTGTTCACTAGCACTCCAGACTGCGGATCAACCAGATGTTCGGTGATGCTGATGTTCCGTATCCTCTCGTTAAGCGCTCCTCCCAGCAAAAACATGTCCCATAACGGATGTTGACTGTGTCTTGATGCCTCCCAGTCGGCACGCTCTTCAAGCCTCTGCTTCATCTCCTCCTCAGACGGCTGGGGCTCCTGACTTGGATTCAAACCATCTGTTTGTCCCGATGGTGGAGCTCCTACAACTCCACTTGACCCTGGTTGCGGAAACGAGTTGTTGTTGTATTGAAAAGAGCCTTTTGCCGTCTGTGAATTTGAGCTTCCACCGAAATAGTCATTCTGGACCAGCAATCTGGACTCCTCCTCGATGTTGATTCCAGTGCCCGCCAAAATATCCTCATGGCTTCGATCCTCTTTATCCGGCGGCCGTTGTGGAGGAGGCATCAAAGTGGCCGTGCGCGCAGTGGGAGCAGGAGCACCATTCACGGGGGTATTGCTGGCCGGAGTGCTCGGTAAGCCTGTTGGCGTGCCTGGAAAGCTCTGAGCGGCTGATGGAGACTGGATATCTGGTGAGAGTCGGGGTCTTTTCGCCGCAGGCGGTTGGAAATACTGCTGGGGAGAGAAAGCCTGAGGTGAAGATGAGGCGTAATTCATGGCAATGGGAGGGGACTGAGGCCCAAGCGGGCTGGGTCTGCCGTTCGGGGCGGAGAAGTCGCGTGGGAAAGAAGTCTGAGTCTGGGGAAGAGGAGGCCGCGACGTCGCCGGCGGTGAGTGAGCCATGGTGGATGAGGGAGTCCAAGATTGTGTCAATTCCACCGTGGTGCTTCTCTCCCGCTCCGAACCTGACTCTGGATTCCGAGTGAGCGCGGTCTCACGCTCGACCCCGTTCTTGTCCCTAGCATCCCTGTGTAGGTTCCGACGACATCCAGGGGCCGCGCGTATTTGCTGGAGCCCGTGTATGGATTAAACTGCGGTGTAGAATGGTAAGTTGAGTGATGCGGTGATTGTTGAAAGTGCAAACCGCGGAAAGGATGCCTGCACCATATCGTCAATAGCCGCGGTCACGTGCCCATAATTTGCGCATCCATACGGAGTACTGAAGTCGCCCTCACTTCAGCTTCACTTGCATTTCTCCTTCACTTCGACCATTGCCCCCATCAAGTCAACCACTCGACGTTCGATGAGCGAATGAGGCCCCATTCGTTTCAACCTCCTCCCTGCTCCCGCAGTTCTGCGTCACTCCAAACAAGTCAATGACAGATCGGTATCCAGGATGAATTGCCCTTTCATGATTCTCTAGGGCAGGGACGTGTCATATCATTCTGTCTGCTGATGCACCTTCTACGAAACATCACTGCACTTGATCAGCGCTTGGCTGGGATTCTCTATCGCGCCTGACTTAGTACTGCCCACAACCTGGACCATGGCTACGAAAAGAAAGATTGGTGCCGTTATTGATGCTCAAGATGACGACCCCGTTGATCCCTCAGACGAGCTTGTCTTCACAGGATTGGGAGGTTGTCAAGAAGTCGGACGATCCTGTCATATTCTACAATACAAGGGCAAGACGGTCATGGTAAGGGAGAAGACTCCAAGGATGAACTCTCCGCTAATCAGTGTTTAGCTCGACGCGGGTATGCATACAGGTCGCGAGGGGATGTCAGCCATGCCCTATTTCGACGATTTCGACCTGAGCACCGTCGATATCCTTCTAATCAGCCAGTAGGTCACCCTCTGCTTCCTTTTCAGCGTCGTCTTTGGAGGTTGCGGCGCGAAAGGCGGGTGCAGAAGAAATGAGGTTGCGCCTCATCTATCCAGCGCCGCCATATAAAGGGCAAAGGATCCAGTAAACACCTGCAACAAGATCTTGTACCTATAGGCAGACATCAATACAAATTGTTGAACCACGATCCCACCATTTCTGCCCTTTCCGAATCTCCATCTGGCGTGTTCTGCCTCCATAGCCCAAGAACAAGTCGCTACCCCCAGACCACCTCTCGACAGAAGGCTAACATGGCTATTACACAGCTTCCACCTCGATCATGCAGCCGCTCTTCCTTATGTCCTGGCCAAAACAGACTTCAAGGGCCGAGTGTTCATGACCCATCCAACCAAAGCAATCTACAAATGGCTCATCCAAGACTCGGTTCGAGTCAGCAACACTACTTCGACATCCGACCAAAGAACCTCCCTCTATACCGAAGCCGACCACATCTCGACGCTCCCACAAATCGAGACGATAGACTTCTACACCACGCACACAGTCTCAGGAGTCAGGATAACACCGTACCCGGCTGGCCATGTCCTGGGTGCGGCCATGTTCCTCATCAACATAGCCGGGCTGAATATTTTCTTCACCGGAGACTATTCTCGGGAACAAGATCGCCACCTGGTAGCCGCCGAGGTGCCAAACGTGGCAAGCGTTGGCAGGATTGATGTGCTCATCACAGAGTCGACATTCGGCATCTCGAACGCACCACCCCGGGCAGAGAGAGAAGCTGGACTTCTCAAGTCGGTGTCCGGCATTCTGAATCGCGGCGGTAAAGTCTTGATGCCGGTATTTGCGCTGGGGCGAGCCCAGGAACTGCTTCTTATCCTCGAGGACTACTGGCAGCGTCATCCGGAGCTCCAAAAGATTCCAATCTACTACACCGGGACCACCGCCCGGAAATGCATGGTTGTATACCAGACGTATATCAATGCGATGAACGACAACATCAAACGCATATTCCGAGAAAGAATGGCCGAGGCTGAGGCGGCTGGCAACGCCAAAGGCGTCAGTGCTGGGCCTTGGGACTTCCGCTTTGTACGCAGTTTGCGAAATCTGGATCGCTTCGACGATGTCGGCGGATGTGTGATGTTAGCCTCACCTGGTATGATGCAATCGGGCATGTCTCGCACGTTGCTTGAAAGATGGGCCCCAGATCAACGCAACGGAGTCGTCATGACCGGCTACAACGTGGAAGGGACAATGGCCAGAACCATATTATCAGAGCCTGACATGATCCCGGCCATCATGAGCGGTTCGAACACTGGCCAGGCGGTAGGCCGCAGACACAGAGACGACGACACCGCTGTGATGATCCCTCGTCGGTGTACGGTTGAGGAGTTCCAGTTCGCAGCTCACGTTACTGGGGTGGAGAACGTAGACTTCATTGAGCAAGTGGCTGCACCCCATGTCATCCTAGTCCACGGAGAACGCTCTCAAGCCGCACGGCTCCGATCCAGACTTCTAGACCTGAACTCCAGAAGACTCGCGAGCAACCCCGGCGCCCATCAAACCAAAGTCTACAGCCCCGAAAACGGAGCAGAGATCAAAATTCCCTTCAAAAAGGACAAAGTCGCCAAAGTGGTCGGAAAGCTAGCCCAAATACCTCCGCCATCATCGACCGACGTCGATGAATCCAGAGTGGTCAGTGGGGTTTTGGTACAGAATGGCTTTAAGCTCAGCCTCATGGCGCCAGAAGACCTTCGAGAGTATGCCGGGTTAACAACGACGACAATTTTGTGCCGGCAACATATCACCCTGGCCGCAGCCGGTATCGACCTCATAAGATGGGCACTGGAAGGCACGTTTGGCAGCATTGAAGAAGTCGGCCACATCAAGTCGGAGACAAACGGCGACGTCAAGATGGAGTCGGCCCAGAGCAATGGCATAAATGGCTCCGAGTGGGAAGAAGAAGCCGATGAAGAAATTGTTGCAGAACGACCACGAACACTTCTCATCATGGGCTGCGTGACTCTGAAATGGTCAGGCAGACAAAAACAGGTCGAGCTTGAATGGGAGGGAAATACGATGAACGACGGTATCGCCGACGCAGTCATGGCCGTCCTCATGACAGTGGAGAGCAGTCCCGCAGCTGTCAAATATTCATCAAGCAAATCAGCACATCACCATCACGGCCACGAGCATAAGATACCGAAGAACAAGCACACGAACCTTTCCCCCCAAGATCGGTTCTCGAGGCTCTGCATGTTCCTTGAAGAGCAATTCGGGGACAATATCGCCCCAATCGAGCAGCCGCGTATTTCGTCCGAGCCCGAGCGAAAGGTCCCCACAAAGGGTGGCGAGGAGACCAAGCAGGAGGTCGACATGTCCGAAGATGAATCCGAAGCTGAAGTTGACATGGAAAGTGCAGCGGCTACTGAACGCGCCAGGCTAGCAGCCTTGGGGATCCCTGTTCCGGGGTTGGAAATCCGCTTCGACAAGCATGTTGCCAAGCTCTGGCTCGAGACGCTTGATGTTGAATGCGCCAACACCGTTTTGAGGGATCGGATCAAGGCTGTTGTTGAGCGCGCCGTTGAAACAATTGCACCCCTGTGGACGGTCAGCGAGCAGTAAAAGGCGTGATTGCTATTTCTCAGAGAAGCAAGAGACAAGTTCGGATCTTCGAGGCTGCACGTGCCAATTTTGCACAGCTATGCAGACGAAAATACGCCCTCGTAAGATGACAATAGCCACGACTACACGGCCCCATGGCTCTGGCTCTTCCCGTCGAATAGTCAGGACAGAGCTAGCAGAAGGACGCCTAAAGAGAGATGCCAGGGGACGTCGACGTTCCCCCTCCGCATTGGTTACAGCATGATGACAAACACCCACTTCAAGACTTGCGGGGAAAGGTGTGCTCGAGGTGTACGACTCGAAGTCCGCCTGTCAGAAACCGTTACAGTGCGGCGGACACCTCGGTACGCCCGTCAATGCTTCGGATACACCAGATGATGGTGGATTCGCGACCACGAGCTAGCCAATACTTGGTCTTTCCTCTTCCAGATGCAATACTATTCATGCAGTACTATAAGAGCTTCTGGCCTTCATCAGGAACCCAGCACCAATACATCCTTGACCCTTTCCTTTCCAGCCCGTGTGTATCGGTGTCCAGATTCCCTTCCCTTCCTACTGTCTTGCGCATTGAAACCTCCCAGTTGACGTACTCAGTGATTGATTGTACGTACCACAGTAATGGCAGACAACGTGAAAACAGCAATAGTAACAGGTACGTTCCCCCAGCTCGCACATCGGCGCGTACAATATATAGTATTCATCTCCTATGTCTATGTGGTGCCCACCCCCTCCTCTAAACACCTGCTTTGTGTATAGGAGGCTGCTCCGGCATCGGTCTCGGCCTCGTCCGCCATCTCCTCTCCGCCCCCGACGACCAACAGTGGCGCGTCGTCCTCGCAGACATCCGGCCCGAAGCATACGCCGCCATCTCCTCGAGTCTGGACCCCTCGCGGCACATGTTCATCCACACGGACGTCGGCTCGTGGGACAGTCAAGCTGCTCTCTTCCGCCGCGCGTACGACTACGGCGGCGGGAAGATCGACTTCTTCGCCGCCAACGCCGGCACGGCCGAGCGCGAGCATATCACGCTGGGCAATCCGTTGCATCCCGAGGATGTCGACGGCGAACCGACCCAGCCGAACATGCTGTGCACCCAGGTGAACCAGATCGCCGTCTTCTACGGGCTGAAGCTGTTTGTGCATTACACGCGAAGGACAGCGAAGCGGCTGAAGAGTGATTCTGCTGCTGCTGGTGCCACATCGAACGACAACGACAACGACAACAGCAACAGCAACAGCAACAGCGGTGGTGGAACCTTCACTCCAAAGATGGTGATCACCAGTTCTTGTTCGGCATTGTACCCCTTCCCGGTGGCACCCGAGTATTGTAAGTCGGTCAGTTCGTTACTGAAGTCTCTTCTGCGGTCGAATGTGGTTGTTGTCAACCCGCCACAATACCACCAAGTATACGTTGGGATATACTATACTGCACAAGTCACTGCAGCTAACGAGGCTTTGTCTATCCGTCCAGGCGCGACCAAGCACGCGGTCCTCGCCCTGACGCGAAGTCTGGGCCCCTTGTTGCATGCCACCGACGGGATCGGCTTGAACTGCATCATGCCGGCCTACGTGGCGACGAACCTGACACCGCAGGAAGTCACCGACCTGTGGCCCCAGGAGTGGATAACCCCCATCGAGACGGTGAGTGTGCTCTACGTGCGATGGACTGAGATGGATATCTCGTCCCGTTCAGTCGTACTCGTACACTCGTACACTCGCATACCTCCCCCCGCCCCTCTCTCTCTCCCCCTTACCCTACCGCTACGTCGCAGCCCGACGACTAACATGACGGGCGACCACCACAAAAGATGCTGCGCGCCTACGACGAGTTAACTTCCCCCACCGGCGCGGTGAGAGACGACGGCAAAAGCGACGGCGCAAACGGCACCGTCAAGACGGGCCAATCCGTCGAATGCGTCGTCGACAAGTTATTCTACCGCCAGCCTGTCGCGTACGCGGATGAAAGCCAACGGTTCCTGATCGAGCAGGCCGTTGACATGAACGGTGAGTGTCGTGTCAGTGCCCTGCATTGCCCATTCGTGATGTTTCTCATTTCTTGTTCCTCATCATTTCTTGACACCCTCCATGCTCGCGAGAGTATGAAGTCGAATGCAAGGAGAGAGCGAGAGACTCTCTGGGACTATTTGCCGACACTAGCTGGCTGGCTTCCTGGCTTGCTGAGTGGCTCCCTACATACTTAGCTGCCGTCATTTTCTTTCTCGCTGTCCGTACAAGCGTACACCGTACTTCGCTAATTTAAACCGATCTTCCGCAGGGGTATGGTGGCAAGGCATGCGCGCGCGGATGGAATCGCAGATCAAGCAGGGCAGGGATGGCGGCATGGTCTATCAAGCCGGCGAGGGCGCTTAGAGTTATAACTGTTGGGCTCAAAGTGGAACTTGCGTTCACGAAAAACGAAGCCAAACATCCTAAGCTTTTTTAACACTCGGTGGTAAGAGTAGAGCATGCCACACGAGGCCAGACGCCGAGGATGGGATTATCTATCAATCTATCAAACCGGGCACAGCACAGCACAGCACGGTACAGCATGGCACGGCACGGCACAGCATGGCACAGCAGCGCAGGGAAGCAAGTAGACCCAGTGAATAGATGCGTATGCATCGAGGTATGAATGAAAGACTTTGTCCTCGTCCAGACACAGCTGGAGGAGGTCGCATACATATAGCCCCATGGGCTGTTTTAACCTTTTGGGTCAGATATACAAATGAAAAGAGAGATGAGTAGGTTCCTTGGTCCAACAAGAGCCGGCCTCGCGCGCGCGCATTCGTAATTGTTGCTGTCATACGCGTATGCTACGAGGTTAAGGCCCTCTTGCTTCTCCAGGATATATCAACTAAGATCTTGCTTTTGCTGCCTTTCTCTTCCCTCATTCCGTCCTGTCTTGTTACCTCGTGGCTCTACGACGGATCAGACAAGACATGAGAGTGGCGTGCATTGGATGCTGCACCGGTGTGCCCTGTAGCAAGGACTCACGCTGGCTTGCATCGGCCGATACTCCGTACAAAACTGGGAACCGGTCACGTGCCACTGATGAATCGTCCCAGCGCGGGAATGCTCGACAGCAATGACGAAAAGGAGGCCCGGTTCGGCAGCGGCACCGTTCGTCTTGGCTGAAAACCAATCTTTCAGCTCTCTAAGGGACTATCTTCTGGCAAAGGAGAGGGCCTGGAGAGCACGGGTAATGGTGTGCATGATTCGAGATCAAACAGAAAGCAGAAAGGGTGGAACTATCCCCGAAAGGGTATCATGGCGCTGTCTTGTGTATCTAATCCGAACAATGCCTCTGGTCTGAACATGAATCCTGCCGGGACTGATTAATCTTGTCTCCAGATCCCTGGGGGACGTGGAAGAGGCGCCTTTTCCTGCCAATATCTTTCCTGTTGTACCATCACCTCCAATCCGGTGGTAGCGCCGAGCTGGTATCGGCATCTGGGGAGTCAACGTATCCATCGTAGCTCAGGATGGTGGAAGAGTACGACACATTTCTATTGGCAGCCGGTTGTAATGGTCCTCCTGATGTAGCAAAGTCGCGAATGGAAACGTTGTCAGGAGACCCAAATCCGAGATACTGCTGATGTTGCTGTAACCGCGATTGCAGATCAAGTGGAGGTACAATCGGACTCTGGGTTATGGCGCCAGCCGCGGGAGAAACATTGGGAGCATTCAGGTCGAGCCATTGCGATGATGAAGGCGATGCAATCAATGGGTGCGGGAGGAGGTTGACTACGCGATCGGTGTCGAGACGGGGAGCATGGATGTCACCTACGCCATGCAGGTGGCTCTCGAGGGGGTAAAGAGTGTCCACGTGACCATTCTCTCCATTTTGTGATCGGCCAGGATCCTCATCATCTTCCGGGATTCCGATTAAGGTGTCCGCTTCTGATGGGAAGTGGCCGTTACCTTCACAAATGGTGATCAGCGCTCTGACAGGAGTGGGTTGAAGGTGCTGTGCTGGGGCTGGTGCTGGTGCTGGGCTGTGTGTGGGCAAGGGTGGTTCGGGGCGGCGGTGATGGTGCCGGGGATCGTGAGTAACGCATATCGGGTATAAGAGATACTCTAGCATCAGGTTCATGAGGCATTCATGATAGTACCTTGATGTTGAGTCTGTCGTTTGACTTGTTCTCTTGCCCAACGTGCTGCGTTGATGGTTCGGGGGGTGAAATCGCGCGAGGTTCGAGTTTCCTTGATGAGCTTGAGAACCCAGTCCTGTCGATAGTAGTCGGCAAGCGATCCGCCGGGAAACGCTTCGCTGAGATCGCTGCAGACGGTTAGAATCGGTCAAACTTTGGTAGAGCAGTGTACTCACGCAATGATACCCATGCAGGCGCGAAGAAGACCCTCGTTGTGGTTCATGTCCTGGGAAACAGTCTGCAGGAACTCGAAGATCGGCGGAACGTAGGATTGAAGGATATTAACTGTCTCGAAGTTAGCATCAAGTCATACATGGGCCGGCAAGGTTAGCATACCCTTGTCAGTGCCTTTGAATGCAAGAATCAACCCTGACCAGGCGTCTGCGATACCTGAGCGTAGTGAAACAATGTAGTCAAGCATGTCAAACGAGACATCGTTGGCGACAGACACATTGTTAGCCTGTTGTAGAACACCAGCAACCACTGTGACATAGGTTTCAAAGTGTACACCGATGCTAGTAGCGATGTCTCCAAAGGTCTCTAGAATCGGGGGCTTGAGCGCGTTGGAGAGTTTATCAGACTGCGAAGAGTTGTCAGCAAAAAGGCGCACATCTATCTCGTTGTGGACTCACTCTGAGGTCGTTGAGCAGGTAGTTCATGAAGGTATCGCAGTATGGTCGGGCCTTGTCTTCCAAAGCACGGACAATATCACTGACCAGGCCAATAGCCAAGGAGCACATTTCCGGGGCTTCCTGGTTGCCCAGCGCGTTGTAAAGGTATGGCGCAAAAGAGTCCATGTACTTGAGGAAGTCGGCGGACAAGGCGTTTGCCAAACCGCTGACGATCTGGAAAATGACCTCTGGAACGCTCGTGTTCCCAGTGACGTTGAGCAGTTCCAAGTTGATCTGCATGATGCGATCGGCTTGTGGTCCAATGTTCTGTTCGAGTCTCTGAACGATAGCAAGCAAAACACTGCTAAGGCTGACTTGCAATTCCTCCAGAGTGATCTTGTCATCTATGCTGACAATCTGCTTCTGCATTGGGATCGTACTCTCGAGGCGCTGGATGATGACGTTGGAGAGCTCTGCAACAATTTGCAAGCTGTCATGGGCGGAATTTGTCACGAACCCACTAAGGACCTCGTACGCAGCCGTTCGGAGTTGGTTGTTTGCATCCTGCTTCTCCGTGACTGCGAGGAGTGAGGTGACACTGGCTTGGAAATGAGGTGTCAGCTGGTTTGAGGATGCGCCCTCCTCACCCACAAATCGCTCGGTCAGGTTGAGAAGAGCCAAGCAGCAAGAGGCGGCAATCTTGGGGTTACCCATGAGCCCAGCGAAAAGAGCTAGCATGAGTGGTTGCAGATGTACCGATGGGTCGATACACTCTGAGCAATAATCGCAAATTCTACTCAGGGCGTATGCTGCCGAATCCTGTACTTGCACAACCGGATCTTGCATCATTCCGATCAAGACGGAAAGTGCTTGTTTGACCAGAGGATCAAGGGTCTTGATATCTGGACCATCCATGATTGCGCCGAAAGATGAGACAGCAGCATCCCGGTGGGTCCAATCTTCGCTTCGCAAGTTGGCCTCGACGAAGGAAAGTACGGTCTGCACCACGTCGCCACCAATGGTCTGCGCGTAGAGCTGAAGGCACTGATATGCGGCGCGTGCGACGTTGTATTCCTCATCGGCATCATCTTCGGATACCTTCGTCATCAGCTGAAGGAGGACAGGGACGACCTCACGAGCAGCAACTCTGGCGAAGTTGAAATACGGTCGCAGCTCGGTTGAGCCCTCCTGCTGGGCTTGCTGGTTGTCATCTTCAATGCTGATTTCCTCTTCGCAGACTGTGCACCAGAATTCGATGGCCAGTTTGGCGACATCCTCCTCCTCGTTCTTCATGCCTGCAATAGTCAGACCGAACAAGGCCTTCTCCATGTAAAACCTCATCTTGTCGTAGTAGATGCCCATTATGCGGTTGAGACAGCCAAAAGCGGCAGCCTGGACCCGGGTATCTTGAGATTGTGTAGCCTCACAGACGACTTGCATGATGTAGTTGCGCTCGCCCTCGTTCTCGAAGTTGCTGCGAATAAATTCGGTGGCATCGCTCAGGGCCGACAGAGCCGAGAGTCGCACGTCCTGATTAGCCTCCTCTTTCCGGGCACCCTGGACGACGGCAGTCAGGATGGCGTTGGAGTATCCCACCAAAGATTCTCTCAGTTCGACATCATCCGACTCGCAAATGAAGCCGATAGTCGTCAAACTGGACTGCTTGAGTTTGTCATCGCCGGAGCCGACGTTGTGGACGAGAGAAGGCAACAAATCAGACCACTCATTCCGTGGTAGCTCGATGGCCGCAATAGTCGCAATCAACTGGGCCGCGGAATTCGCGGCTTGCGGTGTGGAAGTGAGGGTCTTGACAGCCAATTCCTTGACCTGAGCCTTGATTTGAGGATCGACGCCCTGTAGCCATCTTGCCTGAACTTCTCGTAATCTGGTGACGTCGCGATAGGTGAAAGCGTTCTTGAGGGCAAGGCCAGCGGCTTGTCGAACGGCAGGGCTAGCCTGGTCGTTGGCGAGTTCTTGGGAGAGTATGGAAAGGTATTCGGACTAGACATGAGGCAGTCAGTGGTTGCGGTTGAACTTGCGTGGAGGCGACGCACGAAGTTGCCCTCACGGGCCTGTCTGAGTTGTTCTTCAGCACCGCCGCGGATGTTTGCATCTGGACAAAGTCAGTACGCTGTCGGAATCTGAGACTGGGGATGACACTGGACATCGTACCTGGCGAGAAGGTGTTCTCTAAGACGGCTCTGACGTCCATGATGGCTGGACCGAGCAGCGGTCAAGGGGGGAGAGCGTGGACAAAATCAAGTCTGAAGACGCGGCACTGGTGAAGCCAAATTGAGTGAAAACCCGGGTCTGGAGTCAGGGAAAGAACGACATGCAGGGAGCTGAATGACCGGTGAGATTGTTGAGGAAGGAGGGAGACAAGGGAAAAGGCGGTTTGGAAGTTGCAAAGCGCAGCAAATTCGGTTTGCGTTTTGCACACAGAGAGTCGTGAAGTGGGATGGATTTGTTGATACAGTAATTACTGGATGCGCTGCGCTGCGCTCGCTCGCTGGACTCGCTGGACGCTGCCGGGCCACGCCAGGCGAGCCCGGCCAGGCACTGCGCTTCCTCGGCTGCCTAGCTAACCCGATCTGCCCCAACCAACCCAGCTAATACCTGTAGTTACTTACTACACAGGCCCCGAACGAGGTTGCAGCTTCTGCTCAACATGCCGTCACATCCCCATTTCCGGTCCGCTCAAGCACGACCATGACCCCGGCCTGGCTCCTTGAGGCTTACTTGGGACTCGCTGAATCTATTGATGCGACTGTAACTTGCTGTCATGGGTGTGTCGTTCCCGGAGGCCCGTTGACGGTGCCTGCAGTGGTTGCGCTTGGGTCGCCGTGGCAGCCAATCACTCCTACCGAGTGGCGCCGCGCCCCGTCAAAGAGAGCCTCACTTGCAATTTGACAGCCTGATCATCCATCATCCGAGCTTGGGAACCACGTGTGTAGAACGTGAGAAGAACTCCGCAGCTTCAATACATCGCCGCCGCCGGCCACTCTTTGTCTCTCTCAACCAGTCATGAACGAGTCCCCTCCGCCGTCCGTCTCTGCAGCATCATCCTCAGCATCGAGATCGAAGACGGCATAGCCGAGACCGTCCCTGTCAAGCACGGCGACCGCTCTCCTACCAACCCGCCCATTGACCTCGAGTCTGGCAGGTCTCAAGCCTTTCATTTGGGTGTTTTCGAAGGCATGGCGCCATCCCAAAGCTTCGTCATCCTCATCCATAATGTCGTGGCTGTAGATCCTCGCATTCGAGGCCGTCTCGACAAGTATGAGAAATTCCTTGTCGTCCACAAACTTCGTGTCCAGGATCCCGTGGGCATCCGGAATCGCAAGAGTGTACGTGTTGACCGTGTGTTTGAAGGTCTTTGCGGCACTCTGCTGTAGCGTGACCACAACCTGGAGAACGCGATGATCGTCTTGCCGGTCTCCAGATAGCGCGATAAGGCGGTACAAATCCATGTCGGTCTGATCGGGGATGACCTTGATGTCCATCTTGCTGCCATCGCACTGCCGCGGCAATGCCGTCAGATAGCTCTCGAGGATGCTCTTCCGGAAAGTCTCTGCAATCTGCGAGAACACCGACTCGCATTGTTTCTGCATCCGTCCAACCAGATCACCCAAGGTCGGCATCTTCTTGTGCTTCCTGCCACGGACTCTTCGTTTGATGTATTCAGCAAAGAACCCTATATCCGGGTCATCGTCGAACGAGGCCGGACCACCAGCTGGTTGCTCTTCCTCCTCCTTGACCAAGTACTTTTTCAACCGGCTTTCATTCATCGCGCCAACGACGTACTCCAGCACCGTCTTCAGCTCGCCTTCACCCGTCCAGCTCTCCCTCAACTCGGCAGCCCGTTCACTCCCCTCCTCCAAAGCCTCGACCTCGCATTCCCACTTCAACCACTTCATAAAGGCCGCAAATTCCCTCATCTCCAAATCCACGTCGATCAAGAGATCCTCGGTAAGAACCCCCATGCAGTCAACCGTCTCCGTAACTTTTGCTATACTTTTCTCGTCCAGACCCAATTTGCTACTCGTCGGCCCAAATCGCGCAAGCCCATCCAGCCTCGACAACACAATAAGACATCTCTCCAGGGCCGGCACAAGACACTCACTTGTCATCCTTCTGACCACTTCGAAACAGTCGCCCACCGCCTTCTCCCATCGCTTGAGCCCCCGTTCCCCAACTTCGTCGACGAGCCACTCCTTCAATTTCGGATCACAATCCCCCGTCACAGCGAGGTGATGCGCCGCAAACACAAAATCCGCACTCTCCTCGGCCTCAGCAAGGCTTTCGTTGACGTTGCGCAGAAACTTGGTTGGTAGATCGAACGCGGCTTTGACCTCGGCAACCAATTGCATCTGCACCTGCGAGATGTACCGCAGCAGATTCCCCAGCTGGGTCGCTTTCTTCGACACAAGCGCGAGGTTCAGACCAGTCTGCGGTATGAAGCTCAAATCCAGCCCGAGAAGATGCAATGACGAATCACCTGCACTGTTGGCAGACGCCATCTCAACCACCAAGAAGATGGTCGAAAGGAACGGGTGACTCTCGATCCTCACCACCCTAGCGGGTCCCCCCTCAGGCAGGACACCTCGCACGTCCACCGTCCCGACCTCAAAAGCGTCAAAGATCCTCAGATGCACCTTGCAGCCACTCTCGTCACTCAAGCCCACCATGAGAACATCCACCCCTCCCTTCCCACCCGGATCACCATCTCCGCCACCGTGGAAGATGACATCCACACTGCCCCTGCTACTAAAGACATCGTCATCAACGCCACCTCCTGTAGGCGGCAATGTCGCGAGTTTAGGCAGAGAAGTTTCAATGTCGACGGTGCTGAGGTAGTGGGGCAAGTCAGCCTTGAGATGCAGTAGTTTCTCCACATCGGCACGGAGCGAGAGGATTTGATCGAGTGACGTTGAGGTTGGCGTAGGCAGATTAGACCGGACTGCACTGGGCGAGGGGTAAGCGAAGTGCGTCGTCCAGGAAATGGAGGTGACTGTTGGGGGAAGGGGCGTGTGGGAGGGAAGTCTGGAACTTCGTCGGCGTGGGTGCGGCTGAGATCGAGACCCAGATTGTTGTGATGACGCCGGGGAAAGTGGAGGCTGCTGCTTGTGGGCGGATATGCGGTGTGCGATCTTGCCTGTAAAGGCATTGATGAGGGATATCGTGCCATCCGAGCAGGCGACGGCGAGAATTTGACCTGAAGCGAAGCAACACCATTAGGCTAATATCGGCAAGAAGTAAAGCGGGAGGACTGATGGTGACAGCAGGCTTCCCATGCCGAATACCTCGGATAAGTGACGGACGAGCAGAAGGAATGGCCATGTAGTGTGATAGTTCAGACTCACCGTCCCTCCTCCACACAACGCCTCTGACATTCGCGTCTTTCTCCTTCTCTCCTTCGGCCTCTCTGACCTCACCATCCTCCTCCTCATACTCCTGTTTGGCGAAATTGGCGCCAAACACTCTCTGCCCATTCAGTCTCCAGACATCCACACTATCCTTCTTCGTCGTTGTTGCAACGAGATCCATGGTCGGACAGTATGCGTAGAGAGCGGGCAGGAATGGCTCGATGGCCGTACGGGCGGATATTTGATGCATCTTGGCTTCTGTTAACCTCGACGTATGTGGTGAGGGTCCTGCCGGATCAATGAACGGAGTAGCGCCTCATCGACGTAGCAGCCAATCGATATGATTTGCGGGAGGAATAGCACGATTCTGCAAATCTGCGGCTACCTCTTCGAAAGCAATGAATGTTGTTATGGCAGACCGCACCACGTGCAACGCGTGAGGTTAAATGCAGAAGCACAACACTCTCTTCTAGAATCCGAGCAAGTCAATACTTGTGCAGAGATCAGAAACAGTCTGATTCGTCATTCGTAGCTCTGTTCTCTGACAGATGCTGGAAATTACTGGGGTATTTCTATGTCTAAGTGTCGCCTGTCCGTCCACTTCGCAATCGGTAGCAAGGTGATTGGAAGGCCATCCCTGCCAAGCCTCTCGCAGCCTCGTTAACAAATGACGAGGCTGTCATCCATCGCACTCGATAAGCTCACTCGTCCATCGAGAGGTAAGTCGTAACCTGAAAACCCACCGTCGATTCCTGGGTACATGATATCCTTGTCTTCGAAAGCTCCATTAACTGCCGTTTCCCTGCACATGCCACTCATACAGTTGCTAGCTGCACTATTCATTGTGAGATCCGCTCACAAACCTTGCTGAAGACCGCCATCACCATCTCAATAAATCGTTGAAAAGGAGTGGACTACAAGCATGTAGACCAAGCTTGTTACAATACAAGGGTCGAGCCCGCAAGGATGCTAATGCTGTTGAATCATATCGCCAAGATAACTCAATTCGTCAAGAAGTTGCTGCATGCTGCTGGAATGAGGAACAGAGACCTCTTGAACCCCACTTACTTGAGGTTGGTAGACACCTGCAGCATGATCATTCACAACAAGAGGGTCGACATGATCGACAGCCGATGTCGGCTTAAGCGTGTTGCCCGAACCGGCTTCTTCGGTTGGCAAGCTGTAATGTTGGAATTTGCTCCAGGAGAAATGTGCACTTTTGGCGCTGCTAACGTTGTCTTGCGAAGCCGGGGCTGTGGAAGAAGCGATCGAGCTGACAGTCGAGAAACTTGAGGCTGATGGGAGACCATCTTGTTTGAGAAAGCCGTACCCATGACGCTCCGACTCCTGCGGATCTTCCTGGCTGTCGAGCTGAAAGTGTAATGTCAGCCCGGGCGGTGGACTGATTGGCTCGAAATCGACAATGCTCGAGGCATACTCTGATTGTGGTGAAAACCGCGTTGGTGCATCTGTCCAGTCTGAGAAATGGCTGTTGTCGTTACGGATGTAACTGTCCGTACGTGGTTCAGTGTCCACGGTCGTGCAGGAGAAATGGCTTCGGAGATTCGCAATGTCTTCTGGTTCACCACCTTGAACATCTTCTTCTACCGCACTTGGCGGATACGCCGAGGACGGTGTATTTGGTAAAGTCGGTAACCTCTTCTCCAAATCGAGAGGCAGCCGGCCATCATCGATCGCGTCGTGCTTATCAACTTTCAGAGCTGTAAGCGGCCAGACAGGTGTATTGGCTGCAGAAGCAACCTCTTTCAAGGTCTCTAGGGGGTGATAGGGGACAGTGGTGTGGCTGAAGTTATTTGAGTCGGGAGACGTGTCCAGCTGTTGGGAATTGCGTAAGGATGAGGGCTCCCGCGACAGGGAGCGCTGTCGACGATGCTGTGCGAAGGATGAAATCGGCACGGCGGCCGAACTCTCAGTGTCGTCACTAAAATCTTTGCGCAACGCAAGTTCGCGTACAGGTGCCAAAGCAGGATTGCCTTGTCCTTCGGTCGTTGGCGGGGTCGGCCCAAGCGGAGCTCGCTTCGGTGTGACGCTTCTTGCGGAGGCGGCCCGTGAGCGAACCACTGGCGATCTGATACCGTCTGTGGGGGTCCGGCCTCTTTCTGGGAACCCTCCCGGGCTCATCAGGAGTGGAGATGCTAAAGCTCGAAGACCGCCAATGATGCCCACAGACCGGTTACTCCCGCGTGATGTAGACCTGCTAGGCTCTTGAGCAGATGGCTTCGGTCGAACGAGCGCTAGGATATTGGCACTGCCAGGCGGAGATGGTGCACGAGATGAGGTGGATCTTCCTCTCCTGCTAGACACCGAGGTCGCGCTAATTGGCGAACTGGAAGAGGACCAAGGTAGCTGTGAGAAAGTTGGGGAAGTCTTCAGACGCGGTAATGCTGGCTTTGCTGGGGCTGGCCGAGGGTTGAGGAATTTGTCTGTAGGATTCATCGTGCGGTACTCGGAGCTTGTCGAGCTCACACTGTCATTTCGAGACCGACCGCTGCTGCTTAGCGCAAAGGGCACGTTCAGAACGTTGATTAGCTGGCCGGGAAGCATAGGGCACGTGGTTGTTGCCGGCTCAGCTGAATTGTGGAATTCGATCTCGTCGTCCAGTGTATACTGTGAGAAAAGGTGTTGGTTGAAAGCACGTTCAGCATAGCAAAGTTCCACCTACATAGTACCAGTACGTCCCGCCCATCTTCAGTCCCCCTTCCCGAGGGGTATTGTTGCCCTCGACATCTCCATCACAGATGATGTTGGAGAAGCTATGACAGCCTGACCAATGTTCGGGGCCGGTACGACTGTCCCGCTGCATGGGATAAGGTGTGGAGAAGTTGTCCCAGGAGCCATAAAGTTGGACTGATCTGGTCGAAGGTGGAGTGCGGCTGCAATCAGTCAGCTTGTGTCAACAGCGACGAAGGGCTTGACGTACACTAAAAAGGTGATCAGAGTTGTTGGAGCCATGTTGATGTGTCTTAGGTGAAGCTGAAGGTCGAAACAGAAGCACAACTTTTGTCTTGTCCGGGCCAAGTCCCAATCGCCTTTGCTAGGGCTTGCTGTCCAGCAGTATAACCCGGGGTATCAAAAGAAGAAGCGCACAAAGGAAACGCTAATAGACCAGACCAATGGAACCGATAGCTCGTTATACAAGGCACCAGGCCACTGGGTAGACAGTATAGGCTCTCAGGGTAGAGAAGTATCTTCAGTGTGCCTTGGATGGGATGAGATATAGTCCAGGCCAAGGAAGGTGACGCCAACGGGATGGAGAGATCCGTAGGGTCCAGAATAGGTCTATTTCTGCACAGACGTTGAAACCGAGGTTGGCCTCAAATCATAGGCATGGCTCCAGCATTGTGCTCTGTAAAGGCAGCGTACTGACGGGCCAAGGTGGAGTATGCCCGTTTTGGAAAGCTGAAACTGGGTGACAATGAGCACCGGCAAGGTGCGCGTATGTTTGAGGATTGGACGAGCGATGACGAGCGATGTTGACTTCGAATCGAGTCCAATTAGAGGAGATGAGGTAGGCGTGAACAGCAGCAAGTCGAGTCTGGTGAGGCGCCTAATGATGGTGATTGCAGGAGAGCAGGAGCGATCAGGGTCCGGCGGTTACTGAGGTAAGAGTGAGGTTGTCTCGACCAACGACGCCTGTGAGTGCGGGGAGAGCAATTGACTGGCTATCGTTGAATGGAGCGAGTACAAGGAGTAGATTACAGTCAGAGAGTAGAGGACAGGTCCCTCCACATGGCAGACGAAGGTGGCTATATCGACAGCGGAGAGCAAGAGATTTGAGAAAGATGGAATCAAGGCGGGAGACGCCAGCTGTCGGCGCAAGGCCGGGTCGGAAGTAAACAATAAACTCGAACACGAAGAACTCATCTGAACACCTGCAGCTGAGGAATAGGAACGTACAGGTGCCCATGTCGACAAACGTCCCGTGTCACGTTGTGAATCTTGACAGGCATGTCACTCCTGGAGCGAACTCCTGCGCCCTCGGTAGCTCAAGCGAGACACCAGTCCTGGTCAACTCGAGACAGAAGTCGATCGGAAGTCAATCCAGGTCAAGCGCAGAGCCTAGGGTGGTCCACGCATTTCTGGAAGCGGCCAACGTGCATGAGAGATGGCCAGAAAAGGCGCATACGGGGTTTGATAGAGCACGACAGGGCGAGGCGGCACTGAAGCCGTGATGAAGTGGATGTCAACAAAGGACAAAAATCAGGGATCCAGCTTCAAATCCAATTTTAGAGCGACGCATGTGGCTTCTTGATTGGCCGGTACTGGTCTAGCGCTTGCCACAAGAGGGTTAGACTCGGATGACGAAGGCCGGAAACCAATGTGACTTTGTGTGCATCCAGCTTTGCCCCCCAGCCTCCATGTGCCCCTAACGCAGCTGCAGGCCGCTGTCACTTAGGCGTTATCGTGGACTGCTGTCAAAGTGCAAGAACAATAGTCACCTCCAGACCGAACAGATGGCCAAGTACAGCGATGAAAAAGGTTCACAGACTCGCGTCTCCCTTTCAGATGCAGGCCCCTATTTCATGTGTCAAATAGTCATCAAAGGGTAGCCGCCGACCTCCTTCCGACACCTCAATTTACCGCGGATCAGCCACTTAGAACGGTCAAGAGAAGGTCGGACCCTGGTGCCTGGATTCGTCCTGGCTCGCCTTGAAGCTTGAATCCTGTCGACTACGCCCACGTGGTTCCCGGTCTCGTCTCGGGTCTACCTCGTACGCAGTAAAGATCCCCCGCGAGTCGAGACCCGCAGCCTGGATAGGATTGTTTGTGCTCGAGACATCGTTTTGTACATACATGTTCTGTGGTTAGACAATCTGTGCTCCTGACGACCGTTGCATAGTGATTATCGCCAGGCGCCATGCACAATTCCGCGGTTGAGATTCTCGACACCTTGGAGCACCAATTCTCAATTTGAAACGCCCAAGACTGTCGCTCAAAACTGTCGCAAAGCGTATACATGTACACCATTCCGGGTGCTCGAGCTTGTCTCATCCTTGATGGGTGATGCAGATCATGCCCGCGGCGTGGATATCGCGCAGAGAAGCTTTTAGGAGAGATTTTGTTCATGAGACGACTTCAGTTGTCGCCGCCTGAAATGTGGAGGAAATTGTCATCTTCGCCGTCTTCTTCTCAACTCAAAGTCACTCTCGTCAAAATCGTATTCTTCCTCGGTGCTCAACTCTTCAGCTCCTTGAGTGATTCCCACGTTCTGAGAAGGAGTGCCTTGATCCTCATTGCCCCATACTGAACGCGGGTCGTCAACATTCTCAATGCCATGATTGCCCAACATCCATCGCCCCAGACCGACCACGCCCTCGTAAGCCTCTTGACCAGTCGGTAGAATGTGTGACCTTGGCAGCAAGAAGCCATATGTCCCGGTATCTCTGAGCTTGATTTGGAATGCGAGTTTCACGTCCAAATCGTGGTAGAAGAAATCCAGGGCCGAACCACCTTGGGCTTCTATCTGGACCCGAGTCTGTTTTGTTTCGCTCTGGAAAGCAACGTCGCCCTCGCAGGCGCTTTCTACGTTGTAGACATGTCCGTTGGTCAGGCGGAGCGATTTTGCGATGCCGAGCGCCACTTCTTCCAGATCCTCGAGATTGGGAGGAGCCGTGTCACACGTGTAGCTGTACGGATACAGCACCTCCTGCGAATAGGAGTGGAAATCGAGATATGACACGAAGGAGACATTGTTGTAGGCTGTCTCATTCCTGGCCCACTCTGTCAGTACTTGAGCTTCGACCGCAGCAAGTGGCTCTGGACCAGCATAGTCGTCACTACAGGCGTTATCCCTGTTCCAGTAACCGTCCCAACCGAAGCGAAATGCACGATCCAGATCGATGCCGGGACAGAATGGAATGAACGTAGATTGTCGGTTCTTGCGCCACAGTCGGTCAGTTGTCCAGGTGTACTCATATCCGTCAGGATTCAGTACAGGAATGAAGACCAAATCGAAATGATCTAGTATCTTGGTGACCTCGGAAAACTGAGGGTGACCATATCGGGTGACGAGACTGTAGGCGATGTAGGCGACTGTCGAGACTGAAATCCACTCGCGTGCATGAGTGCCTCCTACAATAAGCAATGTATGCCTAGAGTCATGAGAGTCCGCTGTGCTAGAATTAAAACGTGAGCCGATCCGTAATGCAGGGATATCGCGACCTTCAGCAGATGTGCCGATAGTGGTCAAAGATGCGTGGGTTGGAAAAAGGGACGCGAGCAGGCGCAGCCAAGGATACATGACACTAAGAGGCTGATAGTCCTGGAAGAACAGGTCATGGGGAGTGTTGCCCTTCAGTCGCCAGTCGGGCGCATCCATTAGGCTCGATATGAGCGCCCTTTCATGCGGCGACGATGAGTCAGGGTATGTGTCGTAGACTGCCCGCGCGATATCTTGTATCAGGGGGACGTATGAGTCGTGTAGCGATGGTGGAAGGAGTCCAATAAAGGAAGGCACCACTTCTTTGGCTATCCGTATGTCCACCCATTCATTCGTTGCTTCCCATATGTCCAAATACAGGATATCTGCTGCTTCCGATATGGCCTTAGCCTCTTCCTGCGTCCTCACTCGGAAGCGCAATACAACATCAGCGCCATAGCGGGCGCGAAAGCCTTCCGGCGCCTTTGGTAGTCTGGAGCCTGGAGAGGACTTGTAGGGTGATTTGCCAGGAACTGACCAAATCCGTTCTATAATGGCGTCACGCAGCCTGCGAAATGGCCCTGCCGGCTTATCTCGGTGTGTAAAGGCGACGTTCGTTTCAAGGGACGTGTGAGGCAGTGACTCGCTGGTCGGAATGGCAACGGTGGAAGTGATGATGGTTGCCAATATAAAGATGTCGCGGAAGAAAGGCGCCATGATGGGCTTAGAGAGACTTTGTTATCGTGTCATGAGAGGTGAGATGGCCAACAGAGCGATGTTAGATAGCCACGATAACTTTCTGAAGGGGAAACTGAGCACGAGAGCAGTTTCACGAAGTGTGGAGCGAGCGAGGGGAAGGAAATTGATAGAATCTGAGTGGTTGGTATCTCGAAGGCTATCGTTTTCCCTCGCAAAGCCGATCGTACTTGCAACACACCTGGTCAGTAGGTGGTGAGGGGAAGCGAAAGATATGACGACTTGGTGAAGAAAGTCTGAATGGGCTCTGGAGGCACCAGTCCGCAGTGCTGGGTATTGTTATGGAGCAGGAAACAGCGTTGCCTGCAACCCTCCGCCTCCTCCTTCGACAGCGACACCCAATCGCATGACGTTGCGTCGGTGGCTGTGGGGAAAGGTATTCTGTGACCGCCAATGGCAGTCTTGCCGGCCAGATCGCTGAGATGAGGTTTCGGCCACCTTGTCTTGCATGTCAACTAGTTTGCGGCTTGCCAATGCAGCACTATCAATTGTCACGGACCCAAGCATGTCGTGCATCTGACGGAAGCTAAGTCACACGTTACGACTCTGAATGTTCGGTCATATGCTTGGACGATAACAAGTTATCGCTATGCACCCACTGAAATTGAAAGCATCCAGCAACTGTCGACGTCTCATCTACACCTTGTATTCCTCGAGGCCCCATTTCCAGATGGTCGCATACGGAGTCATGCCATCCTCCCGGAAGTCGACCAGGACGTACATGCCGTTCTCGTCCATGGATTCACCCTGGTAGATATCGTAGTTTTCCCAGTTGCCTAGGATCTTCTTGGCTGCAGCTGGTGCTTCGGACTGGAACTTCTTGATGTCCTCTTCCGGAGTTCCCTTCTCCTTCAACTTCTCGGTCAGAGCCTTCATGTATTCTAGTGGGAAAGTCAGTCGGTGCCGTCCGGCCGCCTATGGATACCAGAACGTGCAACCTACTCTTGAGCTCAGCTTGGTATGCCTTCTTTGACATGCCGCCTTCAATTTTCTGTAGACGGAATTGATCGGCCAGATCGAGGACTGTCACCTTGGTCTCTTCGGTGCCTTCGTCGGCATCTTCACCTTCGGCAGACGGGTTGGCACCCTCCAGTGCTGGTACGCGACAAGTCAGCACAGGCTTCGAACCGGGAAGGGACGTGTGCGTCGTGACTGACCGAAGTTCTCAGACCCCTTTGTGACCATCTTGCCATCAATCTCCCACAGCCCGTTACCGGCATCGATGATCTTGGAAGTATCAGACGCAAGCTCGTCGCCGCTGATGATGTCCTAATGTGAAGAGCGTCAGTTTGCGACATCAAAGGCGGGGCAAAAATCTTCAGGAGTTTCGCCTGCATCTCCTCCATACCCTGTAAATGATCATTTTGACAGAACGCTGAGCAAGGCAGAGAAGTAGAGGAGGAAGGGGTGCGAAGGAGACGTCGAGGTGTCAAGTTGTCGAAGTGAACTGGCGGGAAAAAAAGATTCAACGCAGGCTGTCAACGAGGGGCTCGAAGATCGAATTCCGGTCCACTCGCAAGTAGTGTGGGGTTTCATTCACTGCCGCCAAAAATTTCTTTGGCTCCTCAATTTCACGTGACCGCAAAGATCTAATCTTATCCGTCACGCTACTCTTCACAATGAAGAGCGATTTGTTCGGGTGGCCAATTTCGCGCATCGTCACTATGCACTTCATCTCCGGCAACTCCTGAAGCCCTGGAGTCCTGGAGCCCTGAAGCCGTGATCATCTCAGCATTTGTTTTCTACATTCAAAGATCTCTCCACCCGCACCACAAGCTTGTCTCCTTCTCACACTCTCTCACTCTCCTTTTCTTCGCTCAGTGCTTCCTTTAGTTCCTCTTTTCGTTCCTCTATCGGGCCACCCGCAAGAGACATCCGTCCTTCGCCCGACATTCCTTGCACCTGCATCCGCGCCACCCGTACACGACTCCTATAAAACCATCGACATACCTGCACTCGGTACAACACGCACCTCGGATCATCCGTGCTCCTGAACCTTGTCTTCATTGCATGGTCAACAACATGGCGAACGTTACTCTTCCGGAGCTGCCTCCTCTCCCATCATATACCCTTAGACCCCGCCCACCAATGCTGCCAGGCATCTCAGACCCGGTACTACAACTGCTGTCGCCTGTCGTCGCCTACTGGGTCGTGTCTGGCTTCTTCCATATTCTAGACGTCTATGAATTGTGCTCGAGGTACAGGCTGCACACTCCAGCTGAGGTCCTCAAACGCAATCATGTCACCAGATACGAAGTGCTCAGAGATGTCATCCTCCAACAGATTATCCAGACAGCATTTGGGCTGCTTATCGCGCAGTTTGATCCAGTCGAGACTATTGGCAGAGAAGAGTATGATATCGCAGTCTGGGCTCAGCGCCTGCGGCTGGCTCAAGGATACCTCCCGAGTGTGCTCAGTGTCGTTGGCATCGACTCCTTGTCCTTGGGGAGAAAGGTGCAGCACAGCTACCCTCAGCTTGCAGGAGCATTATCTGGAGGGATATACCCCACACGTTCATTCGCATTGTGGGAGACAACAGCCGCCAAATTCATCTACTGGATCGGCATCCAGCTTGTGCAATTCACCGTCGCCATCCTGATCGTGGATACCTGGCAATACTTCCTCCACCGGGCGATGCATATGAACAGGTTCCTCTACACCACCCTCCATTCCCGGCACCACCGGCTGTATGTCCCCTATGCCTACGGGGCTCTTTACAACCACCCTTTGGAAGGCTTTATGCTCGACACGCTCGGGACTGGCGTAGCATACCTAGTGACGGGCATGACGGTGCGGCAGGGCATGGTCTTCTTCACTTGTGCTACAATCAAGACAGTCGACGATCACTGTGGCTACGCCTTTCCATGGGATCCATTACAGCATATAACCTCAAACAATGCCGCATATCACGATGTACACCATCAGAGCTGGGGCATCAAGACGAACTTCTCCCAGCCATTCTTCACTTTCTGGGACCGCATTCTTGGCACCGCATGGACTGGCGGAGATGTCTCAGCCCGCTACCAACGCGACAGAATCGCTGCGCAGAAGAAGTTAGACGCTGATGTCGCTTTGACTCAGCCATCAGTGGTTAATTCGCCCGAGATTGACGTACAGAATGCACAGCAACAAGCCCGTTCAAGTCAGAGGCAGGTCCTCGACGACAGACAACATGGCGGTCCTCAAATCCTCGAAGAGGAAGCTAGGGAGGAGAAAGAAGTAAAGTCAGCTTCACGGCGAAGCACCAGACGCAAGAGTGGCTTTGATGCCAAGTCAATATCCGACCATATTGCAGGACTCCATTCCAGAAGTCCTGCGATCCTCCATGCAGACGGCATGCATTGAGGAATTCTTTGTATAAACCAACTAATGCACGCGATTTTTCCATGGTATCCTTTTTGAGTCACGCACGTGAGGCACTGGTTTACGGCTTTCAGGAAAGGCTTATGTGCCTTCTCATGGTCCTTGCAGGGTTTTCGGATCATGATAATGTGTACGATTATGACTGGACCTAGGAAACTTGTGTCCTCAAATGGCATCTTAAAACAAGACTCAACTTCTACTCTATTCTGGCGGTCAATTATCCCTTTCGACGAGCACCAGACCTCAACACCATTACTTACAGTAGGTTCTATGTACGTGCTTGCGCAAACGGGGAACTTTGACCCATTACGCCGGGTCCTGGCTCCTTATCATTGATGAACAAAGAGCTGTGGACTTTCTGTGCTCCCATCCACAATGGATCCTTTGTGTCGTCCTTCAAGACCATCCTAGGGAGATATGGCGTCGTCCTTGTCGGATCTTCTTTGTCTTTTTGTCTTCCGCCACGATATTATCGGTTGTGCCTGTCTATAGTGTCAAGCCTTCTCATATTCTCCTTTACAAATTGCACGACTCAGCAAACACCATTCTGGACGGTAGTTTCCAGACTTGTCGCAATCATATTGAGTTCGAATCCGTCGCATTTTGCTATTCTTCACAATACCAACACCAACTTTCTGAATTACGACCAGGTGAGTGCCCTATAGCCGCTATCCCCGTGGAACATCGCTTACAAGATGCATATTCAAGATATTTCGCAAAAGTTTGTCCCGCCACTCGCCAAACTGTTGCAGTTCCGACCTAATGAGGATCCAGAGGCCCTATCACTGCGAATTGCTCAGGGTACGAAATCCCTACCCTCATCTCTCCGATCAAGCCGACTGGAGAATTTCCTGTTACCTGGCCGCGGCCATCTCTGCTCGCTTCACAAGTGCCTTCATTACGACGTCGTTCGATTAGTACTTCGTCATGTCCAGCTCGAAGTCGGAATTCGCCTCAATAATGTCATCTCCCACAGCGAAATGCTAGCCCCCGAGCTGTACAGTCGTATCAAGAGGCTACGAGAACTGCACGCCTTATGGCTTGACCCTAGAGAGTACCGGAAGACCTTCATGGCTTCGTCTCGGGATCTAAAGTGGAAGTATCAGACTGACGGGTGCGAAGCTTGCATGCTCTCGAAGATCACAAGCGATCTACAGATCCTTCTTGACATGAGGTGGGCGTTCCGCTCACGCGCGACCCGTGCTTTCGTCGCGAAATACGGCAATCCTAGCCTTCAGCAATGGGTTCATGTTTGGATTGCAACTTTGGCAGGATTTGTTGAAGAGACCACCGGTACCACCATCGATCTCGACGCGGTCATCCTGCACAATGATGAGGAAGCTATCCTGATGAAGAAGACGAGGGCTGAGATCGCCGCTCTGAGACAACACACCCATCAGTACCAGAAGAGCGGACCCGCCAATGGAGCATACATGACACAGGTCCCGTACGATTGGAGCTATCCAATCCATTCTGCTCCTCACCAACCGAGCCCGCAAAAACTTCCCGTCACCCAGGATGCGACTGGAGTTCAAGCGGAAGAATTCATTGGAGACACAAACGAAAGCCACCTCGAAGGTATGGACCCTTATGAAGCATTAACAAGCACCCCATATCTCCCCAGAACAACATACTCACCACCCACCAAGCAGCCCACTGAATCAGTTTTGACCATGAGCACCGTTTCCGCTGACCGTTCTTCCAAAGGCCGGAGCCCGTATCAGCAGAGAGTCTCCGAGCGAGAATCAGAGGTCAGTATCCGTGTCTACTTAGACGAGCGTCTGCAGGTTGTCACTGAGGATGAACCAGATGCCGCGCACGAGGTGGCACAGTTGCAGCAAGAATACGTTCACCCTCGTTCGACGTGGGAGAAGTCAACACCTCAGGAGCCGGCACTCACGTCGTCGACACTTCTGCCTCGTCCGGACGCAACTCAGGGCCCAACCCGTCCAAGTTCCGTGGTCTCAACCGATACCTGGGAGAGATCTACCAACTCATCGGGAGACTCCTGGGAGTCTGAACAATTCGTCATGGCGGATTGCGGTTCAAGCGTCTATTCATCCCCCCCGAAAACCCCCGGACTGAATGACTACAAGTCTCCGAGTCAAAGCTGGCGCAACCTCTCAAGCGTCGCTGGGGAACGGAGCACTTCGCGACAACGACGTTTGGTGAAAGCACAGAATCGCGATCCCGCACAGACGTACACTAACCTTCTGCATTCCTCGCCTTTCTCAGAGTCAACGGCCACTCTACGACAACCAAGCCAACAGCAACAGCAACAGCAACAGCGTCCGAGGCCAGTACAGGTACGTTCCCCAACCAACGAATCTAGCTCTCGTCCAGCCTCCGCGTCCGAGCTGTTTCTAAGTTTATACAGCGAGGACAGTCGTCCTCGAGACTCGTCCACTTTGAAAGCCACGTACCTCCGCAATTCGTCAGTTACGCCTTCGAGAGAGGTCGATCCCAGCGCGGATGCCCACCAAGTCCCATTTGAATCCAGATGTGGGCAATCGGAGCGATCTCGGCCAGCACCAGTCGCGGCGTCAACACCCTCCAAGCCAGATACGCCAACCACGCCACGCGCACCTCCCGCACCTCCCGCGACACAAAGACCAAAGTCGGATTCTACAGAACAGTTCCTCAAGCTCTACGATGAAGTTGTCTCATCGTACATGCCGTCGTCAGGTCAAGTGGTGGGGCAACAAGCCTCATTGACGCTCCCACAGTCGACCTCGACCTCCGTCTCTACGATGACGAAGAATCGGTTAGCACCTGAAAGACTCTCCCACCGGTCTCGTCCGACGCAGCAATCCGTGGACATCGACCGTATCGTGCGCAATACCGCCAGTGGCACCATCTCGGATGCTCGCGACGGGAGTCGAGCCAGAAGCATTACGGCGAGGACCGCGATTTTGACTCCATCGCTGGTCTCAGCTTCGACTTTTCCCAGCGACTGCTCTTCGAGTCCAATCCCGTCACAGAGGGGCCCATCATGCACGCATGGTCGTTCCTCCCGTAAGCAGGGAGAGAGGGGCAAGGATGGTAGCGGCAGTGATGAGAGTCGTCAGACGACTTGGAGTTCGGCCTACGCGAGTCAAGTCCAGGACCGGGAGGATCTAGGGTGGTATTACGGTAGAGTCAAGGGGAAAGACAAGAGGTAAAGCTAGAGCCCAGCGCAAGGCGCAGTAGATGCACTCCAGCAGCGTGGATTAGCAGAGCAGAGCAGGGCCGAGGAAGGAGAAGGGAAAGGAGAAGAGCGGCACGGTCTGTGGCAAAGCGAAAGGGAGATCGCCAAAGTACCCTAATGTGAACCAGGAAGAGGAACGAGGTTGACGTCTGCATCAACCTGGTACCTTTGTACTGAACACGTCGGGTTGAAGACCGTCCATACGTAAATACTACACACTTACTAGTCGTGGTAGACCAAAGAACCTATCGTACTCCGTATAATGCGGTATATGTCGTTCGGGTTGGTTCAGTAGCGTCCTTTCATTCAGCCAGGTTGGCAAATGTAAAGGTTGGAAAGGCAAGGGTCGAGATCTCCTGGTCCTTCCTTGGGGCTTCGAGTGTATTGTATTGCACTGTGTGTGTGCGTGTGCATGTTATGTCTTTCAACAGAATGCGAGTGCTCGACTTAAGGTCAACACTTGATACATAGTCCCGCTTGCCCGCTTGCTTGTTTAGATTTATACAGTGTTAGGAATCACGACAGGGCTCACCCCGCTATTTAACTTATATAACCCGATAGACCGATAGAGAGTAGCAAGGGTAGGAGGAGATGGGATGTAATGGGATGATGGCTTCTGACTTTGCTGCCAGTAGACGGACATGTGGAGGAGTCAGACTTCCCAATGACAAAGACATCGGCACGCGGGTAAAGACAAGCATGACTGATTGATCTGTATCATACGGAGTAGGGGGCAGTCTGGACGGGAGTCTTAGCGTTCATACCGAGTACAGTACCTGGTAAACATCGAAACGAAAGGATGCTTGTCAGTAGACGTGGGTGAGCTTGAGGAATTATGACATTTTTTTTAACCTGACGAGCAATTTGGCAGCTACAGTACATACATGACTTGTGAGCCGTGCTGCGTGGTCCATGATAACTATTTACTTATGGGCTACCGACTGAATGAATTAGTTACTAACGAACATTCCAGACCTGCACTGCACTACGCTACAAACCCAGACAATGAGAACGCATGCCGGATCTCTGAGAGACACAAGCCATCACTTCACTTCACTTCACTTCACTTCACTTCACTTCACATCCCTTTTCGTGGTGTGCCTGGACGGACTACACGCCGCCCCCCATCGCGGCTCAACATCCCTGCAGCCCATTGACGAACAGACGGGATACAGTACCACCCACTACAACGGCTTCGGCTGCGGCAACTTCGGATCCGTGACCTTGATGGGCGTCCCGTACTGCTGGACCAGGTACAAAAAGTCCTCCAACCAGAGCTGGAACTCGTAGATGGCCTCGTACGAATCCACGGTGATGGCGTACTCGTAGGTCTGGCGCGCGGTGAGGAGGCGGGCGAGATCGAGATCCTCGTCGTCACGCTTGTGCTTTGACTTTTCGATCGCGCTTGGGCCAGCGTTTTCGCTCTCGTCACGCTTGACCAGCTTGAACAGCCAGTCGTACAGGTTGTTGAGGTAATAGTCGCCTTCGTAGGCCCACAGGCCGTAGATTTCGTACGATTGGCGCGCGGCGAGGGCGGGGCCCGGGTTCGGGTTGGGTGCGCATTGCGTGGTCGTAAGGAGACTCGCGGCTGCGAGGAGGGCGGTGGTGCATAGCTTCATGGTTGGGAGTGCTTTAGACGGTATTACCCCGAAAGAGTGAGAATCTGTGGAAGGAAATGTTGCTTCGGTCGCTGAAAATGCTCCCGATATTGACAGCTCTCCAGTGTTCCTGTGACCCGTGGATCAACGCCTCCTTATAGCCCAGTTTCCTACCTGGCTTCACGACCGAGAGCTCTCCAAGGTCGCATGCTCATACAGACTGACAGAGGGATGAACGGAATAGGAAGGGCGAGACATCAGCTTGCTGCCGGCCCAGCAAGAGGAACACGAGCGGACACGTCCTGTTACAGACAATAAGCTTGTCATGTTTCCGGTGAACACGATGGTTGCTCCCCATCGAGACAGCGCAGTCGCCGCGAGACCAATCCCACTCCTGCGGAGGGAACGAGTCGAGTTGTGCTCGACACTTCAGACAAGTCGTACAAAGTCACGCGCTTTCAAAAGGCCTTCTGCTCGATACTGCCAAGGGTCCGGAGAAATTGCTATCCATTCTGCCGATACAGAGTGTTCGCATTGTTCCACGTGCCAATGCTTGCCAAGTGGAGTTGGATACGGGCACGGTCAGCCTCGTCAGCCGCACCATTCGGAGCGAGCCAGCGTAATTTCCCACCAAGAGAGCGCCGACGACAGCAGTGCCAGCTGGGTAGTCAGTTCATGAAGCCCGTCTTGGTGAAAGCTGGGCGTTTTCCGATTGCTCTCGAGTTGTTGGCGTGAGTCTTAAGCTACTTTCATGAGAAATGTTGGCTTTCGTGATTAGATTCTGAGGAACAGCTCGATTGGAACCTGTGAGTCACGAGACGGCCATTTCCTCCTCTTTCGGCACTTGATCGAGACTTAGCTTGTGAAGGAACAGCTGCAGCTGAGAAACTGGAAGAAGAGCTCGCAAAAGGGGAACAGGGGCGGAAAGTCATTCTGGAGACTATGTCGGGGACAACAGGACACCGCTCTAGACACAGGATGCTCAGCTGTCTGTAGACCTGCACACGAATACGCGGCGATGAGAACTAGAAGGGAACGTGGCATGTAAGAATCATCGTACGAGGTAAAAGCCTCTGCGAAGCTGAGATGCTGTGTGAAATCGAGATCTCGACTTCGGTAGAATCCCGGCTACTGACGAGGCTGCAGCCTCGTCTTTCCTGGCATTTCCCCCAGCCGCCTCTGCGACACCGAGGGAGCTGCTAAACAAGAACCCGGATGTTAACCAAGCTGAAACCCCATGAGGCTCATCGCAGCTCTGTGAAGCTTCCCTCCGGCTTCTGTCCCTAAGTAAATCACCCCAGCGTCTCTCTCCCTGCCTGTCACTTCCATCACCCGACATCACTTGTCGCCGCCGTTTCAAACCAACATTGTTTCTAGACCCAAACGTAATCATCCTCATCGAAGTGAGATGATTGCTTAGGCCGAATCGTCTTCTTCTTTCTTTCGACAACGACGTATTCTTCCTTGTCCTCATTACGGCGGGGTCCAAGCTGCACCGTTACCTGACGGCTCTTGGGCCGTGCAGTTTCCAGTCTTTCCACCGTCCACTGCTTCAACAGGGCAAAGGTCACAGCAGGATGAGTGCTCTCCATGAGATTTCTCTTGCACCACTCCGCCTTGGCTGGTTCAGGGTTCAACCAGGAATGGTCTTCTCTCACTGCTTCAAGGAGCTCCTGCTTTGTCCAAGGATAGCAGTACTTTTGATATGGGGGAAGGTGGCGCCATGGTGGCTCGGTCGGGGGGGAGGTGGCCTCAGAGCTCCGGGCGGCTTGGGTTTCGGGGGCGGTGGGTGAAGCGAGCTCGTTGTCATTGCCATTTTCGATGGGTTCCCAATCCATTGAAGGTGTTCGATCGCTGTTGGTGGCAAGGTCTGGACGTAGATCAGGTACGTGATCAACCATGAGAAGGTGGTGGGAGACTTACCGGCATTGCTTAATACTGGCGATACAGACATGGTTGCGAAAAGCTTGTAGCGAATGTTTCCAAGTGTTCGCTGCGGATGCGAAGCTGTTGGGCTCTATGTGGCTAGGTTTTCCGTTGAGCTCACTGCAAGGTAGGCTGTGTGGTAATTGTGAGAAATGGGGTCTCAAGTAGTCGGCACATTTCTTTGATGCTGAACTGCACTTGCGCAGTCGAATCTTAACTGAGAGGTGAGTGTGAAGACCCGCTCAATTGTGAATAAGTCGGACCTGCCTTAAGCAAGTCTGCGTCTTCAATTCCTTGGATCATTTCGCAAATTCTCGGCAGTTGACCTTTGATTGGGCTCTTCTCTGTAGAAATTGCCCTTCCCTTGTGGCTCTGTAGCTCATTATGATCTGCTAGAGGCAGTGCTTGTTGAGACCGCAGCGGCCACATTTTCCTCCAGAGGCAATAGCGAAGATCTTCGTACAAAAGGGCGTGTTGAAGTCATGCAGTACGTGGTAGGACGACACCTCGTTTCACTCCAACATCTTCTTCAACTCTTCAAACTCAGAAGTCCTCTTCTTCAGTGCCTCATTAGCCTCATCCACGCGCGTCTGGACCCCCAAACCTGACGCCTGCGCCTTCTGTTCCCATGCTTGAGCTTCAACCGCTGCCATATACTGCTCCATAGCCAGCTCCACTTTCTCCTTTGCCTCCCTCAATCTTCGAATGTTCCGATGTCGCTCCAAGACCTTGATCCGCGCAGTGACTCGCTTTTCACTTTCCATATCCTGCAGTAGACTGCGTTCCATGTCGTCAACCACTATGATGGCGTCCAATTCGTCGGTGATGTCTCTGAAGAGCAGGTCGTGGAGGTCGGGATCGGGATCTCTCCGACGAAGAGCAAGAAGTTCGTGGACGAGGGCGTAGATTTCGCCATCCACGATCGCTTGCATGGTTCTAGAGAGCGCGCTTCGTGTTAGCTTCCGAATGCGCTCGCTGGATCGACGGAAATATACTCTTTGTGACAGCCCAGAGTGAATGACGATGGCTCTGGGCGTGACCCGGGCAAATTGAATGTGGCTTCGCTGGATAGTGCAATTCGGTAGTCCGACTCTGTTCGATATGGTCTGGCGGAGTTGTGTTGGTAAGAGCCTGAGATAGAGGAAGTGGCTATACATGACTGCCTCGTACGTGAAGATGCAAGCATTGTGGGAAGACGAGGCAGTCGCGCCATCAATCCACTGCCCGGAGGCGCCTCGCCATCGCACGTTCAACTGAAGACAATTCAGCCTTGCCCTTGAAAATTTTCAATGCTGCAAATCAGTCCCAAGACAGAATGCTAGAGTATATTTGGATGGTTCTGCAGAGGTAGTGGACGGGAGCACATACCGAACCCGACATCCATGTCGAAGATCGCTATGTAGTTGACAGAGTTTCTCCGAGATTTGCGATGGAAACGACGCGCGACGCAGGTGATCGAAGGACCTTGAAACGCGCTGTTGAAGGTCAAGGGCCTCAAATGTAGAACGCGTCTTTATGATACAGTGTGCGGCAAAGCCTTTCCCATCATCAAATCAAAGGGCGATTACTTCGCTCGTCCTCCGCCGGTGCTGTTCCTAGGAGAGTTGCGCACACGACGGTGCTGGCTACGCATCAAGGAGGCGAGTTGCAGCTGGCCTGATTCTCACTCAGTCTTGCGCCGCTTCGCCGGACTCTGGACCTCGTGCTCCTTGACTGCGGTGGCATCATGAGGTTCCCATTTCTTAGGGGCGGAGCCTAATCGGTGTGGATTCTGGGCTGGGTCATCCTGCCTGTTCGCCTTCGCGCCATTGCCAATCTGGACGCCTGTGGCAGTCGCCGTGACGCTGGAGACGGCGTTCTCACCTGCATCGACACCGCTGCCGTTCACGTTCCTTGGCTCAGTGGCACCGTTTGCTATTGCACGCTCACCCTTCTCTCCTGGAGCCTGCGCCTGCGTCGTCCGAGTCTGCTCCGCATGGTCAACTGCTGGTCCACTGGCTTTTCTCTTGGTCTTCTTACTCGTCTTGTTATTTGCCTCCATCTGCTTCGCTCGATTTAGTTCGTCTTTCTTCTTCCTGTTCTTCGACATCGACTCCTGTCTCGCGGCACGTTTCTTTTCTTCCTCAATCTTGACCTGTTCAGCAGTGTCACAGCGGGCCTTCTCTCGTTTCTCCTCCTCAATCTCGAACATCTTGGATATGGCCGGAAAGAGTCTTCTCATGTCTTTAATCTGCGAGACCTTGATGCGCATGAGGTCAAACGCCACAGCAACAGGAAGCTCACGCGCAGCATCGGCTTCAACCCAGGAGGACGACGATAATGTAGGAGCGAGCTTTCGCGGACGCTCATCGGCACCATCATCATTTATAGGGACGGTGCCGTTGGTCATCTCAGCATCCACATCATCCAGAAGATCCTCCTCAGATACGCGCTCGGGCATCTTGACACTGCTGAATACGGGTATCTTCTGGTACCGCTGGCTGAAATGCGTTAGGATGAGATTCTTTGCGCGCATTCTCAGCGCAACGCCGACGGCTTCACCCGTTGTACTGTGTTTCTTGGCCTTTGCATCTCCTTCCATGCCATCGTCAAATGTTGCCTCGTGTACAAGAACATCCGAGTCGGCACCAATTTCGCAGAAATTCTCACTCGGTCGACAGTCGCCACTGTAGGAGAATTTGAATCCATTCTTGAACGTGACCGAGACGGCTTGCGCTCCATGGCAGTGATTAACCTGCACAGTCCGCCATTCTTTGATGTAAGAGTCGTGCTGCCCAATGTCAAAGGGCTCTCCACGGTGCGACAACCCCTTAAAGGAGTTGCAAGGTATCGGCGTGCAAAGTGCGTTGGTTGGCAGCCCCAGCACGGACTGGTACTCATCTACGTAGTCCAACATGTTGATCTCGGAGAGCAGGTAAGGTGGCGATAGAGACACACTCTCCGATCCGGCCAGTCTGCCCACGGTCTTGTGCACCTCTTTCAGCACCGAAAGAGTGCCGAGATGATGATCGGCGTGAAGGTGAGAAATCCATATTGCTCGCAAGTTGAACAAAACGTCGTCCAGTTGTTGTACGTCGTACAGTCTCTTCAACTGACCAAGGGTGCCTTCTCCGCAATCGAACAGGTAGTTCCCCATGCCTTGCGGCATGCGTAAAAGTACTGCTGAGACATTGCGATATTTTGAAGGAGCTGCAGAACCGGTCCCCAGAGTAATGATCTCTGGTTCTTGTAAGTCCGCACCTGGAACGAAAGCCGAAGTTGCAGCCCGGTACGAAGATATATCGTCCTGTAGCAATTCTTGGACCGCTGGTTCTAGAACAGTCGCGAACGAGGCAGAGTCGAGGTTCGAAGCTACCTCTTTCTCGTCGATGGCGAAAGTTGGCTCGATTTGCACTTTTAAGCCTCTTTTTGCCAGGACGACCTGTGGATCGGCAACTAAGGAGCGTAACTCGGCCCCATATTTATCCAGCGCAGGACGATACGCTTTTGAGTTGTCGAAACGAGGAACCGAGAATAGATTTGGGGCGATTTGAGCTAGCTGGCTTGAAGATAAGGCGCTGGAATCATGAGTAATGTGGTCATTGCAGAGGGACGCATCCGAGATGATGTGCCTCATGTGCCCCAGTCGATGCAGTAGACTTTGAAATTGCTCGGTCCCTACGACATCTTGCCGGGTGATCCAGACCGCGGCTTCTACACCATCCAAAAGCTGGTCCGTCTGCTTGTTCAGGTTCCGTACAAGATCATCAAGATGGACGACAGAGGGTACGTCGAACAAGGCAAGACCTCTCCCGGGTCGAGTTGGGCTTAGGACCATCTCCGGAGTAATCGTTGTGCCAGTACCATCATCGCTCTCGACCGATCTACCTGCTGCCAGTTGTGCGAACTTCGGGCCAGGTTTCATACCTAAGGCTATGGCTTTTTTCACATCGAAACTCCCGCGTTGGGGGTGGCCCTTGACGATATACGACATTGCCGCACCACGAGACAGACCGAATGCTGGGGGTAGCTCTCCGACAGTGGAGGCAGGCCAGGGATTGCGATGGAGGACATCAGAGTCTGGTGAGAGCGGCGTCGTATCGAGGTCAAGGACTGGGTAAGAGACTAGCGTCTTTGTCTCTGGATCGCGCACGTAGACAACGGCAGGAAGCTTGATGTCCTTCAGCTTGGATTGGAATAGTTGATCCCGTCTCCAATCCGAATCGAACATGTTATTGACGACTTTCTTCCGAATCTCCTGCTCGATTTCCAACTGCGCTTCATCGATTGCGACGCCATCAATGTTGTTAGAGGCATCTTGAGTCAGAAGTGACCATACGCGGATATTTTCATCTTCATGAATAGGCTGTGGGTCGGTGGTGGTCTTGCGGATATCAACCTCATGCACCGACAACGGCATCCCTGTCCGGAAGACAAATCTCCTCGCACATGCCAGCGAGTGCAATTGCATCGGACCTGCGTGTATGTCCAGTCTCGGACGCTTGACACCGTCTTCATCCAGCTCGGATTGCTGGACATCAGCCAGGCTAAGGATCATGCCAATCAGCCCTCCGTTGTTCCAATGTGTCTTGCCCGCGAGGAAGAGACCTCGAACCTTTTTCAGCCCGACCCCACGTTGTATACATGCCCTCTGTGTCCCCTCGGTGATCTCTCCAAGAAGATATCTCTTCGTCGCGAAGTGCAGAAGTAGGGTCGTGCCTGGGGTATCTGAGGTGGGAGTCGTAACGAGTTCGAAATGGAAGTTGGTGCGCACGCCTACAGAGCCGGCGCCCACAGAGCCGGCGCCCGCCCTCAGTTGTGCCATTCGATCGAACTTGTAGGCGCTCGGTGTAAAAGGATCCAGCGATAAATCCTGATCTTGTTCACCTCGCGAGTGGTAGGATCTCTGCAGCAATTTGGGAGGGTAGTGATTTCGAGGGTCGACGGAGTTCTCCTTCAGGCGGGCTCTAGGGGTATGAGGACTTCTTGCTCGTATGCCAGTCTTTGCTTCATCCCAGTAGCGGGGCCAGTGTAGCAAGGAACGATCTACCAGACTCGGGTCGAGCCGCTGCCACGGCCGCAAGACCAGACTGTGCGAAGGATTCTGAACAGGTTGCACTGGCCAGGACAATCTGATACAGGAAGAAACGGAGATTCGCTCAGAGAGAGCAGGATATCTCGCAGGGAATAGCCTGGCTGTGGGTGCCTGTCGAAAGACACAAGCCGAGATAGCCACGGCGGATCGGTTGAGAAGGAACGTGTGTTACCGCATATCACGACGCAAATAACTCTGTGAAGGAGAAGTTTTGTCTGAGAGCACACGATTACCAAATAGAAGGAGGAGTGACATCAAATGAGTGTCTGACTAAATCTGTCTTTATTGCAGTTCCAGTCTGTCAATCGTGTGTAGAAAAGTTGAGACTTGTGGACAAGGCTGCGATTTTGCCTTGCGTCACCTGGAATCTGCACCATCCACGGCATCCGACGCGAACAACTGAACGGACGATTTCTACATGATCGAGCCTTTTACAATACTTCGTACCCATGCTAAGAGACAACGAATACTTGAAGTGATAAATCATCTATAATTTCAAGAGCTCATCTATAATTTCAAGAGCTATGTACTGGCATCAATGAGATGAGCAGAACGAACCGTTAATGGCTCTTGAATTCCCATCCAGGCCTCAGCAACCGAAAGTATGAATCATTGGGGTAGGTCTTCATTCCATATGTGATGTCAACTCGGCGAGCTTCACACAGCTATCATCCAGATCGTCGCACATTCTTTTTAGGTTCGTCATGCTTTCCTCCTCTGAGAGCTCTGCGGGCTCTTCGGCATGACCGGGGTCATTCCCTTCCGACGAGCAATGATTTTCCGAGGCAGAGGAGTTGAAGTATAGTGCAAATGTGTTCTGGTCGAGGGCTATGGAGTCATCAACCTCCGGGGCTTCAACAGCAGTGGTGGTCATCATCATCGAGGGAGGCAGCTCTGGAAGTCGCGGGACTTGTTTCAACGCTTTTGAGGACCCCTTCTCAGGGTGGGACTTCCCAGAGAGGCTTTCTAGATCGAGCGTGGGGTGTGGGGGCAGCTCGGTCACAGCGTAGACATGATAATCGTTGGTTGGGACTGCGTTCATCCATCCATTTGATGGTTGAAGAACAGAGAAGTCGACGGGAGTCTCGGGTATCAATGCCATTCCAATTTGAGGTGGTTGATTCTGGAGTTGTTGAGAAGCTGCACTGGAGCCGACATCCTTTTTCATCGGCTGAGGTTGGGATTGAGCCTGAGCCTGAACAGGCTTCGGCTGTTGGATGTTCTTCTGGAGATTTGGTGGCGGCAAGCCAGATTGGCTAAGTTCTTGCAAAAACCCAGAGAAGGCTTGCGAAGACAACAGCATCCGAGTGAGGTCGGTAAGACGGTTGTTCTCTTCCCGGAGCTGCTGGTTTTGCACACGCAGATCGTTCGCTTCTTGAACTTTGGTGGCAACCTCTCCTTCGAGTTGGCTAATGTATTCTGTCAAATCAATTAGTACATTGGATGTGATACTTCAAGCAAGAAACCTTACCCTTCCTTCGAGAACGGAAAGCGCGAGCGGAGACCTTGTTTCTGAGCTGTCGACGTTCCTTGCTAGAGAGCTTCTTGCCCTCTTCACTCGCCAGAAGACGTTCGTCCTCGTCCATTTCATCCTCGTCCTTCTTGATCCGAGGCATGTTGGACATTCCACCGGAAGCACCGTCGTCGTCCTCAGATACAGAAGCCGCGCTGGCCTGTCTCATGCGATTCAGGACCTTGGAGATGCTCTCTTCGACGAGAGGATCCTTGGCTGGTTGAGTCTTTGTAGGGGATGAACCGGGAAGAGGCTTTTGTCCCTGTGGACGTTGCTGCTGTTGGCGGGCCAACTGTTCTTGCTTCTGTGCCTGTTGCGCCTTTGCAAGAGCAGCCTGTTGGCTATGCATGCCAGGGTAGATTCGTTTGATAGGAGTAGAAGAGGTATTGGTCGGGGCCACCAAAGTATTTGGGCTGACGAACTGAGCCGGACCAGAAGAGTTTTCGGGAAAGAACATTGTCGGGAGACCGATTGGCGAGTCATCAAAATCCATATCACCCGGATTGCGGGAGAAGTCAAGGTCATCAAGGTCGCTCAACGGCATGTTCAAAGTCTCGGTTGGCATTATAAACCCTCCATTGTTCTCGTGGTATTGCAGCCCAGTGGCCTTGTTGATGTTGAAAGTGCTCGCTAGTGCTCCTCGAGGAATGCCTGTCTGCTGATGGTACAGGTCGTATTGGAAGCTCGGGCCCGGAAAGGTAGGGGTTGTAGTCGATGGAGGGACGGACGATTGGGGTGTCAGCATCGGAACAGGCTTGATGTCTGGTGAATCGATGAGAAAAGAGTCGTAGTCGGTATTGAAGTTGGTGTTGAGTTCAGCCATGCTCGAGTGAGCCGAGTTGTAAGTCATGGCTGGAGAGGTGCGTGGCCTAGATGCCTGCGCGGGTCAATTGTGCCAAAAATAGGCACAAGTCGTTCGGATGGTCTTCAAACTCAATTCCACCTCAATTGTGCCCTTAGAAAATCGTCGTCGAGGCGCTGAGAGGTGGTATGAGGCGTATCGACGGCGACTTGGATATGAAACGAGGGAGTGATCGAAGAGAGTGAGATGCCGGGGAGCAGGGAACAAAGAGAGACGGAGGATAAGGGAGCAGAAAGTTGGCAGCATTGGATGTGAGGAGCCACTCTCAAACCACACACTCGGGGCCGACAGAGGCTGTGCTTCGCGAGATACTACCCACTTCAGCGAGACGGGCGAGTTACGAGGGCGCTGAGGGACATCGGCGGTTTATCGCTCCGTGATCAGCATGTCAGTGCTGCAATCTCCACCAATGATATAAGAAGTTGCCTCCGCCATTAGGCTACTATGATTCTTTAACCCAGAGTTGCCAATGTATTGGCATTGCTCGCCCTTTGATCATTGGCATCCACCGCAGCTGCCTCTTTCACGGCAGAGGCCAAGATAGACACTGTCGAGCCGCGGTCGAGAGCAGAGGCCAAGTAGCGGCCTCGCAGTGCGCAACATGAAACCCTTCTGAACCAGCAGTGAGAGGCGTCCGAGGGTCCTCACGTGACTCCGGTAAGTGTGCGATCAGCCGTTTGCGCGCCTCAAACATCAGGCTCATCATCCGCCGGTCTTCCGGACTGACATATGTTCCCAGTATTGAGGTTCTCTGCGTGTGCCTGTAGCGATTGGGAGTGTCTGGCTGACAATCTTTACCCGGTCGTGGATATTTAGGCGCGCTATATTCAAGAATGTGTGTTATCCACTTGGTCATCTCGTTCTCCTGTGTGCCTGTTTCAGCTGGGGACATTACCTGCACATGCGTTCAGGCAGAACCCGCCAGTGATGCCCGCATCTGGCTCATCTGGCAGAAGCCACGGAGTTACCGAACTGTGGCGCTGAGATGTGGCTGCTCAAGTCATGTGACGTGCCGACCCCCTTCTCCTCGTACTCCGTACCTCGTACGGACCTCGTGCGAGATCCGTCACTGCCGACGCAGCCAGTTGTTTGGTTTGTTCTTTTCCTCCATTTGACCATTTCAAGCATTAGTCACGGCTACAGCACTGCTTGCCTGCGGGGCGTGATTTATTCTCCCTAGCCGTTCAACAGAGGATGATTAAAGTCCATTTCCACGTTCCAGATGTCAGGAGTGTCCAGTGATCCTTCTTCCTCTTCATTATGGCTGAGGCCGGTTTCAAGCAGTTAATGGCGAGTCTCCTGCGCCAGACGAGGCCGCAGTCATTTCGCCACTCCAAACCACCTCGATATCCTCAGCGTCAGCTATCTACCGCAGCCAATGCATCTACGCCGCCTTCTGAGCCAGACTTACCCCAATGGCAGGCGCACAGAGTCGATTCTCCTCGCGCTCGAAGTGATCAAGTACCCGAAGCGAAGCGGCCGCGCCTCGACAAACTTCGAAGCGAGAAGGAGCCGCGACAATTCTCGTCCTTTCTAACCGACAATTATTCCCGCCAACATAATTACCTACGAATATCCATCACCGAGAGGTGTAACCTGCGATGTCTCTATTGTATGCCTGAGGAAGGCATTCAGCTCTCACCGCCAGCCCATCTGCTGACCACGCCCGAAATCGTATACCTCGCAGAATTGTTTGTTGACCAGGGCGTGGATAAAATCCGTTTAACGGGAGGAGAGCCTACGGTTCGAAAAGACGTATTGGATCTCATGCATCAAATCGGGAAGTTGAGGAGTAATGGCCTCAAAGAGCTGTGCATAACAACAAATGGCATATCATTACATCGCAAGCTGGACTCGATGGTTGAGTCCGGCTTGACGGGCGTCAATTTGAGCTTGGATACACTCGACCCTTACCAGTTTGCGATCATGACGCGCAGGAACGGTCACGAGGCGGTGATGAAATCTATTGATCGAATTCTCGAAATGAACAAGCTGGGCGCCGGTATCAAGCTGAAGATCAACTGTGTGGTAATGCGCGGTCTCAACGAACGCGAAATCTTGCCCTTTGTGGAACTTGGCCGGAACCAAGATGTCGAGGTTCGCTTCATTGAATATATGCCATTCGACGGGAACAAGTGGTCGGAGAAGAAAATGATGAGCTTCGGAGAGATGCTGGCTCTGATACGGCAGAAATACCCACATGTTGAGAAGGTACAGGACCACAAGAACGACACCAGCAAAACGTACCAGGTTCCCGGTTTCGCTGGTCGAATCGGATTCATTACGAGCATGACGCACAATTTCTGTGGCACGTGCAACCGGCTTCGAATCACCTCGGATGGTAATCTGAAGGTGTGTCTTTTCGGAAACTCGGAAGTCTCGCTTCGTGACATTCTCCGTGAGTCAAACGATGGCCGACCCATTGATGCGGAAGCCATGGAAGCCATCCGCCAACTGGAAATGGACCGTCGTCAGCAGCTGAGCGGAAGTACGGGCGCTCTGGGATTCTCGGAGAAGGAAGCCAAACTGCTTGATGTAATCGGCATGGCGGTGAAGCGCAAAGAAGAGAAGCATGCTGGCATTGGCGACTTGGAAAACATGAAGAACAGGCCAATGATCCTCATCGGTGGGTAAGCCTTGACATCCTAATCCATCCTCCCAGGTTTTCATGCAGTCACGACGGAATGCGCCATGTGGCAATGTATACGATGGCAATGAATATAGATCTACTGTGAACATAGATCTACCTCATTTCTGGTCCTTGTTCTGTTCAAGGCGCGCGCTTGGTCAGTGATCCCGCTGACTTTGATTTTCTTGTAGATGATGCTCCTGCCACCCAGCAACTGCCAGCTTCGTCGTCCAGGACAGTCCTTTCAAGACACCTCAGCCCAATCTCTACCTTCCGCCAGCCTCTTATACCAACCCACTTGCTCCACCCATCCGTTTCACCTCCTTCGTGGTCTCAAACGCGCTGCTTTTCCTCGCTCTACCCGGTCCTCCCCGCCGGATTCAGAAAGTTCAGTAATTCAAGTTCATTGACCAGAGCACGGTTGAGATATAGTGCATTCCGATATGTGCACGGCCAACCTACACATCGTCATATCCCAACGACGTTGGTAGATGATGTCCCAGCAACATCTAGGCGGACGCCGGGGCCCAGCCGAGAACCAAGGTCGTCAGGAGCAACGCCCGAGGCTGACATTGTTATAAAGGGTACAAAATTCAGGGAATACTTGACAAGCAACGTCGGAGATCGTCGCAAGCTGAAAATCGCGAGGGCTAGGGCTCGGGCTCGGGCTTGGGCTCGACGCCACTCAAGCACTTATGGTCGAGACAGATATCAAACTTCACCAACTCATCCACATCTTGGGAGCTCACTATCGGGTGGAATTTCTTCAGCCAGTGCACCAGTGGCTGTGGCAGACGAGCGACAGAGTGCGGCAACCCGCTCTGACTCGGGCGTGGCCAACGACACTGCAACCTCCACTGAAGGGGTCACAACACTCAGTCATCTTACTGCCGATGGCGAAGCGCATATGGTCTCCATTGCACAGAAGAAACCGACCTCACGCTCCGCGACAGCTACCAGTTTACTGCTCTTCTCGCATGAGGGCACTTACAATGTGTTATTTGCTTCACGGCTCCAAAAAGGCGATGCCCTGGCCGTGGCCCGCATCGCGGGTATACAAGCCGCGAAAAAGACCTCTGACCTTATCCCACTCGCCCACCCTGGGCTCAACATCACCGGCGTCACAGTCCGCCTGGAGCCCTTCAAGAGAGATAACGTGCCGTTTCCTCTCTCTGAAGCCTTCCAAGCGGACGCAGGGCGAACCCCACACGTGGCCGCCGACGTCGAGACCCTCCACGGCGGAGTCCTGGTCACAGCCACGGTCGCATGCGAGGGCAAGACGGGTGTGGAAATGGAGGCCATTACCGCCGCCTCCGTGGCCGGACTGACCATGTACGACATGCTCAAGGGCGTGGACAAATGCATGGTGATGACAAGCACTCGCGTCACGGCGAAAAGTGGAGGCAAGTCTGGAGACTGGGAATGGGACCATCAACTACACCAACGCATTGTCCGCCACGACCAAAAGCCCGCCAGCGAGAGCAGGGGAATGGGCTCGGGAGGTCGCCAACAGGCCACACCCGAGCCGCAGACGACGACACTCTCGCCACATCTTCTCCATCCCACCACGTCTGAGAACCCGAAATTCCCGAGTAAACAACCTAAGATTCAAAGCCTTGCGCAGGAGAACACAAGGACCGCCCCCGTGACGGCGGAGGACATGAAGATTCAACGGCTGAAGCGTTGGAATCAACACCACGAAGCCAATCAAATACATGCAAGATAAACGGTAGTGGCTCCGGGCATCGTTGAGATAGATGACCAGGCGTGATTGATCGCGGTGGTCCTACTGGGGGCAGATTACGTGCCGACAAAACCGGAGTGATTCTTGCGAGTTTCGCGATGCGCACTTTACTATCCTAGGCATGCGTTGTACGGAGTACATAGCAGGCATCTCTATGTATAGTACGGGGTATGTACATATATATTTGTATGTATTGTATGCGGAGGATGCATACCTAGGTACCACGCGTGACACGCACTTGACTATCCTAGGTATGCGTTGTACGGAGTACATAGCAGGCATCTCTATGTACAGTATGTACAGTATGTACGGAGTATATGTACATGTATATTTATATCTACTTGTATTGTATACGAAGTTCTTCGTATATGCCGGCATATCCATGTGTATATTTCCCCCGGTCGATCACGCCTCCTTTCAAATCATCCTCAAAGGCTCAGTACCTAGGCTTCAAAGGCCCAAGTATGCGCGTCTCCAGGAGCCTTTCACGCGATATACTGTACGTTGTACACGGCGCGATTACCTTTCGTGCAGTTTACTGTAATGTACTTACTTCCGTACAGCCGGAGCCAGTCTACTCGCTTGACGGGATTGATGAGGCTTGCCTGGCTGGCTGGCACATGCAGGATATAAGCGACTGAAAGAAACAGCCCGTGGACAAATTGTACGAGACCAGCGTACAGTACAGTACTGTGACTCGAGGCACAGAAAAGGGGGCCGGTCTAGACACGGGGGAGCCCCAGTACTGTGAGCAGCTGAGCAGATCAGAACTTCGCTGGAGGAGGTCGATTTCTGTGTATAATTATGTGTACGAAGTAGTCCGCACGTATCTCTATTCCGACAATGATGAAACACAGCTCCGCAACGAACTGCACTGCACTGCACTGTATTGTATCGTCTTTCCGTCCCGGCAAAAGTACCTAGGTAGTCTATAGGGTATCATATCTTAGCTTGTATATGCGCTGGTTCAAAACAAGAAATGCACGGAAAGGAAATGATGAAGAAACCAAGCGTCCGAGACAAAACGCAAAGGAAAGAACCAAATCAAGTGACCAAACTAGCTGCGTTACCCTCCGAATCCAACCATCATAACTCTTGTACCGAGTAACCAACGAGCAGATGCGAGCAAGTTTCAGATCCGTTGGGAGATGTATGGATAGAATGGAACGCACATGCATTCATTCACCACTTCATTCTCTCGTTGGCTCACTCACTCATCCACTTATCTCAACCACACCTGCTCGAAAACGCCACGCAGGGGTTTCTGCCCTGTGATCTCTTCCATGAACTTCTCGCTCACGGGCGTGATCAAGGCGGACCAGCGGTTGAATCGCGTCTTCGCCCAGTCGAGGCAGAAGTGGTGGGTCCTCAGAAACTCCGGTGGTTGAGACCGCATTGCGGCTCGTGCTTGCGGGGGCGGTGGCGTGGGCCTGTGCGTGGACATATAGAAGGCTGGCATGGAGGCTGTCGTCGTTGTTGTTGTCGTCGTCGGATGCGTGGTGCTCGTATTCGTGGATGTCGTTGCCGAAGTCTGAGACTGAGGCTCTAGCGGCGGTGTGATCTTCCACCTGCTTTCGTAGATGGTAGGGCCGATGGCGAGGTGTGCCAACGCTGGTCGCGCGCCACCGACCCGAGCAGGAAACACCCACTCGATGAACTTGGTCGCGTACTCTTTGATGCTGTAGTCGCCTAATTGGCTGAAGGCCTGATTTTCGGGGAAATTGCGTATATGAATGGTCTTGAGGTGCTGAAGGGTCGGCAGGGCCGTCTTTCTGAGCCGCACCATTTCATCTGTCCAGGGAAATCCCATGCCTAGCTCGACGAGGTTGGGACACAGTCGAGCAATGTCGTTGATGGATTCTTCCCACAATTCGTGGCTGTAGCCGCCGACACCGAACGGGCGGGATGTATCCAGTGACAAGTGCTCGCGCGGTTGGATGCGTGATTCGAAGACGAGGGTCTCAAGGGTAGGACCGTGCTCGGCGATGAATGTGCTAGGCCGCTCCAAGACGGCAGCATTCTCGAACAACAGTGACAGGGTGCGCAGGCCGGTGAAGGAGGTGAGAAAGCGGACCGTCGCGTCTTTCAGCGCAGTCGTGGGATTTTCGTGGCGGAAGAGGAAATGTTTCAGCGAAGGGGTCGCTTGTGGGGTTTGAGGTGCTTCGGGAGCCGTGGTGGCCCAATGGAAGGTACTCGCGATTGATTCCAGAAGTTCGATGCTGCCGGGGCAGGATTCTAGTACAAGCCGCTCGAGGCGGCAGAAGAAAAGAGCCTGCGGTATCGATGCTGGCCGGAGAAGACTCACGTCCAGACCGGACAAAGAGAGCTCGCGGAGCTGAGGAAATGAGTCCAGCGCGTATGCAGATGTGAAGAAAATCTCGCTCGGTTGAGGTATCTGGTTGTAGAGACCGAGTCTGCTTTGCTGGTATCGTTCTATCAGTTGCATCTCTTGTCCCAGGCACAAACTTTGTAAGGTCTTCTTGTTCGCAGATATGATCTTTTCCACCCCTTCTCCATCATTCACGGTGCGAGCATCCAAGCTGCTGAGGGTCTTAGGCACGAGACCCTCTTTCCCGGCTTCGAGGCCGTAGAAGGAGAGGTGTTGGAGCGTACTCCCGTGCCGTCGAGCGAGGAAGTCGAGCACTTGAAGAGTCATAGGTGTTTGGTGAAACAACCTAGAAAAAGATCAGCGACCGCATAACAACCCGACGGTAAGACCTAGCTTACTCGAAGCGTGTCAATTGATTTCTGGGGATCTTCTCCAGGAGGCCATTGACACCGGCGCTGGTGGAGCCTGCGTTGGAGATCCGTCTGCGCCTGTACATTGAATCCCTCCTTTGGGTCCGCCCATTTCGGATCGTGAGCTCTCGTACTGACTGGGTGACTGGCTCGCGGAAAGTCGGCTTGCGAGTCTGGGACAGTTCGAAGTCGACGGTGTGGTACAGTCGAGCCATAACCATGTCTTCCAGAATACGGCATGTTTGGGACAAGTTGTAGAGGTCTCTCCGGTTGTCCAGCTAGTCGCCTGTCAGCCAATCCGTACTCTTACCCGCAACTGCTTGCCTTGGACTTACAAACTCGACAATGTGGAGTTTGACTTCGGCTGGGAGACTCAGCAACCGACAAAGCTGTGGAAACAGGGATGCCTCCATAGTGACGGCCTGATATCAGATAAGAGGTTGTGATGTTGATGTTCACGTCTCCGGCGGTAGAGGACTGGGTCACAGCAACGTCTTCATGTTCCGTGCTTCAGTCAGGAAGATTCCGGCCTGGATGGGACGGGTCGCATTTATCATCAGCGGTGACATAGGGGTGGGTACTTCTGCGTGTAGCCTTGACATCAAGGGGCGCATGCCAAGAGACGGCGAGGCTACTGTAAACTGTCAGCATGCGTTAAATAACGTCTCATTATGTCAGACCAGCCATGTGTTAACGAGACGGCAGTCGGACCGGGAAACGAGCACTGACCCAATGTAAGCAGGAGGAATGAAAGGAGATAAGCGGAGCACTGACGGCGCTTTGTGCATGTTGGCGATGCGATCGAAGCGCATCTCGACCAGTCAAGGTGGCGCAATCATATTGTCCTCAAAACTTGTCAGAAGCGATGCGAGCGCAACTCGGCACCGTGCAGCAGAAACAGCTCGTCGACCATGCTCCCATCGGACTGGACTCGAATTGCCAGCGGAAGATTGATGATCTTCCGTGCAGCCACAGCATCCGCCGGATCTAGCACTGTCTGCACTGTACATTGTAAGTGGGTACATATGTAACTTGTACGTCGTACTGGCCCGGTGGGTACACTGCGAAGACAGCACGCCCTTGTCTATATTCGTTAAGGATTACTGATCTTGGATTAGACCCCAAGGCGGTCATCTTCAGAAAGTCCACCATTCACGTCTGCTGCACATTTCCCCGTTCGATAATTAGCTACTGGGTACTATGTACTCCTTACCTGGCAGGGCGTCCCGTCGTCGTCCTCACGACTGGTCGCAATCATTCCCATCACTGGTCCTGCCGAGAGCCCAGCCAGTGCAACTTCCCTATCAGGTCAATCGGCTAGACCTTTCCAAATGAAAGGGAATCCTTCTACGGAGTAGCCTTGCACGACTGGTGAGGCTGACCGTAGCCGAAGCGAACCTGCTCTCAGCTGGACCTCCGAACCCGTGCCATGGATAGACCTCTCCCAGTTAACTTGCACAGGACGACGAGACTGACCCTTCCACCAGACGCATGTTGAGCTTGTGTCCAGGCTCCTACTGGGCACACAACACTTCAGCTGATCCTTTGATGGAAGGGGAGAGGAGCCACATTCTAATGTTGGCATCTGTTAGCCCCGATGATAGTCCTGGCTGTGCTTCCTGTGACCTCTGCATTGTAGAGCAGTCGTCTCTTGCGTTTGCCCTGGCTCTGCAGCGCAAATTTCGCACTGCTTCGGGATGGTTTGCTCGTACAAGTTCCAAGCTGACAAGCGGTTGCAGACCTATTAAGGAGGGGGGATGGATGCTTCGGAACTGGGAACTCTTACATTCTCCAGCCAGACAGCTTACATTACCACCCCAAACCGAGCATGTCCTTGAGGAAAAGCTTAAACACCCACGAACTGCCCGAATTAGTGGCATAGGAGCATCCACGGTGGTGACCTGGGCATCCACAAGAGGCACACGAGCGGAGGATTATATCCTAATTGTACGACGGATCAAGAACAATTGCCGCAGACAGAGTGATACGAGATGTGTCGAGTGGAGTGACAGAGCTCACTGATTGTGGGCATCATATCAGCCCGTCAAGAGCGTATTCTAACGCACGCTTGGACTTGTGGCTCGGGATCTCAAGACTTTGTCGAAGTAGAGTATTACTTCCTGGCTCCCTGTCCCGTCGATCGTGCATTTGTTTGAGTTTATATTACTCCATACTTGCATTAGAGTTGCAGTTGTATGGTCTTCCCTTTCTCTTCCCAAGACAGACCTGGTCATTCCCGTCCTGGATCTGCTGAGGTCCACCATGCGGAACGGGGAGTATGTTGACGATTCCTCGGTGTCTGGAGCACATGTTGTAGGCTGCTGATCTGATGTTTGTATTCTTAGCTGCTTAGCCCCTCTCCTCTTCGGATCAGATGGACCTGGACCCGGCAAAGCTGAACAATTGATCTCGTTGGTTGCAGCTGTCGTCCAGTCTTGGGACATACGACGAAGTGAACGACATGGATGCAAACTAATTCAATGTTTGGTCGGGGTTTCGCATGAAGTAATAGGTCAAGGTAATTCTGGTTAATGAACAATTAGCAGGTTGATATAGCTGAGGTTTTTTGTTGGAATTAGCGCAAAGCCATTCTTCACGCGAGCTGCTGTCTGATCGAGCAATTCATGTAGATATGCCAGGTAGGGTATGGTGGATGTCCTCAGTGTCTTTTATCACGTCGTGTGCTCTATACCGAGTACTTCAATCTTACAATGGACATCTGAGATCGAAAAGACTTCGTTGTCTTCGAATTCGCCCACCGTATCGTGCACTGGTGTCTTTGTGCGTCGCCGGATTTTGGCTTTGCGGAGAAATATAATTCCACTGCATTCCTGCGCAAAGAGCAGCTCGAGGTTCGTCAAAGGTTCGTGCTACAGACCTACATATCAGGATCTAGGTCTCTCTCCGGCGACAGGCAATAGGTAATCTGAGCAGCAACGCAGACATTGTCGGCAGCTCATGTCGTCCACGCACTTGTTGTTGCTTGTAAGATTTTGATCCATTCGGCCATTCTCGTGCTCTCCGGACTCGAAGTTCTTGTTCGTCTGTGGGCTGAGGACTGTGGCTATCTGAAGCTGTGTTGGGCGCTGGGCTGTCGTCGTGTAGATGCTTGCTCTGAGCCGCTCAAACACTCAAGCATAATGCGCACTGGTTGAGAACAGGACCATGGGGTAGATGTGAATGGTGTGGACACTTGATGAGACCATGTGAGTATACCTCTCGAGACGTGAAAGTCATTGTCAGCTCCAGACTGGTCCCATTCATGTCAGTCCGCAGGAGGTCCAAAAGGGTGCGCAACAATGGGTGCGGCAGTATGCCAGATGCTGGGACTTTTGAGAGGCAGGATGATGTCGTTCCTTCTTCGCGCGCCAGCGACATCATCATCCCCTCGATTAGTCGTCGTCGCTTAGTCGCCAACCACCACGATGTCACGCCGAGGAGAAGACGACGCCAAGAGCACACAGAGTGTCGACAGCCTTGAAGAGCGTCTCAAATTGGCCCAGATCAACAGTCGCCTGAACGAATCCATTCCTGATCTTCCAGAGGCTGACTTTACTCATCCTAGAGACTTCCTCAAAACTGATAGCGACGAAGACCTGGCTCTGAAGGCGCACACTACAGGCAAGCGACCCTTTGTTCCACCGGTCGAGTCTTCTTCCTCTTCTTTACCACCAGAATCATCAACTCCTCAACCCCAGTCTCCGGCCCTACCAACAGAATCTGAGATGGATCGCCGACTTCGTCAAAGCAAGCCACGCTTGCTACTCATGGGGCAGCGCAGGTATGAACTGGTTTCACCGTCTCCTGTCCTCGATCACTGACACAAATTGTAGAAGCGGCAAATCGTCAATCACCAACGTCGTCTTCCACAAAACTCCTCCTCAAGAGACTCTGTTCCTCGAATCCACCACTCAAATCCAGAAAGATACCATGCACTCGTTCATGGACTTCCAGATCTGGGATTTTCCTGGTCAAATTGACTACTTCGATCCGACTTTCGACACCAACCAGATCTTCTCCGAAATCGGCGCGCTGGTCTGGGTCATTGACGCACAAGACGACTACTCCGAGTCGTTGAACCGGCTCACTACCACAATTCTCAATCTTCAGACCACTTTCCCGCACGTCAACGTCGAAGTCTTCATCCACAAAATCGACAGCTTGAATGATGAGTTCAGAACTGAAGTCTACCAGGACATTGCGCAACGTGTCGGTGATGATTTGAACGACGCAGGCTACATCAACCCCAATGTCACCTACCACATGACCTCTATCTACGACTACTCCATCTTCGAGGCATTCTCCAGGGTTGTCCAGAAGTTGATACCACATCTGGACACCCTGGAGAACCTCATGAACACCCTGGTGAACAACAGTGGGATGGCGAAGGCGTACCTCTTCGACATTTTGACCAAGGTCTACGTGGCCAGCGACACGCGGCCGGTGGACATGGAGGTGTACGAAATGTGCGCCGACTACATCGACGTCACGGTCGATATCACCGACCTGTACGGCCATGAGCGCAAGCATGGCGTGGTGTTGGGCGAGCAGATGGAGGAGACGGAGTCGTCCATGATCATTCATGACGGCTCCATGATCTATCTCAAAGAGATGAATCGATATCTCTGCTTGGTGACCATCATCAAGAACCCGGAGGCCAAGGACAAGAAGGGCCTGATCGACTACAACGTCCACTGCTTCCAGGACTCGTTGAACGAGTTGCTGGCGCAGGCGTGGCGCGAGGACAAGACGGGCGGAGAGGGCCAGAATGGCGAGGGTGCGGACCAGGAGGGTCAACAGGCCCAGGCCGAGAATTGAGGGACAGGCGGTAGGCACAGTCAGACGGTGAATAGCACCAGATTCAAGCGCAGGCAGTGAGCCTGCCTCAATGAACAAAACACCATGACCCAAAGCTTCGTCCCCAACTCATGACATTCCGTACTTATGCGGCGGCATTGTTGTTCTTCTCATTCCGTGGGCGCCGCAGGCGTAGGTCATTCCCGCCAAGCCCAGCCATTTTGCCTCGTCTGACGCCCGTCCACGCCACACCAGTAACAGAAGCCTCCATCTACATGCAGGCTCGCTTCTCATCCGAGGGTGAAACTTCTATCAGTCGACTGGGCGACGTTGACGGCATCGGACTACTCGCTGACGAGACTCAACGGAACCAGGCGACTGATAGTGCTGGCACCAGCCTGACCCGCAATTCGCTAAATCCACGAATCCAATTTTTACGCCTTTCCGCCGTCGTCAGAGGACGACAAGGCACGTTGGGGGCAACTCCTCCATATCAGCCGGTACCGCCATCTTTACATCGCCAATTGGATGTTGACGGGGACCAGAGTGAGGATCAAGCGGACACCAGGACGCCGTCGCCGTTGCGCAATCTCGCTCTCTCACATTGCTATTACGGGCATGACTCACAATACCGTCGCATAACCGCATCGCCTACCTTTCACACTCAGCCCGCAAATCCGGTCAGAAGAGCGATCAAGATGCCTCAGACGGGATTTCAGGCTCTCATCCTGTGCGGTCCAGGCATTGGACTCAACACATTCACCAGCGTTCCCGCCGAATTTCCCAAGGCGCTGGTGGAGGTCGCAAATCGGCCGATGGTCTGGTATGTGCTGGACTGGTGTTATCGCATGGGCGTAACAGATATCACTCTCGTCACGCCGCCAACATCGAAAGACACGATCGCCGCTGCTCTGGCCCAAAATCCATACCTCACGAGCCTGCCCTCGCCGTCGGCAGATCTCTTAGCCCCTGCGTCACTAGAATACACGACTCCGACGGCGGAACTACTCAGACTGCCAGAGGTGCAGGAGGTGATCAAGTCAGACTTTTTGCTCCTCCCTTGCGACCTGATCTGCGGTATCCCAGGCGACCAGTTCCTGGAGACGTATTTCACCCGGGTGGGTGGGCCTGGCGGCATCGGTGCAAGCTCCGGCCTGGAATCAGATACGTCACGAACCGAGCTATTGTCACTCGGCGGCGAGAAGCGAGGCCGTCGTGGTGGTCTATCGATATGGTACAACACGGTGGACCGAGAGGAGAGCGTCAAGGGCGAAGAATGCGACTTTATGTGTACCACGAAACTCGACTCCGAGCACAACCTCCCTCTGGCAAAGACTGCCTCTCTACAATCGCAGGGCGTGCTCCGCAAGTTGGTCTGGGCGATGCCCATGTCCGAACTATGGGACCAAGTCGAGGAAGACAAGTCCTTCAAGATCCGACAATCTCTGCTGCGCAAGCACGGCGCCATCAAGTGCATGACCAGGTATCGTGACTCGCACATCTACTTCTTCCCCTACTGGGTCAAGGACTTTGCCAAACTCAACGAAGATTTTGAATCCGTCAGCGAAGACCTGGTGGGGACGTGGGCGAAGGTAGAATGGCGCAAACCAAGCTACCGCGCGCGATTTGGCGCGCGAAAGATATTCGCACCGCCGCCGCGTCTGGAGAATGGGAATATGCACGCGCACGAGCGGCCGATCGAAGAAGAGATCGACCTCCTCTCGCTGAGCAGCACCCACGTCACAGAGCATCCGGCACCGGAGTCTCTCACGGCACCGCGCATCGCTCGCCTCGCGTCCCGCGTACACACCGACGTAGAGGACCGCACTCTCTCCCCCCAAGACGACAACACTCAAGCGGCCCTCATCGAAGATGCGGGCCTTGTTCCCCTCGTGCCCCCGATCCTGTCATACATCCTCCCTTCGGCACCCGAAGCGCCACTGGTCCGCCGCGTAGACAGCACACCGCTCCTCCTCTCGGTCTCCCTGTCCCTGGCAAAACTCCCTTCCCTGGAAGAGCATTCCGCGGCGGGCTCCAGATCGGCGGCCTCCCCGTTCGCGCACGCCGCGAAGATCCACGCCACCGCCACGATCGCCCCACGCGTCACCATCTCCCGCTCCGACACGCTCATCGACAGCAACAGCACCATTGCCACGCAGTGCGTGATAAAGAACAGCGTCATTGGCGCGTCCGTCTCCATTGGCACAGGGACGCGGATCACGGGCTGTGTGATTATGGATGGCGCAACGATCGGCGACAAATGCGTGTTGACGGGCACGGTGGTCGGCAAGAAGAGCAAGGTCGGCAACAAATCATCGTTGACGAACTGTGAGGTTCAAGATGGGAATGTTGTGGCCGACGGCACCGAGGGCAAGGGTGAGAAGTATCTCGTCGGAGGGTTGGAGGATGAGATGGAGGAAGGAGAGGAGATGGGGTTTGATGATGGTGGAGAGGACGGGGGATCAGGTGCGGATTGAGGAATGACCGACCACGAACGAGAGATGTGAGATGAGCGATGAGAGATCGAGGTGGGAGACGCAAGCAATCACCATATCGGCAGCATGACGGCTCAGGTTTCGCAAAGACGCAAACTTCCCTCTGCTACGGTGTTTCTTTTTGAAGAAATGAGTGTAACTCATTATTATCGACACCTAACGTCAATCAAACAAACGACCCCGAACACTAGAACGCGCTCCATCTATTCCGTTCGTACCCTTGGCAGGTTTTGTATAGATGAACCTCCACCGACCAGGATAATTTTGTACAGTGAGTCGACTTACGACTTGCCCTGCTAGAAGTGTTTCCGTACGCTCCTTTCTCCCGTTTCCCCACGAATAAGGCCAACGTCTTGCCATGCCCACCACAGCCTGAACGCCGGGTTGTGGAATGTAGGGCCGATGTTATGGGAAGCGTCGGAGAAGGCGTTGTTACCATCGGCATTATGGGCAGCATTTCGGCCCTGTTTAACCGATGCGTACGGAAATGGTTCGAAGTTGGATCTCTAGATTGGGAGGAACGTGCTAATTAAGTTGGTATGCAATACACCAGATCGATCCATTCCATTCCGAAGAATGATGTAGTTTCAACATTGACGTGAACAAATAGACCGTGGATAGCTATGGAAGCGGAGTAACACAGTACCAGTAAAGGCACAACAGGTCCATGGGAATTAGAGAGCTAAGCGTCCAGACGAGCAAGTAAGGGTGAAGAGGCTGAAACACTGAGAGGGGATGAAATGTTACATATGGCCTTGTTCGAAGCAGCCTTTTCATCGGTCAAGAAACATTTGAAACATGGAGGTGAGAAGTGGTCGAGGTGCGAGGTGGTCGAGGTGCGAGGTGGTCGAGGTGCGAGGTGGTCGAGGTGCGAGGTGGTCGAGGTGCGAGGTGGTCGAGGTAGGGTGAATAATTTCACATGCGCAAGACGCTTTGGGTTTACTGGGAAAGTGGCCAGTGTAAAAACCACCAGCAACTGCAACTGCGACAAGGGAAGTCAAAGGCTGTGACAGTTGAGTGACTGTTAGGAACAGCCTAAGGCGATAGGCAGGGAGTAAAAGTTGAGGGTATAAATGGTATTAGGTGCCCCTAGACCTCTAGGTCAAACCAGGACTCGAAGCATGAAGAGTTGTAGGTGTCCCCCTGGTAGGCTTGGTAAGCTCTAGTAGCTATATCTGACAATGACTTGGGGGTCAACACGCACCCCGCACCATATCAGTGGCGTCGCAGTGGGCGTCTCACAGGTCGCCCACCTATAAGAGCTTTAATCCAACAGATATCTACGACCTATTCAACAATAATGTTGCGATCGGTGCTTTAAAAGGAGAGAGATCCCGAGTACTGCCCAGGTAGTAAGTTATTCACAGATCGTCTATGTAGACAGTTCGTGGAGCGGAAAGTAAGTCTCGCTAGTTTACCTACTACCGAAAAGTAGATACTTAGTATATTCTATTTATTAACCTAATATTTTATATATATTTAACAGACACCTAAACTTCTGTTATATTATAGATATTTCTAGAAGTAACTAATATATCTAGAAAATCAATATATAGTTATTATGAAAACTAAACTAGTTAGTAAGGTAGTAAAATTAGGCTTAGCGTTACTAATAGCTATTTACCTTACTTTCTCCTTCCTTGACTTTTAACCCACCTTCTATCCTATTGTAACCCTCTAAACCCACTAACTAACCCAGGTCGAAGTCTGTATTAGTCGCTACCAAGATCTCTTTCATGCTACATCTCGAATTAGCAATTAAGGATCGCAGACCGGAATCGCGCAGTTCCGTGCCGGCCGCTGCACTAATGGCAGTCGCAGGGCCTGTGATGCCCGCTAAACGCAGGCTGGAAGAGACTGAGAATGATCATTCAGTAAGTGAGGTCCTTTTCAGCGCTTGTCCTCCGTTTTAAACTGCATGCTTCATAGCTATTTTTAACCTATCCGGTTCGCTGCCCATCGCGGTGGCTTCGGCCGGGTGCTGGACTCAATGCACTTACGCACATGTATAAGCATACCCTTTAATGTTGTCAACTTTTATTCACCTCATAACTTACATGTGAGGATAAAGTTAACCATTTTGATCTTGTCTAGCGCCAGGCAAGCCCTGTGGTGATTGAGTTATCTGACTCTGACTCCCAACGCGAGGTGAGCTCGCCAGCAATACGCGACTTCTTTCCCCTTCCGATACCTTCCTGAGCGCGCTAAATCTGACTTGCTGCTTACTTGACCTTTGAATAGACTTCATTCGTTCCTCCTTCCAAACGTCACAAGTCTCGCACGCCTGCTGAAAATGGGACTCGGTCGACCTCACGGTCACGTGGCAAGCCGGAAAATGCCAAGACGATTCGCCTTCCATCACCGGGATCGCGTATTGCGCGACCTGATAGATCTCTCTTCACAGCTGTTCGAACGAAGTTGAATGGAAATACTGGTAGAGTCTCTTCGAGGTCAGCTGTTGACGTACTCGACTTTACAGGCGACTCGTCTCCCAGTCCTTCTCACTCACGCTCATCGTCGGCACTACCGACTAGAAATACCAAGCCTTCTGCCACTGGCCGCAGCCCTCTGTTCGACAAGGTTCAAGAGGTGAGGCAATCCAACAACTACAGGTCACCATATGTCGGTCCAGTGCAATGCGGTTCACAATGGCGACACGGGGATGGCAGTCTCTCAAAATTGTCGTCCGGCACACTGTCCAACGGCATGGCTGTCGACTGGAAATCAGAAAGCGGCGATAGGCAAAGGAGCGTCCAGAAGCCACGCAGTTTCATTCATCCGCCGCTTACGAGTACCGACAAGTCAATCCGCTCAAGCAATGTGACAGTCGAGGTCCCACGCAAAACCACCCTCGACCGTCATCGACCAAGCCAACAATCACATATTGTGGTTGAGATTAACACCTCGCCTGGGAAGATTCTCAAACATTCGCAAGGGCCGCCGCCGAAATCCAAGGTGGAACGTGAGGCCGAGAGGAAGAGACTGTTCAAACAGCTCAAGCACTCTACCCAGCTTGTACAGGAGAACCCAACGTTGGTCGAGCAGTACTTTGGACAGACTGGATATTCGAAAGCCTTCAGCGTGGAAGACGAAGAAGAGCAGGCTTTTATGCAAAGAGCGGCATCTAAGAAGAAGAGAAGGGTGAACCGATCCGATATTCAGCTGGAAGTCGAGTCCTTGACGCAATCTGTGGAAGGCCTACGTCTCAACACAAAACTCATCCACCCTTCTCGTACCGCCAGAGACATTCTCACGAGTCGTTTCGATGAGCAGGTCTGGCCACCACTAACCTTCTTCAACGACGTTGACGATAAGCGTCTTCACGGTAAATTCCAGTTTATCAACCGGTACATCCTTGGCGAGAAAGTCAGACCGGCGCCGGCATCCACGAACAGAGGATGTGAATGCACCGACTGCTCCCTGTCTTCCTGTATATGCTTTACAGAGAATAGGACTTACAGTCGACGACCGGACGGCATTGTCGTCCTCTCTGACGAGTGTATCGAACGCGAGATGGAGCCTCAAGGACCTCACTACGAAATAACCGAATGTAACGAGGTCTGCAGCTGCGGGCCGGATTGCTTGAATCGCGTGGTCAGTAAAGGTCGCACCGTTCCTCTCGAAATCTTTCAAACTCAGAAATGCGGCTTCGGAGTACGTTCATCTCAGGCCATCGTCAAAGGACAGTTCATCGAGCTGTATCTCGGCGAAGTTCTCACGGAGGCTGAGCTGGCGCGCCGGGAGGAGGCAGAGAACGACGATGACCCGGCCTATATCTACTCGCTGGACTGGTTCTCACCATTGTCCAACAACACCACCTATCATGTGGACGGCAAGTACTTCGGGTCAGCCATGAGATTTGTCAACCACAGCTGCAAGCCGAATGCCCGGTGCTTCACAGTCCAGACTCACAAGGAGGACCGAAAACTCTATTACCTGGCTTTCTTCGCGATCAGAGATATCCCCGCGGGTACGGAAATTCGAATCGATTATCATGGAGCAGGTGCTTCGGAAATGCCCTCTCAAGAGGAAGTAGACCCTCAGTCGCTCGCAGCGTATGGCCAATATTCAGACGACCTGACGAAGTGCCAGTGCGGTGAGAAGAAGTGTCGAGGTATTCTATGGACACCTGGAGTCAAGGCTCGACGAAGACGTCGGAAGGGACAATAAACTTGATAGTTGGTGAGAGTCCTTCCGTTGGCCGATCAACAAGTTACCAGCGGCATCCTCTGGCGACAGAGGCGACTTTCAAGCCGCATACGAAACATGAAGTGCGCCCGAGGGGAAAATATCGAGCCTTAACGGACGTCAGTGAGCTCTTCATGACAGGCGGACAGAAGGCAGCTTTATGTGTCAATTATCGGTTTTGCCACATATGGACCGGTTTTATTGGATGAGGTTTCGAACAATCAACTGTGCATTTCTGCCTGTGCCGGACGATATTATGACATTAGCGACGGTGTTTGGGAGCTTAGCTGGATTTGCCAACGGATCCCGGAAATGTCACAGAAATGAGATGAGCATGCCGTGGGTTGGGAATATCGGTGGGAGCAAGTCATTGTGAATGAATGAAAAATGAATTGATTTGGACAAGCCGAGCTTGCTGATATCACGCCGGCTGCGTGGAGGATCTCCAGATCCGGGACATGCTTGAAAACATTCGAGATCGACACCAGGACAGACCAAAGGGGCGGAGACTGTGAAAACCAGATGCACATCATGTCAGCAGTACAGAGTACAGTATCTTGTACAGCAGGATGACCAATCCTCGCCTGAGCGTCCCCCCTGCGAGGAGGTCCATTCGAGGTCACGGCAACTTGCCGACCTCCTCATACACTTCTTGCCACTAGTCCAGGCGAAAGAGGCGCAAAATTCGTATCTTCGGACCTGCATGAATAATAGACTTCCGAGGACTCCGAATGGGAAGCAATGTCGAGGGCCGATATAAAGCTCTAGGGCGTCGCTCAAGCAAGAGTGTATTCAGCAGGTTGCGCACGGGACTCAGTAGGCCCAAGAGTTACGGACGTATGTACTCCGTCCTCGTACCTCGTACCTCGTACCTCGTACCTCGTACCTCCCCGCCAAGAGGACGGGCAAGCTGAGTTCTGTGTGGTGGAAGCTGCGCCTCGGTGAGCAGGCACTCAGGAAACTCTCAGACAGAACCATGATTACTATTCACCACGTTCCTCGTCCACCGTCCATCCCGCTTCTAGCTAGACCTGGACGAGCACAGATGCAAGTTGATGACACCAGCTCCCCAATCGAGCAAGAGTAAGATCCAAGTCCCAGGAGCCAGCTCATTCCTTCCCAGCCGTGCCGGCCCTGGCTCGGGATAATGAGAGGCGCCGTGAGTCCCATCATCACCGGGCTCTCGTCGAGCAGCTGATTTCCCTCACTTGCGTACGACCGTCTGCCTGGGATCTGCTGTGTACTGTGGTAGAGGAAACGCACCGTGACGCACCGTACGAGTCTGGCGCGTATCAACCCACGGGATCCTGACTAAAGCCGTGGTCCAGGCAGTCCAGTCTGGTAAAGCAGCAATCAGCAGATGGACGCCTAGTATTACAGCCACCTTCTCGTTGTTTGGAATCTGTCTTCTGAGAGACTCGACGCTTCGACTCTAGAGAAACTGGATGATTGACCTGCCTCACACTACCGGCTGCTGGCTTGTGAAGGGTTGGCCGCGTCGAGACACTCGAACAATCAGCAGCAGAGGGACTTGCTGGTGGATGACTGTTTGTCCACTCGACGCTGAAATCGTGCTTCCGAGGGTCCTCTCAGTTACTCTGTACCGATTTAGGAGGAAGCAGCAAATCGCCTAAGACGCCCTCGCCGGTCTTTCCAATAATCACCGTTCTTCGACACAGCAACCCAAAGACACCGTATATTGGTCCGACCCCAGCCTTCCCAAGCCTTTCCCAGGCAGGTCCAGTAATCATTCTTCAGACTGAGCGTCTCGATTGGGACCATGTCGGTAGTGATGCCAATGCACGCCTTCACCAAACCCCGATATGGCGATCGAAGATATTCGTCGCTTGAGTCGATCCTGGATAACCCCACGCAACTACTGATGTCCTCCCAGGCGGTTGAGCGACCCATTGGCGGGGACCTGGACATCTTATCTGCCTCGCAGTATCCCCAGGGACTCATGCAGCCTTACGAAGAAATGGAGGCGCAGAACCCAAGGAAACGGAAGGCCACCAGCTCAATGGACCAGCTTTACGGCGGTATCGTGCTGGCTGGCTCTGCCGCGAGCGAGAGCAATCGTTCCTCGTCTGCCGAACACGACACACCTTCGACCCAGAAGAAAGCAAAGTCCACCAAGCGAGCCTCGACCAATGAAGGTGATGAACAGGCCATGGAGAAGAAGCAGAGGGGCCGTCCTAGGCTCGATACCCACGATGAGACGGCAGCAGACCGCCGTCGCACCCAGATCCGGTTGGCGCAAAGGGCGTACCGCCACCGCAAGGAGACGACCATCTCGGCGCTGAAGCAGAAAGTCACAGACCTCCAGAACACCATCGAACAGATGAACAAGACCTTCCTGACCCTGCACGATAACATGGTCGACGCGGGCATCCTGGCCTCTCACTACGCACTGGGCCGTCAGCTCCAGTCCGCCACGGAAGCATTTGTTGCCCTCTCCAAGATTGCATCTCCCGAGTCGGACGATGAAGAAGAGGCCGCCATAGCGGCTCTCACGCAGGGCGAAGGCAAGGCGTCTCCCGAAGCAGGTGAGAAAAGCAACAACAGGCGAGGCAGCGGCTCGAAAGACGCAAAGTTGTCCTCGTCTACTACAAAGCCGTCGGCGAAGAAGACTAATGTACGTCGCGGTGTCAGCTTCAACGACCACGGCTCCCCCGACGCGGAAGCTGACGTGGAAGACTTACCCGCCGCAAGCCAGTCCGTCGGCACCTTTCTCGCACCATCGCAGACAGCCTGGACGTTAGACAACTCCAACATCCACGGCCTGAACGAGGTGCTCTCCTTCGACGCCAACACAACCATCCCCGACGCCATCCTCTACGACGATCTGAAAGAGAAACTCGTCGTCGAGAGACCGCTCAACCCGCCGAACCAGCCGCAAGGCTCCTCCTACACATACTCGTTCCAAGAGACCACGTTCGCGCGCCGGCTGCACCGGATGTGTCTGGAGCGCGCGTTCCGTAACCTGACGAGCCCGAGCATCGACCCGGCGTACATCAAGCGCGTCTTCCGCTTCACGTTCTGCTTCTCCAACCGCAGGCGCATGCTCCAGCGGTTCCAGGAGGTGCTGAAGCGCCGGGCCGGCGAGTCGCTGGAGAACTGGAACGTGCCCTTCTTCCACATCGGCGGCGCGGGCACCCACTTCCCCCGCCGCGACGACGACGGCAACCCCATCTACCCACCCAACATGGTCAGCCCGGCCCGGGCATTCGGCCCGCAGCCGTACGTCGAGGCCGAGACCCCGCGGCTCGAGGCCTCGATGCAGGAAATGCTCGACAACATCGGCTTCGGCGGCATCTGGTTCGACAGCCACGACGTCGAGGAATACCTCAAGACAAAGGGCCTCTATCTCACTGGGCAGAGCAGCTTTGTCGAAGTCGACCCCGCGGTCCTCTCGCTCGTCAAATCCACCAACTCGTCGACGACCACCAACAGTGACGGGGATGCGTCCACGTCGGACCACTCCCCGCTCGAAAACGCGCTGCGGACGCCCTCCCCTTTACTACCCGTCGAGCACTTCACCGACCCGTTCATCGCCCCTGACTTGTCGGAGCTGTGGGGGCCACTCCTCCAGCCCGCCGCCACCGTGACGACCACGGCGCCAGCCACGGCCAGAGTATTCACCCCGGCCGCGTCTAGCGCACAGACGCCCAAATCTACCAATGGCGACGACGACGACAGCAACATCTGGGCGAGTTTCCCGTTCCCGTTCTCTAGCGGCCCAGGGACTTCGACCCCACCTGGTTTCTCTGACGACCTGTTAGGGTCGATGAGGAGGAGGAGGCAGCCGACCCGCCCTCTTCTCACGTTCGACGTGGAGATGTTTCTCGAGCGCATGATCGAGGGGAGTGCCTGTCTCGGGCGGGCCCCGGGGTTCAGAAAGGCCGCCATCGATCAGGCCCTCGTGGCGAGTCTGCAGGAGGGGTTCTAGGTCCTAGGTTGTAGATTCTGCACAGTCGGTTCTAGATGGAGGGGGTGTATGAAATGAAGCATGTGAACCGTATGAAACTACGTGGGTATGGAGTCGTCCTCCCTACAGTTCCGTGCCTCTTGAATAGATCCGCCGAGCCGCGGCACCATGATCGTTGCATGAAATGCACGAAATGCACGAAATGCATGAAATGACATGGCACGCAATGTAAAAATGAATGATTGAATGATTAAATCGATGAATGATTAAATGGATGAATGGATGGATGGATGGATGGATGGAAGGATGAAAGGAAGGATGGAGTAGCAGGACCAGCGGCAATACCGGCAATAGTGGGGAGCAAGGATACGAACGACCGGACTGAAGGGCCTGCGATGCTGTGTCTGGTTGCTGTCTGTGTCTAGTCTGTCTGTGTTTGTGTCTGTCTTGTATGTGTCTGTGTCTTGTCTTGTCTGGCTGGGCTGGACTTTGATCTGGCTGTACACACGCTGATGGTGCAACTGGACCGTATCACACATACATAGCTCGCTGGGATCAGTTAAAGATCGCGCAGAGAACTGCGAAAGCATATCAGTGTACTCCGTAGGTTGTGGTCGGCTTCAACAAGTTCGACCGGTCAAATGATCATCGCATTCCATTCCTCTAGACCTTGTACGAGATTATTAAAGGCTGAGAACGACTTGTTCCGAGACAGAGTCAAAAGCGATGCGATAAATTCCAAACTTGAAGATTGCTCTCCGTGCCTCTGTATTAGCAAAGTATATGTGGTATCATAAAAACGTCAAAGTGCATGAATCTCTGATAGTGATAAGACCGCCCCGTCTCAAGTCCTGCAATCCATCACATCAAGACCGATGCCGTCCTCAACGCCGTGAGAAAGCCTTGAAAAGTACAACCCTGAATCCTTCCCTACTCTTACATGGCGCATCGTAAATCCATTTTTACAGCCCCGAAATCCCATGTCATCGCATCGACACTCCCCCATGGGTCTCCAGGGCTGCAGCTGTTCATGGAGTCAAGGAAATAGCACGATCGAGATGGCCAGACGTAGCCTCTGCTACCGAGACGGTCATGACCTGGAGTCGAATGATCGTGACGCTGCTTATGACCGCTCCATGACATCAAAGATCGAGTCCAAAACCACGGGCGTAACAGCAGTCTCGTTCATGAACTCCATGATGGAGCATTGCTGAGAGGATGCAGTTGATGAAGCAGTGTTTGCTCGAGGCCGGGGCTCAAGAAACCCCAGCCCAATAGTCTCGACCTCATTAGCGTATAATATTTCCTCTTGCAGCGCCAGATCGATGGCTGATGGCTGTCGACGAATCCTATATGATCGGGCTTGGTTGCTCGGAAGGGCTGAGACAGGAGAGAGGATGGCAGAGTCGAGATCGTTGACCGGTGCTTGAACACGGCTTCGACTTCGGCTTCCGAAGCTGCTGAAAGAGGAACTTGGCGAGGATCGGCTCGAAGGCGTGGACGACGAGGTCGGGGACGCCATGTCGCTCGAAGGACTCTTGTTCGATCGGTGGAGAGGGTTGTGGCTGAAGATGGTCTGGAGGTGCAGACGCACTTTGGAGGACGAGATGTGATGGCTTCGAAGGCTCCTGGAAGTTGTTTTAATTGAGGACTCTTGGTGGATTGTCTCGAACAGAGACACTAACTGTGCAACCGCCATGGTATTGTTCTGGGAGATTTTGAAACCGGAGAAGTCAAGGTATCTCTCCCTCTCTTCTGTCTCAGACGTTGACAAGCAAATAGTGTTTTTCTTGGGTTCCCCGCTTGATGTTGGCCCAGCCAGGTTCAAGCTCTTCTTTGGGACGAAGGAATGTGGTCAATGGGTACGAGTTGCTCAGGTGCCCAGCTCAAGCTACAGTATCTGGGGGAGCCCGAGTGAACGAATGTGAAGAAGTGGCAAGAAGAGAAGCGCAGGTACAACTGTACAGGTATGCTAAAAGAATGAATGACCAGCAGAAGGTCCGTGAGAGAATGTGTCTGAAGGGAGTGAGACTGGAAGAGATATGCATCAAGCCGTGTGCTCGGAGACTGAGAATATGTATCGGTTTGAATTGGGTTTCACCACCACACCCAAACCACGGCAGATGATGCAGGTCAATAGTTTCGCTAGAACATCCCGGAAGACAAGCTCTGCTCGGCGTCGAAACGTCAGTCGCTCCTGTCACGCCATGGAGCCTTGTTCCTTTCGTAGCCGTCGCCAGGGCTCCTGGACGGGACGGAGAAGAAGGTGGGGAAGCGAAACTATCAGGATGAGAAGGAAATAAGCTACACGTAAAACGCGAGTGTCTTGCAGGCTGCAGCTTGGGAGGGTTGGGAGGCGTCGAGAGGCGTCGACCGGCATCATTGAGAGGTGGCTCTGACGCGACGCAGAAGCCGGACACGTCTGACTCGTCCTCATCTCTTCTTCATCTTCCGCTGGTCTCTGACTGCGTTGACCTTCACACCTTGCACACCACGAGCTTCTTGCAGTGGCACAGTGGCACAGTTGCTCAGTTACTCGTACTCGCACACAGTCTCTCAGCAAGCTTCGCAACATCCGCCTTCAGCAGACCCTGCACGACCCCGGCAACCTTCAGACGCCATCGTCTGCCTCCACTCTCCATTCTCCACTCGCATCCTTGCACCCTGCAGGGGTGTTTCCAAAAGTGGCTTGCTCTGGCCTGTCCTGACGCGGCCCAGAGGTCCCGAAACACACGCCGAACGCGCGACAGAGATTTCGACACGGAGCCAAGACGCGGGTTGGGTTTGATCCGCTTCGCTGATCTCGCTTTGCCAGACGCGATAGGCGTCGTGAGGCGTTTCAGCCGAGAAATGCTCCGGCTTCGACGACATGCACTTGTTGAGGGGGCCGACAAACAACTCCAGAGTCACGGCCTCCTGACGAGACTCGCTTGCCCATTCTGTCTCGAGACTTTGTGCTTTTGTGTCACATTGGGGAAGTCCGGATTCGAGTCTCAGACTACGCTTGTCAGAGGCCGCAGTGCAACATCTCCTGGCCGTCACATGAGAAACAAGAAGCTGCAAACAACGCTGGAAAGCCTAGCCTCCGAGACGAGCAACTCTAATCCCAACAGGGGCAAACGACTTCACTAGACCGAGGAGCGACGACACGAAGGTGCACTACTCAGACGTCGACCACAACTAAGAGCTCTCCGATCGCTGGAGTCCAGGCGCTATTCAAACATGTCACGTCAGACTTCGAATTCGTAGCATGATAGTGTTCATCCCCAGCTGTTCGTCATCTCTTAGTGTTGACATACCATGTACATGAATGACACTGGGTCTAGCCAGAGTCGTATAGCTTTTCTCAGTCCTCCACCCAGTCGAGACTATTGCACCCGAGACTCAAAACGCCATCGCTATGCTATCATATGTTCAATCCCTTCCTGAAACTTCATCAAGCCAGCAAGGTCATCCTCTTCAAGATTCACAGGTAAAATGTGACGAAGCGTTCTCGTCGTAAAGTCGTAAGCTCTTGTAGTCGCGCACTTCAGCCCCGAGAGGTGTCACTCCGAACCCTCGTCGTAAAGCTCCTGCGTAAACTCTCGCCCCAGGCAGAGTTGTCGAAGCTCTCCATCATTCCTTGCCCATCCAGTTGGCCCGTGTTGCTGGTCTGTCGGCTATGACTCAACGTCGGCGTCGTCGGCGAAGATCTTGTCGCCCCGTGATACGATGTATCCACCGATCCGAGCCTCGTCCGGATCGGGCTGCTCGCAGGCGATCCGTCTATCGGCGATGCACTTCTTAACGAGCTGCCAGAAGGCAACGACGTATCAATGGGCGGCAGGTTGACCGAATGTTTCTTCGGCGTGTAGGACTGTCGTGACTCGGTGAAGTCTCGTGGTTCAGTGAAGCTGCTCCCTTCCATGTTATCATCAGGGTCCTCGATGAAGATTTCAGGCACGGGGAGTGAGGGAGGGGCGGCCAAGCGGCCACTCCTGCGCCTTTCCACGGCTTTTTTGAACTTGCGAGACCAGTGCAAAGTGTCGAAGAAGCCAACCACGGTATTTCGCCGGATCGTCTCCTGCACCCTCTGGAGACGTGCTCGTCGACGAAGAAACTCCTCGAGGCGTAGACTTCGTGAATCCGTGATGACGTTGTAGTGCGTCAACAAGAACAGGACCGCCGTAAAGGGGATACCACGGTCCGGATCAGCCGTCAACATGACCTCTTCGTAGAAGACGTTGAGACGCGCCCGTCTCTGCTGGATCTCTTTGACGGGTATCTGGTTGACGCGTTCGGCCAATTTATCGAGATCCAGGCCGTCCACCACTCGCCCTGGTGGTCTGACAGGGTCGCCTGGCTGGATCGAGCAGTCCTCCTTGATCGCTCTTACCGTGAAATCACCGTCATATATGCGCATTTGCCAGATCCCGGACAGTTCCTGATTGTTGTCAATAAAACTAGACAAAGCCTGCAAGAGTGAAACTTACCCCTAGCAGCCGCGGGAACTGTTCCTTGGAAATAAACCCGGTACTGTTGGGATCGAATTCGGCCCACGCTTGTTTATAGCGCCGGATCTCATCTCGACTGACGATAGACATCCCACTGCTCTGTTGGTAGACATAGGAGAAACTTTCGAAGATCATCGACACAAACAGCGACACGAAAATGTACATGCTGATGATGTTCCAGGCGATAAACAGTGCTCTTGCCCATCCAGCGCTGCCGCAGTCGCTCGCGAAGAAACTATCTTCCCTCACACAAAACGGCGGTTCGATGCTAGCAAAGTCTTCCATGATCTGATTCCAGCCTTCTCCGATACTTGTACGGAAGAGTAGGATTAGGGCTTTCGGGACTGTTCGGAAGTTGACATTGTTGCTCTCATTTGGACCGAAGCGTGTCAGGCCAAATGCTTGGGTCAAGGCAATCGCAAAGACTAGGAACAGGACGAACCAGGTGGCCAGTAGGTTAGCAATCAGCGGGAGAGACGCAGCCGCGGTCTTGAACAATTGGTCCAGCTGGTTATTTCGCGGAATGAGGAGGAATGTTGCAGAGACAAGGAAGAGTTTCTGAAGCTGTTCGAAGCCTCGATTGTCGACAGTCGAGACTGAAATCAACGAGGTAACGAAAATACCTGACACGGAGAAGATCGAATACAAGTCCCACGAGCTTCTTCGGAATCGGTTCCAGGAGAGACCGACGATTCGGATCACGATGTTGGCGATGAGCACGAGTGTGATGGCAAGGAAGATGTACTTCCGTAGTTTGGACCACCACTCAGGCTCAGGATAGAAGTCGACTGTCAGGAGGATCAAATGGAAGACCAGTACCAACGTGATGAAGCGTTGCCAAGCCCCGCGTTTCTGAATCGACAGATCGTAGCACCATTTCTTCCACTTGTTGCTCTCCATGCCCAGAGAGCGCTTAGAAGGCGAGATCTGCCTCAATAGCTTGCGCAGCTCCAGCCATGATCGCTGTTCAGCAGTTAAGTAGGCGACACCGGTTTGCTCCGTGTAGTTCCGCATGAACACGGATATGAACAAGGTCAGGACAAAGACGGCGCCCAGCAAGTTGAAGATGATAAAGTACACGGCATTGCCGCTTGATGCGAGCGGCTCTGGCTGCGTTCCTCTGCCTGTGATACTCGTGCCGGACCACATCACATCCACCCATCCCTCTTGAGAGACGATCTGGAAGAGGATGAATAGGGCACTGCCGAAGTCGTCAAAGTCGAACCACGGGTTAGCGACCTGTCTCGGAGCCAACACTGGCCAATTGAACGGGGTCGAGTTGTACTCTCCGACACAATTGCTCAGTGCACTGTAGCCGAAATCGCCGTCGTTACAAGCTTCCAGTTTGCCGTTGAACAGATTGACTCCCAGTATGGCGAATGGAATGAGCAAGCTCATCGAGACAAAAGCGGCAGCAAGGACTTTGTAGCCGCCCACGATAATGACCGAGTAGAAGGTCTGCCGCGCAGTGTCGCTGATGTTGAGTAAGCGCAAGGCTCTCAGCGCCTTGAAGGCGCCGACAGCACGAGAAACACCATCGTCACGGAACATCGCCGTGATTACATTGATCCAAAGCGTGATGAGCACCACGCCGTCGATAAAGCCCCAGACGCTACGGAAATATGCGTGTGGCGTAAAGAAGAGTCCATCGGCAATTACCTTGATGGCCGCCTCAATGGTGAAGAGCGCTGCGAAGCCCAGATCGGTCCAGACAAACCAGTTCGTAATGCTCAGCGAGTTTTCGAGATAGTAGTCTCGCTGATACAATGGCGTGGTGATGCAAGCCAAGATGACCATGGCCACGATAGCTAGATAGGTGAAGGCAGAGAATGCATACCACGCAGGTTTGAAGGGCGAAACACCCTCCACACGTTCGCTTCCGCGGCCAGGGCCAACAAGGTACTGACACAGCTTTCTGATAGGATTGTCGGGCTTGAAGATGAAGAGGGAAACATTGTACTTCGGATGCTTTTGCAGGTATTGTCGTTGGGCCCGCCGACGGTTTTCTGCTGTTGCCACCACCCTCTGTGCGACAAGCCTAGGATCAAAATCCTCGTTTGCACGAGACACGGTTGCATTCGAGTAGAAAGGGTTTGGTTCTCTGGTGCCAGCAAGCCCTGTGACCTTTCCCCAGTATTTTGAGAGGAAGCCGGGTTTAACCGTGGGTATCTGATCGAGGTGCATGGACGTTGTTCGCCGCGCGAGGCCCTGATCTTGTTCGTCCAGAAAGTCCTTCACAACAGCCTCCTTGAGAAGCTGTTCGACTGCTGCTGAACCGTACTCGAGAGCGTCGCGATGTCTGAGTGACTCCCGTCCCATCTTAAAGACAGCGGCAAGGGACAAATTTCCAGATGCTGAGCCGGTCATTTCTTTCTGCCTCAAGAATGCCTTTACCTGCTCCAGACGCTTCTCGTCCTCGGACACGTCGAAACTTTCCTGGATGACAGCAATAAACATATTCAGGACAATCAGGTTTGACACCACGAACCAGAGAATGAAAAATATTGCGCTCAACCAGGCCGTGTCCCAGATGTTGTTGAACTGGGTAGAGTTGTACATCAGGGTGGTCCAGTTCTCGCTAGAGAAGACCTGGTACATCCCTAGGAAAGAATTCCAAATGTCGAAAAAAGTGACATTGATTAGCTCTCCACCCGCATCTGCTGGAGGAAAATCCCCTCTGAACAGTTGGGAAGCCAGGATGGCGGCCAGAAAAGTGAACAGGAACACGAAGAGGATCAAGTTCAGGAGACCAACGATGTTCCCAAACACGACCATAACCAGCTCTCGAGTGACCCTCACAGCCAGGACGACTCGATAGATACGCGCAATCTGGAAAACCGAAAGCCACGCATAGGCGTGCCCAGAGTTGCGTATTGTCGGGATTTGCATGACTGCCGTGACGATTGCCAGCAAAAGGTCGACGATATTCCTCTTCCCGTGAAAGAAGTGTCTCCAGTCACACAAGAAGCGCAGGATGATCTCTAGCAAGAGAAGGAACGTGACTACCGATTCCGAGTTCATGATGAAGCTTTCTCGACTCGGGCTCTGAGTTGCACTTCGCAGACTCTGCACAACCAAGTCATATACGATGACAAGGACCCAGAAGATATGTGTCTTGTCGTATATTTTCTTCAGTTGGCTTCTTTTCGTTTTCAGATCTTCGTCGAGATGCGGCCCGTCGATCTTATCGGCAGTAAACGCGCTTTGCTTGCTCTCCTCGCGGATGATCTGGAATGAGGATGTGATAACAGCGACTAGCAAGTTGACCAACCACAAGCTCAAGACAACAATGCCTGCGGCAAAGTATAGTGCAGCGGCAAGATAGTCGGAGTCGGTTAGGTAGTATAGGAGATCTGAGAATGTGTTGGAGCTGATGATCACAAAGACTAGCTCGAGCGATTGTGCAATATTGTCAAAGCTGACGGTGCCATTGTAAGGACCATTGCCCGACTCAACGCACAGCGAGTTTTGAGGGCAAAGATAGCCTTTTGCGCTGTTAGCCCCTTGCGAGCCGTCACTCTTGAGCCATGGCATTTCGTCCCCGGTCACGGCATCAAAGTAGCCTCCGCAGAACTGGATATTGTCGGGCGCAATGTTTAGGGTGAAATTCTGGCCTGAACCGTCGTCTCCAACCCAGACGCAAGTGCGCCGTAAGCTCGATTTGAAGCTCTGTACTCCAACGATGCCGAAAATCAACCAGAAGAAGCCAATGAGAAAAGCCACATGGACGAGCAGAGGAGCCGCCTTTTTTAGACTCCGTAGGATGATCGATGTCCCCGCCGTGAGGCCCAGTAACCGCAGGATCCGGAGGCAGCTGAGCATATTGAAGACGTAGACATGCTTCGAGTCCTCGACGCCGCTGATCTGCATCACGAAGGATATCCAGTACGAAACAACGGCTACGAAGTCAAGCCTGTTGAAGGAATGTCTGAGAAAGGCGCGACGTGCCAGGCGTATCCTCTGTTGCTGTTTTGTGTGGCCTGGCCCACCGGGTTCCGGAAGGCCTGTAAAACTGCGGACGATAGATGGCTGAGTAGGGCCATCATTGGCCGTCATTGGCGCCTCTCGAGCGTCCTGCGGGGCAAACAAGGTGTGAGCCTTCTGAAGGACAGCCTTCTTGAGACCGACAGAACGATTGATGGTGCTGAATTGAACAGGATTAGAGATGAACCCCGACACGATGGTGCGAGCTATGAGCTCCAGAGTGTACACCACGAACAAACCAAAGATGGCATAGTCGAACCCAGTGCTGCCCCATCGCTTCGTCCGGGTTTCGAGATACACGGCGTCGGACGCAGCGTTGACTGCTAGCAACACGGTCTGTGCGACGATCAGGACCAATATCAGCGGTTCAGTCAACGGATGAACCAGGATTTCACAGAGCCATTTTCTCAATGCATTTTCAGGTCCGAAAATACCCCACGACCTCCCGAGGAGGGGATTTGGATGATACGCCGGAGTCGAAGGAGCCGAAGGGGTGAAGGGAGTGAAGGGTTCAGCAGTGACCTCAGCGGAAAGTACCTTCTCGAGTGGGGGGGCCTGGTGTGGCTGAGCTTCCTCCTCATCTTCAATGCCTGGTAGAGGCAGTGCGGGAGAGGTCGTGCTTGGGCGTCTGTGCTGTCGCACGGAAGACTTGCGTCGAATGCTCTGTTCCACCATGTCGGAGTCGTTGCTTAGGTTGACCACACGCTGTGATATTTCTCGCAGCATAGAGTTCGCCCGGGCCATTGGGGAGGGAGACGGCGACAATGATCTAGACCGCTCCCCCGACTCTGCACGAGAGGCCGACAAGCGGCTGATGCCACTTCCGGTACTCAATTTGCGATGCATGCCAGCTCCGGTATCGAGGGTCGGGAGGTCGTCTCCGAGGCGTGATGCCCGCCCCCGGACAAACGACGGGGACTCGCCATCGGTCCAATGCACACTGGACCCTTTTCCTTGTCTGTCGTGCCTCTGGCCTCTGGAGATGGAACTCGAGGTCTTGAGAGAAGATGTTAGACGTTGTGACGCCGTCAACGGGGTAGTGTCCGAGTCTGGAGGAGAGAAGGGACTTTCCGCCTCATGAACATCTCCTTCCGCCGCTGTTGTAATTATACTCGGGCGCCGCAATCCAACACTCGGAGGAGTCGAAGGTAGCTGAAGGTCTAATCCCACCGTTGCGGCCGCAAATCCTCCAATGTCTTCGACCGGCGAGTGTGTGTCACTCCCACCGCCGCCTCGCACAGAAAGTCCAACCAGTCGATTTGGTGCACCAGACGGACCCCCCCTTGTGGGAGACTCTTCATGGTCATTCAAGCGCGCATAGTTGGGTGTCCGACGTCCCGCCAACAAGGATCTCGTGCGACTGTGCCGCTTCTTATGCCCGACAGTTGCGCTTCCCAGATCATCTGCTTCGTCTGATCCACTATCTGGAGGCCTGGAGAGATCTCTGAGAGGTATTGACTGCGGTCCGATGGCCTTAGGGGGTGTTCTGTCGCGAGAAGACATCGCGATATCGCGGCCTTAAGAAAGGTAGGCCTTCCGACGGTACATGCTACCTTGTAGAAAGCCACAGCATTTCCATGGCCTTGGGGCACTGGCGCTCCGGTGGAAAGTGTGATTAGACGACGGGGTTCGGTAGTGGAAGGAGGAGCGAATGTATGCGCAATTGCGAAGAACGAAGTCCTCGGTAACAAGCGGGGATTTATTGGCAACGCGACGCAGCCGATACGTGATAAGCGTCGGATTACTGAACGAGCGACGGGATGGGATGTAGTCCGTTTATCGCAGGAGCTGGCAAGGTGAAATGGCGGGTGAGGAAGGAGTGAGAGATCGTTGTGGTCGTCTGTTCTTTGTGAGACAGCCAGCAGCCCCGACGAACCAGCGGCATGTGCACCAAGATTTGGTGTTGAGAAAGTCAAAGGCTCACGCCGCGCTGCTGATGCGGCAGGCAGGACCCGGGCCTCACTAACTGGTTACAGTACAGTACACAGTACCTGGTAGAAAAGACTCGACGCGCGGCGGTGCGGTCCCTTGTGATGTGCCCTCGACACTAAACTGCTTCTGCGGGCTACGTCCCACCAGTCCCCTTGGAGCCTAGGAGGATCCAGGGTCGCCCCGCAAGGCAGACTTCAGCTGCTTCCTTGGACTCCGAAATGCTGACTTTAGCCCCTCAGAAGCTGCTATTTCAGGGGCCGTTCGCCCTCGAACTCCTGCACAACACCCGCACATCCTTGATGGCATGCTTAAGAAACCATCCAGCACTTTCCAATGGCTGTGTTGAACAGTCTCCAGCATCCAGCCGAGGAGCTAGATTATTCGCATGTTCCTGTTCACTCGTCATGAAGGATAATACCGGTCGGTTGGCTTGGTAGTACGGGTTTTGCTGTTCGGGCCGGAACAGGTACCTCTTATCCTTACAGGCCTCCCATCATTGGTGTAGGGGGTTCCTGCTCGGGACACCTATCGGGAAACTTGTACCTCAGTACGGTTAAAGGTGCATTTCTTTATTTTCGCTATCTACCCCGTACAACTGCGGCCCTGGTAGCAGTAGCCAGGGCCGGGAGTAGTGTCTTCCTTCCTTACCACATAACTCGGTGCACCCATTGCCACATCGAATGCATGTCCGCCCAAGTTTCCTGGGTGAACTCAAGTCCAGGCGACTCTCGCATTTCTTAGAAGCCGTCTCACTTGTTCTGGGAGCAGTCCCTTCGTCTTCAGACTCATCTTTCGAAGAGCCTGGAGGCCTTTGCTCTTGCGGAAAACGTCGTCCCACAAGTGTTCGTGAACACACTCTAGCTCACTCTTCTCGTCCGTTGGGCTTAGCATTATCGGCACATCCATGACTTCTTCCTGCTTCTGTTTCCAGCCGTTGTCACCAACGATGCGAGTCAACGGGGCCAAAGCGTCATCCCAGGTCCCGGACCTAAGGCGGCATCGATCAAACTGAAATTCATGCAGCACCTTTCGGTGAGACATGATAAAGGCAGATGCTTGGTCGGCGTCGAAAGTAGCATTGCTGAGATGCATGGCCTTCAGGCGCGGAAACTTCAAAGGTCTGCAGGGCGATTTTGCACTGGAGTCTGGGCAAGCTTGGGAACAATCAAGGGAAGTCGGGCGCGACGTGCATGGCTCGGTATGAAGTGAGAGCGGACACGGGCCTTTTTCACCGAGCCACTGAAACGTGAGGTTCTCAAGACTCTGCAACGTCTGAAGGTAGCTGTGGAGGATTTTCAAGTGGTCTGAGGGCTGGTCGCGACCATACCGGAAACTATCCATTTCGATGTTCAGAGACTTGATGCGCCTCCATACCCGTGCCGACGATGGTAACGAGCCAATACTGAGCTGAGGACGAAGGTAGAATATCGCCGAAGGATGAATTGGCGCAAGCGTGAGCGTTTCGAGCTGACTGGGGTTGGCAGCTTCGATCGCCAACCTCAGTGAGATCAGTGCGTAGTCGACAACATCTTTGCGGTATCGTTGGCCTGCAAGTTGACCTGGACAAGAGACATGGAGGTGCCGTAACCCAGGCATAGCACTGATTGCTTGGAAGAATGCATCTACATTCGTAGCGGCGTGGAAGAGGGGTGGATATTGCTTGACCAAGAGGTCATTCATTTCCCAGGAACCATATTTGGATGTCGATGATGAGGATGATGAGCTGGAGGAGGAATGCGGCCTTGAGTTATCGACCCTTGGTTCGTATAGAAACGTGACTTCGTCCAGTGTGCCTGGAATGAGTAATGGAGGTAGGAAGGTTTCGGTGCTGTGTGGCATGATGAAGGACAGATGTCGCACATGCGGGCCAATTCGATCCAGTGCACACCTACGCGCCCTGCGCGAGAAGGTGTTGGCACTGAAGCGGATCTTCAGGTTCTTGAAGAGAGCTGGGGCAATGTCGTCGGCAAAGACCTTGCAGGCGAGTCGCAGTGACCGCAGATCATCCTGTGCAACATAAGACAGGAAGCAGTCGCGGGTGAGATCTGTTCGCCAAAATTTGACGAATGTGGTGGAAGACATGTCGAACTTGGCGCATGGCTGGCGAGGGTATCATGTGTCTGGTGGTCGTGTATGAATAGTACAAGAGCAATGATAACATCTGTTTTCAAACGTCCATTGAAAAGAAGAGTGGAGATGATTTGGTCAACAACAAAAGGCACTACCTCATCTCGATCGCATTTTAATCCAGCAACAACAAGATAACAATGAATGCAAAATTTCTGATGATGAGGGCAAGCCAAACACCAAGATTGAGAAGAGGGTTTACGACTTACTTTTCGAAGAGATGGGTGCCGAGCAGGAGAGATATAGTTGATAGTCATTTGAGGGAGGCGACAAACCAGTCCATTGGGGGGAAAGAGTCGTTGTGCAGTGTGCTCTCGAGCTATATCACGAATTTTGCACGATCGTGAAAGCGCGAGAGAGGAAAGCAACGTGACTATAGGTTGGAGGACGTGTTGCGGCAGGAGGCTGGAAGAGTCCGAGCCTCGAGGTGCATAAAACCTGCATAAGCGGCTGCATCTGGTGGCTGAGACGCGCCAGTTTCGAGAATTTGGTGTTTTCTGTCCTCTTCGAGAAGCGTCACGCCTTGTAGCGCAGCGAATCGACGCGAAGGATTATCCTGTTGCAGCTTCTTCTCTTTTGTCCTTGCAGGGTCTGCCTTTGCTTTACTGCGTATACGGAGTACAGTTCAATGTGCATTTAGGCGTGTACGAGTACTCCATTCGAGTACCAGGCATGTACGGAGTAGAATTAAAGTGGAAGTGAATATCCGCTGAGATTGGTTTCAGCCTCCAAATCAACAACCATCAGCGGCTCGCGCCGCCGCGTCAGGCCAACGTGTACTTGTATCCAGGGAGTACAACATGAATAGTTTGTTGGCCCGCAGAGCCTGCAATACTCTCCGTGCACTGTATTGATGGAGCACTTCGGCTTCTCATAAGTTGACTCTGAGGGTGGGAGGGATGCGCGGAGGAACGATAGCCACAATGGAAGCATTGTTATCGTCATCGCGTTCGGCTCATTGTTTGAAGAGAGAGTGTCTCACAGAGTGAACACCGAACATGAAACAAGGTCACAACGATCCGTCACGAATCTCTGGGACAAACGAGCGTCACTGCGCACGAGTATGATTGGCGAGCCTCTCTCGACCTTCCCACCGAGCCCTGAAGTGGCTGCCCGGCGTGGCCGGTACGCCCGGAACAACCTGAAAATCCTTGCTTGGACTTCGTTCTCCGGGCAGCCCCAAAATTGCCACTTCAGCCACAGCGACCATGCCCATTCCATCCCATTCCCCGGCTCTTCCATTCGTGAGTGGATGCAAGAGTGACATCGTGACCATCACATGAGCTCGAACATGACATCAAGGTTTGCAGAGTTTGTGTCCCTTCCATCATTCACCATGATTCGACCTGGCTCTATGGGTACCTGCCTATCAGCATCTGCATGCAAGAAAATTCGCAGAACAAAGCAAGTGAGCACACGAGTGATCACCACGTCGCCGCCTGGTATAAGACCAATTTCAGACCCCATGTCGAGAGGCGCTTGGCTAGCCCCTTCTCTGGTTCTTACTCCCCTAGCACTTTGGTGTCACCATCTCGTCTTTCATAACACGCGAGAGCCCACTCTTTCTAAGTTTTGCTATCGATAGAGCCTTTGTACTATCTAAGTAGCCCTGAGAACCTCTTTTGCTCGTATACCGTCCGGCGTCCATAGAGAACCGCTCTTAACTCCCCAGGCACGAGACCACTTGCTTGTTCCTTGATTGCAGCAGTCAGAGCCAGCACCGTGGTCTTCCACGATGATTCCACAACTGAGCCCGGTTCCCACGCTGCCAAAACCCTTTGGGCCGCATAAAGTTGGCACCACAGAATGGGAGATCCCAATCTCAGAGATACCCTCGCCGTCGCCGATACCAGACGAAAAGATCACAACCATAAAATTCCGACTATTCTACCCAACAACGCCCAAGGCCAAATCGAAATCCTCTGTGACATGGTTGCCCTCACCGCAGCGAGAATGGAACCAGGCATACGCTTCGTTCCTTGGAGCGAGTCCTCGGGTGTCGTCGCTCATATCATTCGTCCCATCTTTACTCAACATGACCACTTTGCCGTGCGTCGCCGATGCGCCATTATTACCCAGACAGGCGTCTTCGAAGTACCCTCTAGTGATCTTCTCGCATGGCCTGGGGGGGAATTGCAATGCCTACAGCGCAATTTGTGCAGCACTGGCAAGTTTTGGCATTGTGTGTGCGGCCCCTGAGCACCGAGACCAAAGCGCCCCAATGTCCATTATACGGTCGGCTGATGGGCGCAAAGCCGCCACGGTCCCCTATCAGAAGCATCCACATGCTCCCACGGCCAAAGTCCTCAATGCACGCAATGCCCAGTTGCGGATACGGCTTTGGGAGCTCGAACAGCTTTTCACGGTTCTGACGAGTCTCAATGAGGGCAAGACGTTCTCCAACTACGCTGTTGCGGGCACGAAAACCAAACCGGGGCCGCCGCTGAAGAACGTGCTCGATCTGCGACCCGGGCACGTCACCTGGGCAGGCCACTCCTTTGGCGCCTGCACGACCATTCAATTCGTGAAATCGGTCTACTATCGTCAACATCTTCCTTCATTTAAAAACACAGAGTTCGAAGATGACCCGGACTGGCGACCACTTTACAAAGCCGTTGAAAACAGCGAGCTCGTGCGACAAATCACCCCGGACTCACCCCTTATCCTGCTCGACCTATGGGCCATGCCTCTGCGGGCGGGACTGACCAGATGGCTGTGGGAGCGGCCTCTGCCCTGCTACAACCGCGAAATACCTGATGGCAAGGCTCCTCCTCCCACGAACGTGATCGCAATCGTATCATCTGAATTCTACAAGTGGCCCGAACTGATCAATCGGATGAAGGCTGCCCTTTCCGCAAGGCCTGCCGAGGCCATGTACACGCTCGAGAAGCGCACATCCAAAGACAGTACAAACTACAAACCACGCACGAAATCCAACCCACAAATCATTGCGACGCCCCCTGATAAACTACCTGTCGACGTGGAAGAACCAGAGGAACTAGCCTCACGGCGCGGGTTTGAGGAGAGGAGGGATGAAGACCAAGAATCAGACGCTGGCGACGAAATGTTTCTAACACCATTCTCGACGCCCGGTGAAGAGTTCCCATTTGAGAAGATCATGATGAACAGACGAAGCGGCTTCGAAGCTTGGAGGGTCCGGACAGATACCAAAGAGACGAGACAGGAGAGTGCGGAGGCCGAGAGGGATATGGACACAGCATCTATGAGAGAGGCGGTGAACCAGATCAAGCAGATGCAGCTAGATCTTGAGCTAGAGTCGCAAGAGCAGAGAGATCAGTACAATGAGGATATTATGAAGGAGGCCATCAACCAGCCCCTCCCGGAGTCCGCTGCAGAAGACGAACCAGACGACACAGCCACCCAGGATGGGATCCATACTGCTACTCAAGCGGACGCAGGGGAAGCTGCCATCGGAGTGGAGGTGTCTGCAGAGGATGAGGAAGCCGACTTCAACGCCGCCTCCGCACCGGCTTCACGGTCGTCGACATCCTCTAACCTGACGACCTCCGACTCAACCTCCTCCCTCTCGACACCCGCCTCTTCAGTCCACCTCAGCCGCACACCCTCCCCATCGCCCAGCACCTCGACGTGCGAAAGCACATCTAGCGCCTCGTCGCTGTCATCCTACGACGCAAATACCCTAGAAAACGATTCAGTCAAGACTACCGCCTCGGCCCTCCCCCACCCTTCCGCCAACCAACCAGACGAGCCTTTCACGCCCACATTCAACACCTTCTCTCTTCCACCCCTCGACGTACCCAAGACCCTCATCGCACCTGCCTCAAACACGCCCTCGCCTCTCGACCCGCAGCTCTTCCTGATCCCGAACACGGCCCATCTCTCACAATCCGACTTTGGCGTCCTGTTCCCCAAGCTGACGAGATATCTCATGAACGCCGAGAACCCCGTCGAGACGATCCGGCTCAACGTGAGGGCCATGCTGGCCGTCATGAGGAACTCGGGCCTCGAAGTCGAGGCATACAAGGACGAGGTCGAGAGCGTCAAAAGGAAAAAAGACGATAAGGCGCTGCAACAAGGCGAACAAGCACAAGCACGGGATGTGCACGACGTGGATGATATCCTCACGGAAAACTGCAAGGAAGAGAGGTGGTTGAGGATCGATATCTACTGATCGCTTATCTCGTGTCTTAGTTGTGGCCTGTGGCCACCCCTTTTTTCAGGATTTGGGTTGGCATGAGCAGACATGGATTCGTCTTCTGGCGTTGTTCAGTTTTCGAGCGCTGGGGAGCCTGGGGCAGATGGGCAAGCCAACCGAGCGTAAGGGTAGCTGTCTTGCTTTTTTTCCCGGCCGCTCGGCTCAGGTTGACTTGGGTTGGCTGTCCGTTCGCGACGGAGTCTACGCGACAGAGTCTACTTGTTCCTGCGTCTTGTTTGATGGTTTGATGGTCTGATGGGCATATGCGTTATGAGGAGAGGATTTCTACTGGTCATCCAGCCTGGGTTTTTTTTTAAAAAACGGGGAGCTTCTTGTGGTTTTGGCGCCGCCATTGCCGTGGAAGGATTTACTGTACTTATCTCGACAGCTTCTGTATATACTGTATTATCAATCGAGAAGCTCAATATGACACATACAATGATGCAATCTATTCCAAGATATTAGTGCGGTTCTGATTTGGCTCGAGTGCTACAAGGCGGTCTCAGTCAATGTTCTTTCATGTCGCTATGCTAAACTAGTCTAGAACTCTGAAAGTGTTGCAAGAGCAATCATGTCAAGGTGAAATCTTCTGCACTGTGATTGCCCTTCATACTGCAAACGAGAAGACGCAAGTGTTTGGCCGGTTGCATCTCATCATCTGCCGCGGTTGATGGAGATCTGCTCCTTGAGCTAGACCTTTTTCCGCTGCTCATCTCCGTACCGTCGATGCCACGGCGGTCTCACTCGACGCCCCGAGCTCACACAAGGCCCCTGCGAAGCTTTCCTGTCCTGTCAACAACACGACCTTTTGCCGTCTCGCTAAACCCAAGTTCCCATGCTTGCTAATTTTCGCTGACTTGAAAGACCTATATTGCAGCCGCAGCCTCGTGTAGCGAATCGCTTACAAGTCAGGATCCTCCTCATCTGGCAGGGGCATAGCTGCGGCCTCGGTCATTTCCTTGTGATACTGGTCGAGCTGTGCCTGATCGATCTGAACCTCGGGCGGCGCAAGGGCGGGAGCAGCGACAAATTCGAGTTGAGGGTTGCCAACAAGTTTTCGTGCTAGCCAAAGGAAAGGCTTCTCGAAGTTATAGTTGGACTTGGCGGAAATATCGTAGTATTGGAGGTTCTTCTTGCGATGGAAGGTAATGGTTTTGGCTTTGACTTTGCGCTCCTTGACATCGACTTTGTTGCCGCAAAGGACAATGGGGATGTTTTCACAGACACGGACAAGATCACCTGCGATGTATGGTCAGCACACAGCCCGTATGAATTGCCCGGTTAGTCAACATACGGTGCCAGTTGGGGACGTTCTTGTATGTGATTCTAGACGTGACGTCGAACATGATGATACCGCACTGGCCATTGATGTAGTAACCATCTCTTAGACCACCGAACTTCTCCTGACCCGCAGTATCCCAGACATCGAACTGGATCTGGCCGAGGTTCTGGCTGGCTGTCAGTATCGGATCCGCTTTGGCGATCGCTTGTGACGTACGGTTGAGAAGCCAAGAGGGTGAACCTCGACACCAAGAGTGGCGATGTACTTCTTTTCGAATTCACCTGTCAAGTGGCGCTTGACGAAAGTAGTCTGTCAAGCCAGTCAGTGTTGTCCTTCTGCATCGGCTCTCGCCCGAGCGGAGAAGAGGGCGGACGAGGCATATTGAGCGCATCCTACCTTTCCCGTTCCACCGTCACCGACCAAGACGAGCTTGAAGGTGGGCACGCCTCCAGCAGCTTCCGCCATTGTGATTGTTTGCTTGTTGGGATGATGAGCAGGACACTAACGGGCTAATCTCGAGGCAGATACTGCGATCGCAGAGATGCCACAGTACCGGAGAGATGTGGCAGGCGCAAAGAGACAAGCGGGAAAGAGGACGAAAAGCTTTGTCTGATGGTATCTGAAGACTGCAGGCGCAAGTCTGAGAGCCTCTAAAAGGCGGGAGAAAGGTTGTTGTTTTCACCCAGTGCCAAGACCAGCGTCACTGCCTGAGCAGCGTTGGTGGCGTTTGCATAGTATCACGTGATGGTGTCGATCCCTGCTCAGATCGAGAAAATAAGCAGATGAGTTACATGAGGCGAGGGAGAAGACGCATTGATCTCCGATTGTTGGTGATATTGTTACATTTCCGTTGATGAGGGTCTATTTCAGAACGTCCACAGGTGCAGTTGCAGACCTTTCTCCTAGTGCCCAATCCCATTTACACTCGGGTAAAGAGGATTTGTGTATGGGGCTGCTGGACTTGTTCTTCGATTGAGAATCGTCCGTATCATCAAGGCGCACCTCTCCTAATCGTAATGGTACATTTCGCGCACTCTTTGCCTTTGCTTGTTGGCTTGCAGTATCGCTTTCGAGCAGGCTGGGAGATCTGCGTATTCATCTGCATTTGCTCAACCTTGCACCACAGCCACTGAGAACTTCATATCGGGACAATGTGGCACCCAAGTGTGCCTCTACCACCCCAGTTTTGTCTCGGAGTCAATCTCAATTCTAGCTCTTGCGCTTGTGGTCCTGTGCCCCTGGAGACTTTCACCACGATCGGGCGGCCCAAGTTCTGGCCCACGACCTCTCCAACTTTGCGTAATCTTTCATGATTTGACCAGATTGCGGTGCCGAATCTTCTTATTTGATCGCCAGCTCTGAGACCAGCTTCATTCGCAGGACTGCCAGGCTCGACACTGTTGACTTGAGCAAACGGCGTTTCGGGAACTGAAGGTATTTGCTGCGACGCAGGAGTTGGCTGAGGTTGAGGTTGAGGTTGAGGTTGGTTCAAGGAATTCTTGTATTCATCTGAAGCTTGATATTTAGCATGGTGCTCATGAAGGCCTTTCTCGATCTTGTCCATCAAGGCTTTCCAGTCATTGCGAAGGCTGATGATGCGTGCTCTGGTCACTCGTACTTGTGCCACATCAATATCGGACCTTGGAAAGCCATCGAACGTGGTAAGACTTGTCTGCATGGTGACCCCATGGCTATCCAGAACCGCCCCCAGCGCCTTCAACTCGGCTTCCAGGTTGTCCTTCCGCGCAATTAATTGGTGTAGTGTCAGACCCTCGAACGACTCGGCCTGGTGAATCGAAGTAGGGCCGCTGGGGACATGAATATCTGCAATATTAGGCTCCATTGGAAGTCCCATCATTCGTCAACAGGAGAGGCAGCGAAAGGACGTGGTATGTTGAGAGAATAAAGGTCATGTCAGGCACAGGCAATTTGAACGCGCAGCGCAGCCCAGAAGCGAAGCAGAACGTCAACGAAGGTGAGGCGGGGAGCGTTCCCCGAATTTCGCCGATGTCTTGCCGGACGTCAATCTGAATTTCAACACCAAAAACGCCAAACACCAAACACCAAACCAACCTTAGCATCTTTCGTAACGATCAATGGTTGAAGGCCTTATACTTCTCTGCCTCTGAGCCATCACCCCGAACCTGCAAGCGTCTGGTACGTTAAGACCCGAAGACAGCAGGCGGCGCAGGATAGCATGAGCATGGCAATCCCATCACATGAGGTGGCTTCGACGCCCATGTTTCACAAACAATCTCATTGTAGTTTTGTTTGCATCTTGTCAGATTCTGGCAAAGCTAGCTCAGGTAAGGACAGAGATTTGCCATAGACAACCACCGACAAACCCGCCCTAGCTCTTCCAGGATGGCGACGGGGCTCCTTCTCTTTCCCTTGCTTGCGGGATTCCACCTTCCTCCATCAGCCAGGTTGGAAACCGGCCGACCATGAGCGCTCTCAGACTTCAGCCATCTCTCGGTCTTCGATTGCCAACGTCCGTTGCCATGTCATATCACTCAACTTTTGGAACATCAACGTTGGTCTCTTGGTCCCTCAAATGGGAATTTTGACCATTGGCTCTCATTTCGTTCCCCATTGTTGAGGTTCTATTTTTTGGAGCTTTGCTTATCTTCTTTCAGTACATCATGACGGCTCAGCTCCTGCCTTGCATTATCACCAGTCCGTTCAGCAGACGTTTTGACACGAGCACGAGCATCTATTGTGGCACCAGATTAGCCTATCCTTCTACTACAGAGCCCTGCTCGAACTCCTGGACTCCATGTCGAATCCAGCAAGATTCCCAAGTATATTCCAACTCGGTGCTTTCGGTTGCCTCAGCTCCGACGCAGACAAGCAATGGATGTTCAGACTTCTGGGCGGAGAACAACTTGCCTACATCCTCTCATCAATGGGCGACACACACAGCGTCGAACAGGATCAATCTGCGCTCGGCAGACTGCGATGTATCGTCAGTTCGAGGAAAGACGGGGATTCTCACTCCTCGGCCTGCCCCTGCCTCCCTGCGCAGCGAGAAGAAGCCCACTCCTAAACGTGCCCTTGCTGCAGGTCAGCCTCGTCGAGTGATTGCAGATCTGCTCAATGAAGAAAAGGACACATACGGATTGCAGGGTGGTCACAGCCCAGAAGTCCGAATGCATCATAGGATCGACACCTTCTCATCCACGGATCCGTACTTGACCGAAGAGGGGATGGAGGAGGATTCGCAGCCAAAACCACATGCCCGAGATTGGTTGAGCTCATTCAACCAGTCGCCGCAGGAACTGGATGGGACGTCAGTGCAATTGGGAAGCTCGGCGCATATGCCATATCGCAAGCTACCTCTCGTCTTCCACAGAAAGCGGCACTCGACCACCTCCTCTGGCTTTGTGCACACCATGAAAACTGCAAGCCTCAGTAACGCAAGCTTCAGCCTCGCCGCACGATCGTTGCGCTTCGGTCGGTCCACTGATAGCTCCGGCATATTCAGCTCTAATCCGAGACTTTCGGTTGATAGCGACCGACCGCCTACATCAGCGTCTGTGGACGAAGCGGCCTTCCGCAGAGCTATTAAACGACGGCAAATTCTTCTCGAGCTAGTCTCCACAGAAGAGAGCTACATCGCTGATTTGAAGGCTCTTATCTATCTGTACTCGACTCTCCTAGCGACAGCGGTGACAGTGTCAAACCGAGTCAGGGCGTCCGTGTTGAGGAATGTCCACGATCTTCTTTCTGTCCATGAAAGACTCCTGGAGCGGTTGCATCGAGCCGCATACGACGCGGCGGCACGAAAGTGGGCGGATACCACCTCACCGCGCCATCTTGGCTCACCTCGCTGCCACAAGCGATGGAAGAGTCTCGAGTCAAATGCCGCAGCCAGATTCGGGCGTCACCACCGTCGCACACGCAGCTCAATGGACTCGGCGGAGGTATGCCGCGGTCGGACTTACCTAGGCGGTGCAGAGCCGCAGGACGCTGCCGATGTGGCAGCGGTGTTCAGAGAATTCTTGAATGACTTTCTGGTCTATGAAGAGTACTGTGCCAACCACAGTCTGATATCGCATGAGCTACAGCGACACGCTCCTACGCATTGGTCAACCTACGAGTCGGGCATAGAGTCACTGGCCCGATCCCTTGTCGCCCTCGATCAGAAAACCCAAAACGAGAGGAAAGGACTTACTGTTGGTGATCTCCTCATCAAGCCCATACAGCGTATGACGAAGTATCCTCTGCTATTCGGCGACCTGCTCAAGCATACACCTGTTGCAGACTGCCCGAGTTCTCATTCTGAGCTGGAAGTAATCCTGACATGCTTGAGAGAAGTTGTCCATACCGTCAACAAGGCCACAGATGATCGTGAGACCAGGAACCAGATCCAGCGTCGGTGGGCCCTTCAAACAAGGCTGGCCTACGATAGAGTATCGCTTGGAGCTGATCAGTTACGCATGTTGGGCAATGTGAGGCTGTGCGGTGTTCTCCATGTGACATGGCAGACCAGGAACAACAAGGTTGATGGCCGCTATGCACTCTGCATCCTCTTCGACAGTAGCCTCATCATTGCCCTCCCAACTGGTGCTACTGCGAAGTTTGAGGCGATAGCTTTCCTGCATCTGCCTGACCTCAAGGTGGAATCTGCGGGTGACGGCCGTGGACTCCAGTGTCATTCGGCCCTTCATACCTGGAAGATTTGTTTTGAAACAAGTGGACACCTCCACGAGTTCATCTTGAGTGCGTGTTCTACAGTTGAGGAGCACGCATGGAAAGAGGGTATGCGAACTAAGGATTTCCCTTCGAGGAGGACTGATGAACTGTTCAACCAAATTCCTTCAAGTACCGGGCTCGACCTCAGATCCATTGGTCAGGTGTACAGTCAGCAGAGCTCAACATTGTCCAGGAATCCTTCGGTGCAGAGGGCTGCAACTGTTGGAAATCGAGCCAACATTTGCCAGGTCATCATCCGCAATACACACAATCCGCAAGATCTGGGCGAGTTTCGTCACCCATCGTCGTCGGCTATCAACAGGTCACAGTCACATATGACCTCAACCAGGGTTGTCGTGCTCGCACCAAAGCGATCGGAGAGGGCACGGCTAGAAGCAACACTGGGTGATGTATGGACAAAAGAGAATCTGCCATATCCAGGTATGATCGGATCTCGCGGTGGTCAGATAATCAGAGCCTCAGCCGGATCGCTGGTCCGGAAATTGAGTTTAGCGTCTCTTCAAGGTCCCTTCTCGAGGAGGTCAGGCAGTGTATCCCTTACAAGCCGCAAGTCCTTCGATATGTCCACAGACAGCCGCCGGAGTCGAACGAAACAATCCACACCCGTTTTTGAGGTGCGCAAAGAGAGCTTGGATGAAGGCCAATCCACGCGGGCAAAGACACGCGATATACCTGAAGTTGACACCATGGATAATGTGATCAGTCGGATGATAGGCAGCAGTGTCTCAAGAAAGCTGTCCGCCTCTCATGCGGATCACTTTCTTGGGAAAAAGGGCACGAAGAGGCAGCAGCTAGGCCATGATTCAGAACACGAGCTCCGACCCGAAGATCCAGCTGACGTCTTATATTCGGAAGAGAAGGACATATCGGAGAAGCAAGAAGTCGTCGAAGAAGGACTAGGAGGCAAGAAAAAGCGATGGAGCAACCCACTGGGAATACTGAAAGTCCTGTCGGGTGACGGACTTCGACATATGTTGTATTCAAGCAAATAATCCATACAGAACGTAGCGGTTCAGCGTGTACGTGTGCACACAGGAATGCATGTAAAGGTAGAAAGTGTTCAATATTGTTGCTGCTTGATCGATCAGGGGTTCGGCTTTCGTCACGTGCACTCCGCATCTCTCTTCACCGTTCGCTCACTTGGACTTCGCCAGATCATCAACTGGTGATCGAGAATCGGTCTACATCGAAGACTTGTATGCGAGCACATGTCAGCTGGCCGGCCTTGCGTCAGCGGAACGGGACTCTGGCGCATCGATGTCGACATCAGGTCTTCACTCTTGCTTGATCATCACCAGGGCCTTAATTGCTGACCGAGCCTCCTCTTAATACCGGTTATGGAGCTCCTTGAGATAAGACGAGCCTACACGAGGTGGTCATGTCGCATCTAGGCCTCTACACAGCTCGATCGCGACAAGATCATCAGGTCGGATCAGTTTTCTGAGTATTCTAGGTCGTCAATATGACCGGTGGTGGTTATGCCATCAACGACCCTTTGTCTGTCACGGTCGTCGGTGCAGGGATCGCCGGTCTGTGTGCGGCGGTAGCCCTCCGTCGAGCTGGGCACAATGTAAAGGTATGGGTTTGGTCTCCTCTGGACCGTTAGAGTGGTTGTCAATGGCAGTCCCCGCCAGCTGGGGCCTGCTGGACTCGCGCTGATGGAGGACAGATTCTCGAACGCTCGCCTCTCCTCGATGAAGTCGGCGCCGCGATAACACTGGCTCCCAATGCCGTGAGAATCTTTCGGTCGTGGGGTCTCGACTTTGAGCGAGCGAAGTTCATCCCGCGACTGGGCCAGACGTTCATCGACGGCACCACACTCGCCGAACAGCGTGCCACGGACCGAACGGACTTTGAGGCCACATACGGCGCGCCGTACCTGTTCGCGCATCGGGTCGATCTTCACGCCGCGCTACGAGAGCTGGCGACTGGTGCTGACGGCCTGGGCCCGCCAGCCCAGTTGCACACTTCAAGCATGGTCGTGGACTACGACGCCGAGACCGGCAGGGTCAGGCTTGCGAACAACACGTGGACGGAGCCGATGGACCTGATCGTCGCGGCCGATGGCGTCCACTCGCGCGCGGCCAGCCATATCCTAGGCCGCGAGTGTCCCGCCCACGCGACGACCAGCACGGTCATCCGCTTCCTGATCCCCACGAGCCTGGTCGTCGCCGATCCAACGACAGCTCCGCTGCTCAAGTACGGCGAGGGCCACTGCTCCTTCTACCTGCACAGGGATAAGCGGCGGTGGCTGGTCCGCTACCCGTGCCGGGCCAACACGCTGCAGAACTTCGGCATGTACGTCGACCGGCCGCTCGCTGCCTCGGGCGACACGAACGTCTGGGGTCAGAAATGCGACCACGACGATCTGCGCGCCGTGCTGGCTGGGTTCCATCCCGCGTTGCTGGCCCTCGTCGACAAGACTGCCCGCGGCAGCGGCATTCTGCCGCTGTGGCGATGCGCGGAGAGGCCGCCCCTGCCCAGATGCACGGACCGGAACGGCGGGAGGCTCGTCGTCATCGGAGATGCCTGCCATCCCATGCTGCCTCATCGCGGGTTCGGGGCCATCAACGCGATCGAGGATGCCGCAGCGTTAGGCGCGCTGTTCGAGAGGAACCTCACACATGCGTCTGAGGATGGTGGTGATGATGGTAATGGTGTCGAGGATGGTGATGACGACGCTGCTGACGATGCTGCTGACGCAGGTAGTCCTACTGTACGAGACCTCCTACATGTCTTCGAAACGGTACGCTTGCCCCGCGCGTCCGTGGCGCAGCTGTACTCGCAGGTGGAAACGGACAGGGACCCCGTCGTGGAAAGGCGAGAACAGACCTTGAGGTTATTGCCTGCCGAGGAGTTGCCTGGTGAGTTCAATAAAGTTGGTATTTTGACGTTATTGTTCCTTTCGTATTGTCCTGTCTTTACGTTAGGTACCTTTTCTGTGTACTTGTGGACGGGGAACTACGCTTGCAATTGTACATTAACTGACCCAACTGCACGCTACCTAGGCAATGGAGCCGAAGTCATCGACTGGGTGTTTGGGTATGATGTTGTGGGCCAGGCGCGACGGGCCAAGAAGGATTTCCTCGACGCACGGAAACGGGATTGTAAGCAAGTAATTGGTTGAGCTCCTTGGAGGCTTGACGCATTAAGCGAGACGCAGTGGACTTTGATTTGGGGTACGAGGTATTGAGCTCATGGCTGCCGGTCTTGTACACAGGCCCCCAACAGGACTGGATGAAAGCATGAGGTGCAAACAGAAGGGAACAGCTCAACCAATTACTGTACAGTACCTACGTATGTAGAGAGAGACTATGCAAATGCGACAATAACGACCCAGGAGCCAGCCCAGCCAACCAACCAACCAACCAACCAACCAACCAACCGCTGCTTGATGGATTCTTCTAGGACGGTCCTCACTAATCTATGCATTGGAATTGGACTACATAAGTATGGTAGATGGTAGATGGTATTGACTTCATGCGGCATTTTGAGATATTCACTCCAGTCATTGTGGTAGTTACTACACGCCGAATCGCCTTACAGCAACCCCGATCGAGAGTAATAACCGCATGCACGCATGGACACGTCACGATGTGTCTGGTAACCATTATTCCTACATAGTACATTCTAGAGATAACTACGGTTTGCAGACGAGAAGTGGAACTCGTGTCGCTACTGCTGCCTTGCCTGCCTGCCTATGTACTAGTTAGCCCTTTGAGCCTGAAACAGACATGGACGACAACCTTAGTTGACATCGTCACCGTCACTGTCACCGTCTACCTCTCCCCGGTCCCTCGAGTACCAGAAAAAAAGATCAGCTGTGAGATAATAGTGATAGTGTATTGTGTATTGTGTACTGTGTCCTGTTACGTGTAGTGTTGTGTTATGTTGTATGTGGTGTCGGTGATACGTTGTGTGGAACTTTGCATCCGGATTCCACTTGGGTATATACAAGGTACGTCGGCATAAGTATCCATGCCAGCCAATGCCATTCCTGTCCTGCAATGCGACCCAACCCGTCCCTGTCTCCCTTTCCGATCCAATGGCCGTCTGATACCGAGAGCCTACAGAACGAAAGCCAAGCCAGCAACAGCCAGAGCGCCCAGCCCCATGGCCTTCTCACTGACAGCACCGCCGGTAAAGGCCGATGGCGCAGCGGCCGTCGTACTAGCGGGAGAGATGGGTGGCGTGGTGGTCGTGGCCAGGACTTCCAAAGTGCTGGACACGGCTGTGGTAGGTGCGGCGATCATGCTCGTGAAATTCTGTGCCTCGCTGTAGCTGACTGCCGTGGGGACTTCCCACGTCGAGCTCCCGGAGCTGTATTCCGCGGTGTACGAGGTCGTGTAGAGCCACTCGGACCACGGGGCCGGGGTGGAGACGCTGGAGGCGGCAACCTCGACGGCCGTGGCGGTCGCGTTGGCGACGGCCACATCGGTGGCGTAGGTCGCGGACGTCCAGGTACTGGAGCTGCTGGAGAAGGTCCATGTATAAGCCCAGGTGGAGGACGAGTCGGCGAGGGCGCCCAGGGCGAAAAGAGCGGGCATGGCGAGGAAGCACTTCATCTTGACGGACTTGGGGTTTGGTTGTTGTAGCAAAACTCGAACTTTGAAAGAGTGTGAGACTTTTTTTTGTAGCAAAAAGTCGAACTGTGAAAGAGCGTGGGATGTTTGGTTCTCGTCGGAGCGATTTGTTTAAGCGAATGGATGTGTTCGACTGGAAGACACTTGGAGGGGGGAAAAGAATGAATTTATCGAGCGGACAAGGCACTGTCGACGTGAACTGCGAAGGAGAGAAGCAACCGCGACGCGACGATACTTACGGCACTGGAGCCGAGTCAAGAACTTGACATATAGGGGCATCGCAAGCCTGGTTTCTACCGTGTCAAGCTAGCAGAGCCTCGTAGCAGTCGTATCTTGGTCTTGTGGTGGGTGTTGTTCCACTTGCGGGTGGTGTCGAGTGGCTCCGACAGGGATTGGGAAATTGGCATTGCGAAGCGAAACACTTCGGCGCACCACTTGTCCAGGAAGGCCGCGAAGGCGCAATTTCAGAGTGGACAAGCTTTTGCTTGATCGGCTGGCATTCCCGTGCTGCAAGTCGCCGGCCATGGGCCATGGCATATGCGATGCTGGGAGATGAACCAGATGAGCCCCGGCGGTGGACACTGCGAGCTTGAAATCGTCGAGCTGCCGCGCAGTTTTCGCCGGAGCCAGCCAGTCTCGTACACTGCGGTGTGACCGAGTCGAGTCTGCATGTCAACGATGCAATCGTTCAAGACGGTCGAGCTCGGCGATCTGGCAGCAAGACTCCGTCAAAGTTCGGAGCGTCAAGAGTCAACGAGCCTCCTTCCGAAATCTTGTTGTTGACATGGCGGTTCGGTGGAGCCGGCGATCGTCAAGCGCAGTGTCATTGTCATTGTCATTGTCATTGGCTGACGCAACTGGCTGCGGTTTTCCTCCTGATACATACGGAGTAGCTGTCTGAATATTGTCCGGTGGAACTCAAAGGCATGTCACTACTTGTGTACGTACTCCGTACTCCTTAGGTCCTTCGGAAACTCTGAACGTCCGTCGTGACCGCGTGAAGTCACTATATGGGCCATGTCGAGGACTGCCATTGCCGTCGCTACACCAAGACACCCCTGATCACCTCTTCGCATTGCTCGATCCGTTCATCCAAGCAGCTGTCCCAGGGGATCTTCGACGACATGCGCACTCTTCGCGTCGGTCTGGGGAACATCGCAGTCCCCCTGAGTCCCTGACCATGCCAATACTGTGGATGGTCCCAGCCATCCTCATTTTTCCTCCCGTGCCTTCCAAGACCTGCTCGATACCTTGGCTTCCACATTTGGAGTTGGACGTGAATGGAGCGCGTTTTCGTGTCCCAGTCGGTGATATCTGCGGAGTACAGTGCTGGATGGAATGTTGCTGCAACAAGAAAAACAATGTCAAACCATAAGCAGTATACGAGGCCTCATGCAGAATGGCAGTATCGGCAAGCATTGAAGAATCTTACCCCAGGTACTGTGTCTGGCTATTCGATTTGTGTCGGTCCAACGAGATTTGATGTGGACGATTGTCCCAGGCCAGGCATTAGACTGTTGAGTACCGGCCGTGGAAAGACAGGTTGGACTTTCGGATTAGCCGTTGAAACATTGGCAAAAGCCGCGTAGGCAGCTCTGGTCTCAATTTTCTACCAAGTCATCTGTACGGAGTAGCTTGATTGACCTTCCATGCCGAATCCTGCAGGCAATCCGAGAGGGAGCATTGCCGGCAAATCATTGTCTCTGGTGAGGGAGGAACCGCCCGACCAAAGCAGCATCCTGGCGCTTCGTCCACGGTTCTTCCTCCAAAAGATTCTTGCCAGCAGTGGGAGAGGTAGTAGTTCCGAGTCAAGCTTGCCGATGCCGATGGCAGAATCCTCACACCTTAGTAAACGTGCCAACTTATGCACGACATGGTGCTTGATCGCGTGAACGCGTATTAGGCGAGCTTCGTGTCGGGGGCCTAAACGAGGTTCGGTACACCGGATGGGACACACTAGCAGCAGCCTCGCGTCTTTCCATCGACAACAATGCTTTTCACCTCAGTCGGAAACAGTTCAATCCGCTATTGTACAAGTGTCGATCATGGTATCTTCATTCCCCGTGGCGGGCATAATATCTACACGAACAGCATGCAGCTGTGTTCAAATCTGGTATCTGGTCTCGTCGACGTACATGTCCCGAGCCATCAGCGACTTTGTTCAAACGCCAAAACGCTTTGAAAATGATCGGCAGCACAGCTGGTAAATAGTTCATACTTTGCCAGGTCTGGCTCCTCCCCTCTTCGGTACAGTCCAAGGTTCTGCACATACGGTCTGGAAAGATCCATTAGCATGTCGCTCCATTCGCAGAAGCGAAGGGTCATCTTACCTCGCCTTCCGAGTAGGCCCAGAAATAGATCACCACTCCGACGATATAGTACAGTGCCGCATTGGTGGACTGATACATCAGGACCGCGGCCAAAGCACTCAGAGGATAAACCACCAATCTTGCTTCCATACTTCGATGCAACCCAGGTAACATCTTTACAATCGGTGCAAGCGGCCACTCCCACGCTAGACCCAGCAGCCCCAACACAAGGTTCATGATCTGCAAGACTGGAAAAGGTTTGACTGCTCCATCGAGGTTTTTGGTGAGGAAGTCAAAGAAGATCTTGGGCCAAAAGAAGCCTTCGAGGGCGGCCATGACTTGGTAGAGGGCGGCTGTGAGGACAATCAGGCGACCCCAGTGGTTCTTGATGAGTTTGCCCATGATGTCGAAGAAGGAAATGCTCTGACGTGAGGAGGTGAACGAACGTGTGGTTGAGAATCGAAGCACCAAGAATGCGAAAAGAATGGAAGCTGTCGAAGAGAAAGAGTGCGCAGAAATTGACGACCCGCGCCTGAAGGTCACCGCAGAACCATCTGGGTTGGCGAGGTATATGAGCAGGCTTGGTACGTGCAAGGTTGGTCAACGCTTATTCCCCCTATGGAAGGGAGCAACCGTTGATCTCGGTGGCAGGATGACCCGGTATCAGTGAGACTGTGGGAGCGTTTGGAAGTAGTTGACGGGGGAGTTGCAGTCAGAGAGTAGTTATTAGTGTGCTTGAGAATGGTGGTCCGGGAGCGTCTCAAGGCGAGGGTACTTGAGGGCCGTGGGTTGGCGCGTAAGAGATTGGTCGCAGATGTCGTCCTGTCGTAGAGTGGTTGAGGGGATTCCAAGACAGAAAGTGTTACAGGTGTGGCAGGTGTGGAGTTCTACGTGTCTGAGGTACACGTCTCTCAAAGCACCGCCAAAGTCGAAGATCTGAGTGACTTCGACAGTAATCGATCCTCGAGATAGCTACAGGTAGAAGAAGATTGAAATGTAGAAGAAGTTGAGATACTCACAGGTGTAGTACCTTGTGGGAGTCTGGGCACGTTTTCTGGTAAGATCGCAAGCTTACAAGGACTACAGGGCTTTCTGGCAAGCGACCCTCTGTCGACCGTTGACAACGATGCAGCCGTTGCATTAGCACGAGATGTAGTGCAGCAATGAGAATCGAGAATCAATAGTTTTGGTCTGTAGTCGCCAGATCTGGTGATGCAACTGGTGTTGCTGTGAGCTTGAAGCTGATGATTCGTGGAGTTGGGACGCAGTGCGGAGAGAGCAAGGTGATTGTGAAGAGGGGCGCTGATTGTCTGGCGGAATAAGCGCCCGAAAATAGACATCGACCAATGGTCAATTGCATGGCACCGAGATCTGGAATGCATTATTCCTGCGGTCAGATGAGTGAACCGTGTGGTGGTGAGCCGATGTGCGGTCGTGAGGGAACAACGAATGGAGTTGAAGAATTGACCGCCGACAAGGATGTGATGCAGCAGGCGCAGGCGGGAGCTAAAACCTGGCAAGAGCCTCGGACACACACAAGCGAGTGATTCGAGGGGAAGCGGCCACTCAGACGACGGCTCGGCGCCTGCCCCCCGCCATCGCGCCCCCAGTCAGGGCGCTACGAAACGCTTCCTGATACGCTGGTCAAACTGAGTCTCTCTCACCTCTTTTTCACCTTCCCCTTCAGACCAAAATCCTCGATGATTTCGACGCATTTTGCCCGTTCTAGGTATTATCGAGCCGGCTTTGTCTTCATGCTGGTGTTGAGCTATGTGTGACGGCAATCGATATCACCAGCCTCCACTACTTCGATGAATGTTTCCAAGGGCCCCGTCTTATCGTTGCCACCTGCCACGACTGCCACGTTCCGCTTGTACCGCTCGTGAAGTGGCAGATCACCTCACCATCCCTCGCTCACGCCCGCTCCACCGCCCATTGCCGAGTGATGGATGTGTGGCTGTCGAGTGTTTCCAGCCGTCCCTCATCTTGTTCCTCCCGGCCGTTTTCCTGCGCTCGATTGCTCACCACCCAATAACCGCCCAAGTCTCTGGATCGGGTAAAACGCGGTCGGCGGTGCCTGAGCCAGGGCCCATTCAGATACTTTGTAATACTCCTTGGCTTGGAACAGGACCGGGGTTTCATGCATGTCGACGGTTCCCTTTCTCCACAATCCACCATCTTGCACCCGACCGCGAGTCACTTTATCGAGCCTGCATCCCGCTCGCATCTATCCCAAGATGTAGCTCTTCGATAGTCTTGATGAACCATTTACTCTGCGCATGATCACATCTCTGCGCGTCCTTTGTCTCGCCGTTTCCTATCACCACTGTCCCGGCAGAACCTACTGTGCTCACACGTGGGCTGAGTTTTGCCCCCTAAAACCTCGAACTACTCCTGTTACAGCTCCTGTGCCAGAGTCGTCGGTTCCACTCTCCAGGCTGTTTCGACCTCATCCTACAGCCCATCTGCCATACTAATTCGGTCGTACTCCCTGGCCCGATCTCACCACTACTCCAAACTGTCTTGTCTGAACTCCTGCTTCACCAGCGCAGCTCACTGTAACACGCCCAAGCATTGCCCGGCGCCGAGCTAATCGAACAATTTGCCCTCAGTACCGCGCTTCTGGTATGATCCAACGTGTGATCGGCTGGTCAGACACAAGATCTCGGATAC